TACATAATTTTCTCAATTCATTAATAATTTTAACTTTTTGTAAAAATTTAATTGAATCTTTACAAAAAGTATTTGAATTTTTAAAATTTAATTGAAAATTATTTATAGCATCAATATTATTATCAATTGCATATTTCATATTAATTCCAGATTTAGATAAACCAAAAGATAAACCTCCACATCCACCAAATAAATCCAATCCAATTAATAAATTTCTTGTATTTTCATTTTCAATAATTAAATTATTTAAAATAAATTTAGAATAATTATCAATTAAATTAAACATATTTTTACAATATAATTTTTCTATATTTAGTAATTCAAAATTTTGAAAATTATTTTTAATATTAATTAAATGTTTACAATAAAAAATATCTCTTCGTTCTCTTATATCTTTAGAAATTGATTCAAATTCATTTGTTTCAATTAAATAAAAAACATAACATTTCCTTATATAGTATTTTTGTATTGGAATTAAAATTTCATTTTCATCTAAAAATAATTCATTTACATCTCTAGTTAAAATATTTAAATTATTTTTTAAACTTAAAAAGGCTAAATCATAATGTCTAAATAATCTTTTACCATAAATTTCATTATTTTTAAATTTAATTTGAAAAATAAAATAAGGATAATAATTTATATCAATTTTACTTTTTAAAAAATCTGGAAATAATTCTAAATATGGAAATAAATATATTGCTTCTCCATCTTGAATAATTTCATTATTAATTTTAATAGAATTTTCATCTTTTAAAAATTCAATTTCAAATTCATTTTTAAATTCTTTAAATTTTTTTCTTTTTTTAGAATTTAAATTTTCATTTTTTCTTTTTAATTGTTTTCTTTCCTTTTTAGGTGTTAATTTATAATCATAATCAGATGAATCTGAAGAATCTGATGAATATTCTTCCATTTCAGAATTATTAAATAAAATATTTGAAATTTCATTAATAAATTTACTTTTAAATATTTTTTCATTATTTAATTTATGAATTTCATCAATAATAAAATTATAATTATTTTTAATTATTTCTAAATTTATATTTATATTTAATTTAAATTCTTTTGAAATTGAATTTGATTCATTTATAATTTTATTAATTCCATGTTTAGGAAATTTAAAAATAGATAAAATTAAACAAAATGTAATTGAAGATAAATTATAAATTTTTTTAAAAATTTTAAAATAATCTGAATCACATCTTAGACATTCACATTCAAATATTTTATCATTTCTATTTATAGTAAATAAAATTATTGGTTTTTTACATTTATCATATTCAATATTAAAATTAATTAATTTTCCAATAAATTTTGATTCTAATTTTAATTTTGAAATTATTATATTTAAATCTTCATGAATTAAATTATTCATATCTATAATTAAATTATTTGGTATTTTATTACTATTATATAATATTCCATATATAGAAATAGATTGTTTATTATTATTATCAGTTAATGAAATGTAAACATTTTCATCATTTAATAAATAAAATTCATCTAATAATAATATATCATCTTTATAATTATGTATATATGATAAATCATCTAGAATTTCAACTTGTTCTTGTGATGATTCTGATTCACTCATTGATTCATTTAAATTTATAATCAACACTAAATTGTTTTGTTGTCAAAATTTGATTCATAATATTGTGGCTAACACTCAAAAAAGGAAGTTAACTACCTTCCCGCTCTTTCTTTGCTGCTCAAGAGTTTTTATCCATCAATTATCCACAATGTTGATCAATCAAACGCCAAGTGTCAGACAGTATAAAAAATGTCTTCAAGACATTCATTAAATTCACCTTCTCTATCACCCTCCAATTCTTCACCATCCATTCTCACCAATAACAATAATAATAGACTGTCAACATCTAGTGGCAGTACTACAAGTTCTCAGAATTTATTAAAATTATTTACTTCGGATCAAGAATATTTTAGTATTCATAAAAATGATACTTCAATATCACCATCATCATCATCAACAAGCCTTTCAGGTAATTATAACAATGCACTAGGCTTTAGATCATCAATTGCTACACCAATAGATTCACCTGTATCATCACCTGGTAGTAATAGTGGTAGTAATATTATAGTAGGAGTAGGATCATCATCTAATCAAAATATAAAAGCATCAGCATCAGCATTATCATCACTAAGTAAATATATGATCAATAAGAATACTATTAATGTAGAATATTTGTTTTATAAAATTAATCACTTAAATAAATTGAGTGGATCAAGTACATTAATATTAAATAGTGGTATTATTAAAGAGAATACTAATTATGGACAATATTTAGTAGCCATTGATGATGATGATTATATATTATATGGTGATGATGATCAACAACAATTTGATGATCAACAAGACTCTGAAGTGTATGAAAATCATTTAATAATGTTAGGTGTAAAGAATGAATATAGAGATTCAATTGATGTTTCTAGAATTAGAAATATTTATACTGAAAATTATTGTACTTTTATAGTAATGGGTATGTTTTTAAATATTTATCATATTTAATATTTAATATTTAATAAAAGAGGATGAAAGTATTTGGGTAGCAGGTAATAATAATAATTATCAATTAGGATTAGGACATAATAAACCTCTCACTCAAATACCAACTAGATTACAATTTAATAATTTTAAAGGTGAAAAAATTAAGAAAATTACAACTTTATATGAAAGTACTTTATTTTTAACTGGTATGTTTACAATATATTTAAAATAATATAGAACTAAATATAATATTAAATATATTTATTAAATAAATAATATTTAAAATAATATAGAAAGTGGTAATTTATATGGATGTGGAATTAATTATTATTCAGATATAACAAGTAATACAGATAATAGATTAAAAGTAATTAAAACACCAACACTTATTACATCAAATATTCATTCAATTTCATCATTAACAAAATATTATGTTTTAATGATTACAAAAGATTTTGATTTATTTATTTGTGGAATTTGTAATGATGATGAAATTGGAATTAAATGTAAAGATGTTAAAAATTTTTGTACAAAACCAATTCCATTTCCAAATTTTAATAATCAATTAATTTTAAATAATTCTAATTTAAATAATTCTAATTTAAATAATATAAATAATTTAAATAATAATATAAATAATATAAATTTAAATAATAATTTAAATAATATAAATAATTTAAATAATAATAGAAATATTCAAAAAGATTTTATTAAAAAAATTTCATGTCATGATAAAAGTATTTTAATTTTAACATCAACATTTAATATATATGTATATGGTGAAAATCAATTTGGTAAATTTGGATTAAATCATACTAATGATATATATGGAGAATTTGAAAAATTAACATATTTTATAGAACAAGATATACCAATTATAGATATTGAATGTTCTAAAAATAATTGTTACTTTTTAAGTAATTCAGGAAGTGTATATTGTAGTGGAGAATATACAAATTATAAACCAATTAAAATATTATTAACACATTATGTAACAGAATTATTAGAAAATGATTTATTTATAGCAGATAGAGGTAAAATAATTACTATAAATGGAAATATTAAAAGTAGATTTTTTACAAAATATTTTAATCAATATTATTATAAAATTGATCATTTTGATTTTTTATGTGATGGTAAAGTAATAACAGTATTAAAATCAGCAATATATCCAATGGATAAATTTAGTAAAATTCAATTATTAGATAATTATTTTACATTACATTCAATTACAGAAAAATCAATTAATTATAAAAAATTATTAGATTATTTTCAATCACTTTCATTATATGATATGATACAAGGTGAATATGATTTAAAATATTTTGAATTTTATTTTAAAGCTTCTTCTGATGCTTATTTACAAAATCAAATTGAATTTCAAAAATTACAAATTGATAAATTTGGTCAAAATTTTGATTATTTATTTTTAATTAAAAAGAGAATGAAAGATTTTATACAAAATCATCATTTAAATTTAAAATCAAATAAGGATTTCATGTTTGTTTATATTAATATAACAAATTTCTTTCAAAATTCAACAAGATTGAATGAATTAATTTATACTCTAATGATTGCATTTGAACAAAATATTACAATTATAATTGAAACTTTTATTCAATATTTAGAAGATACAATTTTAAGTTCAATTGATGAAGATTCTAATGAACCATTCTTTACTCAAATACCAAATAATTTTGATGATTTACAAAAATTAGTTATTGATGCTTTTGGTTTTGTTGATAGAAAACAATTACCAACACCTGCAACATTTGGTAGAGTTTTAAAATCATTCAATAATAATAATCAAAATAATCAAAATAGAAGTAGTATGAATAATTTTTTCAATTCCAATGATCATAATCCACTCACTGAGGAAATTAATTTACATTTACCTACAACTTCATTTAGAGCAACTATTGATCAGGGTAATTCATCATCTAATAATTCTAATAATTCTAATAATACTCATACAAATAATACAAATAATACAAATAATACAAATAATACAACTACTACTAGTAATAATATAGATATAGAATTGAATAGATATTATACATTATTATCACAAAAATCATGTTCACATTTAATCTTTATTTTAACATGTTCAATATTGGCAGCTATAAAATTACTTGTAAAATCTGATAGGGTTAAATTTCCCGATTCTAAAATATCTAAAGATGAACAAATTGCCTTTCAAACAAGTATGGAAGCTATAAAAAGTTTTATTGAACAAGATTTAAAAAAATTGAATAATCAAAAAAAGAAAAAGAAGGAAATATTTAATATACAATTAGTTAGTTATACATTAAAACATATGTGGATATTTGGTAAACAAATAATTGGTAAATTACCTGAATTTTCTAAAGGAAATCATATTTCAATGTTATTAAAATATTTAATTTTAAATTTAATTCAAATTGAACCAATTTGGTTAAAATCCATAACAGTACATACATTATGTAATGGTAAATATGTTGTTTTAAAAAAAATAGCAAGTGGAGGAGAAGGAACTGTATTTCATTGTAAATCAATTCAATTTGGAGATGTTGCTATTAAAAAATTAATACAAAATTTAGATTCAATTAAATTAAAAGAATTACAATGGAATATTGAACAAGTTTCAAATTTAAAACATCCAAATCTAATACCATATTTAGATTATTCAATTGAAAAGAAAAATGATGAATATTCATGTTGTCTTGTTATGCCTTTTTATAAATCTTCATTACAACAATTAATTACAAATTCAAAATTAAGAAATTTAAAAACAGTTCCAAATTGGTTAAATATTTTATTACAAATTTGTTTAGGTTTACAACAAATTCATTTTAATAATTTAATTTATAGAGATTTAAAAAATGAAAATATTTTAATTAATTATTCTTCAACTCTAAATATGGAAGAAGTTGCAATTGGTGATTTTGGTTTATTAACTTCAACAAATGATTTAAATACAATTAGTTTTAGAGGAACACCAATTACTTTATCACCTGAATGTTCAACTGGTAATTTTAAAATTGATAAAAATAGTGGTATGTTTAATATTTTAATATATTTAATATTTTAATAACATTTAATTGGATTTATCATCACCTTAATATCATCATCATCATCATGATACTAATTCATACTAATTCATACCAATAATAATAATAATAATAATAATAATAGATATATTTTCATTGGGATGTGTATTTTATGAATTATTAACATTGGAAATTCAAATTATTAGAAATGTAAAAAATCAAGAAACTAAATTTTTAATGCATGAAGCTATAAAAACCGATGAAAATGAAACTCATTCAATTATTTGTAACAAGTTAAAAAATAATGGAATACCAGAATTAATAATTCGATTAGTAATATCAATGTTACAATTACATCCATTAACAAGACCAACTATTGATACAATTGTTGATATTTTAAATGTTTTTGTAAATCATTTAGATGATAGTAATGCTAGAAAGGAATGTTTAAATAGATTTGATAAAGTTTTATTAAAATTACCAGAATTAAAAAGTTCAAGAAAAAAGAAAAAGGCAATTTTTAATTTTTTAAAGAAATTTAATGATCAATTTATTTATAATGGAAGATTTAAAATTATTGAAAATATTAAACATTTAAATCAATATACTATTTATAAAGTAAATGATTTACAAAAATTAGAAATTTCATTTATTAGTAAATTTAATACTTTATCAGAATTTACAAATATGGTATGTTTATAATATATTTTAATTTAATTTAATATTTAATTTAATATTTATTTTATATTTTTATATTTAATTTAATTAGATTTCTAAATATAATATATTTAAACATAAATATTTACAATCAAAAATAGAAGAATTTTATTTTAATGATAATTATTATTATGTTACAAACTATTATCCAACATTTCAACAATTTTTACAAAATCAAACAATATTATTTGAAGAAATTGAAATTTACAAAATAGGAAAACAATTAATTGAAGTTATTCAATATCTCCATAAAAGGCAACAAGTACATAATCATTTAAATTTAGAAACTTTACTTTTTAATGAAAAAGATTTTGAAATAATTTTAAGTGGAATTGAATATTTACAAGATTTTACAAATTTAGAAATTCAAAACCAAAATAGAATTTTAAAACAAAGAATTAATTCAATGTTAAAAAAACATCACGATACAAATTTAGTATTTGAACAAATTCAATATGAAAATATGAATGAACTTTTAAATCAAAATCAAAATGATTATTTTAAAAAAGATATAAAATGTATTGGATTTATTTTATTACAACTTCTAATTTTGGAAATTAATCCAAATAAGGATTTAATTAATACAAATATTGATGTTAATCAATTAAAAACATTTTTAACATTTAAATTTAAAAAACCTTTAATTCAATATTCAGATGATTTATTTTTTATTATTTTATTACTTTTAAATGGTGATTTAAATAATTCTTATGTAAATATTATTAAAAAATTACAACAATATTCTTTAATTAAATTAAATAGTGGAAATATTAATTTACCAATTCCAAATATTTGTTCAATTGTTAATAATAATACTATAAATGGAAATATTTCATTAGAATCACCTTTTACCAATAATAATTTAAATGGAAATTCAAGTCCAAATAGTCCAAGATTGAAAAATTTAAAACAATTATCAACTAATTCTTCACCTTCTTCATCTCCAACAAAATCAAATCAAAGTTTTATTTGATTTTCTCTATGTCTAAAATAAATAAATACCCTAAATTAATTCGAATAAATAACACTATTGTTTCGATCTTTCTATCTGACCTCTTGTGAACAAATCAAAAAACTTTGAAGCCCTTAATTTAAAAATCAAGACAACAATTTCATGTTCTACCTCATGCAATGACCATCTCTTCATCTAATAGATCATTTTTAAATAGCTGAATGACACAATCAATTAGATTTTACCTAAAATCTTTGATTTCTTCTCGTTTATTAATCGACAACATTAATCTCGTTTCTGTGTTAGTGCATTACAACTTTTTTCTAAGTTTTAAAAATGTTACCTTCCTTAAAACTTGCCCAATATGGTTTATAAGATTTCCTCCTCTCTTGACGATATTCCTCATATCTGAATTGTATGACAATTTCACCTCTACATTCTCTATAATCTCTCTGATGTGGAATTGTTGTAAAATATTTTATACCATTATCACAAAATCCAAGAAATTGAAAACCTTCTCTTCTTCCCTTTACAATATTATGAGGAGCTTCATCAGGTTCATTCATATATCTATTAAAAGCTTTTCCCATAAGAACAGGTCCTGAAATTGTAACAAATTTAAGAAATAAATCAAGTTCATGTAATTTTCTAGGAACTTCTGGAATATACTTATTTTTCACATTATAAATAATCATATCCATAGCAATTCTCAATAATGGATGATGAGGAATACTTCCAATGAATGCAAATTCAAATCCAAACCAAGCAAATGAAGCATATCCAACAGGTAATACCATTGTTGCATTATTTTCAATCCACTTATCTAAATCTTTTAATAAAATTGAATCAATATCTGAATAATAACCTCCAATTTTATATAAAACTGCCAATCTCCAAAAATCAATTTTATATGCAAATGGAATTAAATTATTAAATGCATGAAATTCATCAGAATTTTCTCCATAATTATCAATTAAAAATTGTAAAACTGCATCATCATTATAATAAATATATTTAAATTTTGAATTGGATTCATAACTTTTACTTGCATTTTGCATGCCACTTGTCATTTCATTTCTAGTTTGACTTTTAAATGTTTGATGAATTATTCGTGGAATGAGTTGATTATTTCCCATCTGATAAGGAATATATGGAAATCCATCATTCCGATGATATAATGATTCATGTAATATATGTTCTACTTGTGTAGATTTTCCATGATTATTCTGTATGTTTTTATTGTAAAGTGTAAATATAATGATGAATAATATAGAGATGGAAATGATGATCATCATCACCATGTATAATTTGGTAACTCGTATTGGAAATGCAAGTTTAAACATTTTTTAAATTGAACTATTTAAATTATTATTTATGAGTGGTGATTGATGAATGATTGACATTAAACTATTATTTACAATTAAATGATGAAGAACAACAATTATTAAACACATTGTAACAAAAAAACCAATACACATTCGGATGAAATGCAAGAAATAAGCCACTCAATTCGGAATAAATGAAAGATTACATAACCTCCCATGTCCGAACGCATCTATTTTGATATTTCATCTCTTGAGCAATAAACAATTAAGCAAATAAAACAATCAAATAAAATGAGTCTACAACAACACGCTATGAAATTAAAAATTCTTAAAACAATTCTCGGAAAGGAAGTGAATGAAGGTGCAGGTGTTAAAGTGTGTAGAACCATTGGTGGACCAACAGTTTCAGTTCATGATCCATTCTTATTATTGGATGAAGCTAAAATACCAAATGCTAAAAATGGATTTCCAGAACATCCTCATAAGGGATTTGAAACACTTTCTTATATATTAACTGGTCAAACTAGGCATAGAGATAGTTTGGGAAGAAGTGGTTATTTATCTTCTGGTGATGCTCAATGGATGACTGGTATGTTAATACTTGTTAATACTTTACAATTATTTACAATAATATAATTACAATAGCTGGTAGAGGAATTAGACATGAAGAAACACCAATTGGAGATGGACCTATGCATGGGTTTCAAATTTGGATTAATTTAAAATCTCAAGATAAATTAATTGATCCATATTATCAAGATTTAAGAGCAAGTGAAATTCCAAAAAAGCAAATTACGGAAAATGTACTTTATTCTGTTCTGGCAGGTAAAAGTATTTCACATGATTTAAATAGTCCAGTGCTTTTAAAAACTCCTGTATTAGTAGGTCATGTTAAAATCAATAAGAAGAATGAAAAATTCATAGAAACAATTCCAAAAGGATTTCAAGGTTTAATTTATTTATTTGAAGGAAATGGAATATTTGAAAATCAACAAGTTGTTGAAAAATCTGCAGTTTTATTCGATGAAACAATTGAAAATACTCAATTTGAATTTGAAAGTACATCTGATCAAGTTCAATTCTTAATTTTATCAGGTCAACCTATTAAGGAACCAGTTGCAAGACAAGGACCATTTGTTATGAATACGAGAGAGGAAATTATGCAAGCCTATGAAGAATATTACTCTGGTGTATTTTAATTTACAACGGTTAAATAATAAAATTTGACTAACAAAATTTAAATTAAAAAAGTAGTGTAAATAAAAGAAATTTCTCATTAATATCCCAAATTATTGGCATTAAATTTTTCTTTCTTTATGCAAAATGAAACTAAGGAAAGATTGGAGTTGATGCCGAACACACAAACTCAATTAATTGAGTATCAATGGTATTAGTAATAGCAAAACATCTGAATTATCAGCACAATCTTTCAACGGCCGTAAATAATTTGGCGCCCTTAAAAACCGATTAAAATTTTTTAAAAAAAATAAACAACTAGGATCTAGATAGTAGTACAATAAACAATAATTTCATCATCATCAACACCTAATGGCATGGGTAAGCCGATCCATAAGAGACTTTGATCTCTCCAAAACAAACACAAGTGATGCACTAGGACCGGGTAGTTACATTTCTCATGAACCATTCTTAAAACAGCCTAAATATGCCTCAGCACCATTCTTCTCAACGGAAAAGAGGTACACAACATCAACCAATGAAAAGTTTCTCACTCCTGGACCTGGTACTTATTCAAGTCCAACAGCCTTCACCTCAAAAACCGATCGTTCCTCTGTTTTTAAATCTGCAACAACAAGATTTGATTTAAATACATCAATTGAGGAAAATCCAGGTAGGTTTATTATGACCAATTTTTTTTCTATATTTCTTCTATTTAATATGAATAATAATTTAATGTTGAATTGATGAATTAAGGACCTGGAAGTTATCAAGTAAAATCGGATATTGACAGTTTCCTTGAAAAAAAGTTTAGTAAATCACCTCCAAAAACAAGAAATCCATCAACTCCAACTAAACAACTATCAACTGCCCCATCAATTCCAGCTAATACACAATCACATGGATATGAAGAAGGTCCACGTGGTGAATTAATAAGACAAAGACCACCAGATGGAGGATATAAAGGAACATATCAAGATTCAATTGGACCAGGTCAATATTTTGTAGAAGAAATTACAGCACCAAGGAAAACACAAGGAATATTTACAAGTTCAACTACAAGAGACATATTTAAAATTCCAAAAAATCCAGGACCTGGAGCATATGACAGCAAAGTGAATGATATGTCAAGAAGTTATGGTTCGATATTTGGATCTAGGACTCAACGATCATCACTTGTTCCAATTGACAAAATAAGGTCACCAAATTTAGGACCTGGAGCTTATGATTCTAAGGAGCCAAAACTTGCTCACAAAACAAAACACCAACCATTTGGAAGTACAACATCTAGGCCTTTTGATTTTTCAAGTACATTTTCAAGTGCACCTGGACCTGGTGAATATATTAGAGTTTTTGAGGAGAAATATGTTAGTAGTGATCGTACAAAAGTTCATGGACCATTCAATGCTAAAACTGAAAGATTTAATTACAAATCCAAAGATGCTCCTCCAGGACCTGGAAGCTACAATGATAGTAATTATCTTACAAATGATTTAACAAAGAAACCAAGAGGTGCTTTTGGTGTATTTGGCTCAACATCTGCTAGGTTTACAAATATAGAAAAAGCAAAAGCACCTCCACCAGGTTCATATAACGTACCTGAAAAACTAAATCAAGTAAGAAAGACAGATGCAAGATCTAGTACATTCCAATCCAGGACAACAAGAAGCTCTGATAACAATGAAAGAAAATTAGTGAAAGATACAACACCTCCAGTTGGAGTTTATGCAATTGCAAATGAAAATTGGTCAAAGAAATCATTTTCCACACGAACAACTGGGTTCACATCAACAACGAGTAGATTTACAGAGAAATTACCAAGAGATAGAGCAGCAATTGTTGGACCGAATTATTTACCACCCTCATTTACAGATAAGAAACCAAAAGGAATTGATTTATCAAAGAATACACGTGTACAGACAGCTCCAATATCTAGATTTGAATCACCACACATTGGTCCAGGAACCTATGATCATAGTCCTTCTTGGATTAAACCTTCACATAATGTTACAATAACTCAGCTGTAGAATTCCAATATCATCCTCAAGTAAATTTCTCTTAATCATTTTTACAATTCAAAATTAATAATTGATTAAATTCAAATTGTAAAAAATGTCTTCTCTTATGGTAAGAGATTCGTCCTCATCATCTTTGGACATTCCAAAATTTATTTTTAATACTTTAATTTGGGGATGGTTTTTATTGTATGTTGTTTTATTATAATTAATTTAATAATATTTAAAATGTGTTAATACAGTCGATCTGGTGAAATTGTATTTTATTACATTTTAAGAAAATTCAAAATACCTCATGTTCCGAAGTGGGAATATGATCATAATTTAAAATTATCAGAAAATATGACCAGAAGAGATAAATGGAAGAAAAAATCACTCTTCGCTCCCGATGATGAAGATTTAAAATTATTAAACTAAATGTAAATATTGTAATAATTATTAGCAGCTATTCATGTTCTTCTAGTTTTTATTATACTAGCCAGTACTATTATTAGTAATAATAATTTTATAATATTTAATATAATATTATAAAATTATTATTGAATATTTAATTCAAAAAACAAGTTGAAAAAAAATGATTAAACAACCAATTAATAAGAGAAGACGTTTTGTGGAAGATAGTAATGATGCTTCTCACTCTACACTTGTAGAAAAAGCTGAAGAACCAACAGTTAATGATGAAACATCAACAACAATATCGGAACCAACAATTGATGAAAATATTACAGCAACTGATCGTTTGGAATTTGAAAGAGGATTATCAAGAAGAAAGAGAAAAACTCTTAAAAAACAAGAAAAATTTGAGAAAAGAAAAGGTTTATTACAAAGAATAACGGAAACTAAAGAATCAATGAATAAGAATAAGAAACAACAACAAAAACAACAAGGAATTTTCAGTTTTGATCCAATGTCAAAACTTTTACAAAATGAAGAAACATCAGATATGAAAAAACCAGAAAAACCTAAAAAGGAATCGAATGAAGTTGCAAAGAAGAATAAGAAAATGAAGAATGAAATTGAACAATTTACAAATGTTTTAAATCATCCAGTTTTTCAATCCAATCCTCTTCAAGTTATTCAACAACATTTAAAGAATAAGATGAAGACACTTCCTCAATCTTCAAACGATAAGAAAACACCAACTCCACAACCAACTGTTAAGAAAAATACTCAACCTAATCCTGGACATGCATATAAGAAGAAACAAGCTAGAAAAGTTAAATTCAATACAAAAAGAGCTAAGGAATCTTTTGATAAAAATGTTGAATCTGTTGACAAGGCAGGTAAGAGAAAGAGAAATGATTAAACCTATATAGCTCAATAAATTTTTATCTATAATCTCTGTATCTTCTTGGAGACTTTCTTGATGATTCATAGGAAGATCTATTGCCATTTCCACTACTATTTCGATCTCTCTTCTTATCATAATTATTAGATAAAGATCTGTAATAATCATTTCTGGAATCATTTCTAGAATCATTTCTACTGTTATTTCCCTTTTTTCTATTATCAGAATCATTTCTTCCTCCAGATGAATTTCTATTGGAATCTCTATCTGAATCATAATAATCATTCCTTGATGATGATGATTCTTGATCATTCTCAGAAGATCTTCCCAATGAAGAGGAACTTGTATACCTTGGTTGTACTGCTCCTCCTTTTTGAATATATTCTATTTGAATTAAACTTCCACGAATTTTCATTCCTAACATTGCTTCCTTTGCCTTCATTGCTTGATATTTATCCTCAAATTCACAATTTATAATTCCTCTACTCTTTCCATTATTCTTGTCTTCTTCAAATTTTAGGCTTTTAATTATTCCGTATTTTCGTAAAATGTTTTCCATAAATTCATCTGTTGTCCACTATAATATATTTAAATAATGTTTAATCATTAATAATGTTGAATGATCATTAAACACCTACCCATTGTAAATTACTAATTTTAATAGATGAAGTGGCATCAGCCTCATCTTCATAATTATTTACACTTTCCGAATGTGATCGATATTCTACACCACTTCTCTGTTGATCATTACTTTTGTACAATAAATTATTAGATTGTTGTTGATTAATGCTACTACTACTACTGGTGGTGGTGCTATCAACATTTCCACTCGCATTGTTATTTCCATTCGATTTTAATACATCATCATAAATATCTAACATGTAGTCTTCCTAAGAGATTTTGTGATCAACATCATCAGTATCATCAAATATAAACACATACCACTCCAGACATTTTTTATTATGTTTAATTATCATCACCATCATTCTGATAATCTAATTTTCCAATCCAGAATATCATATATTCTCTTCATCAATGATTTACATATATCTTTTGGTTTGTCTCAGGGGGAAGGGATGCAATCAAAAAGCAAGCATGGAATCTCAATTTTGAAATTGTCTCTCAAAATTTCCAAACTACGCACCCACCAAAATTGTCCTTCACTTGAATGAGTTTGTTAACATTCACAGGAGGATACTTTAAAGAACATAACGTGATCTTCCTTGATGACTCATCACACTCTAAAAAACTTCCACCACAGTGAAATACATTGCAGCCAAAACAAAATAACTTTCCGTAATAATAATTATCATTGAAATTTGTTCGATGAAAAAATGAAACCCTCTTCATCGGCAGCTGGTGGTGGTGGTTTAACAACCTCGAACAAGCCTTTATCATCATCGATACAGACAATGACTTCGAAGGTTCCTTCTTCTACTTTAGTTGCTGGTGTTCCACCGAATATTATGACATCAAATATTGGCTTACCATTAGGTGGGACTGCTCCGATGTCGTTACTCAAGAATAACAAACAACCTGTTAAAATACTTACAGGAGGTAGTATTAATCCACTGCTACAACAACAACAACAACAACAACATCAAATAACATCAGCACATCAACAACAACAACAACAGGCACCATCGGAACCTTCATGGAGGGATGAAATTAATAGAGAGAAGAGAAAGGAATTATTTTCATTGGCATCTAAAATTGCTAATATTACACAAGAAGATAATAAGGACTTTTTAGAGAAAATTGTGGATGGTTGGAAAAAGGCTTCTTCAAAAGAAGTATTTCTAAGTTCAATAGCAAAATTGATATTTACAAATTATAAACCAGCATCTTATACATTAGAAAATATTCAAAAGGAATTGTTTGATTGTATTAATACTAAATCTAATATTGGAACGAGTAATATTGCTTCCAATAATTTACAAAATAATAGCACCGAGGATTTTACAGCTGTATATTGGAAAGTTTATGAACAATTGAAAAAACATGCAGATTTTATTAGAGCAGAAGTTTTGACACCCTTACAAAAAAGGCTTGAGGAAAGTAAATTAAAATTGGATAAATTTCCAAAAGGATCGAATGAATATGAAAAATTAACTATTGACTGTACAAAACAAAATGAAAATGCCAAACATTTAGAATTTTTACTCAATTTGTTTAATACTCCTGAAAAAAAAACTACTTTTAAACCTAACGAGGGTCATATGAAATTTATTTCTTCTCTGAAAGAAGGTTTAAAGAAGAAATTTAAAATTCAATTTGATCAAGATTTTGATATTCTGAAATTACCAGAAAAGGAACTTCAAGCTGGTATTGAAATATTGACTGAAAATTTAGGATTTTCATATTTAATTTCATCAAATTCAATTGTAGGAGATTTAAATTGTTTTGATTTAATACCCTCGACTAAGAAGAGAGATACTATACTGAATTTACCACCAAATCCTAAAAAGAGACTTGCAGCTATAGATATTATAAAACGAAGTTTGATAAATGAGGTAAAATTGGATGAATTACCCTCTCTAACATGTAACATTGTAGATCTACCTCTAATTAAGGTAGAAAAACAATCTGATACAGTATATACAGTAATATTTATTGTACATCCAAGAGAAAAGGGAACTATAACACTCCCAAATTTAAATATTGATGTACTTGTAGAGGATTTAAATATTCTTCCATGTTCGATAACATTTAAAAATAATTATGCAACAGAAAAGAATAGTTTATTTGTAAATATACGAAGATATTTTAATAATTTAATTGGAGGTAAAGCATTGTTTGGTATTGGAAAAAGTATTGATAATATACCTTTTCAGAATTTACATTCCTCAATAACACTTCCTCAAATTTTGAATTCGTGGATTCAATCCATCGTTCATATCATTAAAGATGAGCTGATGTAAGATATCAAATTCACGAATAAAAAAGTTAAAAAGAAAAAGACATTTTCACATTCGTGTTTAATCTTGCCAAACTAATTACTACATTGAAAAATTATTGAGGGTATAATGAAAAGAAACAAATTCAGAGAGTGTCTTAATTTCAAAGATGGTAATCTAAGAAATGACAAACAATTTGTGCCAATTAAGGTGATGATTGAGTAATCAGCACCAAAAACCAACAGACCGTGAGTGCCTTAAGGCCTTTTAGTTTCGCATCAAAAAAAGAGGACATCAATCAAATATTTAATTGCCTGTTGGTGAATGGTGCGTTCGAAAAAAAAAGAAACGAAGTGTTGTGTGATATTCAAGATCTCAGTCGTTAGGAGTTGGATTCAATCATCTGCATCAACTACATACCTTTAAAACAATTTTGATCAATATATATACAATGGGAAATAATCAACAGAAATCCTCCCTGAAACGTCATTCAGTTCTGTATGGACATTCGAATGAATATGCCGATGATTTTGAATCCACTATTGATGAATCTAAATCTACGACTACTAATAGAAATAGTCTTGGTCGTTTGATGATGGTTGGAGGTAGTGGTGATCGTAAGAGTCTTACCAATTCACATCTTCCAACACATTTGACAATAACTTCATCAAGTATTATTACTAGTACCAACAATAATAATTCATCATCACCGAATTCTTCTGCTTCTTCTAATAAGAGATTTACAGTGTCTTTGGGCACACCAACAAAGGATAAGAAACAACGTCATCCGAACGACATTAATTCTTCCAACAAACATTCTAATGATCAATCTAACAGTCAAGAAAAAAGATTTTCACTTGTCAATATGCCAAACAGCAAAAATATACTTAATGACCGTAAATCAGTTTCACTTTCTCCAAGTTCAACTACCATTCCAAAACATAAGAGATTATTACAATTATCACCAAACAAATCATCACTAACATCATCAGTTTCAACATCACCAATCTTATCCTCATCCTCTAACGAAGACGAAGATATTTTCAATAGTTTAAATCCATCAATTAATATACAAGAAATAATTGCACTTTTGAGAGATCCAAGTGGAATGCAATTGTTTTATGAGTTTTGTGAACAACAATTATGTACTGAAAATATTGAATTATTTAAAGAATTAGAAATACTTGAACAACGCTTGTCAAATATTTCATCAAGTAAGAGAAGTAAACATATCAAATCAATTCATGATAGATTTCTTAGTAGTTCAAGTGATAAAGAGGTGAATGTTTCCCATTCAAGTAGAAAACTTGTTGAAAGAGAAAGATTTTCAAAGAAGATTGATGTTGAAACTTCCAAAACAGTTTTGGAATTTTTGAAAAGAGATGTTTGTACAAATCTTTTTGATTCCTTTTCCAGATTTATACAAACTAAAGAATACCGTACTTGGAGAGAATCTAAATGCACTAGTCAAATGATTAAGAATTCATTAGACAATTTTGATTGCATTACTGATTCCTCTAATAGACAATCAATAGACGAAGAGTTAACTGGCAGTGTTAATACTAATACTGCAACTCTAATTTCGTTGAGTCATGTTAGTGATTCTACATTAGATCCTGCCTGCACAATAATTGTAGAGGATTTTAACCTTTGACTTTCAAAACACACTTGTTAGTCATCATAATTATTTAATAAATTCAAATTTACACTTTCCTATTATTAGTATCTTCCAACATTTTGTGATAGAAATCATCATTGGTTTGAGCTTCTTTCTCTGGTAATTGAGAAGTATTGTAGAACCACCAATCATTTTCAGTTGCTCCCTCTTGTGAAAAATTGAGTGTCAACACACCTTTTTGAGGATTTTGTTGATGTTCTCCAAAAATACCATTTGGTGTTGATGGTGTATGAGGTGTTATTGGTGAGAATGGATTAATTTCTTCTGATGATGGTTTTGGAGTTGGTTCAATAAGAGAAAATGAAAGGAATGGTTGAGAAGCTTGTGAAAAGAATAAATTATCAAAGGATGGCTTCAGCTGGGAGTTATCAATCTTTAAAGATGTATCCACAGACTTGGTAGATTCATTGGTTATTGGTGGTTGCATCAAATTTCTATTAGAGTCCATTTCTGCAAAGAATTGATTATCAGATAGGAGATTCTCTTGTGTAGATAATTGAGATAATGGTTGTTGCTTGATTGTTTGTGGAAGAGGAAGGAATAATGATGCATCATGTACAGTATTTGTGAAAATAGTATTTAGGTTTGAATTGGAAGTTGGCATTGGAGTAGCTTCTAAGCTTGGAAGTAATAAAGTTGAGGTGGCACTTGATGATGAATTTGGAGGAATGACCTTTTGTGGTGGTTGAAGTTTCTTAGAGCTTGGTACTTCATTGGAAACTTCTTCATCTTCCTCAGACTTTTTTCTCTTCTTACTTAAATATACACCAGGTTTTGATACAATCTTAAATCTACTTGAAACTCTTGTGAAAAGTCTTCTAAATGTATCTTCATCAATTTTTCTATAAACAGAAATTGAAAAGTAAAAGTCTCCTCTGAAGGATGTTTTAGTTTTTTCATCTGGCCATATCAAGTTCAAAATCCAAGAATTTGTGAACACATCCTCTGTATATGTATAACTAATCAATGGAACACCACAATCAGTGTGTTCATTATATACTTCTTGTGATTCCTCTCCTTTCTTCTTTTTTCCACTAACAGCTTTTTTAAATAATTTAAGTTCAACATTATATCCACTCTTTTTTCCACCATTCCACTCAAAGAAATACTCATTCGGTATTAATTTAATTTCGTATGAATGTGTTTTGAATAGTACTTCTGTTGGTGAGGTTTCTTCGTTTTTCAACTTTCTACTAGTCACCAAAATATCAACCATAGCTGGACAGTTATTATTATTACTGTTATCATGTGGTAAAATTATTTAGCATGCTTGATCGCACAAAATTTACATACCTGATTGGATGCCCATACCACTGCATTTCAATTCGGTGTCTCTTCTCAAGATTATAGTATTTTTGAAAGAGATATTGCAATCTAGTTTCCTCTTCTTGTTCCGTACACAAGTGTCCAGTCTTTGTAGCAGTTATTAACACTTGTTGTTGTTGTTGAAGGTTTTGTTGTTGTGGTGGAAAAAGAAGAGGTGTTTGTCCTGGAAACATGCTCTGACTAACAGAATTTGATGAAAGTGTTGTACTGCTAGCTGTACTGTGATTAGTTGAACCATCATATAAATTAAAGCCTCTTTGTTGCACGACACTCATTGATGATGAAGAAGAGGCTGTTGATGATCCAACGGAAGAGGTGCTTCGACGTTTGTTCATTTTTTACTGGAAAAAAATTTAATTTGATTTTCCATCAAGCCATAGAACCAATTACCAAGAAATTACAAGAAAAACACAAAGATAACAACGATAAATAATTTTCTTCATTGGATCTTATTTTGTTTATAATAATTTATTCTTCTTCTTCATCGTCATCATCTTCCTCTTCTTCATCAGAAAGTGGTTCTACCAAATCATCTTCAACACCTTCTTCTTCATTTTCATCATCTTTTGTAAAATATTCGCCATATAAATCATCAGCAGAAACAATATTTCCTGAAGAATCACTCTTTTCTTTTGAACTAGCTTCCTTTTCTAATTTTGTAATATAATCTTGTTGAACGGCGACAACTTCTGCACTATTCTTACACTGTGAATAAGCTTCTAATAAATCATAATTGAGTTCAATAAATGAATGTCCCCATTTGAATTTTGCTAAAAGAGCTTTAGCTTCTTCTTTCAATCCACAAATATACATAGTTCCAGCAAGAGCTTCAGCACAGCTTAATTTCAATGGTCTACCATAATTTACAGGATTGGCAGCAACAAGGTAAGGTAATAATCTATTATTTGGTGATTTCAATTTATGGAATGGTACCATATCTAAACAATTCCATGAACAATCCACAACACATGCACCATGTTCTTTAACAACTTCTCTATCTGCTGCTGAAACTGATTGTTTACCTTGTGGTGTAAGAACAACTCCTCTAAAGTGACAAGAGACAGGTAATGATCTCAACATTCTCATTCTTTCTAACTTTTTACCTGTACATCTCTTTGAATCACATTGTTGGAAATCCCACATTGCTAAATCAATAGGGAAATTTGTCTTCTTTTTAGGTGCTTCTTTTTTAACTTCGGGTTTTTCCTTTTCCTTCTCTGATTTTCTTTGTGCTAATCTTTCTAAACGCATTTGCTTTTTAGTTTTTTGTACTCTTTGAGGTTGGAATTCACCATCATCAATTTTAGGCTTTTCCGATTTTTCTTCTTCCTCTTCTTCTTCGGATTCTTCTTCCTCTTCTTCAGATTTTTCTTCTTCCTTTTCTTCTTTCTCCTCTTCTTCCTCCTCTTCAGAATCTTCTATTGGTTTTTTCTTTCTTTCCATTTCCATAGATGATTCATTATCGAGCATTTCCATAGCCTTGTAATATCCACCATATCCTCCGGCTTTATATCCTCTATGATTTGATCCTCTCTTATTAAAAACTCCTTTTAATGCTTTACCAGCACTACCACCAGCTTTTTCTTTATTATTGTAGTAACCGTCATCATCAAATCCTTTTGTTTTTCTTCCCATTTTTTTTTGAATTTCTAATTTAAAAATTGGCAGCGTTTAGCATTGAGAAATTGAAGTTTTATTTGAGTTTTTATGAAATCAATCTATTAGAGATGATTATTTATTCTTTGTAAATATGGAGAAGAGTCTATTTCTCTTTCCTTCTGTTTGTAAATTATCAACACTTTGAGAAACTTGTTCAGTAGTGGTAGAAGGTGAAGTTGGGGTATTATTGGAAGAATTGGTCTTACTATTGGAATTGCCTGTACTCAAAGTGGAAGGTGTGCTATTACCTGCTCCAATTGTTGTTGTTGTTGGACCCTTTTTAGAAACTGTGAAATTTCTAATCTTCTTCTCTTCGAGTGCATCTCTCTTTTCCATGAGTGTAATGAGAGTTTTGAAGGTTTGATTTGGTAGCTCAGATAGAACCTTAGTTGGGACAATACCAACCTGATTTCTATCTGCGCTCACATTGAATATATTCTTGAAAAATACAGTTTCTGGGTTTTGCTTGTATTCATCCTTCTTTGCTCCTAATAAACTTGGATGAACTGATTTTCTGATTTGATTCTTATATTCATTCTTATCCCTTTCTGATGATTTCTTTGCGGAAACTCCAAAGCTTGTTTCAGACAAAAGTGATAAAAAGTTCAATTCCAAAGCAATTTCTTCATATAATTTGTCAGCTTCCATTTCTTTTTCTATTTTACAATAATGATCAGTGATGGCAATTACTTGTTTTGGTGTTTTTGGTTTCTTCTTCTTTGCAAGATTTTGTTTTCTCATCACACTCTTCATATCTTTGAGATTATTTGGCAATAATTCATCGAGAAGTTGCATTTTTCTAACTGGACTGAAATTGAGACCAGTTTTCTGGACCAGCAACCATTTCTTACCCTTCTTTACCTTTTGCCATAAAATGAAAATGTCACCAACATGGAAATTCAATTGGAATTGAGATGCATCAGCTTCACAACAATCATACGTAGCATAGAAAGCACCCAAAGCTTGTTCTTCAATACATTTGGAATTGAATTTCTGTCTCAGCTCTTCCAATACTTTCTCATTAACAATATTTGCCATTTCTTCTTGTTTCTTCTTTGAGCTTGATTTTGGTAAATCCTTTCCTAACATGTAGGAATAATTTGTGAAAAGTTGAGCAACTGTATCTGATTCATCAACTTGTTCCTTAGGGAATGGATTAACCTTCTTCTCCGAATAGAATTGAATTCTCTCCTTTTCGTAATTCAAAAATGGACATCTTCTATTTTCCTTGTCCTTTAATTTACAATCCTTGTATTGTTCATCAATGGCATCGTGAACTGCTTTCAAACAATCAAGTTTTTCCTCAACACCACTAAATTGTAATGTGTAAACATCCTTTTGAGAAACCAATTGGAAGAGTGGTTTCTTGAAAATGTACAATTCATTGATATTGTGTTTGGTTCTCTTTGGTTCCGAGTCAACAAGTGGTCCACTTGAACTTGTTGGTTTACTTCCAGTAGTGGCAACATCCTCTTCAATTCTATTCTCTTCTTCACTTGGAATATCAATAATCCATGGGAATGGATATAAATCAGGTGATTTTTCAATAACACGTGCCTCACAAACAATAGGTTCAAATATAAATTCCAAATGTTCATAATCATAGGTTACTCTTCCATCAATATCTGCCATTGTTGTTCTGGTTGAATCATTATTCTTACACAACACAAACATGTTATTAAAAATCAATAAAGTACAATTGTTAATATTAACATTAAACTTTTTGCTATAGACACCTGTTAAATTAACTTCCTGATAAAACATTCTTCCAGGTTTAACAATTTGTTTGTTTGGTTCCAATTCAATTAATCTTTCTCTTCCTTTTATCATATCACCAATTGCATATAAACGACCTCTATTTTGATTTTCAGTGATTTTCTTATTGAGCTCTGTTGCAACTTCTGAAATTTCCTTTAATGCATTTTGTAACATTGAATAATCCTTATTGTAAGGTGATGTATATCTCACTAATTCTGTAAGTAGGAGTTTATATCTTGGTACTCTTTGAATTGGAGTAATTAATAATCCTCCCAATGGTTTGTTTTTGGCTTCTCTTCTCTGATCATCCATCCATTGTTGGAGAGGTTTATTATTCTTTCGAATATCTTCCAATGTTGCATTAATATTATCAAATTCATTAAAATAACGTGTATATCCCTTGATAAAAGGTGCATATTGAAGAAATATTTGTCCAAATGTTTTGTTTGCTATCATTGTAAAGTTTAATTATTTATAATATTGTAAAGTATTTAACAATCTTTTTCAAAATAACACTTACGAACTTTGTTTGCTCTTTCCATTTCAAAATTCTCAATCAATTCACCATACAACTCTCCATTCGTCTTTCTAATAATCACCAAATCTCCTTTAAATATTTTACTGTGCAATTCTTTGGTGATGAATTTTTGTTTTTGTCCAATTAACTCCCTCAATGGTTTTGCATAGAAATCTTCAAGAATCTTTTCAATTATCATAATAGTCATCAGTGTATATATATAACAATTTAATTTACATTACTGTTTAATATTACATACATCCAATTCTTCAATGTAATTCTTTTCCGTGTCGAGAATTTCCTTCATAATGTTGAGCCGTTGTCCAGCTTTTAAATGTTTGGACTCGGCTGTTGATGTTGTGATACTCATAATGATGATGATGGAAAACTACAACAGCTGTGTGGGTGGGTGTTAATTGTATGTGCTCTGTGTTGGAAGAATGAGAACTCGTTTTTTTTAAAGTGTGAAAGCACAGAGCGATGGGTGACAGGACTCAACGGAACAATCTTCATAAATGTTGGAATGGTGATGAGTGAGCAAATGAAACAGTAGAACTCTTCTGTTTGAGCATTGTTTATTAAGTTTCCAATAGTTTTATTCCTCCTCTGATAATTCAAAATATTTGAGTAGATTCCAAAATCATTCTAACCAACTAATTATCTAGAATTCAAATAGATATCAAATAAGGGATAGAGTTTCCCTTTAGTGGAATAGAAAGTACATGGTTGTGTAGAAGGATATGTTATTGCCCATGTTAACTCTCTCGTTTAAAAGAAATTTCCTTTAATGTTAATAAGAAATATTTAACAATTTCACTATCATTAAATTGAAAGTTCTTCTAATTGTTTCATTTCATTAAGATATTTACATCTTTCTGCATCAATGGAATTTTCACTAACATCAAGATCAGTCAATTGGTCCAATCTAACTAAATATTTAACTCCTTCAGAATCTAAATTAGTTTGGGCCAATTGAAGAGATTGTAATTGTTTTAGTTCACTAACATACTTTGCACCCTCATTTCCAATATCATTGCAGGATAAATCAAGCTCTGTCAAGTACTTTAAATGATTTGCAATTAATTTAACATCATTTGAAGTTATACCAGTGTTGAATGCTTCCAAGCTTGTTAAATTTTTCAATTCACATAAATGTTTCATACTTTCACAATTGAAATCGTTATTACTAATATTGAGATGTGTTAAATTTTCAAGTTTAGAAATCATTTTGAAACCTTCGTTTCTCAATTGATTATTTGGCATTTCCAAGTAAGTTAAATTCAGCAATTCACTAATAAATTGAGATCCCTCATCACCTATTTCATTGTAAGTAATATCAAGGTGTGTTAATTTTTTCAAATTTCTCAAATGTATAGCAACTGTAACACCTTTTGGAGCGGAATAGTTTTCATAATCATCTGAAGAAAAAATCAATTGGGTTAAATTGGTCAATTGACCAATAGATCTCATTCCATTATAACTGATACCAGTAAACGAAATATCGAGATATGTCAGTTGTTTCATTTGCCCAATCATACTAGCTCCTTCATCACCTATTCTTATTGCTGCAATATCAACATAATTAACCTTCTCCAATTTTGTAATATTTTGTAATACTTCATGTGTAATTTTCTTTGGATAAATTTTCTCAATATTTGTGATACAATCCTTGAATTGACTATTAATCATCATTGTTAATATTTCATCACCGGATAGTTTCAATAATTTAAATTCAATTAATAATTTTACATGGTTCTTGATCATTTCGAGCCATTCCTTTGATACCAATGAACAAGTTGATACTATGGTGTGGGAGTGGAGAAATGACAAGATTTCACAAAACAACTCGTACGGTAATTGGTGAAGAGATGTGTGCATTTTGTGGTTTTTTTTCGAGTTCCACGAAACTAATCTTGTTCTTTGCTTATCAAAAGAGTTCCTACTTTATAAATTAATACTAGTAATCCAATTGCAGGGTTATTTACTCGAATAGCGCTACTGACATCCAAGAGGAAAGCTGTTTCGAAAAATTGGTTAAAATTTCCTTAGAAGCATCGTCGATATTTGGAAGTAACTTGATTCTCTCTTTAGTCCAGCTTTCAAAATTGTCAATACCTTCCTTTGAAAAATCATTATTTACAAGACCCTCTTCGACTATTTCTACAAATACTGGGAATAAGACATCACTGTACATTTTAACATTAGCTATTTTGCCAGCTTTGTAATCAATATGTAGGTCAACAAGACCCCAATCAAATTTTGTTTCAATATTGTTTGAAAAATCAGGAGTTAACCCGTAATTCCACTCCTTATCACTCAATTCATCATAAAAGTTTTTCCATGATTGATTATTAGAAAAGTAGCTCTCATTCACATTTTCAATTTCAACACTTGAAGCAGTTTGTCCATATCTACTACAAAAGGCTCTGATAAGTTCTTCATTAAATTTGTCATGTGAAATAGTTGGGCAAACGGTTTGCAAATTACAAACTCTGCTAGCAACACTTGCTACTCCCTTACTTTGTAATTTGAGTTTGTGTGGTGTCAAATATTTTTGTAAAGCTTCTGTATCAAGATTTAAGAGCATTGTACCATGATGAAAACAAACATCCTTTCCTTGTTTAAATGCTGAACCACTTATTTTTCTTTTACAATCTGATAATATAAGATCATTTCTTCCACTCAATTCACTGTTAATATTAAATCCATTATTAAGAGATTCCATCAGAATTTTAAAATTCAATTCCTTTGAATAACTTTCCTTTGGTGATAAGAAAGTGAAAATACTATTTCCCTATTATTATTCAATTTGGTATATAATTGATTATTAATAATGAAGATTCAAAACAAATTAATACATACCATATCTTGATAGACAGCACCTCCACCTGATCTACGTCTCACTAAATTAACATCATCTTGTTCCATCCGAGCAAGATTACATTCCTTGAATGGATTTTGATGTTTTCCAATAACAACAGTCTTATCATTTCTCCACAAGAATAGAGTTGGATATTCCAAAGCCTCTTTATCAATGGAAAACAAATAATCTTCAGTAGCCAAATTAAAGTATGGATTATTAGATTGGGAGACAATAACTCGTACCGGATCTAATAAACATGACGATTTGGTATGAAAATCTCTCAAATTTAAATTATTTACTGAAAAAGCCTTTCTCCAGGAATGAGAACCTGGCTTTATTGATTTCAACATTTTTTTAATTATTAATAATTCCTTGATGATTTAGTTCATCACCAAATCAATTTATTAATAATTAAACCAACAATGAATTGATTGGAAGCTGATATCAAATTGTTGAACAATAGGGCACCGTTACGGAATGTGAACATGTAATTGAAACTTTACCTGATTCCATCTCTTATATTCGAAATTATCACTACTAAGCAATAAAGAAGGCAAACTTAAAATCAAAACCAGTCCAATTCATTATCCTTCTTAATGTTCAGTTTAAAGATGTTCTACATTACCAACTCTTGAATCAATGCAACACTTCTTGCCTTCCGATTCCTCATGTATCACATGAATTCTTGGTGCAAAAATCTATTTTTGAAATTAATTAGAAGAAAAAAAGCCTTTTTATCATAAAAGCAAAAAGAATTTTATTATTATGAAGCATCATCAAATAACAACAACACCTCCGAAACTTTGTCAATTTAAATGTCTTGATGTGATTGATTCACCTTCTTCTCCATTGTTAGATGAGAGTAATAATACCAATGCAGCCACCACCTCTTCTTCTATTCTTGCTGATCAACAACAAGAAAACGGAACTCTCATTGCTCAAGTTGAATTGATTGTAGCAAATACAGGAGAAAGGCTACTTGATTTGAATAATAATGTACCACCTACTCTGACAAGGTTTGTTTCATATGAAAACACTCTCCAATTACAATTTAAATAGTTGGAGTGATTTTGGATCGTTTATTGCTGATCGTTTGAAATTACAAACAACTCCATTAATTATTAATAGTGATGGATATGCTCCTCATAGATTGAGTTCTTGTTTGCAACAGGTAGGTTGATGATGACACAATTCTAATCGGTTGAAACCATTAACAGTTTAAAAGAAGTAATAGGTTTTATATAATCATTCCTGAAATAATTGAGGATCAATTACTTTTAAATTATAAACAAGATCAATCGAGAGAAGACTCATTAGTGGAATCGTGTAAAATTCAATTTGAATCATTGGAAGTATTTCTTAAATATATTGAAATTATTCAACAAAAGTATGCCACCAAATTGGAGGAATTACATGGTAAATTGGAAGAATGTAAAAATATGAATTTCGATCACGTTTCGGATGTTATTGTGGATAAAAAGTTTGGAGGAAAATCGTTAATTGATTATTTTAAGGAACCAGAGAAGAATCTCAGTCTATTCAATGAAAAGATATTTCCAAAATATAATGAATTGAAGTTAATGTTGTCACAAAAGTTCTCCTCAATAGATTTACAAAATAGTTCTTCTGATATCATTACAAGAAGAAAGAATGTAACAGATGAGTTCTATAGAATTTGCAGTTACACGATCAAATTTTCAGTTTCTTTCAGTAATTTGAAACTTATGATTGACAGGTTTTATCCACGTATTAAAGTAAGTCTTTCCATCAAATATTGATGTAATAACTTCAAAAGGCATTGTCAACTCTTGATAGAACATACGAGCTTACAATTTTAGAATTGCACCAGAGAAATAAGTTTAGAAATATTCTGAGTGCTACTATAGACGAAATTAACTCATTCATAAAAGAAGAAAATGAAAGAAGAAACTACTTTATCGACCTGATCACAGAAGATAGTAATTATTCACTTGTCAATATTTCTACAATAATACCATGTGTTGAGCAGACAGTTAGTTATGTAAATAAGAGCTCTTTTATCACTCCAGACCTATCTCTGAGTGATGAAACTGTAAATGAGTTAGTTAAAAAACACTCTCAAAGTCTCTTCAAGTTCAAAATCAAATACTCAGATATTGATGACTCTTTAGAAAATAGTTCTGACTTTTCATTTGTAAAGACATTCTCTTTTCTGGGATCCACAAAGAATAGTAAAGAGTTGACAGAGCTCTCTCAAAAAAATTCAGAATTGAATATGAAACTTTCTGAAATCACACAACAAAATGAAGCATACGAAAAGCAAATCGAAACTTTACAGTCAAATTTGCAATCAGTAATACTTACCAAGGATGAAACATGTACAAAGCTCGAAGCCATTTTGAAAGAAAATGAAGAATTGAAGAGGTTATTGGAAGAACACAAGAAATCTTCCGAATCTCACTCGAAACTAATTGCTGAAGAGCAAATGAAAACAAGTAATTTAATGACGAGTTTGACTGAAAAAGAACTGGAATTGGAAATTTATCAAAAGAATATGCACATATCCGAGGATGCCATGAAAGAGTCTGCAGACCTAAAGAAGAAATTGGAAGCCAGTGAATCAAAATCAAAGGGTCAACTTGTACAAATTAGCTCTCTTGAAACTGAGGTGAAAAATTATGAATCTAAACACAAGCAGTTACTTGCAGATATGGACCTATTAAAAAAGACCAACGATACACAAAAAGAATCCTTAGATGAAAATCAAAAGACCATAGACTCGCTTAAGCTTGAAAAATCAACCTTAACGGATAATCTATCTAGTGTGAAAAATCAATTGGAGGAGCTTCAAAAATCCATTACAAATCTCAATAAGGAGAAAGAAGCAGCCATCTTGAAAAATTATGAGCACAAGGAATTGTTACTTAATTTAACTCCTCTGCTTAACTTTATGTTGCAATTAATAGACCAACTTGCCACTTATTATCTTCAAATTGAGGGTGGTATGAATTTGCATGACAAGAAACACACCAAGTTTGCAAATGCTTATGCAGAGCTCTTAGCAATAAGAGATATTGCCGACAAAAAAGTTAAACAAATTAGTCAAATTGTTGGTACAGAATCTGTATTTTCAGAGTTTAGTGATATTTGTGATATTAGTGAGCTTGTTGGTGGATTACTTGAAAGATGGGATGCCATATCTAAATTACTCAAATAAATTGATAGACTAGTGATACAAATAAATAATAATAAATAATTTAATTAAACAGATTTAGTTGAGTTGTTGTTGCTACTACCTTTGCCAGCAAAGACAGAAATAAGAACAATAACAATAATGGCAATAATAATAGCGAAAATGATAATGGCAATAAGAATAATAATAATCAAACGCTTTCTCATGCTCCATTTCAACTTTTTACCACCTCTTTGGAATCTATTTTAAATTAGTCAACTAAAATCATTGAATTTCAACTTACTCTTCACCTTGTTGAGCTAATTCTTCTGTTGTTTCAATCAAACCATCCATAACAACTTGGTTGGCCAAAATCTTGTCAACGTTTTCAACCATGACATCTCGGACTGAATTCATTAATACAAAGTAGAATAAATATTGTCACTTACCCTTGTCAATTTCGTTTTGCAATCTTTGAATCTTGTCATTATCTGGATTGTTATAGAATTTAACCTTTTCCTTCAAAAGATTTTTATCGAGATTATTCTTCAATGTTTCATTTTCAACTTCATCAATCAAACTCCAAGAAACTCTTTGTTTGATTTCTTGAGTAGCAATACAAAAATAATAATATCTACCACTGTACTTGACATAAATATTATTACTGTTTTGTTGATACAATATAATCAATATTGTATAAATATAATTAAACCTACTCGTCGTTTGTTAATACTCTCTTGTGATTAGTTCTCTCCAACTTTGGAATAACTTTATCCAAAAGAACACTTCTCAATTTTTGTTGTGATGGATGTTCAGCAATAACATCAGCACCATCAGTTACGAGAAAATATTTAATAGGCATGTTTTATCCGATCAATTTATCCAACTAGATATTCCTAATCAATAGTAATAATAATTATATTATTCAAATTAAACCAATAACAATAATCAAAGAACTCTGAGAAAACTTCCTCTTGAGTAACAGCTAAAGTTTGAAATTTTTTTTTAAAAATCTAAATAAAACCCATCTCCCCTCTTTGGTCATTAGCCATCAACTACATTTTAAAAAATAGAACCGTTGAGGAAAGGCTTTCGCATCAATATAAAAATCAAATAGATTCTATTTGAAAAAGTTACCTTGTTTTTCTAATGGTTACTGATTGGATGGTGAACCTATTTGGTATTCAAAAGAAAATGAACTACAATTCTTTGAATATTTTAAATTGGAAAATTATTTCAGAAGGCTTTTTTGTTAATTGTTGTTTGATTTTGAAATGATGAAAAATTTAGGCTTTAATTTTTTGATTCACCTTCAAAAAAAATGTTTTTAAATAGAAAGCAATCATCATCATCTTCGACGCAACAACAACGAGCAGAACATCAGCAACAACAGGAAAATGATGGTCGGGATGGTGCTGAACAAAAGGAAGAGGAAGTAGATTATGGATCATTAATTATGGATGAGTTTGGTAATTTGGTGGATGCTAATGGTAAAATTATACAATCTAAAAGGACTGTCAGCAGTGCAAAGATTAATCAAAATAGAAAACAAAAGAAGGAAAATATTTTGAAAATTGAAAAGCCACCAAATATTAAGAAATTAGATTTTTATGATTCTACTTTAAGTGTTCCAAAGGCTGAAAGAAAGAAAAGAAATAGAGGATTAGCTTTCCATGAACAAGGCGAATTTATTGAGAAAGCCAAAATGATGAGAGAATTGGAAGAGGAAGAAAGACAAAGAGCACTTTTGAAAGAACAATTGGAAAAAGAACGAAAGGAACAAGAAAAAATTGAAAAAGAAAAGGAAAGACTTCGATTAATTCAAGAAGAATTAGAAATTGGAGAATTACACATGATGCTAGGTTGTAGAAGAATTGAGGATTTTGAATCAACTATTCCAGATGCTTTCTGGTGGGATAAAAAGATTCTTAAGAGTTGTAAAAAAGCAGATGAAAATGTTAATAACCATGTAGATATTTATCAGAGAGATTTTGATGCAGAAAATGAAGTGTATTCTATCAAGGAGAAATTAGTGAAACATGATTTTGTGGAACACCCAATCATTGTTGATCCACTCAAGAAGAAGGTTGATGCTGGTCCATTACCTCTCATGTTAACAAAGAAAGAACAAAAGAAGATGAGAACACAACAAAGAATTCAACGTGAAAAGGAAAATCAAAGAAAGATTGCTCTTGGATTGACACCTCCTCCACCACCAAAGGCCAATATGGGAAATTACATGAAAGCTCTATTGGCTTCTGGTCAGGATGCAACTGAATTGGAAATGAAAATTAAGAAGGAAATTGAGGAAAGAATGCAAGCTCACGAAGAAAGAAATAACAATGAAAAGTTAACCAAGGAGCAACGGAAAGAAAAGAAAATTAGAAAGATTACTGAAGATGCCGAATCAGAACTCATTACAATTCTCTATTCTATACCAAATATTGCTCATCCTCAAACCAGATTCAAGATTAATACTGCCAAAGAAAAGGGTATAACAGGAGCTGTCCTATCATATCCATCCCAAACAAGAGACAAAGATAGAATTTTACTTATTGCTGAAGGAGGTAAAAAGTTTTTAAAGAAATACGACGATGTAATATTAAATAAGATTGACTGGTCAAAAGTTGAAGGTGTACAATCAGAAAATACCATTCCAACACAATCAGACAACCAACCTAGTGCCAGAATGTTATGGAAAGGAACTGTTTTAAAAAGAAATTTCCAATACTTTAAATTCCAAAAGTTTGAGGATGAGGAATCCATCAAAAATTATCTGAATGACCATGGATGTATCCATTATTTCGATGTTTTTGCCAATGATAAGAATAGTAATACAGTTTAATTTATTTTTGAGTGAATTCAACATCAACTAGCACATCATAATCAGTTTCATCTATTGTAAGACTTTCCAGTAGAGTTGATAAACGCAGTTTATGAGGTGCTTCTTTTCGTTTATCATCTATTATGATATAGATCCAAAAATCTCCAAGTTCCTCATTAACACAGATTGGGTAGCAAGCATCTACACCCAAAACACAATCAGCAGCATCACCAATTAATACAATACGATCAACATAAGATAGAATAAATTCAAAGTTCTTAATTTCCTCAATAACAAACAATTCAATTTTCAGCCCAATAATTTCAGAAACTAGTGAACTCTTGACTTGAATTAAAGTTATAATAAATCTAAATAATAGAATAAAACGTACATTGCTTTCCTCCCCACTTAATTAGGGTAAATAATCTCAAAGAATCAGGTGAGAAAAACTTGACATCATTATAAACAATTGGAATTCTGGAATCGTAAAATTCTGGAAATTCACCACCCAAACGTTTTACATTATCTACAATCTTTTTCGAAAAGAATTTATATGGATCCACAGGAATAGGTCCAAATTCACTACAATCACAAACAGCAATAGCTGGTTCTTCAGTCTTAACTTTGGTTGATAATTCTTTAGGAGCAGATGAAGAAGATTGTTTCTTCTTTCTTTCAGTTCTTTTCAATTCCTGACTAAATAATGAATACATTTCTTCCTCAGGTTCTTGTTTTAATTCCATTTCCTCTTCCTCATCATCTTCATCCACAATTTTATACTTATTTCTATTACCAGAGAGAGGAATAATAATTTCATCTCCTGATTCTGATTCTTCAGCTTGTTCATCATCATCCTCTGAGGATTCCGATAATTCCTTCTTTTTCTGCTGTGTCTTTTTAGTCTTTTTCTTATTCTTCTTTGGTGTTTTAGGACTTGAAACAATATAATCATCAGTAAACGAGTTATTACTCAATCGACGTTTTCTCTTTCCGTGAATAATATTCACTTCTGATACAACATCTCCTTTAACAGCTGTTCTCTTGGATCTATCAATAGGAGTTGTTCGAACAACTTTGGTCATCTTTTGTATGTACAAAAATCAAGGTAATTTTTTACTTGTTTTATTTGATGATGAAATTAAATGTAACGGCTAGAAATCTAAAAATTGCAGCCAACAACAAAAATGCAAAACAAAAATGTTCTCCTGAAGAGAGTGACCTTGGAAAACAAGGCTGGCTTGTTGGAAGATGGTTTTGTTGTGGATTTCTCTCTGAATGTATTGGAAAATTTGGAAAATGTACACTGGAAGATAACCTATGTGGTGGATATGGCTAATACTAAACAGTCGGTAGTTTTGGGACAGAGTGAAGTGATGAATTATTCACCTTCGGAAGAAACAACATTTAAATATCAAATTGATAGAATTAATTTGGATGGAGTATCGCCAATGTTGTTGAATAATGTAGCTGTTATTGTTGTAGCTTTAGTTGATCAAAAGGATGAGGAATTATTCAAGTGTTCAATGGTTGTTCAAGCTGAACGTAATGAACAAGATGGAAAGATTTATAGAACCATTTTCAATCCTACTGAATAAATTTTCCTTTTACAATGATTTATTAATTATTGTTTTAATATCTATTAATTCCAATAATTAAATAAGAATAAAAAAATATTAAACAACATGATAGAGGAGAGTTTCATATCCAGCAGGGCAAGACTAAATGAAATCAAATTGAATGAATGGAATTTAACAGATACAATAGGTCATCGAGGTGATGGATTATTAATATCGGAAAATTCATGTAGTGGTCATTACATGACTTCTAAACATGTGACTAGACTTTCTTCCTTGATCCGACATTTATTTCCCTCAAAAGCAATGGAAAGTGATTTATCAATTTCTCATCTATCATCACAATCAAAATATATTGGATTGAAACGTAGCAATAGGAAACAAATAGATCCATCTTTCAAAATAGTGGAAAATATAGAAAAATTAATGAATGAAAGAGGAAATATTCTCACACTGCAAGATATTAAAGAATATAAAATTGGAGCTCAACCTTATTATATGGATGATGATGGTGATATTGCAAATGAATTTTATGAGGTTATGAAAGATAAATATGGAAATGAGACTCTTGTGAAATTGTGCCCTTAATGAACACAACATCTACTTGGTGGCAGTAATGATGGAAGTATGGCTTTAGTTAATTGATGGGAATGAGAATTTACATGGTAGTTTTCTTTGCTTCCAATTCATTCAACTCCTTTACAATTTTCCCTAATTCTAGAGCAGATTTGAGAGCATTTACAAAATATGATTGAGCTTGAACTAAATCTTCTGAAAGTTGAATGGTTCCATACCAATAAATAGGATTCTTCTTTTTTAAATTTTCTTCATAGTCAGCTTCCAATTTGGAGCCATTTGATTCCTCAGTTTCCTCTGTTTCTTTTTTCGATTTTCTATTCCTGAGTTTGGATTTTCCATTTTCTTCTTCATCCTCTTCTTTTAATGATTTATCAAAATGGCTGGCAACATTATCAAAATCTATAATTTCCAATGATTGTGAATCCAAATGAATTTTTGATTTTAATATATCTTCATTAGGAATATGCTCGATTCCTAAATATTCAGCACCCATATTCAATCTGGTTGTAGACAAACCAAAAAATCCACTTTTAATATTTGGTATCAAATCATTTTTATAAATATTCATATATCGATCAACAAGTGATAAATAATTAATTGTATATTCTTCTGTTATTTCCAAATTTTCTTTATCCTCCTTTGTTACTTTTGACTCATCAGCAGTTAATGTTACTTCCTTTTCTTCAATAACTTCGGAAGTTTGTGTTGCTGGTGGAGAAGATTTTTGTTTTTTTGGCATTTTTTCTGATTCCGAAAACCAATTCCGAAGAAGGTCCTAAAAAGAATATCAAAAAATTGATGAAAATTTATTTTTAGAAAACAAAATCAAAAAAATGTTTGGATTGGTTAGTCCTGGAAGACCTTGTTATGCAAATTTTAATCAAGTGGGTGAAAATCGTTGGTTTATACAAATACCTGATAAAGTGAATGGACAATCGATATCGGAGTTGACGATTTTTGCATTGCCAAATGTTGGAATGCCTCCATTAAGCCACGGATTTACAATTTATATTTCTAAAGATTCAAATAATTGGGAATTTTTGGATTTCTTGACAATTGATAAACCAAGTACACATATTCACGTTCCTTTATCCTTTGATTCATCATCAAGTGTTCAATCTGCTTTCCAAGGAATTAATTATAATAATAATGTTGATCAATTATTTGTTGGTATTTCCTTAGAACCAATTGATACAATTAATAATTTGACTTGTAATGCTGTCGGAAAACAACAAATGGAACAATCTCAAGTTCAACAATTAGTCAAGGCTATTGCCAATGATTTATTCAATTTCATGTCAAGCTTTACTAAGCCATATCAAGTTAATGAATCAGGTACTATGAGAGAAATGCTCGTTTTGCCAACCAATATTCTAGATACATGGTTACAAAAGTTTTTAAACAAACTAAGACTTAATCCTCATTGTAAGTATTATGAAACTAATATATTCCAACATCTTATTAACTCAAATTGTAGTCTACAAACAACAAAATTAATGTAAATATTAAAGCTGCCAATAGGAGAAGTTAGATTACTCTTAATGTACAAAAACAATGCACCACTCATTAATTTATCGATTAATTCATTCAAATTCATTATTAATTGATTAATTTTAGGCTTTAAAAAAAATAAAACAACATTGAAAGAGATTTAGAGTAAATTGTATTACAATGAATCATGAGAACGATGCTGAGGATGAGGAACAAGGCTTGTCTGAAAATGCAACAAGGCTTGTTTTGGAGGAGAATGAAGATGATATGGAAGATGAATTAAACTTGTTTGATATTGAAAAGATGTGTGAGATTCACTATTTACTACCGAATGAGGAGATTATATCATTGATTGAATCATATGTTTTGGAGTTTCTATTTAAATTGATTGAGAATGATGAAAAGAATGGACAAGATTTGATTTTAAATTATTCATTCGGAACAAGGGATTCGAATCAGTCTAATGGAGAAAGGCTTCATCAAATAATTAAATCAAAAAGTGGAACATTTGAGAAGAAGAGTTTGAAAAATAATCATCTTAAGAAGAATCATCTTGTTTGGCTGTTGATGAAGGATGTTCATTTACTGTTGAATTGTAGGAAGAAGATTACTCAGAGAGAATTGTTTTATATGAATGTTACTACATTCAGGGATCAAATTCAATGTAATAGATGTTTGTCAACTGTTGGTGATGTGTTGAAGGTTGACAGATCCTTATTGAATATCATTTGCATGAGTAAGGGATTTATTTACAGCAATGATGGAAGAGGAAATAGCTTGTTATCGCTTAATGGAAACAAACAGGCCTCAGTGGAAAGCATTCCAGGAGATTTTCCCTCAATTGATTATTTTGGAAATGTGGACACTGTGTTAATTATTGAGAAAGATGCAATATTTAGAAGACTTGTGGAAGATAAGATTTTCAAACTTGTTAGGAATTGTTTGTTGATTACTGGATGTGGATATCCATCGATTGTGACTCGTTATGTTGTGAAACATGTTTCTACTAGATTTCCAAATGCTAGATTATATGCTTTATGTGATTTCAATATTTTTGGATATCAAATTATGAGTACATACAAGTATGGAAGTGTTGAAATGAGTAGACACAAAGTTCAACAAGAGTCAGCACTCAAAGATAGACTTCAATGGCTTGGAATGAATTACGAAGATGTTAAGGACATTCCACATTATTACAATCAGCCAATATCTCAAAGAGAAATTAATCTTATTGATCGTCATATCAAGGATTCCATCAAAAGAAAAGAACTAGATCATGTCAGAGATGAATTGCAAAGTATGAAATTAAGAAAATTCGAAATTGAGATAATCATTACAGTGAAGGGATTAAACTTTTTATCAACATATCTAGCTAAGAAAATTTCAAAATTTAATATTGTTAAATAAATTAAAAATTATACATTTCAGGATGGTCCAATTTGATTTGGAAATCAATTTCACACAGTGTGTTCACACATGATAATATTAATTCTTGAACGTGAGGATCTAATATAGATGCTTCAATATTGTAATATCTCTTCAGTATAGCTTGATTCTTGAATATTAAATTAATAAAATTGAATAATCTGTGATGATTCAATGCCAAACACAACCAAGTTCTAAAATGTAAATGCCTATCGAAAAGCAGCTCGTTTCTAGTAATGGATTTAGAAATAAGGAGTGTGTAATGAACAAAATCAAAGTAGTGTAATTGTTCATTACTCAAACCTGAAGTGTCAATTAATTCCTGTTGGGCAATGGCAGTCGACAACCCACTCTTTACATAATCAGGCAATTGATATTGTAAATAATAAAACATTTCAAGAATTACACTCCATATGTGATAGTATCCTTTCATTACTGATTGGAATTTAATTCCCTGCTTGAAAATTCGTTCAAGAATTGGACACAGAGTACATCTGGCAAACTTTGATATGTGAACTAGATCATCAACTTTGAGATTCTTCTTAGATCCAACAAATTTAGCAATATCCTCTGTTGCTCTTGTGAGTTGAAGTACATTTTCAACACTTCCTTTCAAATGAATATTAATTGCATAAACATCAAGTTTTTTTGGAGTGTATCCTAAACAAAAGTTCATCTGATTCAATAATTCAACAATTGAGAGGAATTCATCTCTATGAGTACTATCTACCATGATTGATGTTGGATCATAAACTGTTGATAAGTAATTATTACAATATTTACAAATAAAATTGAAAATATCAACCAATTCACCAATATCCAACAAGAATTCCATTAAACTAATATCCTTGGATTGTTGATATTGTTGTTGATATTTCTGGGCATATTTCTTTGAATCAAAATATTCCAATAACAAGTGAATTCTATGAGTATTCATATATCTCAGTGATGGATCATTAATCATTACCAAACTGTTATCAGAAACACAATCGTATAGAATACTGTAGAATGTTCTTTCTGACATTCCAAAGAACTTCTTTTTAGTTCTATTCAAACAAACACTTGCCAATATTTTGATAAAGTGATCATAGTATTGAGCTGTATATTGTGAAAGTGTTCCATTTTGAGTATTAATTGGACTATACACAATATCATGTTCCACAAAATGATCAAATTTGGTGACTGTTATCACACCATTATTTCTAGGATCGCCTCCATTGCTATTAATGAGAATGAGTATTTCCTGGTGAAGTTGATTAAGCAGAGGATGGTTTGATATTTTGTGTTGTCTCATCATGAGTTTTACCATTTCCTTATTGTTAATATCCAATGTATTACTCACTGGTTTGGAAATCATCCTTTCAAATCTCTCCAAGAGTGAGTTTTCTTTCTGCTTCAACTCATCTTGCCATTGCTTCTTATTTTGGAGAACAGATGCTTGAGAGAAGACTGTCTTTTTAGGTTTTGGAGTTGGAAATTGAGGAGAGAAGGTAACTGTTTGTTCTGCTTTCTTCTCAATACTTGTTTTAATGGTTGGCAATGGTTGTTGTTCCTTTGGAGACATGGAACTGACGATTGGACTGCTATTCTTTGGAGTAAAGTCTTGATCCTTCTTTGGTATTTCAGTTGGAGTTGAAGATGGTTTTCTCAAAAGAATATCAAGTGGTATTGGTGATGATGCAATATTTTCAGAACTCTTCTTGTCATCCTCTGTTAACACATCACTATATATTGATCCAAGTGATTCTAAAAGTGAAGCTTTTGGTTTTGGAATTTCATCTTCATCATCTGACATTTCGTAATCACTATCAGAAAGCTCACTAATATCAGATTGAGTATCTGTACTTCCAGTCTTTTGTTTATCTGTCATTGGAGATCTGATAGAGTTGATTATCTTACCAGAATCACTATTTTTTGTAATCTTTTTAGTTTTTGGAATTGAAATCTTGGTTGGAATCTTCTTGACCGTTTTTGTTGCAACAACAGCTGCTGATGGTTGTTGAATATTGGTCACTTGTTCTTCATATCCATCATCATCTGCAAGAATGGAATTCAACAAGGCATCCTTCTTTTCCCTTTCAGTTTGAACTTGTTCCTCCTGTGGCGATTTAACAGAGGAGGCAGTAGATGGTTCAACAGCACTTGTTGAAGTGGTTGGCGAATTAATTGTTGTTGCTTTCAGTGGTTCTGTATTTTCTCCTCTGGCACTCGGTAAGCCATCATCCTCAGCAAGTAAACTATTCAGTAAATCTTCCTTGTTGGTGAGTGGAATTTTCACTACTGGACTCGATGGATTTTTAGGTTCTGGTTGTTTGGGTGTTGATTTTTGAATTGGTGGAGAAGCAACAATCACCTCATCTGCTCCATGTAAATATTTAGAAACGTCGGCATCACCATTGTCAAGTAAATCTTCCAATATTTGCTTGGCATCTCTGAGTAGATCAGTTCCTTTCAGATATGGTTCAAAAGCTTTGATATCAGCACCAATTCTGTGAGTTTGTTTTGTTAAAATGGCTTCTCTCAATTTCTTTTCTGCATTCTTTCTCAAACTAATCTTTTCCAATGTTTGGAGAATGAGATTATACTCCTTTTCAATGTATTTTCTCTCTACCTTGTCATAATCTTCAATGACAGGTTTAAGTGATTGAAGAGCAGTTTCATTTTCCTCAGCAACGAACTTTTTGATTTTCTTTTTGGTCTTGTCAACTGCTTGAAGTCGTTTCAGCAAAATTGACGGTTCTTCAAGCATGTTATTGATAATTTCAGAGCACGAATCATCTTGTAAAAGTGTATCGTCACTAATTTGATCAAGTGTTTCCTGGAGAACTTTGCTGTCTGGATTGTGCAGGACTTCCTTCAATTTTGGTTTCCATTCATTGATTTTCTTTACAATTTCCTTGAATTTGATTACTTTTTGCTCTGATTCAGAAAGATTGATCAAAACCTTAGTGTCAAGTTTGTTTTTCTCTGTCAAGTATTTCAAATTCTTAAATTGTTTAATCAAATTGTCCAACAAATTTGATTTTAACAAATTATTATCAACATGAGTGATTTCTTTTAACTGTTTTTCCAATTCCAAAGATTCTTCCAAATGAGTTTTCATTGCCTTCCCATAGGCATGAATAGGTTGAAATCTTGACCCCTTCTTTTCATATAAATCTGTCAACATTAATTCCAATCCTTGCATTGTTTCTACATTTCTTTCTCTGTAACTATCATCAATTAATGATTTAAACTCATTAATTGTAACTCTCTGTTCACTATCCAGAGTTCTTTTCAATTCAAATTCACTAATAGATTGTAAAATTAATAATTTTGCCTTGACTGCTTTTTGTGTTTTTGATGCAACTTTCACATCAAGTAAATTGGTACTCTGTTGTTGATCATCTTCAATGATGACCACAATTGGATGTGGAAGAATCTTTAAATCTTTGATATTATCCTCTGAATAACTTGTAGAATTGGCTAATTGATAACTACAAGCAAATGGTTGAGAATTCAATGATTGAACAAATATGTGATATTGACCAGGACTCAAATCAAATTTGTAATCATTTTCCTCACCTTTTCCCAATTCGAAACCTTTAGTATGTACAATATTAAAAATTTGATGAACTTGAATTTTGTAACTACATTTAGCATCAGGTGGTTCACAAAATAAAGTAATTCTAATTGTAGATTGTTGTGAATCCATTGGTGTTGTAACAAGAGTACTCCATGAATTACCTTTTTCTATATTTTCTGAATTATGTAATTGATCATTATCATTTTGAATAGTTGATGTCACTGATGATTGACATGAAACATCAGCTCTCAACACTACAGATGAAAATATTCTCAATCCAGTTCCAGTCGTATTCGAAACTTGTACTTTAAATTTACCTGGAGGTACATTAAAAAACACATCATTAATTCCCTCCGTAGTTTGTCCTTCAATCACTTCACCCACTTGTTGCAAATGATAATTCTTATCATCATTAATTATTTGTTGTAATAAACTGTTAGCTCCTCCTAAATTATTTGTCTTGCTATTATTTGATGATTTATTCAAATTCATGGGATTGAGACCAAGTTTTTTAAAATCCATCGTATATCGTTTAGATTCCTTTACTTGACCACCACCACCCAGAGATGATGATGCTGACTCACCATATCCTCCTCCTCTCGGGTTGGAATTGCTCATTTTTTTATTGGTGTTTCATTATAATAATTAGTAGTGACATGTGGCATTGCAAATTCATCACTAGTGGATGATGATCAGATTGTTAGAGTATTGTTGGACTAGCGTGTTAATTGAATTGTCTCCAATTAATTGACCATTAATGGCTACAAATGATTGGATGTGCTGAATAGATTCAACATCCAATCTTGAAACTTGGTGAGTTGTCTTGTACTGTTGATTATTACTGTTATTCACACACAATTGACTGACAACAGTGTTTCCTTGTTGGTGGTTATCAGTTGTTGTTGTTATCACGTTGGAGTTTTTGGAGAGTACACAAAAATCTTGGTCGAGCTTTTCGAATATTTCCACAAAGAGTGATCCCTGTGAAATTGGAAACTTTCTGGAAGATGGAATGGCGAAAATATTGGTATCATTCTCCCTCATCTCTGTTATGCATCCAACAATTTGTAAATCAGATTGTTTTTGTTTGATGAGAACAAAGTCTCCCTGTTGGAATAATTGCTTCCTCCATTTGAGTGTGCTAACCATAATGTGGTCATTGAAAATATTGGTTTTGAAAGGTGGTAGCCATTTGAATTTGTGCTCTTTACATTGTTCCAAGCCAAGACAAGTTTCTCCAACTGTTTTGATATCTTCCAAAATATCAGAAATGACCTGTGTCTTGGTGTTGAAACGTTGATTCGAATAAAAGTGTTGGGATTTGTGACGGGTAGGTCCACAAATATTAAGCTTGTACTTGATATGCTCTACGGAACAATTGACTACTCTTTCAGTTTTTTGAAGCTTTCGTTTTGGATTCGAATAATATTGGGTAGCCCTTAGTGTTGGAATATTTCCACAATAGTATAAACTATCTATTCTACAAATTAACTCCTCATTCAAATAATCCAAAACAACCATATCATGAATGTAATACTTTTCACATATAGTATCACCACTACAAGTTGTAACTCTTGTGAATGAGGTTTTTTGAATGGAATCTTTCTCATTAATATTAAAAAAGTTACCAAACTCAATCTTATCTATGAGATCCATATTGTTGATAACATCAGTTTCATCTGGCAATTCAATTAGTGGCATTGACATTTCCAATAGATTGATCGAAGGAAGTGGTTGCATCTTTCTAGTTATCTGCGAAAGCTCTGCATAGTTTAAAACTTGCTCTTCTGAGAATTTTCTTTCTAGTGTAATTACAATTTGAAGCAAACTTTCTCCATCAAGTATTGGAAGCTTCATAGATGTTGCCTTCTCCACATCTTCTTCAGTAAGCTTATTCGAATCTTTTACAAAAATGAAATTCGATCCTTCACTTGTTTGTGTAGTCAATTCATTATCTATGATGGCTCCACCAGCAACCAATATACTGATCCAACTGGACAATTCTTTTTCATTTCCCAAAATCTTCACTCGACAACCATAGAAAATTCTATTTTCCTTTTTACAGCACATCATTGATGAATTGAATGTTTGTTTTTCAACATGAAGAGTAGATGGATCCAATCTAGAACTAGTTGTACCTCTATCTAATAGATACTTCTGTATAGTCTTCTCATCTGTTATGAGTTTCTTCTCGGTAATTGAATCGAATATCCAATCCTTCTTCAGTATTGGAATATCGAGTAATAGTGCAATTAAATAGGTTGGTTTTGTTGATGTCTTTTCTGAAATGAGTACAGTTTTACCAATTTCACAACTATCCAAATTACTAGATGATAATTGTCTTATAATTGTTCCATTTTCTTCCTTAATTTTCTTTTCCAGTTTTTCTTTATCACTTTCAATAAGAGAATTTGAAATTACAAAACGCATATTTGCAAAGAGCTTCTTTTTCTTTGGAGTTAATTTCTTTCTCTTTCTCACAACCACTTCATCCTCTGAATCAGAAGATAGCAACTCCTCACTTGATGAAATATCCATCAAATCATCTGAATCATCCTCACTCACATCCAAATCATCATGATACTTCTTTTTCTTTGCTGTCTTTTTAATTTCTGTAATCATGTCAGTAAATTGTCGACAGAGACTTTTCTTTCCTCCAACTGATGGAGGTGGTTGAGCTAGAGGAGGAACTTCTTCCACTTTCTTCTTTTTCCACTTTTTAGGAACCTCTTCAGGAGTGGATTTCTTTCTCTTCTTAGAACTTTCTGATTCTCTTTGGGGTGATGGACTACTGTCACTGAAACTACTTTCCACCTTCTTGAATTCGACTTTCTTTTTTGGAGTTTCCTTCTTTTTCTTTGGAGATTTAGTTTCTTTCTTTTCTTTCTTTTCTTTCTTTTCTTTTGTGGATTTAGCCTTTGGCTTAATAGTAAGAGTTGATCCTCCATTATTATTAGTATTACTCGTACTTGCAATACTATTACTGCTATTGCTGCCTTTAAGTGATGAAGATTTCTTACTACTACTTGAAGAACTTGATGATGTATCAGAGGAGCCTCCTTGGGAAGTCTTCTCCGAAGATGATGAATCACTTGAAGACTTTCCTGAATTGTTGTTTCTATTAATTGCTGTAGAGGTGGTGGTGTTGTTATTAAATACATTGTCTTGTCCAAATTCTAATAGTGGAGAATCAATATCAACCAATAAATCATCATCACTACTATCCATTGTATTGCTCATATTGAATGGATTCTTATTAGTGATGGAAGTACTACCTTGTTGAAGATTGAGTAATAATTTACCATTTGATGTATTAGTATTCGGAGGAGACTTTAGTGGAGAATTCATTAAATTATTATGAGAAGGAATGTTTTTAATTTGAGGTGTAATTGGTGTGTGGATGTTAAGTTCATGTTTTGGCTGTTCATCCTCTTCATCATCAGAAAAGCCCATCAATGAGAGAGGAGAAGAACAAGCGACAAGAGTTTGAGTTTCGGAGGGACTACTTGGTGATGATCTGAACATTTGCCTTTTTTTTAAATTTTAAAATGTAACGGCTAGCTTACGGGGATATAACTTCACAAGCCTTCCAAGAAATCATATTTGTTTCTTCTAACAAGTAATTCCTTTTGAATATTGATGCAATAGGAAGATAATTATTACATCATCAGCATTGGGAACTCTTATTCTTGTGGAAAGAAATTAGGCGCCAAATTGAATGATTAAGTCTACAAATAAAATTTAAAAAAAACAACTCACTATGACCACCACTCATACAGTAAGAGTTTCACCTCAATCAAAGATGATCGTCTTGAAGAAGAAGGCTCCAAAGAGTCCTACATTAGGTGTTCCTTCATCGACTCGTAAACAAAGAAATCAAATCAACTCACGAAAGGAGAGGAAAAAACAAAACAAAACAACGATCAAGGATAATGAATTCAAATCAACTAAGCCTTCAAAACAAGAACCTTCTCTATCAAGGAATGATTCATTTGATAATGAAAGGCTTCCTCCTTCAACATCAACCATAAAGAAAGGAGAAGGGTTTCAGTGGGAATCGACTCAATATACTGTATCATCTACAACTATTCAAAAGCCTTCTTTGCCTTCAAGAACTTTGAAGAGTCTGAATTTTAAATCATCAAATGATAATATTTCAGAGGATGACGAGGAACTGAAAGAATATTACAAATTACTCAATGAAAAGTGGTAAACTAGTACAATAGAATAATTATCCAATTTTAAAGAATACTAACTGAATAATAACTATTATTTACATATTTTGTGAATATGAGAAACGTTATTCCGTCTTCTCACCTTTGGTTAACATCGCTGCTGCTTTTTTCACTTGTCAAGCATCCATCACAATTTAAAAAAAATAATTGCTGTCAAGCTGCCATCATCAACCCGAGAAGAACACACACAACGATAAACAGCTTGGACAAGGATTTCATCATCAAATAATTAAAACAAATATATAGAAAATGTCTACATCAAGAAATCTTATAAAACAAAAACTTGAAGAAATGCTCAACGATAAGGAAGGTGAAAAACTTTTGAAACGAACAATTGTAGTATTTGAACTGCCTTTCGTTGCTGAAGAAAAACAAATTCGAGAATTCTTTGAGAAAGTTAGTGGAGGAATTAGTTCTATTGATGTGATCAAAGCTAATGCCCTCGTTTTCAGCTCTGCTGTGATACAATTTAACAAGGAAAAGGGAGCTGAAAAAGCTATTGAATTGGCTCGACATGGTGTAGCTGTTGGTCAATTTGATGGAATTGTTTGTACTGCTCAGGATGTTATTGAAGGAAAGAAACTCTCTAGGACAGCACCAAAGGAAGAAGGAAAAGCAAATGCTGGTGGTTGTAAGAATCAATAATTTGTGATGGCTTCAATAATCATATGAAACCATCTATCAACAACACTACATAACCTTCTCTCTCCCCGAAGTGCTCATCTTTGTTCACTTTCTTTTTCCACACACACTTTCTCTTCCATTCTTTCTCATTTCACTATTTTCTCTCTCCTATTTATTAGAGTAATAATAACAACAACAAACAATTTATAGGAGATTAGACTACCACACAATATTCCCTCCTTCTTTTTGAAATCAAATTTCCTTCCCTTTTTTCACAGTATTCCACTTTTTAAATAAATTAAATTTAATAATAATAATTTATAATAGTTTTGCTTTTACAAAGTTAAATTTGGAGTGAAAACACCACCTGCCACCATAAAGTCTTGTTGTGTGAACTTGAGTGAATAAACTGGTGTTTGTTTCGAATAGTAAGTCTTGTATGGTTCTTTTGAAATAATCTTGTGCTTGTCCAATTCAAGTTTCTTTTCTTTGAGGATTTGAGCAGCAGATTGACTTCCCTCAACAGAACCTGTATCAATAGTGTCAAACATTGACCAAACTCTAACAGTTGAATCTAATGAAGCTGAAGCAAGGAAAGTGTCATTTCTATTAAAGTCAAGAGACCACACTGGTTTGGTATGTCCAATAAATTTGTAAGCAATCTTTCCAGATCCAATATCCCAAACTAGAACTTGACCATCATCACCTGCAGAGGCACAATATCTACCATCATGTGAAAATGCTAAGGTGTTAATAGACCCATGATGACCTATGAACATTCTCATACATTCTCCAGTTTGTACATCCCACAAACGAACAGTCTTATCACTAGAACCAGTTGCAACATAATTACAGTTTGGATGGAATTTGACACATTCAACATCAGCTAAATGTCCAGCAAAAACTCTGACAGGAGTAACTCTATCAGTAACCCAAAGTCTTGCTGTACGATCATGTGATGCTGTTGCAAACATGTAATCTGTTGGGCTGAAACTAACATTCCAAACAGCATATTGATGTCCCTTATACACAACAACAGATTCTGCATTATTGACATTCCACAAACGTACTGTACAATCTTCACTGGAGGATAAAAGCCATTGTTGATCAGAATTGAATGATAGGGAGTAAACTGGTCCTGAGTGACCAATTAATGTATCATATTGACATTCTCTATTTTCATTATCTTCAAGATTAATACTTTCATAATTTCTCTGATATGATTTAGTATTAGGGATGGTACCATTAAGAGTTCTCCAATTCCAACATTTAATAGTAGAATCAGCAAAACCTGCTGCAATAACAGGACCATTTCTTAGGTTATATTGAGGAGCAAAATCGCCATCATCAACAAAATAGTTGGATGGTTTGTGTTCAAAGTTTGTTCCGATTTCCACAGCATTTAAATTATTATTACAATTGAAAAGTGTATAGAAACATGCAGAAGGACAAGGTGGAACCTGTTCCTTAGCAACATCAATCAATTTCTTAATTTCTTGTTGAGCTGTGGCTGCTCCTTTTTTCTTTCTTCCTCTTCTACTAGGTTGAGGTGCTGTTGGTGCAGTAGGTTGAACAACAGCAGTGGCAGCTAATGCTTCCTCCTTTTCTCTGTTTTCAACTTCCCATGAAATTTTCTTATTTCTTCCGAAAATAGCTTCAAATTCGTCGTCATCATCCTCAGAGTCATCATCATCCGATCCTTCCACATCCTCAGATTTTCTTTTCTTTTTTTGTTGTTGGCTTTTAATATCATGATCCATTAGAAGAATTCCATCAATCATTGCTGGTGCTTGTAAGCTAGGTTGTCCTTTGTATGTTTTAAAATTAACAAATCTATTGAGAATAGATAAAAGTCTTAGTTCACTAGAGTCTTGTAAGAACTTCATTAATAAGTGAAAACTAGCTTCACTTAATCTGATTATAAATTTGTGTGACAATAATCTTTTAGAAAATTCATTTTGATTTACAATTTCAGGAGTTTGTAAACTTTGAAGTGTTAAAATGTCATCATAGTGAAAATGTGAATGTTGTGTCTTGTACTTGTTCAAGAATTTTCTAGCTTCCTCAGAATGATTTTTGCTTACTAATTCCAAATAACAATGGACAAAGACAGGATACAATACTTGAATCAATTCATTCTAATATTATTATGATATTCAATATTATTGACTGTCCATAATACAACACATACCTTATAGATTTCCAGAGAGGAGAATACCCAATCTGTGAGAGATTGATAGGCTTGAAGAAATCCCTTTCCACTTGGTGCTTCACTTAGAAAACTATTCAAAGAATCTCCTAATAACAACATTATATTACTATTGTACTACAAAACCTACCTGATGATCGTATCATTCTTTCCCTTTCCAAAACTGCTGCATATTCTGGCAGTGAAGATGATCCGACAATAGCTTCTTCCTCCAAGGCTTTCAATGATCGGTGATATCCTTGTTGTTGTAAATATTTAATGACCAACTCTTTCATCTTATCAGATTGTTCATCTCCGTTTCGTGTTGATGATGATGTTTGTTCATCCACCATCATATTGGATGACGAAGCCGTTGATTCAGAGTCACTCATTTTTTTTAGCGCTAACTTTTTTTAAATTTATTTATAAAAAATATTTGACTTTAGTGGTGATTGAAATTTTGGTTTGATGAAAATTAATTGAAATGAGTTGATTAATAACATACCCATAGCTTACTAAATTGCGACAGGTTTTCGTTAGATAACAGCCTTATTATTTCACCGTTTGACCTTTAAATAATGGATATATTTCTGATGAATAAGTATTTATTAAATAATTACAAAAAAATGGAAAACTTTGAAGAACCAATCGGAGAGTGTATCACAATCAAGCTCGATCAACACATCGGATCACCTACACTCACTCATTTATATCGGAAAGAAGCCAAGCTTTCCCGTGCACTGATTAACTCTACTCAATATCATCAATTATTTAGAAAGGAATTGAGAACTCATCAAACTCCAAAATTAATATTCAGAGCGAGTAGGGATGGATTTTCAGATTCAGATTTTCATAAACATTGTGATGATCAAGGAAAGATTGTAATTATTTTAAAATCTAAATGTGGAGATTTATTTGGAGGATATACGAGTGAAAGTATGAAACTTGATGAGAGAGGAATGTATGTCAAGGATGAAGAAATGTTTACGTTTCGATTTGATAACAATCGATTGTGTATTTTCAGATTATTACCTGAAGATAGGATCTATGCATTGTATAGATATAGCTCATTTCATTTATTTGCGTTTGGATATTGCTTTTGGATTGGTACCAATGCAAACACATCTGCCACGTCTGGATCACATGATGAAATGGAGGATCACATTTTTCCAGAGTGTAAATTACTAAAGAAAGAGGGTGGTAATCAAGTCAATGAATATGGTGAATTGTTGGAGAATCAGTACTTTCCAAGAATTGGTTTCCTTATTGAAGACTTAGAAGTTTATAAACTCATGGATTGAATTTGAGCATTTAAGATTAAATATTAACAAAAGAATCTCAAATACTCTTCTAAGGCAAGCAGTACATTCTGGTTACCTTTTCCTGAAATTGGAAATGTAATTATCTTTAGTATTTGAAACAGTTTCTAAACATTACATTATTCATCCAAAATAAATATGGAAACTTTCCAAATTAATTTTTTTATTAGAATTGCTTGAGGAGTACAATTTTGCAACTTACTTATTCAATCATTAAAAAAAACTCTCTAACATGTCCTCTCCAGCACAACGAATCGATTATCTTCCAATAGATTCTCATGGAATGATTGGAAATATGGAAACTTGTGCATTGGTTGGAACCGAAGGCACAATTGACTGGATGTGTTATCCACAATTCAATTCTTCAAGTGTTTTTGGACGAATTCTCGATTGTAGAAAGGGTGGAAGTTTCTCAATTCGTGCTATGAATTACACAAAAACTAAACAACATTATTGGCCTGATACAAATATTCTCATTACAAGATTCATGTCCAAGCATGGAATTGGTGAATTGATTGATTTTATGCCAGTTTCTGAAAAGAGGCCTTGTACAAACTTTCTTATTAGAAAAGTTAACTGTATCCATGGATCCATGACATTTAAGGTTAGTTGCTGTCCATCCTTTAATTATGCAAGTGATTTGCATGAATGTAAAATTGGAGCTCATGGTAAAAAAGCATTCTTTAAACCATTTTATAATCCAATGAATCCATTGAACATTCCAGAGAGTAGTATCAATTGTGAACACGCTACATTGTATTGTAGTAAGCCAATTCTCAAGATTATTCCAGTTTTACCAATCATTCCAATTGTGAATGGTGTAAATACTCAATCGAATACTCTATCCCCAACTGTCAGAAGACAATCCATGTGTATGATGGATCCATACGTTGATTCAATGACTGGTAATTGTGTTGAATGCGAATTTACCATTGAGGAAGATGAAAGTGTAACTTTCGTATTTGGTACATTCGACGATGCTTTGACTTGTCCAGAGCAAGAACTATCATCCATCTTTGGTTCCAAGACAATTACTCAATATGGTGAAGAAATGCTCAATGAAACTCTCGATTATTGGCATGATTGGCTTCAAAAATGTACCTATAAAGGCAGATGGAGAGAACAAGTGAAAAGAAGTGCACTAGCTCTCAAGCTTTTAACCTATGAAAAGACAGGTGCCATTCTAGCAGCTGCCTCCACATCACTTCCTGAAGGCATTGGTGGGGTGAGAAATTGGGATTACAGATTCACTTGGATTAGAGATGCCTCCTTCACACTCTACAGTTTCATGAGCATTGGTTTCATGGAGGAAGCAACTAAATTTGTGAAATATCTGGAAGCTAGAATATCAGAAATGAATTTAAAGTACAAACAATCAGATGAGAAGGGTTCTCCACCCCCACTTCAGGTCATGTACAGTATTGATGGAGAACATGAGTTGATTGAGAGAACTATTGATCACTTGTCTGGTTATATGAATTCTAAACCTGTTAGAATTGGAAATGGAGCCTATGATCAATTGCAATTGGATATTTATGGTGAATTGATGGATTCAATGTATATTTATGACAAGTATGGGAATTCAATTTCTTATGACTTTTGGAAGCATTTGAGATTTATTACAAATTGGGTTTGTAATAATTGGGATGAAAAAGATGGTAAGTTTTTTGTGAATTTCAATAGAAATGACATTTGGCAGAGGGTGTTTGGGAAGTTAGAGGTGGAAGACAACATTTTGTTTACAGTAGAATCATGACATGGGTTTGTTTGGATAGAGCTATAAAAATTGCACAATCCAGATCTTTCCCAGCGGATGTTGACAAATGGATTAAAGTCAGAAATCAAATATTCGAACAAGTAATCGAAAAGGGTTACAATAGAGAACTTGAATCCTTCACAAGTTTCTACGGATCTGATACACTTGATGCTTCCACTTTGATTATTCCATTAGTTTCCTTCCTGAGTCCATCCGATACTCTCGTAGTCAATACCATTAAGGCAATCAATAAGCCGCCCGAAGAAAATGGATTAGTGAGCTCTAGTCTTGTCTACAGATATCTGGTTGAAAAAACTGATGATGGGTTTAGTGGAGGAGAGGAGGGAACCTTCAATTTGTGTACTTTCTGGTTGATTGAATCAATTGCTAGAGCATGTAGTTATGGTGAATCGAAGGATCTCCTTCAGGAAGGTAGAATGATGCTTGAACAAATGATTACCTATGGAAATCACTTGAATTTATACTCGGAGGAAATGAGTTTCAATGGTTCTGCACTTGGAAATTTCCCACAAGCGTTCACTTTCATTTCTCTTATTTCTGCTGCTTGTAAATTGGACGAAACTCTTAACAAGATGCAAAAATCATTGTAATATTAAATGTTATTGTGTGAGTAATAATGGTAGTGAATTAATTTTGTTTAATAGAGCTTTCACTCTTGGCAACAATTTCAGTATCGAATAAATTAAGTTTGATAAGATCTTGACAGTGCTTTCCAACTAGTGGTGCCAAATCATTTCTAATTTGTCTTTGGACCTTCAAGATTTCTTCTCTATTAATAACTAGCAATTTTCCTAGAGATTTCATAATTTGCAATGAGACGGCAACTGGTCTAATTCTAACAGCTAAAATTCCTGAAATTGCCAATAAAAGTGCACAGTACAAGGCAAAGTAGAAACTAAATAAATAGGTCAATATTCCAATGGTTATCAAATAATAAATTGGAAGTAAGCTGATAACAATCATAAGCTTGTAGTGAGCCTCTTGATCTTTATATCCAGCAGCAAGCTTTTTTCCAAGATGAGAACAAAGTAGACCAATAGGACCATGATACAAAGAACCAGGTAAACAAATTGGTAAAGTGAACAATAGGGTAATAATCTTTCTGACAAATGAATATTTCATAGAAATTTCATAATACTTCATATTCAATAATCTGATATGGGCATTGAATTGTTTGAGAGTCTCGTAAACAGGTTTTGCCTCTGGCTCATTTTCAAATAAATCAATAAATCTTTGAGTAATGAGCAAGTATTCTTCTTGAGTTAATGGGAAGGATCTATTTCTAACAAGTGATCTAGCGACTTGAGCAGCCAAAATTGTATCTGGTTCCTTGGCAACAACTGTGACATTTCTCAAAGCATCCTTTACAACATCAGCAAGTCTATGCAAAGTCTTTCCACTATCTTGTTGGTATTCTTGTAAATCATTTCTATCAATAGGAATTTCCTTTCCAAATTGAACATAAACATCTGATCTAAATTCATTCTTACTATCATAGTTTAATCCAACTGGTACTAGATAAATCTTATCCAAATTTTCACACTTCTCCAAACAAGTAAAAGCTGCTCTGGCAAAACCTGTCTTGATTGTTAGAATGTCACTATTATTGTGACTTGTTCCTTCAGGGAATATGACTATACAATGTCCATCAATCAACACTTCGGCCATAGCATTAATAGCAGCTAGATTCGATAATTTTCTTTGTTCTTCCAAATCCTTTCCATTCACATCACATGGTCTAATGATTGGAATAATTCCGAGTAATTTCATAAAGAATCCAACAACAGGTAAATTAAATAATTCTTGTTTAGCAACACCTCTAATAAGTCTATTGCTCACTTCTGAATAGAGAAACAATGCATCCACTAATCCATTATAATGATTGACAACACTTTATCCTCATTATTGATCATTTCTAAATGATTGATCACTTACAATATGACAGGACGATCTTTTGGAATATTTTCTGTTCCTCTTGCACTCACATTACCATAGAACATGTGAATACAAAATCTAAAGTCACCATATTAAAAGAAGTTATTAATCCTCATCACTTTTTTAAAAACCTACTCAAAGAACCACCTCAGCAAGGTGTAGGCTATCATGTTCACTTTGGCCATTTTTTTGTACTATTTTTACTTTATCACCAAATGGCAGTCGTATGATGATGTTCCTTTTGTTTGTTGCTTTACACAGGAGAGACTCTCTATTATGAAGGAAGGGAAAAGGAAATTAATCATTCTTGGATTGTCTCTCTTCTGTGCTGTAGAGAGTGAATACACATTGTATGGCAGCTGCTGATCATAAAGTTCTCTAGCTAAAACAAGTTCACCGTGTGTGGATAATTATTGTTGTGCTGCTGATGACGATCATGTTGAACATAAATACAAAATTTTGATCATCATCACATCAATTAATAATAATAACAATATTAAATTGTACAATTTTTAAATTATTTATTACATAAATTACAAGATCGTGATGAATTTACAAACAACCTCCCTTCAATTGCAAAATCAATTGGACGGTATCACCAGCCTTAAGACCAGCATCCACACAAGTCTTATCATCAGGCAAAATCTTACCGTTCATGACAAGTCTTTGTTGCGGAACAGCAATACCAACTTTTTCTTGGATGAGTTGTTTAAGATAGGTAACCTTGTCAGTATCTTCGACGTCCAACTTGGTAATACCACCTGACAATGTCTTGATGTTAATTTGCATGGTTTTGGAATATTTTTTTCGAAATGTATTGTTGTCTCTTTTACAAAACGAGTTCAACTCACTTAAAAATTTTTGTGTGATGAGTTTGAAATTCAAATTTTAAAAATAGATTATAGGATCCAGTGTGAGAAAGAACTGTGAAGAAGTTTTACAATGGAGATGGGCTGAACATTTGAATAAACAAGATTGTTTTTAACTCGCAAAGATGGTTTTCTTGGAGGGAACATTTCGTCTGAGGAATTACAATTTCGTTAAGAAAGAAAAAAACATCCAAGTTCATCACCCTCCCAATTAAATCTTATCAGATTATTAATTACAATAAAAAAAAATGACAATCGTGTTGGATTTAGGCTCTCACTCTATCAAGGCTGGTAGGTAAAGGATTGAAAAATTGGAATTTTATTGTTGTTTTTGATGATGATTAATTTTGAATCCCAGGAATTAATTCAAGGAGTGAGCCAGCATGTATCATTCGTTCAGTTGTTGGTTATCCGAAATATCCAATTGCAATGCCTCTTGTTGAATCACAAAAATTGGGATATATCGGAGAGGCTTTAAAAAGGATGAGAGGAATGGTTAATGAATCGGAAGTGACTAGGAATGGTGTAATTGTGGATTGGGATAATTTTGAAAATTTGTTAGAATATTTGATTAAAGAGGAATTGCACATGTATGCCAGTGAAGAATGTTTTTTCTGTACGGAGGCAATTTTAAATCCAAAATCAGAAAGAGAACGAATGACAAGTTTATTGTTTGAGAGGTTTGGAATTTTGGGATTGGATTTTGGATATCAACCAATAATGTCCTTATTTGCGAGTGGAAGAAATTCAGCAATAATTATTGAAATGGGTGAGGATTTAACGCAAATAGTCCCAATCTGGGACTGCTTTGTGATTGAAAATGCAATTTTGAGGAGCAATATTGTGAATGGAAGGATGGTGACAGACCACTTGAGACAATTATTGAATCAGAAAGGATTTTCTTTTCATACAAGTTCTGAGCTAGAAATTGTCAGAGAAATGAAGGAGAAAGTTGTTTGTTTCAATGGTGAACCGAATATTAATTCTCAAAAAATAGATTACTTCCTTCCAGATCTTACAAAGATAGAAATGTCAGGCGAACAGAATCTCTCTGCAGAATGTTTATTTAATCCATTCATTTTGAATAAGAATGTGGATGGTCTTCACGAAATGGTTCACAACAGTTTTACAAAATGTCCAATAGATTCTCGCTTAGATCTTTATGGAAATATAGTATTATGTGGGGGAAATTCCCTAATAGATGGACTAGACAAGAGACTTGAACAAGAGTTGGATTTACTTCTTCCAAAGAATGTCAGAAAGAAATTTATTAGCATGGATTCCCCTCAATTTTCTTCGTTTATTGGAGCCTCAATTTATTCAAGCAGATCCACTATTACAACAGGTTGGATTACAAAAGAGTCATACCAAGAATATGGACCTAATATTTGTAGGAGAGATAGGCTGTCATTGGTTTAATTTTCCTTTTATTACCTTTCAAGAACAGATCTTGATTACAAAATATTTTACAAAATAATGGATGAAACAGCCAAGCCAAGAGCTCCTGCAATTACAGCAGATCTCATCCAGAGAGGTGAATGATTTTTCTTTTCTTGCTCCTTTGATTCTTGTATATAGTCATCCTCTTTCTTATGTGTCAAGAAAGTGAGTGATGAAATATCATCCTTGATTTGTGGCTTCTTACTTCCAACTACAAAGAACATGTCACCTTGTTTGGCAGATTTTTGTACAACTCGAATATTGGAATTTCTGGTAGATTTAAATTCATCAAAGGCCTCTTCACTCACATAGAGATAGTAATTTTGTTGAAGTAAATCATCCGATGTTAATAGACTATCATGCTTGTTCAATGTGTTTTTCAATACCTGTTGAATTCCTGGATTTGCTTCATGATTTTCAACATAGTCTTTGAGCGATTTGACATTATATTCCTTTTCCATATTCAAATCTATATTCAATTCATTTAAAATCCATGGCTTTTCTAACCAAATATTTGATTCCTTGTATTTTTCAAATTCCTTGTTGGTGAAAATTTTTCTCCATATTTTCGATCCAAAAGCTTCATTTTGCTCCTTAATTAAGTGTAATGCCAAATCACTATCTCCAACTTTATCCCTAATCATTGCGTATTCAATTAAGGTTGACCAATATCCTTGACCTTCCTTCATAAAAGGATGAAATTTCTCCACATGAATATGTGTAATAATCGATTCTTCATTAAAATCATCCACAGGAGGTTTGTAATCTAATTTTGCATAAAACTTTTTAAAATCGTGCTCAATTGGAACTTGCTCCTCTGCTGGCTTTGTTTCTTCAAGAGCCAGTTTCTTATTTCTCCTATTTATAAAGTATTCACGAATTCTATTCGGAGTTCTTTCCTTCTTTTCCTCTGGTATATTAATTTCAAGCCAATCTGAATTTCTTAATAATTGATGAGGTGTAATCTTCTTATTTGTTGTGAAAATTGAAGGAGCATCCTCATTAACATGAAATTTCCGATATCCTACATCCAGCAAGACAACTCCCAAAGCACCCAACCCCAAAAAACCAGCTGGCTTTACAATATACTTGAAGGCACCACTCTTATATCCAGCCATAGTCTGTGGTGTTGGTTTATAATAATTGTAGTAATATCTAACAACTTTCATTAATATGTGTTCATCTTTTTTGTATTTTCCCGAAGTTGATGACAAGTTTGAATTTTCTACTACTTGATTATTGGCTGTTGATTTTACAAGTGCCGATTCTTGTTGATCAGCAGCAGAGGGTTTCTGTGAAGGCTTGGCAAATAAGCCTTTCCACAAATTTTGCATTTTTTTGATTTTGGAAAGAGTCAATCAGAATGAAATAATCAACTTGTAGTTTCCAAAAAAGCGCTCAATTATTTTACTTACATTTCCAGGATTTATTTACATTATGGTTGACAGAGTAGGTGTTTAAAAAAAGATAACTCTAAATGGTAATGGTCTTGCATTCTTGTTTACAATTTGGAATTTTGAATCATCTTCCTCAATTGATGCATAGTATTTGTTTTCAGAAACGTTAACTTTTTGCATGAATGGCAAATATGATTTTGAAATTATATTAACTCCTTTTTCGGTAAGATTATTTTTCTGAAGATCAAGAGTTCTGAGGGAGGTATTTGTTAGGATGAATGGTAATGCTCTATCGTGTAGCTCACAAATATTAAGTTTGAGATGTTTAAATCTTCCTCTACCTAATATCTTAGCTCCTTCCTCTCCAATATCCATTGATGTGATTGAAAGTTTATCCAAATATTCTAATTTCAAGAGATGTTGTAGCTGCATTTCTTTGATATCACTAAACTTAAGACTTTTCAACTTCAATTTTTGAATATTTGTTAATAGTGATAATGGAGCCAAAGAAGTCAGCTCGTTTCCTTCCGAATTCAGCTTCCTTAAATTTGGTAAATATGATACTAATTTTTGCAACCATTCTCCTTTCAAATAGTTATTTTTCAAATTCAACTTTGTAATTTTGGTTAATTTTGCCAGTGGAGTGATATCTTTTACTCCACAATCCTCTAAATCAAGAGCTGTTAAATTATCTAATTTTTTCAAATGTTTGAAAACATTCTTTGTAATATCGTTTTTTCCAATATTAAGAGAAGTTAATTGTGTCATTTTTGAAATAGCCAATAGAACCTTATTTCCTATTTTGGTTTCATTAACATTCAACTCTGTAAGGTTTTTGAACATAGAAAAATCATTTCTGTTCCCAATAAATGAATTTGGAACAGATAATCTCTTCAAAGCACTAAACTTTGGATTGAATATGCTAAATACTGGGTCATTATCCAAATCATCCAATTCCAGATCCTCTATATGGGTAGAACTCATCATTGCACATTTTTCGTCCAAATAGTCTGATTTCAGTGCTGCCTTCTTTAGTAAAGGGGCTTTTAAAATACAAATTGCAGAGTCATCATCTGTAAATGCTGCGTCGAATGTAATCTCTGAAAGTAATGGAATACAAATTGCATCAACCTTCTTTATGTCACAATACGACAATTTCAAAAAAGTTAATTTAGGTAATGGTTCAACAATGGAAATAGAACCATGTGAAAGTAATAAAGTGAAATGAGTTAAATTCTTTGAAATCTTTCCATTAATAATCACAGAATAATCAAGATAATCCTCGTTCTTGATGCATAATTCCAATTTTTTTACATTCGAAAAATCATGGTAAGCTGAAAATTCAAAGAATTCTGGATTGTGTTTAACTGAGAGCTCCTCTAATTTAGGTAGTTTAGTCCAAGATTCAATATGTGTAGCTGTTATAATAAATTTGAACAATTGTAGACTTTTCAATTTAGGCAAACATTGAATAGAGTCAGGCACCATAGTATGCCCTTGGGATCGAAGAGACAACTTTTCAAGATTATATAACAATGAAAAATCAAAATCTTTTGAGATTCCTTCCAAACTCAAATCTCTAATCATATACAATTCACCTTCATTTGCTTTCCTTGCGAAAAAATCTGTCAATGGAGCAGAAATATGAGATGAAAGAACAGGCATATTGCAAAAGGCTTCATTCCATTGCAAACAGACAAATCTACATTTTCTGGACAAGAATGAATAATCTAAAAAGTCGAAAATAACTCCCAATACATCCTCATTCAAATTAGCCTTTAATAATGTTTTCATCAAAACTTGATCACCATCAGTATTTAATTCCTTTTTTGATGATGTTTGTTTTCTTCTCTTCTCCGAATTCGCGCCATCAGCCACAAAGCCTTGCTTTCTTTTCATTTTTTTTGTGTTTGGATACAAACCTATTGGTCGAATTTATATTAAGTTAATTATTGGACACATCATTCCTAAATGCCACAACATCAATTTGTGTGAGACTTTGGTCATTGATGTTTATAAGTTGAACCCTTTTGATTCAGAGTGATAACATTGTCTCTTCAGTTTACAGTGAATAATACATCACAACAAAATGAGTGTCGTCAGCTGCGATACGATCACATCTATTTCCTGTTACCTTACTTGGATGAGATGACCAAAATATTAAGAGTGATTAAATGTGGAGAGAAGCCATTGTGATCAAGTGTTTTGGAAGAGAGTATTTTCAGAAATAATGTTGTTAAAAGCTATTTCAATGATGGTGGTGGTTGTAATGATATTGTATCAGTTGAGGGCCAAGTTGATAAAGATGATGAAATGAACAAAACCTATCTTAGACAATACTATTAATCCACAATCCATATCTCATTAAATCCCTTGAATTTTATTTGTCGGATATCCACATGTAACTTTAAAATCAATTATTAAATTATTAAATTATTAAATGATTTCCGATAATTTATCAAAGATCCTAACTTCAATATTCAAAGGTAACCATCATTATTTTCCGTGCTTTAAATTTCATCATCTTGTTGTTGTTGTTGATTTTTCTTTTCAGCTCTTTTCTGTTTAAGTGTTTCAATTTTGTTTCTACGTTCCTCAACATATTTATCACCCCAAGCTTTAACAATTCCATCCTTTTCCTTGTCAAATTTTCTCTTTCCGATAAATCTTTTCACCCAAGAATCAGGACATAATTCTTTTAATTTCATAAATTCCGCTTCACATTTTTTTACATCATCCTTTGATTGATCTAAACAAGCAAAGAGAACTTCTTTAGATGCCCAACAAACTTCTCTTTCTTCTTTTTTCATTTTTTTTAATTTTTTGAAAATTGAATTAGATCTATAAAACTAGCTCATACAAGAATGAAATAATTCAGATATTGTGTGGTAAAATCAATTTATTTACAAATTACTATACAGTGGCCTTCATTGTCTATCATCGAGTGCTTCAACACCTGGGAGTTTACGGCCTTCCAACAATTCCAAAGAAGCACCACCACCAGTACTGATGTGTGAAACCTTATTTTGAGCATTATTGTTTTGAACCAAACTGACAGTGTCACCACCACCAATAATTGAAACCAAACCTTGTTCAGTAGCAGTAGCAACAGCATCTAACAAACCAATAGAACCAGCAGAAAATTGCTTAATTTCAAAGACACCAGCAGGACCATTCCAAACCAAAGTCTTGGCATTGAGAATGACTTCTCTGAAGAGTTCAACAGACTTTGGACCAATATCCAAACCCATCAAATTATCTGGAATACCTTGTTCATCAGTGTAAACAGACTTTTGAGCAGTTTCAGTGAGAGCATCAGCACAAACGTGGTCAATTGGGAAATGGAGCTTAACACCATTCTTCTTGGCCTTTTCGAGCAACTTTTCAACAATCTTGGCACCATCTTCATCGAACAATGATTTACCAATTGAAACTCCGAAACAGACCTTCTTGAAAGTGAAAGCCATACCACCAACAATGATCATTTCATCAACCTTATCCAACATGTTTTCAATCAATTTGATCTTATCCTTAACTTTAGCACCACCTAAAATAGCAACGAATGGCTTTGATGGTTCAACCAAAGCCTTACGGAAGTAATCCAATTCCTTCTTCAAAAGATAACCAGAAACACAACAACCCAATCTCTTCAAACCAACCATTGAAGAGTGAGCTCTGTGAGCAGTACCAAAAGCATCATTGACATAAACATCACCATATTTAGCTAATTGGGTTCTGAATTTTTCAACATCTTCTTCTGGAGTACCCTTCAAGACTTCTTCTTCTGGATGATATCTAAGATTTTCCAACAAGACAATCTTGGCCTTTTCTTCAAGAACAGCCTTTTCAGAATCAGGACCAACACAATCTTTAGCAAATCTAACTGGTTCTCCCAACAACTTTTCAAGTTCCTTGGCAACAGGTTCCAAAGTAGCTTCTGGAACAACTTTACCATCAGGTCTTCCGAGGTGACTCATCAAAACAACTTGAGAAGCACCATGATCTAAAATATATTTCAAAGTTGGAAGTGTTTCCTTGATTCTGGTATTATCTTTGATAATTCCATTCTTGAGAGGGACGTTATAATCTACTCTAGCAAGAACTCTCTTACCAGAAAAGTCAACATCTTCAATACTCTTCTTATTCATTTTGATGATGGTTATTGTTGTAGGTGTTAAGCCAAATTTTTTTAATTTGTTTCCGTTCCTTCCCAAGCCATACAGTCATCAAAGGGTTTTAAAAAGTACTCGATACAAATTGAATGGAAACTAAACGAGTAAAAATCCTTTACTTGTACTGTCAATCTAATTTTGCTCACTTGAGCAGCAACACAGATAATGTACATATTGTTGTGATGATATGATTAATGGGCATAAGCTTCATAGTTTTATCATGGATAATGTTATTTGACAGGGTGGTCTCATGGAAATATTATTCAATGCTCAAGAGCTTGAAGTTGTTTTTTCCTGCTGAAAAGCCTGCCCGAATAATTTTGTAAAACTCATTAAAAATATCGCAAAAAAATGCTCGCCAGACTCTCCAGATTTGCTTCAAAGAACAACAAGTGTTTCGCTGCTTCATCACTCCAAGTTAGAAGTATCCGATTCGAAGCTAACCCAACAGGTATGTTTTTATGATGAATAGAGGAATTTATAGAACAATATGATAAAATTAAAATAATAATCGTAAAATAATATTATTTTAATATGATGACGATGAAAATTTAAATAGTAAGAACTCAAGCTGCTGAAATTGCTATCCAAAAGTTCGCTTCTCTCAAATATATGGGTATGCCAATTACTGTTGATCACTACAATGAAATTATTTGGAAGTGTGTTGAAAATGCTCAATCTGACAAGGCTAAATACATGTTCGACGAAATGAGAGCTGAAAACATTGTTCCTGATGTTGAAACTTTCTCCATGTTGATTGGATCTACTCTCTTCGATGCTAACCCATTGAGAGCTGTTAACTATTTGGAAGAAATGATTCACTTGGGCGTTGAAACACCAAAGTCTTTCTATTTGGTTGTTTCTGAAGTTTTGGCCAAGGCTAAGCACAACAACACCAGCAAGTTGTTCAAGGAATTCAGTGGTAAGCAAACCGTTACCAATGAAGAAGTTTTGGCTGCTGTCCGTTCTGCTAAGACTGAAATTGGTCTCCACTAAATTTCCCTCCGTTTTAAACTCTCCAATAATTTCTCTATTTTAACTTCTCTCGACACCGAACCAATAACTGGGTTTTTGTAATAAAAAAATGTTTTCATCATCTGGCACGAGAAACTATCATCCATCATCATCCACAAAACAAAAATTAAATTATTATTTGATATCTGTAGTGATACTGTTGTATTTTGTCAATTTATTCATTATTGAATTTATTCATGCAGCATTTGTCAGAAGTACATCAGATCAGTCAACAACAATAGCAAATGTTTATTTACAAGACAACAAGTATTCTCCAAATTCAAATATGAATTCATTCCGTGTCATTGACACCAATAGTGACAATATTCATTATGATGACGATTTACCTTCTTGTAATAATTTATTTGGTACTCAATTTAGTTGTGACATTCCTCCTATTTCTTCCACTACATATGAATTTGAAGGGTGTAGATCCAATAATACTGTTCCAGTCAAATGTTATGCAAGAGAAGGTGTAAATTGTACAGGTGACAAGACATTTTACAAAGAAATTTCATGTTTTTACACGTAGGTATTTAGTTCTGGAATAATTTACTGGAATATTATTATAGTACTGGATATGCATTTTCAACAGCTCTTGGATTGAGCATTTTCTTTGGATTCTGTGGATTTGATAGATTTTATTTGGGTTATGTTGGTTATGGATTATTCAAGATGTTTACATTTGGAGGAATTGGATTATTGGTATGTATTATTGAATTGAAATTTTAAACTTGGATTAGTGGATTTATGATGTTGTACTTATTGCCATGCAAGTTGTCACTCCTCAAGATGGCAGTAATTATCTTGTTGGATACAATGGTCCTAGAAATATTAGATTCGTCCTCAATAACTCAACCTACGTTTATTGAGCTAAGATATGGCTGATTATCGAGTTAACAGATGTAAAGTATAGAACTTTGAGTTTTAAAATCATGTATCATCAGCACATATTCCAATTACATTTTGAAACATTTTCGAGAGAGAAGAACATTACATTAAATTATTTCCTAAATTATTTATCATATTTATTATTAACAATATTATTCAGACCTCAATAAGATATCCTTATTTCACAACAAACAATACTCAATTCTATTTTAAGGAACCTTCAAGATATCTGCTTGTTGATGGTAATGTGTTTCCAGTTATTTCTAAGCGTAACGGTTTTACCATCATAAAAAATCAAAAAAAATGATGGGACGAGATTCACCCTCAGAGACGAGGAACATCCCAGTAAGAAATGGGAAGAGTCTCATTGGTGAGGATGACGATGAGGTGAATGTTGGGGATAGTGGTGAGTTCGGAAGGCCAATACAATCTGAATCGAGATCACCAAGTTTGAGTGTAGGTTTTTATTGTTGTATTCAAGATGATATAATTTCGATACCTATAAATGTTTAGGAATTAAGGAGTAAGAGGGAGAAAATTAGACACAATTTGGACGCTTTGACGATGAGCATGAGGAGTAGGTTTATTAGTAATGAATTTGTATTATTCAAAAACAATAGGTGGAAATAATAGTGTAAATAGTAGTGTTGACTTGTCAGATTCATTCTCTTCTATCTCTTCTAGGCTTTCAATCAATCTAAATGAAATGCTAGAAAAACAACAAAATAAGGAGAAAAAACTGGAGCAATTGGCTCAGAAAAGAATTGAAAGAGAACGAAAACATCCAGAAGAAAGTCAAATTGAACAAAGGCTTATTGAATATAGGAAGCAACTTCAAATAGCTATCAATCAAAAGATACAATTGGAGGCAGAAATGGAAAATTTAAAACAAAATTTTGAAGATAAACTTGTAAATTACGAATTACAATTGGAAGAGTTGAAGTTGGATAAGGAGATGGCAGAGGAGCATGTTAATTCATATAGAGAGCAATTAGATGGTATAGTGAATGATTTGGCAAATGCTGGATATACAGGTGATTTAATACAGAATTATAGCTCTACTGTAAAAACTCAAAATGATGAAACAACGAATCAAATTCTTCATGAAATGATCGAAAAGAACAAGGATCTCTCAAAAATTATCAATGATTTGGAATCAAAAGTTAAGGATTTAGAGTTGTTCAAGGAATTATCTTTGGAAATGGAAATAATTGCCAAAGAAGAGATAGCCATTTTGAAAGAGGAGCTTGAAGATAGAGAAAATGATTTTTATGATTTTGAAAAATACTTGGAGGAAGTTCAAATTCTTGTAGACCAAAAAGAAAGGACTATAGAAATGTTTAAATCAAAAGTATTTCAACTTGCTTTGGAATTGGATTCCATAAGGAAGGAATCAAAGGATAAGGAAAGTAAATCCAATAGTCTCCAAATTAAATCTAACGACTTGCTGTTAAATTACACAAGTTTAGTGGAGAAGGTGAAAAACAAAAGAGGATGGTCCATTGAGAAGGATAAAATGAATATTGAAATAGAGGAGTTATCATCACACATTGAATCGTTACAGGTTTGTAGTTTAAATATATTTTAATAACACACGTAGACAATTCTTCCACCTCAAGTTTTTGAAGATTTTGTTCAATGTATAAAGCATTACCATATTCTTGGAACATCATCTAAAAAGTTTAAAAAGGTGATTAGATACATTAATGACAAGCCCAATGGAATTGCAGAAAGTTCTTCTGAAATAAGAGATTTTAAAATAAGAGATTTCCAAAACAAGTTAAGCTTCTTCCTATCGATATCTATTTTCATACTCGAATCTTTTAGAAAAAGATATTCCTACATTACTAATTTCAAGGAAATGGAAAATGTGGTTAAAGATGTGATGGAACTAGATAACGTAGCGGATAGATTTTTAGAGGTTCTCAAAAGAGATGATTTAACAGAAGATTTTTCCAATGAAAATACTGTGACAATTTCGTTTATTTTGACAAACCTTGTACAGGAGATAGATTCGATCAGCAGGCAGAATAGGTATGTGTTTGATTATTTGTGTTGGTATTTCTCACATTATTAGTGGATATTCTTGTATTTTAGAAGGAATGATAATGATGATTTCAACAATACTTGAGTTGTTTACCTCAATTCAGGTTTTGATTGAGAAGATTTTACCAGAAAAAGAAAGAGTACTTCCAGTTGTAAAGCAGATTTCTTCAAACTTGATTGCCTCACAAGCAGAATTTGAAAGCTTGAACCAAAATTGTAGAATAATTCAAAAGTTATTAACCGAAACCCCTCAAATAGTATGCAACGAAAAGTTTCATAATTTATGCGAACAATTATTCTTTATTTCTTTAATTTATTACGAAGCCCTTTTATCAAAGAACACCAAGATGGGATATGTTTATACTTACTACATGGATTTGCATGAAAGCCAATTGATTAGAGTTCAAAGCATAATGAGTGAAAAGGCAACTGAATTTAATTATATACCGTCTCATATGTTTGCTGATATTTCATTTAGACAATCTTCTAATTTATTTGTGGCTGCTTTGGGAATGCCTCACGAGGAAGTACTAAGATTAGTTTCCATAGGAGATGATTCAGATACGTTCTACATACCTAATCAATTTATTGGAGGTCTATGCGAGGAGTTGAACTCTTTTTGTGAGGAGATGATCATGAATCCAAAAAATAGAGAATCTCTAAAGGACACATTTGAGGAAAGATTAATCTCTGTGAAGAAAGACTTATCCATTTACGAGAACATGAGACCTTCAATGGAGAAGGTGGAAAAAGAAAACCAGTCTTTGAAAAGAACCCTTGAAGAAATTGAACTTAAACTTAGAAAAACTCTTGAGCAAAAAGATGAATTGGAAAAGAGTTTAGCCGAGTCAAATGACAAGGATGAGGAATTCAAGAAACTTACTCAAAAGTTGAGAGACTTGGAAGGATTTAGAGAAAAATATGAACTTGCCATGAGTGAAGAGAATGTTTACTTAGAAGCTATTGAAAAGATGCAAAACGATATTTTGAGCTTTGAGACATATGCAAAGGATCTAGAGGAAAAGATTAAGAATACAGGAGAGCTACCAACAAAGAGCCCACAAAGAAGAGCTTCTAGAATGGCCCCTTTTTCTTCAAGAGGAGCTCCAACTAATACTGATCACGTTGACAGATTGGAGTTGGTGAATATGAGACAAAATCTTGACTATTTGAATTTTAAAAACTTTCAACTTAAAGTCAGAGAAAGTGAAGAAAAGCTCATGAACACCATTTACAATCCAATGTTCTTCCAAGAAAAGGAATCCATTGTAAAGAAAAGATATCTTCACACTCTTTCCTCACTCATCAAGGAAAGTCATCCAATAGATGCTGTGGACCTCACGAATAATTTACTTGCACCTAAACAACAGCTAATAATATCGGCAAAAGCTCTAGAAAAACAACAAAAATTCCACACCAAGGAGGTTCATCAAGTGGTCAACTCAAATTTCAGACCTGCCGTTCTCTCCAGACAAAATAGTCAAAAGCTCCAGAATTCTTCAAATCAATAAACCATGAGCATTGAATTACTCAACAAAAGCAATTACTCCAACACCTTCATAACACATTCAAGCATCTACTGCTATTAGATTTTCTCTCTGTGTTGATGGATTTTCAAGACAAAAAATCACACAACAAAAAAATGAGTGAAATTAAAAATCTTTCCGTGATACATCAGCAACCGATCATCACATCATCGGAAGAGCAACAACATCATCATTTGTATCCCTTCCTCTCTGATAAAGAAAATGTCAAGATGAGAACATGTTTACTAAACTTTCTTGCTACTCATGAATATGAATTGGCAAGAGCACTTTTTATTGATTACTTTAAAACTGTATCAGAGTCGGATACATTGTTTATTCTTAATCACTGTATTGAAGAATTGAAGGATCCCAAAAATCCTCACGTCACTAGTAGATTTAAGTGGTTTTGTTATTGTGTATATACCGAGTTACAACAACTGACCAATAATTCAAGCCTAAAAGGTTATAATATTGATGTAATATCTTTTGAAACATTATTGGATTGTTGTGTAAATACTTTTAAATTATCGGATAAATTTTCTAAAGAGCTTGTCAGGCATATGAAATATATTTATTCATTTAGGTTATTATCAAAAAAGAAGTCAACAACAGAGACTGTAATAACAACATTATCATCAACTGGGTTAACATTTTCACAAAATATGGATAGTTCTATCATGGATTTAATTGGAGAAATGTATGAAAAATGTCCATTTCTAGCTTTCTATTTAGAGAGGAATGCATTTGAGTTTATTAATGGAAAAAGTATTTTAATAGAAAAGTTAGAAAATTTGTGTAATGATAGAGATTATGAAAAAGCTTCCTATATGCTTCGTTTCATATCTAAACAAATTACTATGGATTCAGAGTCGATTTATTTATTGAAAAACATTTTTAAACAATTAATTGAAAATAAGGCTATAGCTCTAAAGTCTAGACCAAATAATCAATTAATTGATATCATTTACGAGTCATTATTTATTGCTGATATTTCAGACAAGGAATATAGTGATGAACAATTCAAATTAACTAGAATTTTCACATCTTTGGATGAGGAGTTGTTATCAAAACAAAAATTAATTGATATTATACAAGCTTCTCCTTCATCTCAAAGTTTTTGGTTTCACTATATGGAATATATTCGAGTTACTAATAATCATATTTTAGAATCTGGGCTCAATTTAGCACTGGATCTCGTTGCTAAGAAAGACTATGCCTCACTGAATATTCTTTTGGATCAAGAAAACTTTTCAAACATGAGGCCTCTTATAATTTTATTAAGCTGGGATAATTACAAGTCTGACATTACTGAACGACATAATATCATCCAAAATATTTGGATTCAAGGAAAACAAAAAAGAACCCCAATTTCTGATCCATGGGTAGAGTTTACATGTAATGAACTTGCATTCTTTTTGGACTTTTCTTTGGATGCATCTGAACTTCTTTTAGAGGCCAATAGATCTATGAATACTATTGAAAAGAAACATAGTAGAGATCTTATCAAGTCGGTCAAGATGAAGAAATTGGCTGAAAATGACTTTAAGTTTACAAACAAGAAAGAAATTGCCAATTTATTAATAGATTTGGCTCCAAGTCAAAGCACTCTTAATTTACTTCTGCCATGGCTGGGTAATTTGAAAGAAAATGATTTGGTTTCTCTTTTAAAGAAAAGACCTCAGCTGCGTGAAACGACAGAAAATGAGAGAAATATCGATTTGACTTTGTTGAGAGCTTATTTTGCTATTCACGAAGCAATACAAATAGTAAGAAACAAATCAACATCCATTCTAGACTCCTTGAAGAGCATTGAAGACAGCATTGTAAATATATCAAGTGAATCCTACAGGCTCAGTACTTTGGAGAATATTTTCCAAATTATTTTAACAAAATCATCACATATCAAGGGTCATACAGACAATAATTCTGTATTTGTCATTTCACCAAATAATTTACATGATATGCTGGTTTTCTTAAAGACAGCCACAGAACTATTACAACAGTCGAGTAAAGATGAGAGAATGGTTTTTAGAATCGAAAGATTCGTCAAAATACTCGATGAAGCATTGTGGAGATTTAGTTTGACAAGAATGATTTCCGAGTTTGATAGAAATTCTCTCAATAGTTCCTACAAGCAACACCAATTTGTGCAAATGTGGACCGCTTCCCCTAACACACTTTTTGTTATTTGCATTAAGAGAAATCTTTTCTCTCAGGCAAAGGAAGTCATTACAAGATTTAATCTTGGTGAATCATTCAAGAATCAAGTAATAGATGCTGAAATAATGTATACCATTCATAATGAACATAAGGATAAGAGTGTTGGTGAGATTATTCAAAAATTCCCTAATTTTATAACACTTTTTGATGTGCTCTTTTCTTTAAAGACTGAAAACAAGGAACTACATGGCGTACTCATAGAAAAAATCAAAGAGCTCAAACCTGGTATTCCTCTACTTGATTTGTTTGCAATGTATTTGGATTCACCATATCAAGGACCAATATTCAGAGTATATTCCAAACTATTCAATTACAATCGTGAGGATAATATCGAAATTTTGAGAAAGTACATAGAGGTAGAAAAAACAAAATCAACCTCTCTAAAAGATTTATGTATTTATGATAACAGAGGATTCGAAAGTAAGGATATTTCAGAACTGATAGAAGAGTTAAGACATGGAAACGAAAGATATGATTATATTTCACAACTCTTATCAAACCTTTTGAAAAACAAGGAAATTTTGAATGAGAAGAGTAATACATCAGTATTTACATTATTTAAGAGAGGATTAGCCCAAATTTTATCAGAAACTCTCTTTGAAGAAGGAAATTGTACGTAATTTGACTATTTTACCAATGATTATTAATTTTTTCTAGATGAAAAGGCGTCAAAGTTAGCTGATCTCAATGGTATTCACATTTTATCATTTATCTTAGAGTCAGCTTCACAATCTAAAATATCAAAATCGAATGATTTGAGTATTTCACTAGATTTAGCAAAGATAATATCTCAAAAATCTTCGTTAGTGGGAGCTTTGTCCTCTTTATACTTTGCTGATTACTCCAAGATGAATCCACAGTTCCTAGAGTTTATAGAAAGTCAATGCCAGAATAGTGAAGTGATGAATAGATGGATGGCTATTAAGCTAGAACCTGTAAAAGATGCCATTCAATTATCTAAACGACTTGACCTCTCAAGAAACCTCAAAAAGTATACCATTTCAAGTTTTGAGTCAGATCAAGCAGACTCACTGTATCTTGCTATCATTCAAAACTTGATAGATGCTGACGATTACAATCTTGCATTGGAAATGGCTGAGAAAGGTCTTACTCACTTTACACCTGATTTTCTGTTAAAACTTTATATTGAAAATATGCCTGACCACTCTGAATGTCACAAGTACATTTATAATATCAAGGATAAGGAGCTTGCATTTTCTTTAATTGAAATTTATATGGATGAATGGGATATTGAAGTTTGCATTGAACTTATCAGATCATGTTGCAGTACTTTTAGAAGTGATAAAACAAAACAAAAAATCTACGAAAGAGCCAGTAAGGTTTTGGAAAGGTTACACATTTTCAAGGAGGTCCTCAGCAGTGAGCTAAGAGATAACTATGATTCATGGACTGAGATGAAAGAAATTTGCGATCATAATCCATACAGATTTATTTCTGATTTGATTACAGTGTGTGAGTTTGATCTTGCTAGAAGAGCTGCCAAGAATCTTCTTTCTACCTCCACCCCAATGAATATTGGTGAGGGCTATGATTCTGTCATGATACACATAGAACAAGAATATTGTCTTTATATTTTGGGAGAAAAAGCAATTACAGACAAGATTATAAGCAAAGTGACACAAGCTTTATCCAGACTCAGTCCTGAAAATGCTCTTTCTGTTTGCAAACATGTTTTGGAAAAGTTGGAAATTTATGAGAATAAGCTATTTGTTTGTGAATTTATTCTCTCAGTATACAAGGAACATCTCAAAAAGGATCAATTGGAACAATATACTGCTAGCTTGATGGGTATGAGAGTTTTAAAACTTTTAGATGAGGAAAATAAGAAAAAGTATAATCACCTACTTTTGAAACCATCACTGATAATTGAAAATTTAATTATCAATAATGAAATGTTGAAAGTTTCAAGAATACTCAACGAATTACCAGAACTTCAAAACGACGACTTGCTGATTGAATATGGTATGAAAGCATTGTCCTTAAAGAATTTTGAACAAACAGATACCACAAAGAAGAAATCCTCTTCTCGTGTTTTCACTCTCAATAATGAGGAGCACAACAACAATATTAGAATCAATTTTTCCTTCCCTCAAGCTCCTAGTATTCTGCTAGCCAAGTCAATCTTGGATATTTGCAAGAATAATAGAAAGGTTGGAGATTCCATCTTGACGCTCTGTGATGAAATCAGCAAAACCCAACATATTTCAAGAACGAACAGAATCAGTCTGGTTGGTCAAATTGTCAGATATGCTAAAATTTGTTTCAGTAAGGATACGGAATCTCATGAAAGATTAGGTTTATGTGATACTATCCTTTCTCATGTGGAAATTTTAAAGCAAATTATTTATCATAATTGTGCCATTGGAAGTATTTCTCTAAGTGATTTAAGTCAACAAAATAGAGCCAGACAAATTCGTGACAGTCTAATTCAACTTGACCATTTGAATTTAGCATTGAATGTTGCTACCAGATGTCAAATCGAATCTGATCCTATTTGGACTCAATGGGGTATTACCCTTTTAACTTTAGGAAAGTACAAACAAGCCCGAGACAAACTCAAATATTGCCTTACTCTCACTCCTCAGCAAAAACAACAACTTCTTAATAGAATATTGGCTATTCTCGAAGGAGCTCCATCTGTAGTTGCAGTTGATCAGAAAATGGGAGACAAGTTGAAAGAATCTGTATTGGACTCACCTGGTAACAGTCCATCAAAGAAAAGAGCCTCTATAAGTATTGAACAAGTTGAAAAGTCACAACTTCACACTCATCTCGATGAAGAAAGAATGAGAGAGGCCCAGTACTATATCAAACACTTTGGTTCGAGTGATATTTACATTTCATTCCTGGTTAGAAATGGAAAATTAGATGCTGCTATTCTTTATCTTTTCAAGAAACAAATGTCTCAATCTCTTTTTGTGGATGTAATTGTAACATATTGTGTTAAATATGGATTGATGAAATTCTTACAAAATGTAATCAAACAATATGACACTACCTTTACAAAGTGTTATCCATATCTCACTGCCACTTGTAAATATTTGAATCAAAAACAAGCACTCAACTTGCTCTATGATTTCCAAGTTTTTATGGATGATAACATCAGAGCTGGTTTGACCAAGATTAGATTATTCTTAAAGACTGATGATCAAAATCAACAACTCTCCCACTTGGAAGGTGCAAAGAAACATTTCATGACTGGGCTTCAAAATAGTTCTACAGAAAATGATGTTCAAAAGCAAGTGTTAAAACCTGATGAAATTTCAAGATATGTCAAAACTATCAATTTACAAACAGAAGTCACAAAAAAGTTTGGAAATGTCATGAGTCCATCAACTCCTAACACTAAGATTACTCTATTTGATGCAGTTAAAGGAAAATGTGAAATAACTGAATTTTTAATGTTGCAGTCATTTGATTTATCATTTAGAATTGCATCTGAGTTCCATTTACCAATGGTCAAGCTATATATTCGTACTCTGTGTAGTCTTGTGAGAAAGAAGCAAATAGCAATTATAGAAAATTTATTGAAACAAATTAGAGGAACTCCAATTAGTGATGAAGATTGGGATGCAATCATTAATAATATTATCAAACTTTATATTAAGGAAATGAATGATGAAAAGAATGCAGAAAAATTTATTGCAAAATTGAGAAACGATTCCAAGAAGGTTAGAGCTTGTTTGTTGTGTAATAGATTCAAAGCAGCTTATTTGATTGCTGTGAAATGTGATAACTTGGATGATGTCAAATTAATTTTCGATTATTGCAATCAGGTTGATTCTAAGGCAACTCAAACAATAGCTGAGCACTGTCTGAAATATTTGAAAGATCATGGAGTTCAAATTGTATTGCCAACTCAACCAACATCTAATTCAAAATAATGACATCTTTCTTTGAATCATAATAAAACTTTAGATTCAAATTAAAATACAAATAAATTAACAAGTTTATTTCTTTCCCATTAAAGCTCCAACTAAACGGAAGAGAGAACCAACAGTACCAGTCCATGGACCATATAAGAAGTCAACCAAGTGAGCAACAACCATATGAGCATAACCTTCAGTTGGGTATCTAATAAGTTTTGGTGGAGGCATATCAATTGGGAATCTGTTAGTAACGAAACTCTTTTGGATAGTGAAAGCACGGAGACCTTCTGGACCATTGAATCTACCAAAACCAGAAACCTTAACACCACCGAATGGCAAATCTTGAATCAAGTAGCTCAAACCATAGTCATTAACCATGGTCAAACCAGCAACGAGACGGTTACCAATTCTTTCAGCACGCTTTTGATCACCAGCAAATACATATGAACCAAGAGCATAACAAGTACTATTAGCCATTCCAATGACTTCTTCTTCATCCTTCCACTTGACAATAGTGACAACTGGTCCAAAAACTTCATCTTGAACAACATTCATATCATTCTTAACTTCAGTGAGGAGAGTTGGTTCCAAGAATTGACCCTTCAAATTTGGATTTCTCTTACCACCAAGAACGAGCTTAGCACCTCCCTTAACAGCATCTTGAATGACTTTTTCAATCTTTTCAATAGATGTTGACATGGTCATGGCACCAATATCGTTAATTTCTTCTGGTTCAAGAGCACAATCCTTAGTACAGGTTGGTCTTTGTCTGAGTGATTTCATAAGTTCAACTGCCTTAGCAACAAACTTGTCATGAATCTTTTCATGAACGTACAATCTTTCAGCAGCAATACAATTTTGGCCACAATTGTAAAGAGAAGCTCTAATAGCAACATCAACAGCAATATCAACGTTAGCATCTTCACAAACAATGAATGGATCCTTGCCTCCCAATTCCAATGTAACAGGTGTCAAATTTTCAGTGGCAGCCATCATGACCTTCTTTCCGATTTCAGGAGAACCAATAAAGAAAACGTGACTAGTATTCTTTGATTTAGCAAGAGCATTACCAGCTTCACCAAAACCAACAATGAATTGAACAGTATCTGGAGAGAAACCAGCCTTAATTAAAGCATCTTGAACTAAATGTTCATATAATTCAACACTTGACCAAGTAGCCCATTCACTAACCTTAATAACAACAGAGTTACCAGCAAATAGAGCAGCAATAATAGCATTGATAGCATTTTGGAAAGGATAATTCCATGGAACAATCATACCAATAACACCCAATGGTAAATATTGAACTGTGGCAACTTTGTAAATCATCATTAATGGAACATGTCTAGTTTCAGGTGAAAGGAATTGTTCACCTCTAGTAGTTAACCATCTAATCTTTTCACAAGTCATGACAACTTCACCCAAATGAGCTTCAAACATTGTCTTACCAGTATCTTTACAACTCTTGGCAACAATTTCATGTTTGTGTTTCAAGATATTGTCCAACAAATGCAAGAGTACTCTCTTTCTATCCTCAAATGATGTCTTGGACCAACCTTCAAAAGCCTTCTTAGCAGAGGAAATTCTTTCTTCAACATCTTGAGTATTCATTGCTGGTACAGGATCACATAATTCTTCACCTGTTCCTGGATTAGTACAAGGAATCATTTGTCTTCCTTGTGGATTCTTTCTTGTTGTAGCAACCCATTCTTGAAGTGGTGTTGAAAGACGTTTCTTAGTATCGAATGGTTTAACTTGCTTCCACATGTAACTTCTTCCAAATATTAATTTATAAATAAATTTAATAACCATATAACCAATCACGGTATAGATGGCATATTGTCCAAAAGTAAAAACACTCATATTCATCAATGATGATACCACACCACCATCAGATGATGAACACGATGATGATGAAGCTGTTGTTGTTTTGAATGACATTTTTTTTCACAAGCCTTTTTTCATCAGGATCGCACTTCGATGGAGGAGGACTTTGAGATTTGCAGAGAACTGTTGGTTATCTTGGTGTTAGAAGTTGTTGAATTAATAATGATGAATAGGATAAGATAATAATCATCATTATTGGAGAAGAAGAAATTGTAAATTATTTTACCTATATATCTAGCACCTATTTCCTGATTGTTTATTTTCATCAGCTAGAAATTGGCAATATTGATTGTAGCAAGCATCGGAAAAGTCCTTGTTAGATTCTAGTGTGAACATGAGCTGATTGATGAACATTTCCTTAGTGACAAACTTCCTCTTTCCGAATTGTTGAACACACTCTTGAGATAACACAGATGAATATTCTGGTTCAACCACAGTAGAAACTTGTTGATTGGCACTAGAGTTGAAAAAGTGTTCTCTGATAAGTGATTCTTCATCTAGATAATTATTTCCGTCCATTGCAGATGATGGATTAAAGGAACCATTTTCAACTGGTGGTAATCCTGTTACACCTCCAATTCCTAGCATATTCTTAAGTAAAGATGAAGCATCTGATGATGGTTGTGAATCGTTTTGATGATGATTAATTTGATGGGATTGTGATGATGGATGATAAATTGAATCAGCATGGTTTGGATGGTAATTAATTAGAGGAGATGGTTGCAAAGTAGTTGGTGGTTGTACAAAAGTATTTGATTGTTTGCTTTCTGGTTCCGTCTTTCCATAGGCCTTTTCTTTCAACGAAACGATGAGGTCATTAAATTCAATACATTGCAAAGATTTGTAGAACCAAATTCCCTTGATAATACGACCTTTGGTTCTATAGAATACATATGGGTGATGGACTTCCAATTCTAAATCCTTTGTAATATCTTGACGAAAATCATCACTACTCTTTCTATTCATCACTACAATACGATACTTGGGAAATTTTGGTTCGTTTCTCTCTACAATAAACATGGCTCCTTCTACTTCCAATTTATCCCATGAATCATCTTGAAACTTGTAAAATACTACATGATCAAAGGTCGAGTGTATTGTCGTAATAAATTTATCTTTTCTCTTTAAAACTCCAATATTCATCTGTTGTCTAGCGTTTAATCGGTTTGTATTATAATTTGCACCGTTTTTACCATCTTGTTGTTGTTGGCCATTTGTATCCTGTTGCTGAGTAGCAGAGGAATACATTGCCATCGATTGGTTATTCGTCGTCATTTTTTAAATCTATTTTTATAAATTATTTAATAATAATTTGTTTTTGTATTTCAAATTGGCTAATATTTTACAATTTGCTATTTATATGATGATGAATTTTTAAAATTAGATAGCTGGTTAACGTCAATAATATTAACTGATTGAAACAAAGCTTTCTTGTGGATAATACATTGGTATTGAAAGTAATATTAATATGGAAAATTAAAATGGACTTTAGCACCAAAATATATTCAATTCGAACCTTATCTCCATTCCAAAACCGATGTGAGAAAAAGTCTGAAGCTTTTGTTTCTACTATTGAGGAAGAGGTAACACATTTTCAATCAGTAAACAACTGTATAATGGAGGAGACATAATCCCCAAAGAATATATTCACAAACAAACATTTGTCTTATTTTCACATCGACTGACTATCAAGTCCTCTACGTTAAGATAATAAATCTTAATGGACTGGAATTAATATCACAATACATCTCGATTAATAAGGGTGATTTTACCTTAATTAGTGATTGCCTCCATGGACTGGTATGGCTTGTTTGTGGACATTTCATAAGGTCCACCTTAATGAAGGAGCCAACAAAATAGCCCTAAATGTGCTCTATTTCCATTAAAAATTTATTGAGGGAAAAAGAAGCAATTATTCGTTGCCAGCCCCAACACACAACATAAAAAATGGGGGGAATTTGCTCATCTATATCTTGTGGAAATTCCGTGTCCTCCTCTTCGAATTCATCATCAGTGAGGACATTCTTCTCATCATCAACAAAAGTTAGCGACAATTCAACAACGGTCTCTCCTATAAAATCGAGTACAACGCCTTATGTAAATATAAATAAGGCCAAGAAAAACCTTCTCAATACATCAAAGGAATCACTGAAAGGTTATCTTAATATTAAAAGGAGGAGGAGGAACACTAAGATGGCGGAAATGAATAAGCAATTTGAGAATATATTAAAGTTTTTTGATCTGCCAGTTCATACGAACTTATTCGAGAATGTAAATTCAATCATTACATATTTTGATCAGAATGAATCAAAGGAAGAAGTATCAATGAAGCTTTCAAAGATAGTATTTGATTCATATGATAGGGATAAGAGTGGATTTTTAGATTCATCAGAGTTGAGAAAGTTTTGTAGAGATTTATTATACATGTGTGGTCAAACCAAAGTAACAGAAAGTAAGTTTTGTTATTGTTGTTACTAAAACTAATACTTGTTGCTATTTTTCCTATAGAGAGTATAACAACACTGGTGGAGAGCTTGCAAAATGTAATTAAGGCTCAAAAGTTTGACAGACTGAGTTTTGAATTATTTTGGAGTTCTAATATAATGAGAGGTGAAATGATTGATTCATGTGGCCAGTTAGACGAGTCTTATATAGTGTTTAATCCAAGCTTATCGACAGAACAAATACAATTTCTTGAAAATCTCACATCAAGAGAATTGAAAAAGGAATTTGACTTGTTCTTTAGGTTCTTTGATTATCGGCCTACTGGTAATTTACTTCGAGATATCAATCTGTTCATGAAGATATTAGCAGATGAAGATTTTGAAACTCCATCACCAATATTTGATTCCAAAGAGGTTAGCAAACTGCAAAAGAAGCTTCAATCCAGGTTACTTCGTTATATATTTGAATATTATGATGGAGATGGATCTGGTGTAATTGAAAGAGATGAACTATTAAGCTTCATGCAAGACGTGCAGGAAGCTCTCTCAAAGAATGGTGATGAAGATATTTCGGAGGAAGACATTTCAGATTTAGTTGATGAAATGCTGCATGATTGTGATGTTGATGGTGACGGTAACATTAGTTATCATGAAATATTGCCACATTTACCAGCTTTATTTGCACGAATGAGGCACTAATTGTACATTTTGTAAATATTAATAATTTAAATCGAAAATATCAATAATTAATAATTAAAAACCAACAAATTAAAAATGTCATCATTTCTACTGTCGAATGTTATGAAGGCTGCTCTTGCACTAACAAATGGAACGAATCTTCTTTCTAATGATGATAATCTTGAACCAATCAATGATTTGTCATTTAACAATTCTAGTACACTGTTTGATGATACACCTGATTCATTGTTCTTTCCGAATGGTATTCCTAAAGTACCTAAATCAACTTCCATTGAACATGATCGGGATATGTATATCAAGTCAATTCTAACAGAGGGAGAAATAACAAACTCTGCTCATTTACCTTTTCAATTAGTAATTCCAATGATGATGAAACCATTGAATACCAAAAAGAAGGGAAACATCCCTCAACAAGAATATTATTCACATGAGGAATTGAATGATATTTCTGATGAGGAAAGAAAGAAAAGACAGGCTCTTCTTGACAAGTATGACTGAAACTCCTTATTTAACTTTCATATGCTGGTTCATTAAGGTATTGGATAATTGGAAATTTTGATATTTCTTAGTCAAGGATAGGAAGAACCTTGACAAATCGAAATGTTGAGGGATCTCTTTTCACAATTCATTACAATTTCCTGATAATTTTCAATGGAAGGTCAAATTAATTAGTTAATTGGAAAATGGTGAATATTAGAAATTGAAATCAAAAATTGATTTATGGAAACGGATTAACATTTAATTAAAGTTGGATATCTGATTATTATTAAATTCACTTAATTATAAAATCAAATTTAATTTTCTCAAATAATCCTTTAATATTATCTTTCAACCAAATCAATATAAAATACATAAAATCATATTTAGTATAATACACTATTTGGTCAGCCAATAAATTGGGTTTAAACATGTTTCCTCTTCACTATTTCCTCAGAAGACCGTCATGATTGTATCATCATTCAATTTAACAATCAAATCGGACAAGATTTAATGTGCTAGGTAAATTCTCCATCCTCACTCGGATGAAAATTATGGTTCGATTGGTTTTTCATTTTTTTCAATTTATTAAAAAAAATGATCGAATATTTGGCGGGAGTCTTGTTGCTTTTAATTGGAGTAATTGGCTTGAATGTGTTTAGATATTTAGAATTTGAGAAGGAGAGAAAGAGAGTCAATTCTGAAGAGTGCCTCTCCAATAGACATATTATCATCACCGGAGCAAGCTCTGGCATTGGAGAACAATTATTGCGACACTATTGTACCATCGGAAAGAGAAATAAAATTGTCATAACTGCTAGAAATGTTGAGAAATTGCAAGAATTGAAGGAAATCATGTTGAAGGAATATAGTGGAAAGGGTCACGAGATTTTCTGTGTCAAGACAGATGTTTCCGTTGATGAGGAATGTAAAAATTTGATCGAGTTGAGTGCTAAATATTTAAATGAGAGAATTGATGTAATTTATTTGAATGCTGGAAGATCAGCAGTGCAAATGTTTGCTCAAGCTACAAATTTAGATGGTCATAGAAGCTTGATGGAGACTAATTTCTTTGGATGTGTCACACCAACATTCTACTTGATGAAACATTTGAGAGAAAAGCAAGAATCTCATTGCTCTATTTGTGTTGTTTCAAGTCTTGCTGGATTATCAGGTGTTTGGTATGTTTTATGATGATTCTAATCATTCTAACTATTTCATCAAGTTATAGAACTGCCTATTCTAGTAGCAAATTTGCTCTTCATGGATTTTATGAAGCTTTGAAATTGGAATTATTGAAGGAGGGAATTTATGGAAAGAAGGTCACTATTTCAATTGTTTGTCCTGGCTTTGTTAAAACTCAAATTCACTTCAATGCTCTTGGAACTGAAAACAAGTCAGCCTCCAATGTTAAAAGAGATTTATCACAATTCATGGAAGTTGACGAATGTGTTTCCAGAATGGTTACCAATGTAGAAGGAAAGAATGGAGACTTTTTATTTATTGTACCTTATACTGAACGTTTCTTGATTCAATATTTCAGACCTTGGATGCCAGCTCCAATTATTGAGTACATTCTCTTAAAGAAGGGTGATTCAGTTCAAATTGAATAATAAATAATTATTTATTTTGATTTCTTCTTACTTTCCTTCTTTTTCTTCTTGGAAGATTCAGAATCAGAATTCGAGGAAGAAGAAGAATTATACGAATTGACAGTATTTGCCTGTTCTAATGGATTACTGAAACGTGTGAAGGTATTATAGGTGTTCTCTCCAATACCAAAACTCCACGTATGTCTGTTTATAAACAATAATATCACATGTTTGCATATTGTTCATATTACATGTTTGTAAAAATTAAAATATTTAGAAAAGAAACTGAATGTCAATACTTACACAGTTGGTGGTCTTCCTCTTTTTCTCCTTGGTGGTGCATTACTTTCTTCATCTGGTCCTCCTCCCTCTTCACCATTCATGATGCTTGGAGGAAACATTGGAAGAACATGTAAATTACCACCTGTTGAACTACCACTTCCAAAAAAGAAGTGTTGATCGTTGGTGTTTGTACTCGTGCTACTTGATGGCATTGATGAGGAGCTAGCAGCTGATTGCTTTCTCTTCTTTTTTGATGTTTTTGCGACTTTCTTATTGGTTGTCGAGTAGGATGGTGTTCCACCAATTGAGTTGTTTTGGGGCGAGTTAAGAGTGGGTTGATTGGGTGCTAGTAGAGGAGGTGGTATCTCAACATGTATCATTGCTGATTTGCCTCTCTTCTTTTCCTTCTTTACCTTACTTTCGAATAGATTAGTTTGAACAGTTGGTGGTGATAAGGGAGAAGATGAGGCAGCACCACCTACATTACTTCCACTATAAAACATGTTTCCAATATTATTGGTATTAATTGTTGGACTTTGCAGAAATGAATTGTCATCCATGCCAACTGCCAATAGCTCATCAAGTTCACTATTTTTAATCACATCTTGTTCCTCATCAAATATTTGATTTAGAATAGCATCTTGTTGAGGACTGCTAGTAGTATGTACTAAAAGTGCATTCGAAGTTTGTTGCATTTGACCGTTAGAATTATTCGAAACATTCATGCCTCCAAGAACATGTTGATTCGTATTAGTACTATTAGTATTATTATTAATAACATGTGAGAAATTAGTTAGAGATGGGCCTATTGTTGTACTAGTTGTATTAGTAATTGTTGTATTATTCGAAACATGCGTTTGGAAAGGTTGTTGGTTTGGTTGTTGGAAAATCTGATTGTTACTCAATTGGAGATTTACTTTTTGCACGGCGGACTGGTCATGTTGAGTAATTGGATAATGAGGAGATTTACTCAGTGGTTCAGATGTTGTTTGAGTCGTAATCATTATTCCTATATTGGAATTAGTATAATTTTTAAGTTTACCTAAAGTAGTATTAGAATCCTGATTTGAAAGTGGTAAGATGCCATGTCTCTCAACAATAACAGGTTTGATTATAGAATTTTGCTGCGGTAGGTTTCTCCTTAACTGATTACTATTCGAAAGTCCAACATCTTTCACAGCTCTTGCTCTTCTTCGTAATTCTTCCTCTAAATCTCCAACACATTCCTCTCGTAAGATGTAATAGCATGGAATTGGTGAAGAATTTGAGTTACTGTCCACTGTTGCTGTTGCTGTTGCTGTTGCTGTAACAGTATTAGCAATAGTTTGATTAGTATTAGCAATATTAATATTTGAAATATTATTGGAATTATACGAAAGAAAATTATCAGAAGGTGTGATATTTTGCGACATGTAGAACAGTGGATAATTCTGCTGCTGTTGCTGATGTTGCTGATGATCGGATAATGTTGTTGTTGTTGTTGTTATGTGAGTTGTTGTTTGTGTTGTTGGTCGTGAAGAGAAGGGTATCATCTTATTGTCCAATGATGACAATTATTCGAAACTTAGATGGTAAAATTGCGATTGTTTACTGCCTTTACCTAATGTGCAGTGATTAGTGTTGTTTTTTTTGTTTAGAAATATTAAATAATATAATACCAAGCAATTGCAATATATTTAATAGTTATTGTAAAGACACTTTTTTGAAAAATACTTCTTCTTGTGGCGGAATAAACATAATGCTGATGAAACTATTAACTGTTGCGACCACCACTAGCTTTACCCACTGCTCTAGTCAATTGCCACTTTAGTCAACTCTGTGAATCAACACAAACTATTAGATTGTTTATTCGAAACGAGGGATCTACACGTATTGATCGAGGTCTTGCCTGTTTGACTAATTTCTTGGTCGTTGTGGACCTTTCTTCCGTTCTCATTCCTTTACGAGGTTTGGTCAACTCTAAACAAGGTAATGATTCATGATGAATTGTAGTGAATTGGTAAAGTAGGGGCTTTTTAGTTGATGCGGATTTTTTCAACATTTTTCGCAATTTCTTTAATTTTAAAAACCATGAAGTGTTGGTACATGATTAAAAGAGACAATTTCATGTTGTGAAATTCTCAATATTCAGAATTGAGTGGACAAGTATTATTGGTCATGGGTGTTTGTTTGGAATGTGTCAGTGTTTGGGAATGTTTCGATAATACATGTTGTTGTTGTGTATGTGGATAACCATTAAGTTCTTTAATTATTGGAAAGATTTCGAATAATATCGACTGAGCAAACAATCATAATAATGTGTTACTGTATACAATTGAATTTTCCAGTTTCTGGTTGTGGTGATTATGTTTTGAATTTCTCCAATTTATTTTGCCATGAAATTCACAAATTCTTTATATCCACTTATTACTCCAAATGTACATGTTTTGCAATGTTACTGTAAATGTGCATATACTAATACAGCAAGTATAGATCGAATAGATGGGCTACTAACTAATTTGTTGGATTCTGACTAGTTGTATTGGAATGCACTTTTAATTTACACTATTATTCGAAAGTTTGGAAAGAATCGAATGGTACATGATGTAGATTCGATATTAATTGGGTTGAATGAAATTGAATCTATGAATTGATGCATGTGCATTAGAATAAAAGAAAATGCATGTTTTCAATGCATGGTAAAGTTGTATAGAATGTACTATTAGTTTAGTTTCATCACATTCAACAACATTCCAAAAACATTTTCCTATTCATCCAAAGAAAAAATAAATGTGGTAATGATAATGCGTTAGATAATGTCCATCTTGAAAACATTCCACATTTTCCAACCGTCAGATTACATCCACAAATTTTGAAATCTTCACACATCCACAATAAGTTGTGCAAAACATATCAACAACATGTTATGTAAACAATTTGCATGTTATCATGTGTGTTATCCATCATCATATGATCCGCACATGTATATGTATACAAATGACATGTAATTGCCTCCTCGTTGAATGTTTCAAGAATTCAACATGTGTAATTCCCTGATATTTGGCGGGAAGAACAACAAACAACAGGATAAATCACAACCAAGAACAACAAGAAACATCTTCTATTGTTGTTGTTTGCTCCACATCATGTTCCTAGCATTAGTTGTGCCTGTTTGAAAAGATGATGTAATATATTATGGTACTGTTATAGCTGTTATTGTTGTATTATTCATAATATATATTGTAGTCTATTATAACAAGAGCAACAACAACATTAATACATTTAGGATGTTGTATGGGAGATGTACATGTAACAATGTTATAGCTTGAAGACAGGATGTGTTCAACATCAGCAGCATCCATTGAAAAATATGTTCAAGTAGACAACATCATGTTGGATGTAGGGACATTTTGTTTTTTAATATTTTATAATATTTTTAAATACCGTTGTAATACCAAAATTTTTTTGGCCACAGTCAACCGGCAAAGCTTAACACGTTGATTTTTGGCGGCAAGTTAAGCTTGCCTAATTCACAACATCAAAATTAACACGTATGACCCTGAGTTATAGTTGGTTGCCAAAAGCTCTAATTAATTCAAATTAGTATACTAATTTCCATAGCTAAATTTTTATTTTTTATTGTTAATTTCATAGGAACGACCAATCTTTGAAAGGGAAGACTTTAACAGATCCATGTTGTTTTGAATGGTTTTTGTCAAGCTTATTAATTTTTCTTGAGAATCCAAAACATCTACAGTACTTGTGTATGGATTATATTTGAGTTGGAATGGTCTATCGAGAGAATTGTTGACGTATCTTCTAATTAAATCTTTGCATGATTCCAAGCTTTCAACAACATAATAGATTGGTTGGTAGTGAGTGATTGGATAAACTCTATTAGCAGCATCTTCTGGAACGAATGGTAAATATTCTGGTTTCTTTCCAGTTTCTGCATCAATGCCTGAACAACCATATTCTAGTTCACCAAACGAGCTTAACAAACCAGCACCATAAGCCTTCAAGGAACCGTTTTCCTTGAGGATACCAAATTCGAGACAGTACCAGTAGAGTCTAACAAGTCTGTCAATTTCTTCATCGGAAGCTCCGAGAGATGCAAGACCAATTTGTTGAGAGAATTCAGCAAAATCAGAATCAGCCAATAATGGCATGTGACCAAGCATTTCGTGAACAACATCAGGTTCTGGTGTATAGTATGGCTTACTGTGATGTCTAATATATTGGGTACTGTGGAAAACTCTAAAAGCAAGAGCATTAAGGAAACTATTTGGGTTAAATGATGAAAAATTTCAAAATTGAAAACTTACTCTCTTGAAGTGAGCAAACCAGAGACAGGTCTAATTCTGAAACCTGTTGAGCTCAACAAAAAGTCACTGACATCTTGTAATTGTGGGATTTTATCTTCCTTGAAACCACAGTTTTGTTCAAATAATGGGAACAAGTTGTTATATTGTTCGCAAGCATATTTAGGATAGAGAGCTGTCAATTTCTTGTAAATAATACTCCAAGTCTTATTTTCAGTTTCAGTGTAATCAATACGTGGAATTGGACTTCCATGTTTGTAATTCAAAGCAATGTCTGCGATCATCTTTCTACGATCTCTGTATTCTATTGATTTGATAAACATTAGAAACAATGTCAATAAATCAATTCCTTACCTTGATCATGGAAACCTGGATGATCAGCTTGCAAAACAGCACCAGCTTCAAGACATTCTCTTGCGAAATGGTCAATATCTGCAATCTTTGTTGGGAACCAAGGAATCTTATTTTCAAATCCCAAATATTGTACATGATCACAAATCTTTTCTTGAACCATTTCCTTGATGGCTCTATCAACAATATCCTTACTCACTCCTTCATCAACATTGACAACAAAATCAATAACCTTCTTATCAAATCGATTAGGACGTGATTCAATCTTTATCAAATTAACATTGTGCTTTGAAAACACAGCCAAAGAACTTGTTAATGAAGTGACTTTATGTGGAAGGGAGAGAAGGAGAGTTTTGTGCAACTTGGTTGCATTTGCAAACTTTGGAAAAACACGTTCCATTCCTATTATTTGTGTGCATAGATTTGATATCATTCAGCATAGTAAGAGTATGCATTCATTCCGAACAAACATCATCACACCAAAACAAGCAAACAAGTAATAATATCAACACCACTCCGATAAATCTTCTCTAAAGCGTGCAGCAACACTTACCTATTACTTAGGTGATTTTTTTGTTGTTTTGATGAATAATTGTCCCTAGAAACTTGGGAAATTCCTTCTACTCTCGCTTATTTTCTTCTCTGCTATTGTGGGTGTTGGAAGCGTAGAAAATTCTCCATATTAGTACATTGGGTGGAGTTGGAAAAAACGCGAGTTCTTCTGGCCGGGGAATTATTTGAAAGGCAGTCTTACTTCTTAATTACTTATTAGTTTTCATTGTTATTGATATGAATAAAAAGACTACAGCACCACAGGTTCCCAAGTTGTCTCCAACCTCAGTACTGATGTGGCTCGACGATGCTTAACTTCTCAAATCGGACGGGATGAGGTGCATTCATCGTGATATGGCCGTAGCCATTTACCACCTCAATCCGAAGTAATTAAATCTCTTCTGCCTTAATTTCCATTATCAATTTCAATGTCTTTGGAGGCTGAAAATTTGACTAGTTTTGCCTTGTAGAGTTTTGTTGGTTTTAGAGTTAGCTTTGGAGGCTCAATAGGATCGGTAAATACTTGTTGATAGTACATTTTACAAATGTTGGATTCTACTGAGGTGGACTTCTTAATTTCTTTGATTTTGGAATCAAAATCTAGAGGAGAAATGCGTGATAAACGAATATGTTTGTTGGATTTTAGAATTTGCAACTCTTCCTTACTTCCAATTTGACAAATAACACATCGTCCAACTTGGCAATAAAGTATCAAGATATCTAAAGGTATGAGTGTTGATGAAAGGTTAACAAATTTCAAATATGGTAGGCACGCTATCATTGTTAGAGTTGTGTCATCAAACAAGCAGGAGGAAATGTCCAATACTTCAATAGTGGTTGGGATATTCAAATTATTTGCCACAAAAGTAGATCCTGATAGATCCAATTTTTTGAGATTTTTACACTTCCCCATTAAATTATTGAAATACTCAGTTGAAATATTGCTTGTCCAAGAGAGTGAAATAGAGGTCAAGTGTTTCAAATCAACCTTTGGTGATTGAAACTTGATTTCATTAAAACCTTGATTGTTCTCAAATTTTACAATTTTGATATTTTCTGTTTGTATAAAAATAGTGTCAAACACATAACTTCTATTTGCAACTCTACTAAATCCTCTTACTTTGATAGATTCCAATTTCTTGGGTAATCTAATTGGCATCAAAGAATTATTAAACAAAATAGAAATTGTAGAATTATCCAATATTTTCAAATGTTCCAAACATTCTAAGCAATCCAAATGATTCAATAAATTAAACTTGAATAATTCCAATGTAGAAACTTCGATAGTCATCTTTCTTATTTGAAACCTTTCATTCAATCTTTCGAATATCCTACAAATAAAATCATCATCAAAATACTCATCTTGATCAGTAATTAATTTCAAATTTTTAATTTTCCCTTCATATCTCTCCAAATTCAACAATCCTTCAACTCTCCGAAGAGAAACAGTTCCACATAACTCATTCCAAACTGTACTTGAATAAGTAGCTTGTTTAGCCTCTCTACAAACAAGAGAAAGATTTCCGATGTCTGATTTTTCAAGAAATGAAATAATTAATGCCAATTCATCACTACAAAATGGCAAATAAACTTTAAATTCCTTTCTACTTGGATGATTATTGCAATAATTCCGAACCCTTTTTCTCACCAAAATCCACACAATCACCAATAATACAATTAAAATTGCAAAGCCTGTGAGTGAGAGGGTATGATCTAGTGGTTGCATTTTTTAATTAATAATTTTGAATTAAAACAATTAAAATATTTAATTTAAAAAATGTCAAAACTTGAGACCCTCTCCAATAATTAAGGAGAAATTTGGAAATTCACCAATTCAAATCCTTAACCATCATTGACAAATTACGCTTCTTTAAATTTGCCTATCTTGTGCAAATATGAAAGAGGCAGTGGATATTTTGGCAATGGAGCTCTACGGAAACTGCCAACCTTAATTTATCATAAAATTTATTTACAATATTGAACACGATGCAACAGTTACAAAAGTATGAAACACTGTTTACCTCAGTTTTTCCAGTAAAATAGGGAAGATTTACAATTACTTTTTCAGAAAAAATGAAGAGAACACTTCCGCTGCTAAATAGTGAATATTTGCGCCCAAGCAAGTTTCTGATTGTTTCGGCTACTTTAGATAACGAATCGGATGATTCACAATCATCTTGTGATGAAGAAATAGAAAATGTTGAACGACAATTTGATTTCAACTCAACTATTCAACATTCGAATATCAAAAACAAATCGTGTGATCTTGTTAAAATTTCCGATTGTTGGTTTCATGTTATGAGGTTTCTAGAAGTGGACGAAAGTTTCGAATTGTTATTCCTCTGTAAAGATTTAACATCCATGCTGCTTTCCATATTTCGTGATGCAACCAAATATATTTACGAAACCAATTTACACATGCATGGGATATTTGATAAGATTAGAAAATTCGAAACTATTCACACAAGGCATCCAGATCTATTTACTGATCTTTCTACTTGGAAGCCAACCATATTTTTAAATGAAACTGATTGGGAGCAAGTATCTCATGTAGATTTTGATACCTACGCCACTAATCTAGAAGAATTCAAATCTGGAAATTTTCGTTTTGGAGTTAAACCAATTTATTTTCACAAAGATGAAGATGATGAAGAGAATGAAGTTGAAGCGACAGTAGAAGAAGATGAAATTATAGAAAATGATGAGACAATTGAAATGGAAGATGAAAATGAGATTATTGACAAGAGAATTCCATTTGGTATTCCACTTTGTGAAGGTTCAATTGATGAGCAATTCTATCTTTCACAAGATACTATTTATTCTGAAGAATATAAAGGACTAGTTCAGAAATATTTAAAGTTGACAGATGAACAAGTGCATAATTTGAAATTAGATGAAGATTTCTTACTTTTCTATGATAAAATTAAGAATGATCAAAGACAAATTGATTCATATATTAATGATGTACAGAAATCGGCAGTTTCCAATGACGAGCAGACTTCAATTTTATTAGAAACTTATCAATGCAGTGAATTTCGAAAGTTTGAAATTTGCGTTCATTTAGATGACACTTTTATGTATCATTCTATTCGAGATGGTATCAAGAATCTATTTAGAAAAAGAGGAATCATTTATTTTGAACCAATTATGATTGAAAATGCACTCTTTCTCTTACAGGAATATCTTCGAAATTTATTGAAAATAGTTGTGGAGAACAAGTATGGAGACAATAAGGATGTTCCTATTCCATACACTGAACACCCAATGGATTATGAGCATTTTTTAAGAAGTAATGCAGAAATTGGAGGAGACTTGGAAGAGGATGAAGAATTGAAAGTTTCGGATATAGAAATTATGGATGCGTTGGATAATTCTAAATTTTATTATGTCATTGAGAATAAAAGATCAAGACCTGAATCAGATGTCCCTAGTGATGTGGACGATGAGGAAGTTTCTGATAATGAAATGGAATTCCTATTAGAATATACAGAAAATGAAAATTCAGATGAGGAGAATGATGAATTTATTATTATCAATAAGGAATCTAATATCGCTGAGGAGAAAGATGGTGCAAAAAAGGATGAAGATTTTATTGACGATTCAGAAATTGAAACTTTGGACGAAAGCAAAATATTGGAAGGTTCCCTAGAGGATGAATTATTAAAGGTTTCCATTAGAGTTCATTCAGAACTTTATGGAGAGGAACGAACGCTCTCAGAGAAACTCTATTTAAAGAATTGGTATGGGCATGGCTCATTATTCTTCAATCATACACATTCGAATATTTCTCAAACAAATGAATGGAAAGAAAATGAAATTGATTATCAAACTTTGAGTGAATCAGAACTGTTGGAATTAAACAGAAAAGAAGACTTGGAATATTTTGGAAAAGATTCACTTCAATTATTGGAATCTAAAGACGAAAGTGAGGAACATGCAAATGAGGAATTGAGTAAGGAATACAATTTAAGAAGAATGCTAAGAGAGGAATCCATCAAGTGCATTTTCAATTATTTCCATTAAACTTTGTTTTAAACTCTAGAAAAATACACAATGATCTATTTCAGTATAGACGAAACCTTAATAATGCATCTACCACTGATTTAAGATTTCCAATTTACTTCCAAGTGTTCGTTTGAAATGAACTTGTAAAATTAAAACAAAAAAAAATGGCGCAAAATGAGAACGATAGAGAGGATGATGCACTACTTTGCCAATCATTGGATGATCTTCCGAGAGAGATGTTATTTTGTATAATGAGTTATTGTGATCCGAGATCGTTGGTAAATGTTATTTGTTGTAGTAAGAATTTGAGAACAATTACCATGCAGATTTTATTGATGGGATTTAGATATGATGAAATTATTATTGAGGGAACTCCTGGCGCTAATTGGTATTCTAGTAATTCAGAAGATAGAAAGGAAATTTATCCTGCAAATTTATTGGGCAATTATATTGATTCCTTGATGACGGAACAAGAAGTTGAAATGGATAGAATTAATTTAATTAATTTTACAACTCTTGGTTCTAAGGAGTTTGTAAAGCTATCAAAATTCATTTCAAAATTCAACATCCCAGAGCTGATAGTTTCTCCTAAACATTATAATTGGGTTAAAAACGAAATTAATTCATCTCTCAAGTCAATATCTAGATTATCATTTGGTAAAGAATTGGATGTTGGGGATGGTAATTATTTCCAAACGCTCATTCAGAAACCATTAATTGTTTGTAATGGACTATGTGCAAAGAATGCTATGGATGTTAAAAATATTATTGGCAATACCCAGCTCTGTAGCGGATTGAAGGTATTGACGTTGTGTGTCTATACCTCAGTGTTGGGATATTCATTTAAAGAAATATTGAAAAACTGCCCATCACTTCGAGAATTTAACTTGTTCATCAATGGATTTTCCAACGAAAATTATCGTTCCTATTCAACTATGAGAGAAGACGACTTTGAAATCACTGATGAGTTAATGGAAATAATATGCAACAGTAATTTGGAAATTCTTCGATTTGATACATCATTTAATTTTGATAATTTCAGGGTTATCAATCAATTAACAGAAAACAAGACAAGACCTGTATTCCCTAAATTGAAAATATATTCTAACCATCTCATGAGTCCAGATATGAATTTAGTTTTTTTGCCGAATCATCCTCTTCAAACTGTTTCAATGAATATGACCACTGCCCTTAACAAAATTGATGTACCTAAATGTCAAAGTTTCTTCAACTGTTCGCAAGATATTACTAATTTACCAATTGTTGATACATCCAAATATACAATCTCAAGATCACAGATCAATCTAAATGGGTTTTATGAAAATTTGGCAGCTTGTACCTCTTTGAAAGATTTGCATTTGTTTAATGTTGAAACTAACAACATGAGATATGATTTTAAAAATATTCACACGTCAATAGAACAGTTGGATATCAAAAAATCCAGAATATCAGTCTATTTACTTAATCATATAATTGATAATTCTCCTAATCTAAAGATCCTTACGATGGATAATGTTAAGGTGAGAGGAACACTAGACGATTCAATGTTAGAATTTGAGAATCAGGAGATAGACTCACAACTACGATATATTCATATCAGTACTTGTAGCGAAAGGTATCCAATAGTATTTTCAAACATTCTTAAGAAAAATTTACCTTATTTACATTCTGTAATTTTAGAAAATACTTACTCAATTGGTCAGAATAGTCTTCTCTCACTTTTTAGTAAGGCTTCATCACTTTCAGTGTTTAAAGTCACAGGAGCAGAATTCACTGATGATATTATTGTAAAGTTTTTCAACTCTTTCAGTCCTGTTTCTTTAGAATATGGTATTGATTTTTCTTTCAATGGAAAGAATATTACTAGCTCATTCCTGTTACAACAACCATACTTGAGCAAAATAACCACTTTATCACTACCAGATTGCACAATACCTAACGATGATTTTATCAAATTACTGGACTTACTTAACCCACAACTGTTAAAAAAGATTCAAGTTAACTTGGGAAATAGTGGTCCAACAATTGAGACGTTTAAAAAAGTGCAATATTTCAAAAACTTGGAAATGATTTATCTTTCAGGAAAACCTGAGAAACCAATAGAACATTTTGAAAATTTTGTATTGAAACAGTTTGTAGAATCCATGCCTAGTATGATACTATTGTTTTTGGATAGTGGAGAATTCATCAAGGAAGAAATTGAACTTGCAAAACTAAACATTAGATCACAAGGAAAATCAGCTCCAAAACTCATTCTCCCTCATTCAAAGAAAGACATTGTTTACAAAATTGAAAACCCTAACATTGGCTATGAAACGAATTCCAAAAGTTATTGTTTCTTACAATAATCCACTCACATTTTACAACGGTCAATCATGATTAACCTTATTCCAATCAATTCTTCAGAATCATAAATTGATTGAATCGAAAACGCACCATTAATAAATCTGATATTTGAATTGGATAGCACAAAATAAAATAAAAATGGTGCTTTCGCAATGGCGATTTTCAAACCCAAAAAAAAATGTCTCAACAAGTTGTTAGTAATAGCTCATCACCAACTGCTTCTGCAGCAGAATTGTCAAGTGGTTGTGCGTCATGGTCATCAGCATCTTCTGCTGCTTGTACTACTTTATCAGCAATCGGAAGTGGTGCTGAGAATTGTTATCAATATTTGGTAGATTTGATTGAGAGTCAACTCAAGAATTCCTCACCATTGAAACTCTCCCTTATCGGATCATCATTATCTTTGTTCTTAGTAACATTGTATTATAGTAGGTAAGTTTTCATCTAGAATAAGATTGTTTCAATATGATTAGAAAGTTATCAACACCTACCATGATATTCCGATCTGTTCTTCAATGCTTTGTATGGAAAAACAAGTTGATTGGAATGACAGTCTGTACAGCAGAGGAAAAGAAAAAGATTAATGAAAGTTTATTGTATGTGGGATCTTACATTCGTCCTTCTCATGTTAATTTGGATATTGAGGCTCAAACCCTTTCAAGTCTTGTTGCCTTTTCAAGTGCCAAGAGTGGACAACACTTGTTGGATAAGTATGGATTGAGAAAGGCTATGCAACATCAAATTCTATTCCCACCAATTTCTAGTAGAAATACTTTGAAATTGGAGAGAATTCCATCTTTGAGAAATTCAGTTTTGGCTAAATTGAAAGATTCACCTGATAAGAAGAAAGTTTTGGTATGTTGTTTTTATGTGTAAACGTTGATTTGTTAACAACCTTCTTTGATTAGTTCTATATTCATGGTGGAGGTGGTTTTGGTAATTGTTGTGATGGTCTTCAAGTTAGTTCAATGGTTGAGTATTTGAATGGTAGAGATGATCATTCAATTCACACAATCTTCTCTGTTGCCTATCGTTTGATGGGATTGGATGAGGAAGAAAGAAAGAATAAGTCCAAATTTGCTTCAAGCTTTGAGGAACAATTACAAGATTGTATGGATGCTTACAAGTGGCTTATTGAAAAGTATGATCCAAAGGATATTGTTTTCATGGGTGATTCATTTGGTGGAGCTGTTGTTGCAAATTTATTAGCCAAGATTGGTGCTGAGCTCGGCATTGAAAAGCAACCTTACATGGCTGTCACATTATCAGGATTCTTCGATACTACTGTCAAGAGTTTTAGAGAACACTTTGATATTGAAAATTCTGTCATTGCAGCTCCAAATAATATTGACATCATGGAAGAATTATATCCAAATATTCCAGATTCATTGGTTCCAATTCGTTTTGATTCATCTGTCATTTCAACCTTCAAAGACACCAAGATGCTTATCGTCTACAGTAATCATGAAGAAGTAACTTTTGAAAATAAGCAATTTGCCTCTCTCTTACAATCTCAACATCCAAATGTTACTGTCATTGCTGAGGATGGTCATGTTCATGGTTATCCATTATTCCACAGCTATTCACCTTGCATTAAGAAAACAATGGACAGAATCATCGACCTTGTCAGTCAATAATCATCATCATTTAATAGAGTATTATATAATCAAAATTTCAATAGGGTTTTTCTGAAGAAACATAGGGAATATTACAATCAGAATAAATAATTATTCACTTCCTCAATTTCCCAATGTTTTTCACTCGTATTCGAAAGATGAACTTGTTTTACAATCTATTTTTATTATGATGATCAAAGCAAAAAAAATGTCTTCTCACTATACACTCCCTCTCGTTGGTTCTAATAATCCTTGTGGTTATGACTCGACTGATTTGCCATATTTACCATCTATTAATTGCGGAACAGAAATTGTATTTCAATCGGTATATGGTAATCATTCAAGTAAAGCTCCGATAAGAATTAAATTAAATAGTGATGAAAAAATTGATAATATTAGACTGGTGCATGCTTACTCCAACATGGATTGTTTATATATTGTTAGTGGAGATGGAAAATTATTTGAAATTGTGAATGGTAGTGATACACCAAAAAGATTGATTATCGATGATAATGAAGATTTGGAAGTATTGCAAATTTCCAGTTATACTGAAGCTGTGCTTTTCCTTGTGAGAGACAAGATATCTGGTGAAAGTTTTATTTATGGAAGAGGTCATAATGGATACTTTCGTATGACACACGATAAAACCAATGATTATTCTTGCAACACCATTGAGTTAATGTTTGAACCAAGAAGAGAAATGCCAAATGTCGGATTTCCTTACGTGATTAATCATATTGGATGTTGTTATTCATTTAGTTGTTGTGTAATTAATGATACACTCTTACATTTTACTGGTCAAAATTGGCTTTCAGGAGGTCAAACACATGTTGATGGTTATTTCCAATGGCCAACACTAATTCAAGATTTAAAAAAACCAGTTACAAAACTTGAATGTGGAGATTTTCATGTGCTAGCTCTCCTCAAAGATGGTACAGTTGCTGTCGGAGGAAGTAACTCTTCAAATCAATTAACTTCTGATGCCACACACACTTACAATCAACCTTTTGGTGTTCTATTCTCAAATATCAGCAATATCTTCTCTGGAAGCAACAGTGTACTTTATCAGTCCAAGGTAGGATTCGAAGGAAAGCTCAGATACTATTTTTTTGGAGCTAAAACCTTTGATTTTGTTGCAACAAAAGAAGACAAAAAAAAGAAGGCTATAAGACATCACAAAGATGAAAAAGTATTTGAACAACAATTTACAAGAGATTTCTTCCTACATAGATACGAAGAAAATCCAGAGAAGATTTATCTTGATGGTTCCAGTTATTATGGTAGTAATCCATTTGATAATACTGAACTATCTCTAGAAACATTGATGCCATTCAGTGAATTTAATAAGGGACTTTATCCTCAGTATAGAAAATCAGACTTTTACAAGAATATGGTCAAAGTTGTTCTGCAACCTAAAGGAATATTTTGTATTTGTGATTATGGAGGAGGTTTGTCTTCCAAAATGTTTGCTCACCTCTTGAAGGCATCGGATTATTCCAGTGAAAATAACAGACTAATTCTTGACATTGTAATTCATACGCAACATTAAATCATTTAATTATTTACAAAAATTTACAATTATTTCAATATTAGTCAGTCTTGGAAGACATTCTCTTTTCAGCAGCTTTCAACATTCTTTCTCTTCTACTTTCTGCAGAATCTTCATAGTATGCTGGAATTTCAATATCCTGGCTTTGATCTTTTGAAAACATGGAATTGAACAACCCTCCACTACTGCTCTTCTTTGGCTCTTCTCTTGCAGATAGAGATCTTCCCGATCCTTGGAAAGCAGAAAACTTACTTCCTGCTCCAGTTGATGAAGCCTCGTCTGCAGTCTCAGTGCCTTCAGCTGAGCTAGGAACAGCAGTATTTATAATGTCAGGTGGAATTAAACATCTGAATTTAGATCCTAACCAAGCCATTCTATTGACATAACCTGGTATTGGAGTTGACTTTTCCTTTGCAATTCTTCCACATCTATCAATAATTCTTTCATAAAGTGCTTTAGCATAGTGATTACAATTTCTATTCAATAAATGGTATTTTTGTGTATTGAATTCCTTTGATACTTCATCAACGATCGAAACAATTCTATCACGAGGAAGTTCAATTGTTGCCAAGAAAATACTATCACGTAAAGGCACAGCAGGAGCCTTCTTTGGTTCATGTTCAAAAGCTCCTTCTCTTCCGAATGTATATTCAGTCCCTCCAATTTGCAAACCACTGTGATATATCCCCAGTCCGTAAACATACAAATTATTATTGTCCACTAAATCATAGACGTTTAAATGAATTTCAGTTTTTGGAATTGATGGCATTTTTTCTTAGTTATTTTTAAAAGATAATTTGAGAAGACTTTCCGATCAATGAAGAATTTATTTGTTTTGATGATGAAGTAATTCTCAAAGTTCTGATGAAAGGGATGATAAAAAGTATTGTTTTTGGATTAATGATAATGATTTTTTATTGTAATGTGGCTTATGGATAGCTATCTGGATGAGGCACGGATATTGTGTCACATTGGAACACAGATAGAAACTCAGATTAAGGTTAATAATTTAAGGTAATAATAAAAGATTGCAGAAAGAGGAATGGGAAATATAGGTTAGTGGAGAAAATTGTACAGAATGGTTTGACATTCTTGTACTGAATCAAGTTAATTCTGTTGTGTTTCATCAGGTATTGTGATATTAGTTTCATCGGATTCAATCTTGTTGGATTCATCTTCTTGTTCATTGAGATTATCAGAAGAAGATGAATTAGAAGATATATCACCTCGTTGGTTATAAATACTTTCTAATTGATTATGAATTTGTAGAACATGAGGTTCTAACAGTATACTCATAGGATCAAATGTTGAAAGATTATTGTTGGAAGCTGTCACATCATAGATTAGAGTGGGATTTTCTTGATCATGATTTCCTAAAAGACCTGTTGGACTAGCATTGCCTTTCCTTGTAAAAAGGTCCACAAGATCTTTTTTCGATGGTCTTCTAACAAGAAAACTCTCAATGTGTCTCTTTTTTCGTTCCTTTTCCTCTCTTCCTATTCCTATTCCACAAAGTGTTTGTTCATGATCATATAGATAGGGTATAGAAGATGGTGAATGGCTTGAAGAAAGGTGTAACGAACTATCCTGATGATGATCTAATCTTGGAGAAGATACTGGAGAATTCTCCTTTGATGAATTATTTGATGATGGTTTTTCACTATTTTCTGTGGGTGCATCCATACCCGTCTGATCATAATAGTGATGTAAGAATGGAATGATTCCTCTCTGTTCCAATTGTTCAATATTTGGCCTATTTTCTAATTTCTGGGAGAGACTAGACTGTCTCTTCTTCCAAAGTATTTTCTCAATTGTCGAGCTCAGTGTATGACTCACTTGATATCCCAATCGGTTTGTTTCATAATCTCTGAGAATATTTCTCTCTCGGAGATTATCTTGAATGAATTGTCTCCCACTAACAAATCTTTCCAATTGTTCACGTGTGAGGTTGTTATTTAGACTATTACTGGCAGTAGTAAATGTACAAGAAGAAGTATTGTTACAGTTGGTAGTAGTAGTATTGGAATTACTAGTAGGAGTAGAAGTACTGGTAGACTGTACAGTAGTAGAAGAAGACGATGATGATGATTCATTCATCAGCATCATCATCATATTAGGACTATTCTTAGATAGCATTGTTAAAGTCATTCAAATTATCAATTATTATTAGTATATTAATGATAAGGTTCTTATAGAATACTATTAAAGATGATACACACTATAAAGAAGATACTAAATATCTAAAAATTGCTTATCGGAATGAGTTGATTTAAGTGTAGAGTTAAAATATTCTCTATCACAATATTAGACTAACTATAAATTCTCTTCAAAACTGTTGTTTTCTTCAAGTTTAAACTGTTACTCTCTTATTGTCTTGATATTTTCTTCAACGTTGAATAATAAAAAACTCCTAAAAATTGTGCTGCTGTAATCTTTAAAACCGAAAAAGCAATTGTTCACTGTCGTTTTAATGTGAACCACAAGCAAGAGAACAACAATAAACGCCTCTCTCGTAATCACCACCGTTATTATGTGTGTCTAGTTTGTGTTGGACTTTTTTTTTTCAAATCGCTGCAATTAATTGCCAAAATTGTTACCACTTGAAGTCAAATGGTAGTGATTGTTCCTCTCGTTCAATTGACGTTTGGAAAGTTGAAAGACAAGTCGATGAAGTTACAGTAACTTATTTTGAGATGAGAGGGTCTTTGTGGAGATTCCAGGTTGGATGTGCCAGTAATTTTTTGTTTGAATGTTGTTTCTAATAATATTAGAAATGAAGTTTAATTGTTGTTGTGTGGATGTTTGATAGATCAGCAACAAGAACGTCTTTTTGTGGATTGAATGGGAAGGGACTATTATTATTTTCCTTTGTTTTTGTATTAGAAGCAAGTAATGGAATGTGCTTTTTGTTGATTCATGAAAAGGCATTGAAAAGAGCTCAATATTGGAAAGGATTTTCTGATCTGGTTATGAAAATGAAAATAACCATTTGGAAAGGAGTACTTTTGTAGTGTTCATAAACCTACTGTTTTTAAATATTCGCCAATTAGCATTAAGAAACCAATTTACTTTGTCCCACCATAAATATCTTGCTTTTATGAAAATTAGAATATTTGAAAATGCAACAGATATCCAAGTACTTGATTTAGAAGAGAGAAGATAAGAGAATATTACTCAAATATAAACTCAATAATTTAATGATCATGCAATTTAAGCATTTGGAGGGAAACACACTAATTTATTCTCTATTTCTCGAAAGTAATTCCTCTTCATCATCACTCAATACAACCTTAGTGAGATCATTATCCTTATGATGATTGTTTACAATATTCCTTGACTTGACAAAAAGAAACCACTTTGGAATAATCAAAAGAGCAGAAGCAGCCCAAAAGATCCACATAGCAATAACAAAATAATGCAAATCCAAAGTATAAATTGATGATTTGATACAAGCTGGTCCCTCAATCAATGAAGTTGATGTAATAATCAAAGCTAATCTGACAATCCAACATGAAAGTGAAAATACACTAGTTAAACTTGTTCCTTTTGTTTTGGATGATCGTGCATTGGTGAGGAGATGCTTCTCTTCATAAACTGATAATTGGAATGTTGTGGCAAGAGAAATAATTTCAACCAATGCAACAATGGCCAAAGCCAAAATTACAAAATAAATTGACTGACCAGAACAATCATGATCAACTTGATTTAAATTAGGTATGGAAGTGAAGAATGTTGTCAGTGAGGATAAAAGAACGAAAACTAAAAGTACAACTTCCACTGCACAAATCATTTCAAAACTAAATTGTCAACATCATGATGGCAGGCAGAGAAGAAATTAGAAAATTATAGTGATAGATGAAAACATACGTGAAAATATATGGTTTTACATGATCAAATAATTGTTTTTGGGCCTTTGTTAATCCCGATGTTACTGATGATTGAGCCTTCTCGTCTACAGATATTGTCATTTTTTTATTCTTTGATTTGTGACAGATACTTTATGATACAATTATTTACAGATATTTGATTAAATACTAATATTTGAAATAACTTTGCTTCTACTTTTTGTTTGGCAAAGGTGGGAGTCTATCCTTTTTCAAAGCAATAACACCAGCTTCCAATTTATCTTTCATATCTAATGGAATTTTCTTTTGGAAGAAACCAATAACACCTGATGGAAGCCAACCTCCATACTCAACTTGAGCCATAATAGTGAACTTGGTTGCTTTTCCATCATTTACAGATTCAAATTTGAAAGCTTGAATCACAAATTCTCCTCTAATCACTCCACTAACTTCCTTTCCTTGAGGTCCATCATATGGAATACTTCTCATAATCATCCACCATGCCTTATTTGCTTCATCATACCACCATTCACGAGCAATGATAAAATCACGATGAGAAACAAGGGCATTTGGACCCTTAAGACGAGTATAGAAAACATCATAGGACTTTCCTTCGGAATCTTGTTGAGGTTCTTCAACCCATTTAGCTTCAACTGTTGTTTCATTCATGTGGATTCTGTACTTTACATTTCTAGAGACTTCGAAAACTTCATCAAGAGGATAATTGACAACTCCAGTAAACTAAAATGTTCCAATAATGTCATCAATTTAATATTAATATTATTATCCATTATGTATCAATTATTAATCATCAAAAAAGTTATTAATAAATTAAATATTACGATGATAATGTATTAAATCATACAAATCGATCATTTAAATTCTTTTGAATCGAAAAACCTACTTTAATGCTCGGATTTGACAATTCCTTGTAAACCTTCTTGCAATACAAAGTAACGTGCTCGTTCTCTGTATCCTTCTCCCAACCAACCCATGAATTCAATTCTCTAATACCAATCTCGACAGTATCACGTGGAACTTTGGACATTTTTTTCCTTTTTGCTTTTAAATGATCGATTTTAAAATGGAATGGAAATTATTAAGCGCACATTTAATTTCAGTGTCGGATATGTCACTTGAAAACTCCTTTAAGTGAGAAAGTTGTTAAGGTTGTCGAGGTTGACCAGATGTAATTTTTGAATTTTCCATTAAATAATTGTAGGAATAGTCATAGAAAAGTAATACTATGAATGAATATTTCTGAAATTCTCAAATATTATTCTTTGAATCGTCCAAAATGTAGACAGTTGGTGTTGTGACCATTGGTGATGAGGAGGTTGCAGTGGTTGTTGTCTGTAGGGAACTCACAGTATTGCTTCTCTTCAGTTCATCATCATTGTCCAATTGATTTGTTGAAACTGGTTTTACCAGTGATGGATTATTGGCTGTTGAGGTTGATGAGAGAGCTCTATCTCTGGCAGAAGAAGGAGAAGGTAAGGCAGACGAAACTACTGAAGGATTGGATTCAGGAAGGTTTGAACAAATGAGAATACGAGACGCCTTAATTCCATAACATTTGGTGAATTCATTCTCATTGATCAGAATATAGGTAATTATGTAGGTCGCCAATAATCCTGCCGAATCAATGGCGAAATTCTTGAATACACCAACAAACATTCCAAAAATATCCCATGTAGAAATAAAGGTTGGCACGAAAATAATGGCCAATACAAATCCAAAGAATAAGGCAGTGTTAAATACGAGAATAAACTTGAAAAATCTCATTTGTGAAATATTCACATTCTTGTAACTTTTCAATCGTCTATAAATTACAATTCCATATGTTGTGAAGGAAACTATCAAAATTGTTGGAACCAATATCATGGCAACAGCAGCTAAAGCAAATAAGTAAACGCTCGTCTTGAGAATTGAACACAAGACTATGGCAATTATTATCAGAAATGCATTGAAAATATAAATGGAAATGAGCAGAATGAGATTATACTTGGACAATTTCTTCTTACTCTGATTTGATTTGATTAGATCAACAATATGACTCCATTGAACCATCAATGTAGAGAATCCATATCCAAGAGCGTAGATTGCCAAAGCTCTAAAGCAGCCCCACAATTGAATATTCTTCAAGCTACCATGCATGAATGAATAATTCCACAAGAAACAAATCATATTTTCAATAAAGAAAAATGAACTTTCCATATAAATTAATAGTAAAATGGAAGGTCTCAAATCGGTGAGAAATAATTCTTCCAGATAAATAGTTAGATACATTCTTATAGTGTTGGCCTCTCTGGATTTCCTCTGTTCAATCTTCTTCTTAATAGAAGCATTCTTTGCATGTACGAGTGGAATTGTATTGTAAATTGTCATTGTAATCAAGTAGCATGTGAAAAAGAACATGAACCACCAAGGAGTTCCTATATATTTGAATCTTACTAAAAAGTTATAGTAGGCATCAGCACACTTGTAGGCAAATCCTCCATATAATTCGTTTTTGCACCAACACAGGATTGGATTTTCATTTCGATTTTGGAATAGAGTTTCGAATAAGTGAAGGGTATTGTCCTTATCAGAAATCGTCATATTATTTACATATTTCTTTGAGTAATATTGATTTGGTTTGTAATACCTCCAATCCAGAATTCCAATATTCAAATTATTTACACTTGACTGATTATTAGCAACTATCGAATAAATTTCACTATCTGATAGCTCCATATTACAATGTCCAATTAAAGATTGTTGAATTTGAGAATAACTTGGAAATTTCCCACTGCACTGTCCATTAGATTTGGAAATTTCTGTCCTAAAATCTTTAGAATTCTCTCCATTACAATGCATGCAATAGTTGACCATTGAAAAATACGAATCCCTGAATGTGTCATCCCAAAGTAATGATCTTGTCAGATTATTACAAACTCTACTATCCAGAGTGCATGTACAAAAATATTCCATACATACATTATTCAAGTTTCGAATAAGAGAAGATGACGACTTGTTGAGTTGACATAAATCATTGTTGGTATTATCTAATGGAAAATAGAGAACTGAATAGGGCTGAGAGAGTGCTGGAAAGTAGGCAATATCATTATCGGAAGGATACTCTAGTTGATCCAAAGCAAAACTATTAGAAACAGATTCGTCTAGATTCCGAACAGTTGTTTGGCTATTCGAGTAACCAGCCACTCCATCATGAAAAATGGCGTATCCTTTCGAATAACCCACAAACAATAAAATTATTAGAAAGTAAAAGAAACAGTAATTCGAAACAAAATACGAAAACCTCATTGCCAAGAAGAACAAGATGTTATTATACAGGATCCTAGGAACTCTAAATATTGAGAGAGATGTTTTTTTTGTCGTTTTTGAGCGTCATCTCATTCGAATCATAAAAATTGTCCAACATTGCGATATGATGCAAGATGAAATGGGTTAATTTATCCATCATTGACGAATTTGAGTTTTTTGAAAAAGATAAAGTGTGTTATCAAGATGCGATATTGAAAGTGTTTCTTCAAAAAGTGTGGATTACCTTAGATTCTTATTTGATTAGTTTGTAATAAAGAAGAAAATTCTTAATTTGAATAGGTTTTTGAGGGTTATCCAATGTAATGAAAGTTCAAACAGTATTCGAAACATGACTATTTCGAATAAAAAGGAGCCCAGAAATTGTCCTTGTTACTCCTTTCACTTATTACAAACGCTTTACGACATGTATGTTCTGTAAAGTATTTAAATTAAAGATCTATTTAATATTTAAAATATCAAGTTGACCAATTTCCAGTTTAAACTCAAAATAACTTCCAGCGGGCGAATCCACAAACCAAATCAGTTCCAAACCATTCACTTTACAAAGCCACAAAAATCCAGAAAGTTTCTTCACCATCAAAAAAAGAAAACAAACGAAACAAAACGAAACTCTGTAAAGTGTATTCGAAAATGGACAAGAATACACCACCTTCCCCTAGCACCATCAACCATACAAACTCCCCATCAACTGCATCAGATTCACCCACTCGTCCTATTGTGAGAGTTAGAAGAGGAAGAACAGCTGTCGTATTCAACAATAATCTAAATTCTTCAAATTCTTCTACAATTAGTGCAACAACAACACAAACATTAGATTCATCATCTTCATCTTCATCATCCTCGGGTGCATCATCATTGGCAACGACTGGAAGTGTTGGAAATAATGTTTCGAATAATAATAATGCGAAACATCGAATGACAACATTTACTCCTCCTTCGCCTTCGTCATTGTCATCAACTTCATCGAATAGTGAAAAATCAATTTCTCCACGAGTTGCTGTGATGAATAGTCAACAGGAGAATTTTAGAAAAAGTATTATGGAAGTGAATGGCAAGAGTAGTTCAAATACACATTCGAATACATCTTCACCTATTAGTTTGGAAGATGACAAGGAAGATTTTGAGGAAGGTAAGTGATTATAATCAAGAAATGATGATATCAATTCTAATGATTGTTTTTGTGTTTTTCATGGTTCTATATTATTCGAAACTAATGATGTTAAATATTAGTGGTTCAAAGAAGAATGTTTAGAAATACAATAGGAGGGGATTCACCACCTCCTGTTCTGGTTGACTCACTCATGCAGAAAGATTTCGTAAAGGAAAGAATTTCAATGAGAGATTCTCTTACTTTGTCATCTTCAAGTGAAGACAGTGGATCTCCTTTTGTGTTTGTTTCACAATTGAGCAACATTTCTAATGATTTGAAATGTCAATCGTGTAAACAAGTTTTGGATTTGGAAGCCAAAACTCATAACAATTGTGGAAATATGTTCTGTTCTGAATGTTTAAAATGTATGGAGAAGTGTAATATTTGTGAGAGGGATGAAATTTTGGGAGAAAATCTTTCAGATATTTCAGATATTACAAAGAGACAGATTGAGGGATTGTTGGTTCGTTGTTCGAAATGTGAAAATTATGTACTGAGAGGATTCTTTAAAAACCACATGGAAAGCAAATGCAGTTCATATCTTGAGGAAGTGGATGTATATTTCAAGAAGAAAATCAATGAATCAGAATCAACGTGTCAAACAAAGGCAGTTGTTTTTGATCAGTCAATCAAACAGTTGGAATCCAAGTTGGAATATTTATCATCTCAATCAAGAGAATTGGAGGGCAAAATATCAAATATTGTTCTCATGTCATCAAGAGAAGAATTCTCACAATGTGTAAAATTAGATGTTGGTGGTGAGATTATCAATGTAGCTCTTTCAACATTGTTGAATACAGAATATGAACCAACATCCTCATTGGCTTCAATGTTCAAAGAAGTTACAGATTTTGATGAGGAACACTTTATTGATTGTGATGTTGAATTATTCTTACTCATTCTCCATTGGCTTAGATTTGGCAAAATATCAGTCAATCCAAACATTGCAAGATTATTGATTGATGTAGCCACAAGTTTCAACATGGAAAAACTCAAATCTCAATTAGAATCCAACGATTTGCTCACTGAAAGTATCACCAAGTTTGGTATTGAGATTGAAAAGAAGAAGAGCAGAATCAAACACTACGAACTGAAGAATATCATAGAATATCATAGAAGAGAAAACTTGGAGGTGAAACTTTCAAACATTGATTTGAAACTTGTCTCACTCAAAGATTTGGATATCAGAAAGATCCAAATAACAGACTCTGATTTTAGTGGAATGAATTTATCAGAGGTTAACTTTAGTGGTTGCAATCTTAGAGGTTGTACCTTTGAGAAGGCAAATCTTGCACATGCCAATTTAACCTTGTGTGATTTGAGATATACCAACTTTACCTCTGCCAATCTCACAGGTGGTTCCTTGGGAGGAGCCAATCTTTCAGGAGCACTATTTGATAATACTAATTTCACAAATACCAACTTGAAAGGTTGCGACTTGACCAATATTGCATCGGAGTCAACTGGTTGTGTACTTTCGAATGCCAAAATGAACAGAGCCAAGGTCAATGAAGAATTCCTCAGAAGTGCCAAAACTCTCTTTGGAGTTGACTTATCTGGTTGCTCAATGAAACAATTCAACTTTTCAAATATGGATTTATCATCATCAAACTTTTCCAATACGATTCTGAATCAAAGCGATTTTACAAATACTGCTTTATCCAATGCCAATTTCAGTAACTCCTCGATGGCTGAATGTATATTTTCAAGGTGTTTAATTACAGGCACTAAATTCATCAATACCAATTTGAGAAACTGTAACATGTCAGTAATTAATCCAGAATCTACAGGATATTTCATTTCTGGAGCCAAACTCAATGGAACAACTGTGGGAGAGGATTTCAACTCCAAGGCAGCCCAAGTTACCAAAAAGAAAGTTGCCTTTCGTAAAAATCAAGAAAACGAATTGGAATACCTAATGATCTCAGATGGATATTTCTATGGTTTACTCAAAAATTTTGCAGAGAAGGAATTTGCCTCAGAAAACATTCTCATTTGGGAAAAGGTTAGAACAATCTCTTCCAACTATACCAATTACAATGCACTCGTTACCGTCGAGGATTTGAGAGAAATTGAACGAGATTTTATTAGAAATTATTCAGAATATGAAATTAACTTATCATCTGATTGTAAGAAAAAGTTCTACAAGTTAATCTTCCCAAGTTATAGCACTTACATTCAATCGAGTGAAGAAGAAGGAGGTTTTGATGCCATGTCCAAGAATATTGACACAATTTTGAGTGAAGTGTCAACTATTGTGACTGTCAAAGTTCTTACTGACTTACTTTGGCCAGAATTATTCATGAATATTTCGGATACTTTCTCCAGATTACAAAAAACTAAACAATACAAACAATGGGAGAAATCAACAGGTAAATCTCTGGAATTGTAATTTTCTAACATGAAATAAATATCAATTTCAATATGAAAAACAATTTCAATTTCAAAATTGAAAATATTAGAAACAAAATTTAAAAAGAAATGCAACTACTCATCCTCACCAACAATGGCACTTGCACCAATTCTAAAGCACTCAATAACGAGCTGATCCTATCGAGCCATCGTGTAAAAACCACAAAATATAAGAATGGAAACTATAAGAAAGTTTGCACATTAGAAATCAGAGGACGATACCACAAGAATAAAACAACAGTCGATGATGAGGTTGTAGATTTCATGAAGGAACAATTCCGAAAGCAATTTCAACCATTACTTGTAAATACTAAAGAATTGAAAGATCAACACAGTTCTCTTCACATTTATGCTCATGATGGAACTTTCGGTTTACTTTCGTCTGGTCCAGTAAGACCAACCATACAGAAGGCCTTTGTTAATGCCAATTCCTTAGCCAAATTGTTAGCTCCCTATCTAAATGAAGCTCCACAATGTAGATCTATCAAATTACATGTTTGTTTCTCTGGTTGTGATTATTCTGGAACTAGTCAACCATATGGAGAGCAATTAAGAGATGAGTTATTTCAATTAATGGATAATAATGTGATTGTGCCAAGAAGTATGGAAATTGAGGCCAGTAATGGATGGTCTATTCTTGGAAATAACCTCAAAGATAAGAATACCAAACAGAAAAAGACAATTGACTATTGGTCTCATTATGTAATTCCAAACACACCTGAAATTATGCAATTGGTTAGAGATGACAAGACAGATTTTCAACAGATCATTCCCATCTATGGCCTTAACGATTCCATTGGAAAACCCAAGTGGATTATCCAATAAACTCTCTTAATAATTGATATTTTTTAACACTGTTGCCTTTTTGGCTTCTTTCAAATTCAATCAATTTTACGAAAACTTTAAAAGTTTAAAAAAAATGAATACAAATCTAACAAGCACCACGCTCGTTCAATCACCAACTCTCGGAAACAACGTGCAAACAACAAACACTCCATCAACAACGACAGGATTAATCGGAGCAAGTGTTGTTGCTGCTGCTGTTGGAGTTGGATCATCGGGAACACTTTCATCACTCTGGGAGAAATTTCTCAGCCTTGCAAAGAATATTAATATTGGACATTTGTATTTGTTTTTGGGAAGTTTGGGACTTGGTACATTTTGGTACAGTTCCATTAATTACTTGTTTCAAAAGAATTTTGTGAGCAAGTTGCAAATTAATAATAATGATGAAGCATATCATTGGTTCATGTATTGGTTGGCTGAGGATAGTTATAGTCAAGATTCGAATCATTTGGCTATTTTAGCATCCAAAACTCATTTTGATTTCTCTAGTTTTAAACATAATCCTTCTGAAAAGGATAAACATTCAGTTCCAATCAAATTTATTCCATCACCTGGTATTCATTATTTGAAATTTAAAGGAAAAACTATCAAGATTTCATATGAAAGAAATTTATCATCAGGTGCATCTTTGGGATCATCACCAAATTCTCCAAGTGAACAAATTGAAATTAGTTGTTTGGCAACAAGTCCAAACTTTTTGAAGGAATTTATTATCGATTGTCAACAGAAATATTTGGAATCTAAACATGGTAAAACATTGATTTATCTTCCAGATTCGTATTGTGATTTTTGGGAGCCAAGAATTTCAAAATTGAAACGTCCACCTAGTACTGTTAAATTACAATCGAATATTTTCGAAAAGTTGTTGATGGATGCTAAGAATTTTATTGGACTTGAAAAGTGGTATAACGATCATGGTATTCCATTCAGAAGAGGTTATCTTCTCTATGTAAGTATATTTTTTATATTGTATTAGTATTATTAACATCATGATAATATTTAATAATATTTATAATTTTGAATTGAATTATCAAAATAGGGACCACCTGGTACAGGTAAAACAAGTACAGTAACTGCATTGGCAGGTGCCTTGGATAAGAATATTTGTTGCATTAATATTAGTAATAAGAATCTCAATGATGATAATTTGAACAGTCTCTTATTGAATACACCATTCAACTCTATAATACTGTTGGAAGATATTGATGCTTGTTTTTCTGCTCCAATTAAGATGGAACGAAAACAAACTAGACCACCACATCCATCCCAACCTGAAGCAAGTGATGATAATTCAGTTTCTGAGCTTTCCACTCATGGAACTGGATCAAACGTAACACTGGGTGGACTTTTGAATTGTATTGATGGCGTTGTAGCTCAAGAAGGAAGAATTTTGTTCATGACCACCAATCATATTGACAGATTACCAGATGCCTTAATTAGGCCTGGCAGAATTGATGTAAAATATTTGATTGACTTTGCTGATGAAATTCAAACTAGAGAAATGTTCCTCAACTTTTATCCTCGTGAATACGATTGTGCTGATTTATTCTGTGCTAAGATTTTCGCAGAACATAAGGAAATTAGACGTTTTACTTGTGCTGAATTACAAGGTCACTTTATGTCACACAAGCATGATCCAACTTCAGCTGTTGATAATGTTTCTGATTTGCTCAACTTTGATTTGAGAAGAGGTCTTAATGTTGTTGCTCATAACGAAGAAGAACATCAATAAATTTTAATGATTATTTAATATTTTATTGCTGATGTTGGTTGTTGATGCTGATGTTTTGAGGCAGGGTCCTGATGTGCCTTGTTTTCATGTTGATTAATTTAAAGTTGTTGTCGCGAGTTATTCTATTTTAAATGATCCTTGGGATTAGATCAATTATCTTTCAATCCCATTGTTTAAATGTTATAATCTTGTCTGAGTTTAAGGGTAATATCTTCTGGGATACTTGTCAAGTAAGAAATCCAAGCTTGATCACCCATTCCTTGCTTGAAACCTTGGAGAATTTGCACAAATTCATTCTTGAGCTCTTGGCTTGGATCAGTGCAGTTTGAAATAGTATCGAGAACGAATGAGAAGTGTTGAACTGCTCCTGAAGGATTAGCCTTAATAGCAGCACACAATCCAGCATAACCATGTTCTCTTTCAATCTTATTAGTAACCTTGCTCAATCCCAAGCACAAATTCTTGCAAATAACTGGTAAATTTGGAGCAACAATTTGTGGACAAACCAATGCAATTCTACCAATGGTAACAGATAAGTTTTCTACAAGGGAGTTGTTGGTAGATGGAGAATTGAGGATTGGAATCATCTTTGGGAAGATTTCTGTGGCGTAGGATGCAATTTCTGGACCAATCTTTACAGTAATTTCACCGAAAGACCAACAAGCATTGTTACACACTGATTGGGCCTTTGGATTAATGTTGGCAATAATAATTGGGAGGAATTGAGGAAGACCATTCTTTAAGTATTCAATACCATTCTTGGCCAAATCACCAATTACACCCAAACCACTTTGTCTGACGTCTGAGAATCTGTCCTTAATACAAATGAACAAGACATCCAATAACTTTGAAGTAGTAAGAATTTGGTTGACATTTGGACCTAATCCTTCAAGAATGCCACCAATGAGGTCAAGAGAACAAATGACAAATTCTCTGTCAGCTTCTTGTGGCCTCTTTTGGTCAATTTCAAAGATAGTTTGAATAATCTTGATACATCTGTGGAAAACTGGTTCAGCAAATGAGTGGAAACCATTTTGGAGAGCAGCTGCTACACCAGTTAAACATTCAAGAAGGGGTAACAAATCCTTATCGTCATCCATCAAATTATTCCATTTAGTAATGAGTGGAGGAATGATAAGTTGAATAAAGATTGGTTTGTTCAAATGAGAGCCTACAGAGTCAGCCAAGGTTCTAATAGCATCGTACAAAATGAAAATATTCTTCTTTTGATAGATTTGGAAAGCACTAGCAATAGTTTCCAAGATTGGCTTCAAGTATGGAATGACAAGTGTCTTGGCATTTTCTTCAAGAGTGGCAAATGCAGAACTGGCAGCCTCTTGAACACACTTGTTGTTATCTAACATTTTAGAGAGGATGGCAGCCAAAACTGGTTCAAAGTACTTGTCCAATGGTTGTTCAACAATCCATCTGGCATATCTACTCAAAGACCAACAAGTAATATTTCTTACCAATGGCTTTTCGTCATTAATAACAGCAAGAAGATATGGGATCAACTTTGGAAGATGTTGCAACATTCCAGTCATGCATCCATCAGAAACAGCACCCAAAGCCAAAATTGCACTTTCTCTAACTGGCCATGGAACTTCACCATTCATCTTTTGTTCAATTTGAGGTAACAAATATGGAAGAATTGAGGATCCAAAAACGTTAGATAACAAATCCAATGAAGTAGCACTGCATTTTCTCAAAGACCAATCACTATCACCACCAAAATCGTCTTCATCAAAATCTTCATAGTCTTCATCATCTTCGTCGTCGTATTCTTCTTCGAGAGAGTCTTTTGGTTTGATGTGGTAAACAGATGGGTTAATATCAGAATCTCTGTCTGGTCTTTCAGAATCGTGTAAAAGTGAAGCTTGTTCAAATTCAGAATATTGCATCTTACTCAATAAAACTGGAACAAGTTGAGGGAGATGGTTTTGGAGAATTGGATAGAATGGTTGACATGGATTCTTTGGATCAAGACTGAGTAAAACAGTCCAAAATTCGCAAGCTTCCAATGACAAGGTTTCATCATCAGAGGCTGTACAGTGAATCATATATTCAATAACAGTAGAAATGGCTTGTTTCAAATAGTGAGGAATGTCCAAAAGCAAGACAAATGCACGGCAAGCATATTTACGAAGAGTTACGGAATTATCATTGGCAATATTGAAAAGAGATCTCAAGTAAGCATCCATATTATCAGTAATGGCAGTAGGAACTGGATCCAATTGGAAGAATTGGAGGATTGAGCTGAGAGCATTCTTTCTAATACCTTCATTTGGATATTCCATGAATTTAATCAAAACTGGAATAAGAACAGTGAGCTGTTGTGCGTAATCGCCCTCAAATTGAGCATAGTTATCTTCACAAACTTTCGATAAACAAGCCATTGTACCATCGACAAGTTGTTGATTATTACTATTACCAAGAAGAGTCAAAAGTTGTGAAATACATTGTGGCCAAGCTTCAATTTGGTCCCAAAAAAAGATGAAAGCAATAAGAGTTCCGGCTGTTGATCTAATGAAAGGAATATCATCACCAAGAGCTTCCAATAACAATAATCTCAAGTGTTCCTTTTCAATATCAGTGAGAGAAACCAACTTTTGTTTCAAGTTAGCTTTCAAAATAAGACCAGCTGCTTGTCTGTCAGCTGGATCAACTTCTTTACATTTAGAGAAGATGTGTACCAAATAATTGTTGAAATCGTGAACATTATCGTTGAATTGTTGTAACTTCAGAGTACATTCCTTTTGAATTTGTGTACTTCCCTTCCTACTGTTAATAAGAAGTTCCATGACTTGTTGAAGTCCTTGCTCGTTTGGAACCCAACTCATGATGAATTTATATGTTGTTATTTAAATAATAATAATATTATAATTATAATTCGTTGTTCCGGTAATTAATTTTAAAATATGATGAACAATAATCAAGCGTTTTATGAGAACCAATATTATACTTTTTGATGTTCTTCTTCTGTCCTCTCTTGTTGTGGTTTTATCCTTCAGTGATGAGCTGATGATCCTTGTTCAACAAAATTTTTTTTAATTCAAAATTTTTGATTCTCTTTTTTCCAAGCCTCTGAAATTTGGTTTACTACGAAGTTCTCGTGGAGAGAATTATAATCAGGTGTTTGATTTTGAGAGACAAGAAAGAATCCATATAAAATGTTATTATTTGAGAGATGGTGTAACCGTATGGATGGATAGAATGGTATATTTGAAAATGTTGAGTAATGAATCAGATTTTCAAAAAAAGAACAAGATTGAATAGGACAATTTTCAAATAAAACCAAAGATAATATTGAGCAAAAATTGAAAAACAACCTCAACTATGAATCAAATTTTCATATCACTGTAAAAAACACGAAAATATTCTAAGACATTAGAAATTCAAAGATGTCTCTTCTTCTTAAAGACACGTCTTTGATGAAAAAGTGTCAAATATGTTTTAATTGTCTTGGCGCTCATTATTTAATTTCCGTTTTGGACTCTAAAAATAAAAAATTCCTAAGCTTTATATAAAATCATCGTTGTAAAAAAATCAAAAAACGCAAAACACAATGTCTGCCGAAGAATTAGAACAAACCAGCTTTACTGCTCTTGATGATGATGAAAAGGTTGAAGAAACCACAACACCAGTTACTACTACACCAGAAGTTCCTGCAACAATCACACCAGTTGTTGAAACTGTTGCTGATGTAGTTGAAGAAAAACCAAAGGCTGTTGTTACACCAGTTGTTGCCTCTACTTCTCCAACAACAACAACAACTTCTACTCCAAAGGTTGCTGCCACCACAACACCAACATCAACTCTTACTGCCACTCCTGTTAAAAGATCTAGCAAGGGACAACCACTTCCTTTCAGTATTAATCCAACCGATCAAACTCCAGTTGAACAATTAAGTTTGGCTGATATTCTCATGTGGAGAAATATCTTTGTCACTGTCCCAGTCTTCCTTGCTATTCAAGCTCTTTTCCTCCTTCTCTGCAAATATGAATTCACACTTGTCAACCTCATTGGCAAGGTTGTCTTTATTCAAGTTCTCATTTCTGTTGGTTACATGGTTGTCTTTAAAATTATTCAAAACAATCCAAAGTAAGTTTTATTTTTGAGCCAATTCATATATTAACATATTTTAATAGTCATACTTTCCCATTCCAAAATGTTGAAATTAGTCAAGAACTCGTCAATAAGATTGTCACTGGTATCGTTGCAAACGTTAACTCTGGCTTGAAGTATTATCTTGACATTTTGAGCTGTAAGGAATTGGGTAAGACCCTTGCTTTCGGTGTTGTTGTTCTCATTGTCAGCTGGTTGGGTAAAAAGATGGCCGGTGAAACTTTCTTGTATCTTGCTTTGAATGTCCTCTTCACTCTCCCATTAATTTATGAATGGAAACAAGATGAAATTGACTCTGTTCTCAAGATTGCTTGTGATCAATCTAAGAAGTACATTGATTTGGGTATTTCTAAATTGCCACCTCAAGCTAAGGATATTCTTGCTAAATTAGGTTTGGATGGTAAGAAGAATCAATAAATTATATAGCTCATTATATTATTTACATTTTATTTCTTGGTGAGAGTATTTCGTCTGGTTTCGGTTTCTCGATTATTTCTCTCATTAATTTCGATTTATACTTTTGCCACTCCTGTTGACCTGCAAATACTTTTCTAATTTCCTTCTCTCTTGGATAGGTATCGGCATACTTTTGCATTTTAGTTATGGCATCCTTATTGAAAACTGTTTGGGTTATTGAGGATTCTAGTTATTGAGAACTAATGGATTAACACTTACAATTTGAAAAACTGGTTCTATTGATACAATACAGAATAGTCTCTGTGGTTGTATAAATTGAGGCTAGTCTTGAGCAGTAATTATTTGAAATACTAATGTCAGTTTTTGACTCATTTAGGTTTTCGTTTACACATGCCAAGAGAACTCGCTCTCCAAAATATTCTTTTTGCTTTAATCTTGACAGCTCCACAAATCTAACAAACTCAGTAGTTTTAACACCCACTGTGTCTTGGAATTTAAGTCTCCTTAGAACAGCAACTTCTCCTGATTTGATAAAATACATCATATTTCCGGGTCTTCCTTGTTTGATTATTGTGTGCCTGGATGGTAAATGTTGAACAAAGAATGATTTTGCCAATTCATAAAGCATTGATGGCTTGTAATAACCAAACAATGGTACAACCAAATTCTTCAAAAAGGAAACTCTTGATTTAAGTTCCTTTTCATATTTTGGTTTGATAGCGTTATTGTAAACTTCCGTAGGTATCCTTAATATATCACTTTCCTCATTTGCAACCCATTTCCATAATCCTTCCTTTGAATATTCATCATTACATAAATCACCTCCAAAAGCATCTCCTGAGAAGAAACTACAAATATTCTTGTATGAAAAATTTGATCTTGGTGATGCTGATGTATAATCAGAGTTACTTCTAAAACTGCTACCTCTCTTTCCCACTTTATAAGAGGCAGGATAGGGAGAGGATGTTAACGAAATACTTCCTTTAAGGACCACATAAAAATACTGTGGCTTCTTTGTTGGATAATCCACTTCACATACAACATCATTAACCTTTACAGTTTCCATTGATGCAAACCTAAGGGCTTCCTCCAATTCCTCATTTGAAAACCGAATTGATGGATCAGAAAATACTTTCAATCTCCCTGCTAATGTCAGCAGTAGAGACATGTCATAGGTGGTACGTAGTTCTCCTCTTTTTTTTCAAAATACTAATTAGAAAAGTAAGCTTGGTGACACAAACCTCTTATGTAATGATTTGATGGCATCTTTCCAATCTCTCTTTTCCATCTCCACTTGTTCCAACAAATCAAATGATCCCAATAATTTAGCCATTCCCACCTTAATTCTGTTTGCCTCAGGACTATGGGTAGCTGTTGCTGATTTTGTCGATGTATGACTTGGATTTGAATTATCCGGATTTAAATGAGGAAGAGAAATGAAGGGACTCAAGCTAATATGTCGAGCTTGATCCGTATATTCGTGTGTTCTATAAACACTTGTTGAATTACTACTGGAACTGAGGTTACTTATATTGAGGGAAGCATTCGCCCCTGAATTTGAAGATGTAGCAGCTTGTTTTCTAGAGCGAACTGGTGAAGAAGATGAAAGAGTTGCTGCTACATTTGCCATTTTTTTTTAAAGGTTTTGATATTGCCAAAAAAGCAAAAAACTTACTGTAATTTTTTTGGCGGTAAATTTTTATGAAATAACTGAAATTGATTTCAATTTCAATGAATTGTTATACAGTTATACAGTGTGTTGTTAAGAGAGATATTAAGGGCTTTTTTCAAGTTGGATATTTTGGATAAATGTTTTCCATTCGAGATTTAGCTTTTCAATCTTGTCTAATGTTGAAGATTTCACACTTGGTGGACTTGCTCGAGCCAATCTCAAAATAATTCCTCTTTCGTCCAATTCAATTTTGTTGACAGGGCTAAGGGATAAAAATTCAACTGCCATAAGTTGGAGAATGCATTGATTGTAAAAGTCAATCATATTGTAGCAAGTGTAGACGAAACGCTTTCTATGTCTAGAGTAGGCCTTTCTACTCAAAATTGGTTCTTCCAATTCTGCTAAGAGTGCAGTGACTTCATCAACAAATTGTCCACTGGCCTTTACAATATCTGTGAGTCTGTATATTTTTGTAAATTCTATCGATTGAATATTTCCAACTTTTCCACAAAATGTTAATGGAAGTCTTGGTTTCATTTTGGTTTTCTTAAGGGTAGCAAATGAATTTTGTATCATTTCCAAATCCAAACTTTGTATAGTTTCTGTTTCGGATGGTTCTTCAAGTAAGATGTTAAGTTTGATATTGTGTTGATACAAATCTCTATATACAACTGAATCGTGGCCAATATCTTGCATTCTCTTATTATAGACTTCAATCAAGTTGACTAAATCTGATGATTGCTTGACGATAAATCTCTTTTCTCCTCTTTCTGTATTTGGATACTTTTCAAATAATTTCTTTGTAAATTCATCCTTATATCTAAAATAATAAGCTTTTGAAACTGTATTTTCAACAAATGATTTGAACTTTTCAAGAGTGGTGTCAAACTCTTTGAAAAAGTTCATTTGGGGATGGTAGGTTTGAAAGGTAAAATTATTTCTTAATTCTAAAATCTTATTGGTTAGCTCGTTAGTTGATTGATTTTCTCTATTGAGTGTGGAACAATTGAAAATAATGCACATCACGATGGCGATTACCTGCTCAGACAGATTTTCAATTTCCAAAATTTGATGTGGATCAACAACACCATGACTCAACTTGTCTCTTATTCTTGGGCCATCCTTAAAGAAGAGAATATCAAAGAGGGATAACATGAGGCTATCTCCTATTTCTTCAAATATACGGTTTCTGTTTTCAAATGTCCAAGTGGAGGTCTTATCACCACCATCTGTCAAATTTGATGAAACCTCTGTATAATCAATGCTAGGGTGCATAATTTCATCAAATGTTGTGTAAACTTGGTCAGTCTCTGCTGAGAAGAGCCTTTCAAAATTATTATTCGAGTAGGCAAACATTCTTCTCAAGGCGTGCTCTAAATGTGGGAAGAGAGTGACAAAGCTCAAGAAAATATGCCCATTTCTATAGTATTCGATAGACTTTTTCCAATCTCTCTTACTTCTGTATGGTATAAGGTAGCTCTCATCAATTAAATCAAAACTCTCTTCCAATGCATGTTCTCCATTCTTGATGTAATCAGAAAAGTCTCTTCTCAATGGATTACCAGAATTGACGGGAATATCCAGCATTGTATTGAAAGATCTTCTAACTTGCTTGGAGGAAGCATTCTCTAATACTTGCTTGGTTTCCTCTCTTTTTGAAATGCTAATGATGAGAAGGATCAGGAAAGATGCAAAGCATCTAGGGAAATTTTCAGAATCCAAAAATCCATGCCATAAAACGTTTCTTAAATTCAATCCTTGTAGTGGGCCTGAGAAACATCTGAAAATAAATACAAATTCCTTTCCAAGAGCCTCTTCAATTTCTTCAACCATCAACAGCTCATTAATTTTTAACTCTCTGAAATTTTCGATAATTGAAACCAAATCATTTGGGTTATCTTTTGATTTTTTCGAGACAAGTAATAATAAATCGCCCAATGTTCTCTCCAAAAAGGTAATACCAATTGAAAAACAAGTAAAGTATTCCTTTCTCCAATACAAATCCATTATTAAGTTGAATGTTGAAATTGGACCTTGTGATTTTGGAAGAAAATTGTCACAAGTAAATTCTCCATAAAATTGTCTCAAATCTTGATAAGTTTCATATGAAAACCAATTAAACAGAATTGGATCCAACATTTCAATAATCTTTCTCAAACAAATAGAGCCAAGTCTAACCCTTTCGAATTGATCCTTCTCTTCTCCTTCAAGAATTCTCTTTGGTTTTATAAGATAGCTCAACATGCACTCCCTATCAGTTTCCATTTTACTTTCCAACCATTCATATAATTTCTTTTCATTCATAATTTTTACATCTTCATACAATACGGATTTTATCAAAGATTCTTCATCCGAAAATTTAATAATATCCAAATTATATAACATATTTGACACATTCTGGGAAAGAGGCAATCCTTCTTGTATTTCTAATTCCTTCAATAATTTTGAATTTTCCTCAACGTTTTCTCCTTGCTGAATCTTCTTTCCGAGGTCGATGATCAATTTTTCGACGCAAGGAGATGAACTGGTGCAATCTTGAGCTTGCATTTTTTTCTACATGGTAAAGTTCAAGTCTGCACTTTATAGCACAATGTTCACATTCCACCAAAGCACTCAGTGTTTAGTTGAACTTCTTGTGTTATCAAATTTGCTTATTTTTAGAAGTTTTAAAGGCAAAAATAAACCAATTAATGTACCGATGATAGCTCAGCTGGTAGAGCATGGGACTGTAGTTGTACCTGTTATCCTGTGGTCGGCGGTTCGATTCCGTCTCATCGGAGCTTTTGACCTCTTTTTACCTTAAAAGAACTGGAACATGACCTAGGTCATTAATCCTAAGCAAAACTTACACTCAGTAATACCACTTTTTTCTGGTTATCATTTGCTACTGAGCATCAATAATACAGATTTAATAACAAAATAAATCAAACAAAAATTTATTAATAAATTTAAAAAAATGCAAAGAAATCCCTCCACACAACAACTCCAGCAGCCAAAGCAAGAAGTTGTAAATACAACAAAAGCACAACATCTCGGAAAGGATCTGTTCTCTCTCACAGATTCTAGATATGAAACATTGGATAGAGAAACAACTAGATTAGCTTCACTGATGGAAACACTTGTTGAATCATCACGAGTTATGGATAGTAATACTGCTTCAGTAAATAATAAATATGTAAATAAGACACAAAATGAAAAGGATGAATTACAGTTATCAACAACAGCATCTTCGATGGTTGATGCTTGCCAAAACCTTTTGAGATTAATTTCGGATGTGGAGGCTACCTATTTATTTCATGATTATCAAAGAATTGAAGAAGCACAACAAACAACATTTAAACAAGAAGTGCAAAATAATAATTAAAATTTATTTATCTGAACTCGTTGCTATAACTGGGTGATTATGATCACCAACTTGTTTTAGTGCAACAGATAGTTTGATATATTGGAAAGTACTCTGTGAGTGAAATCAGAGAACTTGCTAAAGAGAGTATCATTTGTTGGAGTAATAACCAGTGGATAGTGGACATATTCCACAACTCCATCTACAGATATTGTTACAAATAAGGTTACAGATTTCTTATCAGAGAAATTGGCTCTGTAGTTGAAAATACCAAATGGAACATCTTGAATAAGAGAGCAGAAATCCTTATGGTTACTTGAATCGAAAATTAAATGCATCTTATCTTGATTTTCCAAGAAGAATTTCTTTAAATATTCTGTTGATTGTGGAGCTGTTTCCTTCTTTGACCAAATATTTCTCCAAGGTGAATGATCCTCATAAACCTTATATTCAAACGAACGACAAAAGTCTGTGTGTTTGAGTTTTAAGTGATCTGATGAGTAGTGCTTTGGGTGAATATTCTTTCTTACAAATGAAAAATCTCCATTAGCAACATGTGAGAGAGATGATTTGAATAAGGTAAATGCCTTTTCTTGAGATTTGTAATGTTCTGTTAATTCATCAACTTGATTATTGTGAGCAATTGGAACGAACACTGAAAAATCAAATAGATTTTTTTGATTTTTTCTCTTGATTGAAACCAGTGTTTCCTTTGAATTCATCATTAATTGACGAGGATTTGAAGGGAATGATTGACATGCAACACTTGCACTTGGTATATCAGAAGAACTGGCATATGCAATGTAATAGGTGACTCCAGATTTGAATGGAGGATTTGAGAATTGTGTAATGGTCAAACCTGGATAAATTGTTGATTCATTATATGGCCACATTGACTTCCCATCCAATAACAAGTATGGATCAAGACTCACATTCAAGCTAGTATAAGTATTACTACATCCATTTCCACCATCACATAAAATTGAAATTGAAAATCCTTGATAAGTTTCATTGGGCGAAAGAGCCAACTCAAAATAAATAGGTTTGCTATGTACAACATTATCCAAGTGATAACTCGATTTAAAGTTGAGAGGAATAAAATCCGGTAAAGCTCTTGTTTTTGAAAGAAGAGGAAGAGATGAAACCACTATTGACATCATTGATAAAACCATCATAAATACCACCAGAGAGAAAACATGTTGTATCTTGTTCGGTTTAGAGTGCTTTCGATATGTAATGATCATTGTGATGATTTTCCAAATAATTTGATATTTATAGTACAAGAGAAAATCAGCACCGACAAAGACGCAAGATATTGTTGTTGATTTTTTTAAAAAGGCTACGGAAAAGAGAAGGAGATGAAAGTCCTTCAAAGAGGCACATTACGAGGTAACCTTCATTCATTGATTAGAATGAAGATTGAATACAATTGAAGATGAGATCTTTATTTGTTGGTGGATGAATCTGTGGAAGAGTCCTTTCCTTGTTGTTCATCAGGGACTTGGTGCTTGTTAATATTTGTGTGATGTGATAATACTTACTACCGGCTTGTTCCATGAGATCTGAAATACTCTTTTCCAAGTCATCGATTCTTGTTCCCATTTCATCGACTAGTTATTATTATTTAGTTTAATTAATATTCAACAATAATTTAAACATACTCCTCTTTATAATGGTATCAGACATATCTTGGAATCTTTTTTGCTATTTATCATTTATCCAGTAATTATTTTCCAAATCATAACAATCCAAAATAATAGTTTGATGAATCATTGATAATACAATCCACACAAAATTAATTTTCCGAAAAAACAAAATCCGTTAATTATTATTACTCTATCATCACAAATTTTCTAGATCTTCTTACCATTTGGTGGAGCAAATTTTGGACAAAGACAGTTAATTCTTGAGTTCCTTGTGGTGGACCTTGATCAGACATTTTTACTTTTTTTTAATTATTATTTGGCGCCAAATGGATTTACATTTAATCTTCAGGTTTCAATTAGTACCATAAATTAGGATAGTATTGAAGTTCTGTAATTTCAAAGTGCTTGTGCATGTTATTAAAATAAATAATTTATTATACAATTTAATTGTTCAAATTGGCAATACCTTGAACTTCCTTAGCTTGCTTCTTAGCATTTCTTTCTTCATATCTCTTAGCATTATCAATAATTCTGTTAATAATATTTGTTGTGGTCAATTCTTTACATGGTGATTCAATTTGATGATAAATACCAAGCTTCTTTGGCAATTCATATGGATCAACCTTAACTTCAGGTTCCAAAACAGTTCCAGAAACTACAATATTAATCTTCATAACATCAACCAAATCTTGTGTGACAATGAATGGAGCTCCAATAATGACATCATCAACATATCTACAAGACAATACACTCAATAATCTTTCATGAATATTCATAATTGGGTGATGTGGGCCCTTAAATTGTGAAATGACCTTATCTTCATGCAAACCAACAATGAGGTAATCACCAAGCTTTTTAGCAGCCTTCAAAAATTCAATGTGACCAGTGTGGAACATATCAAAAGCACCATCAACATAGACAATCTTGGCACCTGGTGGAGGTGGAGAAGTCTTGGCAGCAAATTGATTAATTTGGTTAACTGATGGATAATGTTGTCTAGTACGAGTGTATGGAGAAATGCAAGTTTGATCAACTTCACTTTGTGGCTTTAATTCTTCAATGCCACTTGGGTCAATTCCTTGAGCAACTAATTCTCTATATTTTGAAAGTTTTAACATTCTTCCGATAATATCAGTTGTACTAACACCTTCAGTTCTTGGTACAATCATCATCAAACCAGCTTGTCTAATAGCCTTGTATGAATCTTCTCCATTTTCATCAAAGGAAATGTCATCACCATGGACACAATAATCAACATTATACTTTTTTAACATTTCAAGATCGGTTACGTATGGAGCATCTTCAATAACACCATCAACCCATTTACAACTTCTAACGTGTTCATAACGTTCATTAGCCTTCATAATAGTTGGACCTTTGTGTCTCAAAATTTCTTCATCGGAGTGAACACCAACAAGAAGTTTAACATTTGGGAATAAATTATAAGCTTGTCTAATAACATTGGCATGACCAAAGTGCATCATATCAAAACAACCATCCAACCATATTGTCTTGGTTGTGTTTTCTTGTGATGATGGAGTATTCTCTTGTTGGGACATTTTTTGTGCTTTTGAGAAGGAGCGATAAATAACAAATTATTCCCACTGTCTTCTTGTGATGAAGATATTGTGCTGTTCACAACAATACGAAGACATCTTTGATGAGGAGTAGGAAAGTAAATATGTGCCACGACGACATGAAGCTTCAATTATTATAAAGATAAATTTCCGTTTCCATTTTGCAAGGTATTAGGTTAATATTCATCTACAGCTCCTGATTAATTGGAGTAAGGAAGTTTGAAAGGGTTGTTTTCAATTTTTGCAAAGGTTGAGGCAGTTGACTATATGAATGTTGTTAAAGATAGCAATCTCACTATTGGATGACATCTTCATACATGATACAAGTTCTAAAACTTCTCTTTAAACAAAAGTTGTTTAAAATTCCAACTCATTGAGGATAGGTTTTGCCTTCACCTTAAAGATGTTAGGAGTTGAATTGAGAGCAGTTGTAGATACAGACAGTTTTCAGGAGTGATCTTTGTGAAAAATCTTAAATATTTTGTTGGATCAGAAGGTGGTTTTTCAAGGAAATATGTAATGTTCAATCAGATGAGACCGAGAGCAGAATCTCATTGATCACTATTGATGAATAGAGTAATCTTGCTGTATGAAAAAAGCTATTGTTTGAAATGATGGAAGATTATACCTGGGTGGTTTTGTCATTCACAAACTCTCTCTGTTGTGCTTATCAATAGGAGTGTGTGACTGTTTCTGTTGATTCTCGTTTTGGGATGCCATTCAGCATTTCCTCATTGTTACCATTTATCTCGATATGGTCAATGCAAATTATTGAATAATACTATCAAAAAACACCTTCAGGATACTAAATAGTAAGAATTGTAACTAATCATCAAGGCATTAACAAGTATTTATGGCCTTTTATCGCTAGTCATCAATTTTAGGAAGTGTTATTATCTACTACTTTGGGTTGACATGGTCACACCAAATTTTCTCATTCTTGTTCGTTGGTCAAAACTGAAGTGTGAAAGACAATTCAGAAAAAAACAAAAGAATGAGTTTAAATCATCACAGTAAGTGTTTTATTATTAATCTTTAAATGTCCTATTACAACGTTAATGATTCGTTCCTTTGGTTTCTAAAATGGTTTCGTCCAAATTTTGTAGGTTCTCTTGAAGAGAGTTTGAAAGAATTGAAGAAGAAACTATCAACAGGGAACTCACAGACAGCTGCATGGAAGAAAGTAATTGGCATTATTTTCTCACTCTCAACTGAGGACGAAACTGCAGAAGAATTATTAGAAATGGGAGGTATTTCCACATTGTTAGAGTTGCTACATGATAGTTTGGATCCAAGAATATGTGGCATTCTATTGAACGTTTCTAATAATGATGAATGTAGAGAAGAAATAGTTGCACAGGGTGGTGTTTCAGAAGTTTGTCGTTTATTGAAGAAGAAAGTAGACGAAACTTTAGCAGTTGAGTATGCAACTGGTGCCTTACTCAATCTTGTTCAGGATGAAAAGAGCAGAGAAGATTTTATCAAGTATTCAAACATCTTCAAGATTCTTGGTCAAGCACTTGAAAACGATCTTTCTACAGAAGCTCAAACTAATTCAATTAGTCTCATTTCCAATCTCATTATGGATCGAGCTGAATCCATCAGAGACAATGAAGAAATGTTCAGTGCCATAGCTTGTGGTCTCAACTCTCTCCATTCTAATATCGTTTCGCTCTCATTGAATTGTGTTTGGAATATTTGTGTGGAAAGAGATGAAGAAATTACTCGAAAACTCATGAATGCAAATATTTTACCAGCGCTTGGAGAAGCGCTGTCAAGTTTGGAAGGTGAAGATGCTGGAAATTGTCTTGTATGCATGTCAATGGTTATGGAGCATGTTGATGAGTTGACTGATGACCTTAAGGAATGTATCGAAGAAATGATCGAGTTGGTAAATTGTGAAGATTTAAAGAAGGCAACTGGTGCATCGACAGCAGTTTGGAACATTTCACAAAATGATTATTTGGCTTCATGCATTTCTAACAAAACTCTTTCTTCTCTCTCCAAATTACTTGAAAGCGTATTGAAGGAAAAAGACATAAAGAGCGTGGAAAAGGTTCTTTCATGTCTGGTTACCTTACTCACTAAAGAAGAAAGTATGGTTGAATACTTTGTCAATGACAGAAATGGACTCATTCAGGTGTATAAACTCCTTGAAACGGAGATTCTATCAATTCCAATTTATCAAGAAGAAAGCACCTACAGAAAGTGCTTGGATTTTTCAATCATGATCTCATGTATCTGTTCTGAAATTAAGGAAGGAGAGAAGGCACTCCTTGAGATTGGTATTGTAACAGAATTGCTTGATTTGATCACTCTGAAGCAGGTGTCAACATCAAATCCAAAGAATATCTGACAGCATGCCTGTACAATATTTCGCTCAACATGAATGCACAAAATTTAATACTCAAAATGGATGCTATTCCCTCACTAATGCCTCTAGCACAGCATTCAAACAAGAGAGTTTCTAAAAATGCTACTGCACTACTCACTAATCTAACAAAGAATGATGAATGCAAAAACGAAATCAAAGAGAGAGAAAATCCAAGCTCTTTAATTAACACTCAAAATACTAAACATAGATCCCTATAATGTAAATAAAGCTCTAACTATTTATTCAAAAAATGACTGTGAATAAGATAGAGAGCTCATGTTTACAATGTTTTCATTCTCCTTGTTTAGAGACTTGTAAGTTGGCAATCTGGCAAGGTGTAACTTGTGATATTCTTCTCTTATCGTGTCTAATTGCTTATAAATATCACACATGTCATTCTTGATATTCTTTGAAAAGTCGAGCTCAAAGAATTCATGGCGGAGTAGTTCAGAAGCTTTAGGCCTCTGTTCAGGGGTTCTGTATTTGGTTAGGATAAATTGACAGAAAATTACTTACAGAGAAAGGCATTTCGTTATTAAATCTCTCAATTGAGGAGATATGTAAGACGGAATGTTTTCATAAATTAAATGCGTATTGTTAATCATAAATTCTACATATTGATATTCTGTGGTAAGATTGGCTGGATATAAAGAGAACCAAATATTTCTTCCTATTAACATTTCGAGAATGGTCATTCCCAAACTCCAAATGTCTGGCATATGGCTTCTCTTATAACAAGTTTCTCCTCTCAATTGTTCAATACTAAGGAAAGGTATTGTTCCCGTCATTGCTTTAGTCTTGGTGAGGGATCCATCTTGTCTTGATTTATCTAAGTGGCTATTTTTACAAATTAATTTGGCTTCTCCAAAGTCAGCCAATTTGATGATTTCTGCATTCTTGAGTAAGATGTTCTCACTTTTGAGATCTCTGTGATAGATTGGCTCGTCCCTATCCTCATGAAGGTATTTCAGTGCAACCAAAATTTGTTTCAAGTATAACTGGACTACAGCTTCTGATAATCCTTTGTTCATTCTCTTGAGAACTTGTTTCAAGGAACCACCACTAAGGAACTCCATCAAAATGAAGCAAAAGTCATTTGAAAATTCAACTCCTTTAAAACGAACAATATTTTCATGATTCAAGCTCTTCATAATAGTTGTTTCCTTTTCAATCTTTTGCTTGACTTGACTCTCTGCTGAGTAAAGGATCTTCTTGACAGCCATCATTTCATTAGCATTCGAATCAAAACAAAGCATAACATTACCGAAGCTGCCAACACCTAATGTCTTGATAATAATCCAACCTTTAGAAATTTCAAACGTGTCTCGGAATGGAGATTTTGGACTGTCAGTACCTGCTGATGAATCTGATCTAGATATTGAAGATGGTTCGCTCTTTTCCTCTGTAATGCTTACTTTAACCTTAGCACCTTGAAGTTCCTTTATGTTATCAACCTCTAGCCACTGTTTATACTCCCTGTCAAAGTAGCTCAAACCAATCTTTTGCTTTCGATCAATCTGGAACTTTTCTTTGATTTTTCTTTCAATGGCATGCAGTGTCGCAATAGAGTTTGAGCCAGCAACAAACTCCACTTTCTTTTTTCTTTCATTGAATTCAGCTACGAATGAACTAATGAGGGAAGATGAAGATCTGAGCGAAGATGCTGGAGGTTCTTTAAGCAATGTTGGAGAGGTATCACTCTTCTGTAATTGCTTTCGTGGACCAGCCTTAAGTTTGGTTAATCTCTCTGGTGGGGTTGATTGCTTTGTGGATTTGGAAGTAGTTGCTGATGATATCACAAACGAAATGCTCTTTCTCTTAAGATAAGCGTGAGTCGTTTGAGTTTTTTCAGAGTTGGTGTTTTTCACGTTGGTTACAACTTTTTTCAAGTTAGTCGCTGTATTAGCAGGTGCTGCTGGAGGGGAGGTATTTAAGGAAGAAGGGGAAACAGATCTTGTTTTTGAAGGTACTAATAGCAGAGACTCTTCACTTTCTGAAGAGTTGGAGGGAGAATCATTTTTTGACTTCTTTTGAGTATTTTTGAAAATTTGAGAGATCTTTGAGGAAATATTGCTGTAAAGCTTTTTTGGAGGAGGTGGTGGAGGTGGTAGAACATCAGTTGTCACATTCTTTGAGGTAGGAAGGAAAGGAGGTCTTGTATCATTATTCTTTTTCTTTTCTGTCTTTTTTGTTATAAGCTGTTGCTGATGGTTGTGTTTTTGGAGAAGAGGTCTTTTAGGGTCATCAAATTTCATAGTTCCTTTTTCATTGTTGGTTGGCAAGGATTTAATGGAAGAGATAGATCGTATTGAGGAAATGGATGAGGATGTTGAATTGAGGAAATCACTGTCTGTATACTCAGTCATTACTTCCACCATATCCAAGTACTTTGCTTCTTCTTCCTCACTTGCAAATTTGAAAGATGAATTAAAGACATTCTCTTTCTGGGATTTTAATAGGAGAGGCATTTTGACTTCCTTGTTCTCTGGTGGTAATGGTTCCTCAAAGATCGGAGCATCCTCAAACTGATTATATGCTAAAATAGGTGACGCATGGGTTGATGATGTTGTTGATTCGGTATAAGGAGCCAGAAATTGATTATAGACATCCTCTTTCGATTTTAAATAACTTTTGTGTTCTTGAATAGTTTCATTATCGAAAATCCTGGCAATATAGGGAAGGATATTTGGTGATTGATCCAGAGACTCTGATGAACATGACGGAGGGAAAAGAGTAGTTTGTTGATGAAGACTCTTTTTATCTAAGGCAGCTTGTAACCCCTTTTCATCTTGAATGGATTTATTATTCAGCATTCAGACTGATATTGTTGACACTGATGAAGCCAATACTAATTCTTGTTGAGCATCAAATGTGAACACAATAATAATATTCAAAAGATACTAGATATAATACAAGAAGAATGTTTTCTATTCTACTATCAACCTTCTTCGGTTATTTTTTTTTAAAAAGAATTAAGGAAAAATTGGCGCCAACACTGACTGATATTGAGTGTGTTACACACTTTCTTACCGGTTAAGAAGAGATAATTACCTTGAGAAATTAACTCTCCACTAGAGGCTCATGAACAAAGATCAGAGCTCAATCCTTTCCCTTTCCGTTCCTCAAAAGATGATCCAGATTTTTTCAAAGTAAAAAATGTACTCCTCACCACAGGGTGCATCTTCATCATCAATGCGTTCGACAATGAGCAATCCAAATCTGACGCACACTAATTCTTCATCTTCTCTTCGTGAGCAGCAAGGGGGCAGTATGGCGTATGATGAGGATGCTATATCGACTACTGGTCCACCTCCATCAGTATCCTTCAGCAGTTCTTCTTCGGTATCTCAAATTCCGATTAGAAAATCCAAAGTATCAATTTGTTCATGTTTGAATAGGAAAAAGAATTCTTCTGCATCAACAAGAGAGGGATTTGTCAGGAAGGGAAGTTGTTGTGGTAGAAGGTTATTAATGATTTTGGCTGTATCGGGATTTTTATTATTCTTCATGATGTTAATTTTACTTTCAAAACTAAAGCATTCAACAGTGATTGAAAACAAGGCCTTGATCACAACATTAAATCATCAGAGTGGATTATCAAGGAGTTTAGTTAACACTCCTAAAAGTGGTTTGCATGAATGTCAAACTCCTTTAGGAACACCTTTGAAAAACACAAAGATTAGTATATTGGTTACTACAAGTTTAAGGGAGTCTGATTTTAATTATATTAGAAACCAAGCATTTGATAAGAGTGTTTCAATAGAATGGATTGTTTTCAAAACGAAGGGACAAGCTGTAATTCCAACCCATTTGAGATCAGTTCAAAAACAAGTAGTTGAAGTGGAAAATTTAAAGCACGAACTGGAATTACTCACAACAGGATTGAAGAAATCAAGTGGAGATTATATTTTCTTCTTACCACATTCTGTTACAATTCTTCAACCAGAATTAACAAGCTATGAAATATTTGATATCAAGTTGAAATTACTGAAATGCAATACAGATGCAGCAGTGATGGGATCCCTTTCAGTCTATCCAATTGACATTTATACACAATTACCAACCTATAATACTGATGTTAAACGTGAAAGTGATGTATCATTTAACATTTATAGCATGTCTTACAGACTCTCAAAAAGAGATGACAACATACCTGCACCATTCCATCACAAGAGAGGAAGAAACTACTTTGCCCTTCCAAAAACTTCCAAAACTTACCAATACAGTTTTTGTACTGGTTTGGCTGGTTCATTTATTAAGAAATCAGAATTTAAGGAGATAAGACTTGATGATTTTGGTGGAAGAGACCTCAACGAATTACAATTATGCTTGGAATTATTTAAAAAGGAAAAGAAAGTTATATTTAATCATGATGCTACTTATAATGATTTTTCAGTGATTGTACCTTACTCTGTTCCTAAAGTTGAAGCCAAGGAAGAAACATCACAGGATTCTTTTGCATTCTTCAACTCTCTGAAGAATAAGAACAAGAAACAACCAGAAAAAACTGAAGCAGTTAACAAGTTTGAAAAGCCCCCAAAAACAGCTTCCAAGTTTATACCATTCAATTCCTATTCTAAAGGCCAACGTAAAGGTTTCCTTAAAAAGTATAAGGATACTATGAAGGAAGTAATGAATATCAACAGCCAATCAAGACCTAACAACCAAACAAATCTTTCTGTTGTTTGGGATTTTGGTGCTGGAAGTTGCAGTGGGTGGTTTATTGAAACTATGGAGTTTGTGACTGATCTTGATATTGAATCAAGAGTACCTAATTTGAGAATCATCACAGGTAGAGAGGATATGTGTCTAGGTTTAGAAAGCTTCAAATTTGAAGCTATGGATCGTCTCATCTCCAAGACATATGTTAGCCCAATGATTGATATATTTATTTCACACAAACCTCCTGAACGTTATCCAAAACAACATCCTTACAAAGGATTGGTTCATTTGGAAGGTATTCCAAGATATAAGATTGGAAGAAGTATGGCTGAAACTGAAATTTTATCAGAAGTTTGGATTCATAATTTGAAATATGTTGATGAATTGTGGCTTCCAAGTAGTTTTCTTGTTGATCCTCTAATTAATACCTATGGTGTTGACCCAGATAAGATTTTTGTGGTTCCAGAACCTGTTGATATCGAATTTTACAGCCCTAACTATTCAAAATACTTGTCTGTTAGTCAAGTGAAGAAGATTGTTAAACAATTGGATTACAGACCTAACCATTACCATTTCTTCTCTGTGTTCAAGTATGAGGAAAGAAAGGGTCCTGAATACTTGCTCAATGCCTACTTTTCAGAGTTTGCAAAGGTAAAGGATGTAACTCTACATATTCAAACTTACATCTTTATGCATCCTAATGGAAGAGATGAAGAGGTGGTAGAAATGGAAATCGACAAAGTACGTCAAGCTTTCTTGATGAAACATCCTGAGCTGACCAAAGATGATCTTCCATTTGTCAATATTATGTCACATGTTATTCCAACAACTGTCATGCCTCAATTGTACCATCTCATGGATTGCTTTGTCCTTGCCACTCGTGGTGAAGGTTACGGCCTACCATTTGCTGAGGCTATGTCTATGGGTCTTCCAACAATAGGTACAAGATATGGCGGTCAATTAGAATTTATGAATGATAATAATTCATACTTAATAGATATTGAAAAGAGAAAACCTGATCAAGAATTCGTTATACCAAAGGTTAGACACTTGAGGCATTTATTGAGACAAGTTTATGCCAACAGAAAAGAATCTAAAAAGATGGGTAGAAATGCACGTATTTGGGTTGAAAACAATATCAGCCACAATGCCGTTAACCAACAATTGGTGGAACACTTGAAGCGTATTGATAAAAAGTTAAAGAATCAAAGTGAAAAGAAACAAAAACACAAAAGACATGCGCTTCCAAAGGAACAACACTAATTTTTATTACAAAGATTCAAACGAAATTAATTGACTTGGGTCAACACCAATGGCATAAATCTTTCCATTGTTATCAGTCAAATATTTGAATCCATTAACACCATTTGGACTATTCAAGATGTTAGATTTAAATGTCTTGAGAACTCTACCAGTAACGCTATCAACAAGTAAATATTCAGTATCAGTGGTTACAATTTGATTCAAATCTTGATTGTAAGCAACAAATTGCAAGTTCTCCTCATCAACTTTCTTTTCCCACATTTGATGCATGTCAATAGCATTGAATTGGTTTACAGTGAATTTCAAGCTCAATATAAAGTTGGTGGTATAAATTGGTGATCTTTGCAACAATCCACATGAAACAACAGCATTGTATTCTCCACCTTGTTTAGTATTATTGAAGAAACCAATAGCAGGATTACAATAAGCTTGATGGAAAGATCCTCTGATATTTTGAACGAGCAATTTGTTTTGAGTAGAGACTTGCTTATCAATATTGAAGAAGGCAATGTAATCAGTCATCTCCACATCATTAGTGATGGTTGCAACAAGGAATCCATTTGGATCGTTCTTGAACTTACTGATAGAGGCAATGGTACCGTTATGAAGTTTGATTTGTCCAGAGATTTTGCCATTCTCAACATGGATTCTACTGACCAAACTGTCCATGAAGGAAATGTAAATGTACTCAGTGTTGAGTTCTTGTGTCAACAAGTGAATCTTTGATTGGTCTTTCAACTGCAATTTCCAATTTTGGGAAAGAGTTTTACAATCCAATGAAATAACTCCATCGTGTGAGCTAATAACAATGGAATCAAACATTTCAGAGTAAACCATAGCAGTTACCCCTCCCATTGGTAAGAAAGACACTTGACTCTTACCAACTCCAAGAACATTAACCTTAAATAGATATGCCTTATTATCCTTCTCATTATCCAACAAGATGTAATAGTAGTTGTTACTATCAATTACTGAGGAGACATAATGTAAGTTTTCATGGATTTCACCTGCAGAAACATTCACATATTGATAAGCACCATTCAACATGTTGATTTTCAATAAAGCCAACTCTGTGTGATATTGTAAAGCAACGAGAGCTTGATTATTCTTTACATCAACAATGAGGGAATCTAAAATGGTTTGGGTGTAGAGAAAGTTTGGAGCTTGGAATTGGTTGAACCAATTTGCATTATCTGCATGCAAAGGAACATGCATGGATTGGAATTGGTCGTAATTCTTTTGACTCCATTGACAGTGGACGAAACCAAAAACTAAACAAAGAGCAGCAACAAGCAAGATACAAAGTTTCATATTTTTCTTAACAGTTTCTTTTCGCTTTTGCAAGATTTTAAGCGTTTAAATGTTTTTATGAAGGTCCCACTAGAAAACTATTCGATTCCTTAAATGGTAGTCCGTTTCGTTTTACAACCGGAATGTAAAACGCCAAAAAGACTTTAAGGAGTATATTTGAGAAGTAAATGTTTCATTGCCAGTGTAGTGATAATACTTTAAGGAACTATTTCTAATCTAATGTGTCCACAGAATTGGAAACAATTCTTGTTGCATAACTCGCTTTTGTAAACAGCGTCTCTGTTTCAGATATTCCCATTGGTTGGGTATACAAGCTAAACATTTGCATTTCGGCATATTTTCAGTGAAATCTTTGAAGATTTTTTTATTCTACAGTGCACTGTAAATATTTTTGTAAAGTTTAAACTGTGTTATCTTTTACAAAGTGCTACATGAAGAAAAGGATTCTTTTTCCTTCTCCTTAATTTACTTCTTATAGTTTACAATATTAATTTTGATTACTTGTCCAGCAACATTAGACAGTGAATTCCTCAATGGACTTCCCTCCTCAATCATTCTCCTCGAAATGTGTGCAAACAAATTATAATCACCAACTTGTCCCTCTACTCTGCTATCAAGATCCTTTTCACAATGAATCCACGACTTTTCATTTCTGAGCTTTAGTATATAATCAGTCAACCAATCATCGACCTCACCATACGTCGAATTGGTACAAGCAATTCTAGGAATGAAATAGATGGTATTATTATTTTCAGAGAGTAACTTTTTCAAATCATTCATAATGGTAGTATATTCCAATTGATGATTTTCTGGTTTCGTCTTATCCCACACAATCATCATGTGAAATGTTTTTTGAGGATCTTCAAGTTTTATCGATCGTTTCTTTGGCTCTGCTCTGAATGTCATTGTAATTTCAAGAGTTGGAGATTGGCTAGGGGTGGCGTTGTTTATAATAGCAGGTGGGTCAGAAGTAGTTGCGGTGGTGGTCGACATTTGTGTTATTTTTTTTTGTTTTCTTTTCAAGTTTGAGTTTTAACGTAAAATTTAAAGATGAAGAAGTTTATTTTTAGAATTCAAGTTCATTCATTCACTATTGAGCTCGTATAGTTTACAAAACTAATTGTTCACTCAGCAAGTTGTGGATTCAAAGTAATTTACTGCTTGATTCTTTCCATGAAATTGTAAAGTTTTTTGACAATCACATTAAATTCTGGTCTAGTACTTGGCTGTTCACTCCAACACTGTTTAGTCAATTCAAAATATTCCAAAACAATATTAGCTCCTTTGAATTTCTTATCCTCCTCATAAATAAGTAACCATTCTCTAACTTCCTCTATAGATTCGAATGGAATGGAAGGTCTCTTTCCCTTTGATACCAAATGTAACATGTTAATTGTGTTCAAATTGTTAGAATTCTCATCTTCATGTAACATTCGAACAGTTTTCCTATTTTCAGTGAATGGAGCTAGCTCAAAGAAAAGTTCCCACATGATTATTCCAAAACTATAGGTATCTATTTTAGAAACATTGTGAGGATCAACTTTGGTTTGATCAATTTCAAACATTTCTGGGCTAAGGTAGAATAATGTACCAACATTTCTTGTAATTGAGTGATTGGTATTTTGATTTACAGTTCTGGAAAGACCAAAATCACATACTTTGCAATGCATATCCTTATCCAATAGAATATTCCCAGGTTTCTAATAGAAAATGTAAATTTGAGGCAGATTTTCAAAATTCGAAACTTACCAAATCTCTGTGAACAATTTTTGGTGTTAACGAATGTAAATAATCCATTCCAATAGCTACTTCATATAAAATTCTCAATTTTTCATGGAATGAGAGTTTGAATTGACCAATCCTACTCAAATAAATAATCCCCTCCAAACTTCCATTCTCCAAAAACTCTGTAATCATAAATGTTTCATTCTCCGTCACACAAACTCCATAAAAATTCAAAATATGTGGATTTCTAATAGAGGCGAGAAGTGAAATTTCATTCTCAAAATCGTCTCTACTTTCATTCTTTGCCTTAATAGTCTTAATGGCAACTTCAATTCCTTTCCACGTTCCCTTGTAAACCACTCCATTTCTTATCAAATTGTTAGTGAATTGTTACAATAAACACACAACTACATACCCTCCTTCTGCTACCTTCTTTACAATGTCAATATCCTTTGGAGAAATGATAAAACGAAATATTGGATCTTCCAGTTCATAGTTTTTCAGTAATGGCTCCTTAAAGTCACCTTCATCGTTCATATTGAATACCACCTTCTTATCAATAATCTTCTGCTCAACACTCTGCTCGGCACTCTCCTTTTCCTGCAATAGATTCAATCGTCGTTTTATATTATTAATTTTTGGAATTCCAACCATGCCCAAAATTATTCCAATAAAAACACTCACTATGGCAATAAAAACACCAACTGGAATGGAAACTGATAGAATTAGAGGTAGTAGGCTAGCAGGAGATGGCACACATTTCAAAACGGCCATCTGATTCTTACCAATTACTCTCAATTCATTTCCTTCCCCACATGAATTGATGGAATAATGAAAAAAGGTAATTGCTGGATTGCTATCAAGGAATAGTGTGAAATTTCCATAGGAATTTGGTGTAACATCACCCATTAAATACATGGATATTGTAAATGAGGTTTCGTTCTGTAAAAAATCCAAATAAACACTTGGGTTATCAGTAAAGACTGTGAAATTTTCAGTATTTGTTGGAATAAGTAATCCACCCAATTCGAATGTCTTTACATCCAATGAAATAGCATCACCCGGTTTGACATGATGTACAGTACTATTATCCCAATCCAAAGCAACGACACTTGTCAATAAATCATTTCCAATTTCTGCAACATTTTCCTTAAACACATTATCAAATATTTCAGTTTGTTCTACACTTGGTGAATAGTAAAACATGGCTCCTCCTCTCTTTGCCTTATTTCCAATAAATGTTGAATTGGAAATTTCCACCAAAGATTCCCTAACAAAAAATAATGAACCACCATAGAGAGCTTCGTTATTAATGAAAGTATTTGCCAATAGTTTGCTTTCTGAAAGTCCCAATTGAGTAGTAATTATAGAAACAGCTCCTCCGCCTCCATAATAGAAAGTACTAGCAGGTTGTCGTAATAAATTATTGTAAAGTACCTTATTTCCAATAAATAAATTATTTAAAATTACAGCTCTGGCTCCAATTTTGATAAAGAGAGCTGCTCCACCATATTGAGCTGTGTTATTCAGGAAAATATTGTTTTGAATTGTCAGGTCAATTGAGTCAGAAATGTAAATTCCACAACCTTCCTTGTTACAGGTATTTCCTTCGAATTTGCAATTGGAAACAGTATACCAGTAATAAGACTTATCATTATCAAACATTCTATTAGGATAACTATTTGAGAAGATGCTGGAGGCAGAATTGTTAGTGAACTGGCAATTTCTCACATGGAATACATTGACATCTGACAAGTAAAGTGCAGAAGCTCTTTCATAACCTTCATTGTTTGAAAATTGAGAATTGGAAACCATAACAGTGATACAACTCTGAATTGCAATAATCCCATAGAAAACACTAATTAAATTCTCCTTCATCAGCTGATTATTAGAAACAATTGAGCTATCAATTGAAACAAAAATATAAGATCTCACAAAAAGGAATGAATAAGCATGTTGAAAGGTGCAATTAATAACACGAAATGAATTTCCTTGAAGTGCATTCACTGACTCTTCCTTATAATCCAAATAATCACGAATAAAGGTGGAGTTTCGAATGAGAACATTTGTCACTTGTTTGAAGGTCATTTCCACCAAAAAATCTTCAAATAATGAATTTTCAATTATTAGATTTGTAACACTGCTGACTGTCCATCTGAGTCGTGTTTCATGAATTTCACTATTATTATAAATAGCTGTCAAACCTGTCACATAATATTCTCCATATTTAATGGTTTCTGATCTGTCATAGAACCACAAATTTGTAGTTGCATAAATAATTGATCTAATCAATTGACTCTTTTCAATATAAAAATCTCTATTCGTTACAAAATTCAACCACGTATCCACAATTAAGCAATTACAAAAACCAAGATTTGCAACATCCGTATTATTCAATCTAAATAAATTAAGTGTCACATTCTCAAAGTAAAACCACTTAATATCTGGTCTTGTCAATACATAGGATCGATCATAAGATCCCTTCCATTTCAATTGAATCAAATTTCTATCCGAATCTGATACGCTCTTAAATTTGAAAATATAATTCAAACCAGAAATTATTGGAGTTTCAATAAAATGTTCAGTTGTATCCAAAATATCATTCAATAAATTAATATTCAAAACTACCAGCCTCTCAGTTGACCGATTATAAAAGTTAAAATTATCTTCCACAAGTGTCTTGTTCAGTACTGAGAGAATTTGTGTTAAATTTTCACACGGATTTGCCAAACTGCAATTCTTCACATTTCTCGCTTGTGACGATGAAAAATCCTGTTGATGATCATCAAATTCCGAAGTCATCATCATGAACATATTGAACTGTAAATATTCCATAGCTTTTGAAATTTCATTATTCACAAGAAATTGTGAAGTACATGAAGGATTTTCAGGAGGATTTTGTGAATGGACAGTTGTTTGTGTTGTGATGGCAAGGAGAATGGCATTAATAATAAAAATACAGAGTATTTGTGTTCGCATTGTTTTTTCTTATTCTTCTTTAAAAGGCAAGTGAGCTCTTGGGTTAATTCTATACACTATTTACACTCCGAAACAACCAAATAGAATTGCTTGAATATTTGATTTTACAATACCATTTATTCAAAATAATTTAAAACTTGTATGGACGTTTCAAACCTGGGATATGAGTAATGACAGACTTATTTTCAGTATATTCATCCAAAGCATGTTCACCCAAATCTCTACCTTGACCAGACATCTTGTAACCACCGAATTCAATATTACTGAAGAAAGCATTCCATGTGTTTACCCAAATAGTTCCGGCTCTAAGACCCGATGTCTGTAAATGAATGATAATTAGTGAAAATTAGAAAAAATTTAAAAATAATAAACTTACAACTCTGTGAGCTTGGTTGAGATCATGAGTAATGACACCAGCAGCCAAACCATATTCAGACTTGTTGGCTCTTCTGATAGCATCTTCAACATTATCATGATCAAACTTCAAAACACTCATAACTGGTCCAAAGATTTCTTCTTGAGCAATCTTATGAGTATCTTCAACATCAGCAAAGACAGTTGGCTTAACAAAGTAACCCTTGGCATGGGCACGTTCACCACCAGTGACAAGTCTAGTATTATTCTTACCATATTCAATGTAGCTCATAATCTTGTTGAATTGTTCTTCACTGACTTGAGCACCTTGTTCAGTCTTGGAATCGAATGGGTTACCAACAACTCTCTTTTCAGCAAGTTCCTTAGAAATCTTCAAGAAATCTTCATAAATATTGGAGGCAACAAAGACACGAGATGAACAAGTACAAACTTGACCTTGATTGAAGAAGGTACCTTGATTGGCAATATTGACAGCCTTTTCAAGAGTGGCACGATCCTTAACATCACCCATGACAATCAATGCTGATTTACCACCGAGTTCAAGAGTAACTCTCTTCAAATTAGTCTTGGAAGAAGCTCCAAGAATCTTTTTACCAACTTCAGTGCTACCAGTGAATGAAATCTTATCAACATCCATGTGATGAGTCAATGCATTACCAACAGTTTCACCAAAACCACTCAAAACTTGAATGACTCCTGGTGGGAATCCAGCTTCATGAGCCAATTTAGCAACGTACAATGCAGACAATGGAGTTTGTTCAGCAGTCTTCAAAATGGAAACGTTACCAGTTGCCAAACATGGTGCCCACTTCCAAGTCTATAGAATTTGTGTTAATTATTTCATAATTCTTTACTATTCTACTTACAGCCATCAACTTGATAAATTTAATTAAAATATTAAAATATTTAAAAAAAAAATTAAATTAAAAAATTAAAATAATTAGAAAATAATTAAAAAGAAACAAACCAATGGGAAATTCCATGGAACAATTTGACCACAAACACCAACTGGTTCTCTTTGAGTGTAGGCAAAGAAGTCAGAGTCAACTGGAATGGTCTTACCGTTAATCTTATCAGCCCAACCAGCATAGTATCTAATACATTGGAGAACCAAGTAAATGTCAACATTTCTGACCATATCACGTGGCTTACCATTATCAATACATTCTAAATCAGCAATATAATCAGCATCTCTTTCAATCAAATCAGCCCACTTATTCATGAGACGAACACGTTGGGATGGTGCATAATTTCTCCAGACGTTTTCAAAGGTATTTCTAGCAACACGAACTGCATCATCAACATCAGCAGCAGTGGCTTCGGAAATTTGACAAATTTCTTCTTCAGTTGCTGGATTGTATACAGAGAATTTCTTTCCTTCCTTTCCTTCAACAAATTCACCACCAATGAAAAGTTTCTTGACCTTAACATCAACCTTCTTGGTACGTTGTTGATTAACAAAGGTGTTGGAGAAGGCAGCAGCAGTGGTAGACTTAGTTTGAGCCTTGGCTAATTGTACAATGGATCTCTTCATCTGTTTCATATTTGGTCATTGATCACACAATTTATCATCATCATCATACCATCAATATTATATTATTAATATATTATTATTGAATTGGTGGAGGATAATATTAACATCATCATACACAAATAGAATATGAATGGATTTTTGTTGTATAGAAGAGCAAATATGGTTGACAATGGTCCAAACACAAAATTCGCCATATTAACCAAATATCATCATCAGACAAAGCAAGATCATATAGGTTACCACCACAAATATATGAATCATCATCATCAGTAAATTAAAATTGTCCATTCACAAGATCAGGATCTCTCAGTAAGCAAACACCTAGATCAAATATTTAAAAAAACATACATTGTTTACAAGTTATTGTTGTTTTATGTTACAGGATTTTTTTTATGTGATGCTTTGGTCGTATCTCTTTTGCCTCGGAGCCACAACTTGAACATAAGAATCAGAGTTTACAAGAGCCTTGTTGTATGCATAATGGAGAGAGAAAAATTGTTTGACAACCAAAATTACTGAATTTGGTTCGATCAAAACAGCGACATTGTCATTGTAAACTCAAGGTGAGGTTGTTGATTGGAGGAACTGAGTTTGTTCAGGGCAATTTGTAATAAATGTGCATAAGGAAAGTGAAAATGCTGAATAAAAAGAGATAAACTTTACTAATGTTAGTTTGTTAGCTTTCTGTTTTAGTTTGAGAGAAGTATTCAATTACCTGTCGGTGTTAATCATCACACATGAAATAGTTTCTTTTGAATTCTAAAGTTGTTTCCAGTTATTGTGTGCTTTCTTGTTCCTTATCAATTTGTCTCTTAATCTTTTCCAGTAAATTAATGGTTGGCAAGTCAGCCTTTCCATTCTCTATTGATTTATCCAAGAACTCATTCAGAATTGCAATTGCTTCATCACACTTCCTTTCCCAATACAAACTTGTTGCATTAATGTATGGCTGCCATTCATTTCTCTTCTTCTTTTCCTCCAATTCGTACATCCATTCTTTAATGTTGCCAAATAAATAACTTGATTGAGAATCTATTGAACTTACCATCATCTTTTATCTCCATAAATTCTCCATATTCGTAAATGTTGACATCAGTGTTTTGTTTAAGGAAGGAATTGTTGGCTGTTTCCATCGAAACATTCAAGTTGCCATATTCAACAGCTTGAGAGAAAACCCAATTTTTGAATATTGATATATCTAGCTCAGGAAGTCCATACTGCGTCTCAGTTAAGAATTGTAATGTATCTACGTATCGGTGTTGGAAGACAATATTAGTCTTGGTACGAATATCTTCTGTTACAACAAGTTCAATATTCAATCGAAGGGCCAGCTCAATCATCATGATCAAGTTTTGTTTGAAACTTCCCACAATCGTGAAATTCTTAAATTCATTCGTTCCCAAGTTACCGCAACAACAATATTGAGACAGGACAGATGCTCTGAAAACAATTGGCTTTTCCGACGACCTTCCACTGATTGATTTCTTAAGGGTACTCAACCCATTTAGCTTTTTAACTGTTTGTGATGCAAACACTACTGCCTTCTTCTCTGCTGCAGACGTCTCTGCATTGGAATTGAATGAAATCAATACAGTTTCGCTTTCAAAGTTTCCAACAGAACCTCCACTCAATTTACTAATATCGTACACATACTTGAATATTTCACTCAAAATGCTGACTATTTCTGTGTAGGAGCTTGTTGTGATACAGCGACCCATTCCCTCTATGTGAAGACATGCAAAGGTAACTCTTCTACTCTCCAAATGAAGAGCAAACCTTGCCATTGTATCTACCTGAGGTTTCTTTATACTGACGATACTTGTAAAACTGTCTGAAGTTTCAATCTTTTTCTCGAAAGAAAGGCTATTCTTACTTTGTGATTCTTTTGATTTTCTGCTCTTTTCTGTATCCTCTCCTTCTCCATCAATCTTTGAAATTAAATGGCTTGGAATAAAGCTAACATGAAAATTAGAATTTGATTGTGAAACCTCGTCCAACTTACCAACGATAGAGTTTGATTTTTTCAACCATCCCCTTAAAATGTCCCTGAAGAATTTGAACTTCTCTGAAAACGCTCGTCTCAAAAGAAAGTCCTTCAAGTTTCATTTCTGAAACCTCACTAAAGTTAAATATCAAATCATAGAATGGCTGAATAATCTTGAAGGCAATGTAAACTCCGATACCAATACTAATAATAATGATAACTAGACTTGAACCTAGAGCAGCGCTTACAGCAACAATGATTGCTTCCATAAAATTCATTGTTGGTTCAGCAAAAACAATAAGCCAATCAATGTTCTCATTAGTACATAATCGATACATGGAAATATAGTATCCATCTACTTCCATCAATATTTTCTCATTACAAGTTATATCGGTTAAATTTGGATACAGTTTGTAAACATGTTCAGCAATGAGATTGGTTCCATTATCAGTTACTGTACGAGCTGTCACTCTTGTTTCCTCTTCATTTTCATCCCAAGATGCTACAGATACATCTGGATTGTAATCTATTTAATAGTTACAGAAACAGTTAAAATTCAATGATGAGACTTACTCGATATAAGATAATCAGTCATAACTTCTATAGTAAAGGCAATTGCTCCAGGAGTATCCTTTGTGATAGAGTTCAGATATATTGAAAAAGACTGAACAGAGACATCGTAGCCAATCCAAAAGATAAAATCAGAAGGATTTGTAGAATTTTTCACCATTGATAGTAATGTGATGAATGTGATACTAGGCAATGAAATGTCAGCATAACTCAATGTGAATCGTGACCCGCCAGGTGCTTGACTTGCAGCCTCCAAAATTGGTGTCATATCAAACTCACCCAATACCTCATCAGGTGTGTTGTTTCTAACGCACAAATCATTATTCAGGTAATCTTGACAATAGTAGTATGAATCCATGTTAAAAGCTGCCAAAGTATTTTCATCCATTTGCATAACACCGTAATTGTATCGTGTGTGGTCACCTAAATACAAGGTTACAGGTAGAGATGGATGTCTCACTAGCTCATTTTTGAATAGTCTGAACATGTGTTTTTCAACAAGCTGTGTATTGTAAGGGTCAAAGTTATCTGATAACAGCTCCCTCTCTGTTTCTGTCACCAGAGCCAGTTCCTTCAATGTGGACCTTGTGAATTGTATAATGTTATCAAAACTCTTTTCTCTTACTGAAGACCCCCACTTGAGCATGGAGGGAAGGAAACACGAAATCCATATACTAGACAAGGTTAGGACTGTTAAAATTTCAAGAAAGGCAATCAATGCAATCAGACATGTTTTGATCGATATATTAAGATGACTCGTTTCATGAGTAGAGTGATGTTTCATTGAATATTTCTTCTTTACTCCACTCAATTTGCCTCCATTCCTACCAGATACATTCAAATTTGATCCTGATTGAAAATCATGTTGAGATGTGTAATCCTCGTGAAGAAACGAAGTGTGTGGTTGTAGGTTGTTGCTGTTTTCCTTAACTTCCATCGAGTCGTGAAGCACTCTAAGTGGAATATTCCTCACATTAGAAATTGGTGTGTCGAAAGAGTGGCGTAATTCAGTTACCTCTTTATCAGAACCCTGAGGAACCATTGGATGTACCCTAGTCATGTTTGATTTTAATACTACAATAATTTAATAGTTATTCTTGTTCGGGAAACAATATTCGTTCCATATACTTGTATAAATATGAAGAGAAGTGAGGCTTATTCAATTTTTTTTCTGTTGGAGATGAACCACTCATAGAACAATAGTTGACTTTATTAACTGCTTGGTCAAAAAAGTCGATAGCCGACCAAAGTAGATTATTTCTTGGAGGCAATGTTATTGAAATACTGGGCAAAAATCACCACACATAAAGTGAATTTTTCAATCGAGGCTGGCTTATTGCGTCTGCTATTATTGATATCCTGTGAGGAATTTCAAAACGGGTCTCTTCCTGTTGTTGCGCTTAAACTTTCCCAATGCAAACAGAAAGACATATTTGTACTTGATTCTTCGCACATTTTCTCACTAAAAGCGAGTTCGTTACGGAGCGTTAAAGATGCTTCAGCGAGAGAGAACATTACGGTCAAGTAATTTATTAAGGGTTGAGAGAGGTCAAGAGAAAAAATTTATACGTAATTTCGAAATGTGAGATTCAGACGAATGTTGTGAATATTTCTTCTTTTTGGTAAGGAGTGTTCATAGTATTCTTGAGTTTCATAATTCATAACAACCATTGAACCATCGGGAAGGTTCTTTTCAATGATGTTTCCATCCTTCTGTTGCTTGGAATTCTTAGATATTTTTGGTCTAAATTGAAAATCCCTTTCTTGGCCTATTGTTGAAAATGAATAATTCAAGTAATGTCAAGTAAGCCAATAATTGATTTACCTACCAAGAGAAATCGATACGATTGGACATCCCTTCTTGAGTCCCTTCTCTTTATCTGAATGCCAATATATTGAATCATTTCCATCCTTGTACTTGTTAATGAAACAATAAGTGAAGGTGTGATTTGTGAACTTTTCAATTCGTTCCTTGAGAGAGATAAGCTCTGGTATTTTGCTCCATTCACTCTGAGAAGAAATGCCACAAAATTCTCGAGGTGATATCACGTCCTTCCCTCCATAATTATAAGTTTTGGTTTTCCAAGTGCAAGTGGAGAGAATCTTGTTGAAGAGTACTTTCGAGTCTGGTTTCGAGACAAAATTCGAAATGAATGAAACTTGGGCTCCATTTTCATCATTGATAAGCATTTCAGTTTTATATTGATGTTGTGTTTTGTCTTTGCTGTTGCTTGGTTGAATTGTTACAAGTTTTGATTCTTCTGTCAATGATCCAAGAGTTCGGCCAATAATCTTTTGTTTCTTCTTGTTTGGTTCTTGGATTGACAGCTCTGGCTTTTGATCATTGTGTTTGGCTTTCAGCAAATCACCAATAGTCATGACTCCCTTTCTCTTCATTTTTTAATTGTGTTTTATTACATGTAACGGTTCGAATTTCTAGTAGAATTAGAACGATTTTCTTCAGTTCTAATTTTCACAAGAATTCAACAAATAAAAGCACAGATACATTTTCACGAATTAAGATTGTTACTGACATTGCCATCTCTCCATGGAACCACCTTTCAGTTAGCAAGTGAATTCTTCAATTTAAATCAACCTTCATGAGTTAAAATCCACATGCAATCTTCAATATCCACATGCTACGATTGAAACATTTTTTGAACCAACCAAGTGCTTGATTCGTGTTATTGTGCCTTCTATTCTATGGTGGATGTCAGATCACAAATTGCACCCAACAAAGTTTATTTTCAAAAGTGAGGACTTTTTTCCAGAACTCTTAAATTGAATTTTACAGTTTGCTTTTTTGCCTACAAAAACGCTTGTGTTCTATTTTTAAAGTTGTTGTAATTAAAAATTTTTTCTCGTCGTCACCTCTCTTGTCCTCCTTGCTGCCGTTGTACAACAACACTATCATAACAAATACCCCCAACAACAACAACAATATCGTTTCATTCATCATCACTTCAACTATAACAAATTATCATCACTAGAACATTCGTTTATTAGTATTATTTTGTGGATATTTTGTTTTTATTATTGGATTGATTTTAACGTTTTTTTAGATTGGAGTAGCAAAGCCTAATATTATTATTATCATATCATCATCATAACAATTATATATTAAATTATCTAATACCGCAAGCCATATGCTTCTATAAATTTCACTTCATCATCACACTTACACTTTAATAGTATTATTATTATACATTTTTATATTATTTATATTTCATCTATATACTTTATATATTAATTAAACTATGATATGGATTGCTAGATTATTAGGTTCTTTTTGGAAAAGCTGCAATGACAATCAATTGCAGAGGTATTTTCACTCCTCTGTAATTATCAACAAACAATACATGTACATCTATGGAGGGGCTGATAAAGCTGAAGGACAACACTTTAGCAACTCCTTTGTAGTGTACAACTTGGAATCTGGAGAGTATCACTGCTTGAATGATGTTATTAAAATTCTCAGAAGGAAGAAGGCAATCAAACCAACAGGTATTCGTACTATTAAACCAGAGAAACTCAACAGAAACGACTATGAACTATTCCCTAATGCAAAACTACCAAAACTTTCCCAACATACCATGACCCAAGTCTCTAAATGTACTCTGTATATCTATGGTGGACAATTAGAAAAAGGTACTGCAAGCAACTCACTCTACAGATTCGATATCGAAAGTATGGAGTGGTTGAAAGTCAAGTGTTCAGCCAGACACTCTGCTCAAGATATTCTTCCTGCACTCTACGGGTAAGTACAAACTTGTTTACAACAATAACAATTTATTCACACAACAACAATTAACCCTTTGATTGGTTACTTTTTCACATTTCCTTCGTAACGATTTTTCCTTTGAATGCTTGGTGCTGCTATCTTGATTAATATTGACAAACAGCCACACTACCAATGTTATTGATGGAACCAAGATGTATATATTCGGTGGTACTGATGGTACTAACTATTTCAATGATCTCATGGTGATTGATACGGAATCAAACACTTGGGTTAGAGAAAAGACTCAGGGTGTTAAACCTTCTCCAAGATATGGTCACACTTGTGTCCACTACAATAATTCTCTTTACATTTTCGGAGGTGGTAATGATCAACACTTGTTCAATGATTTGTACAGTCTTGATCTTGATACTCTCACTTGGAAGCATATCAAAATTGAAGGTACAACTGACTCTGCGAAGAGAGTCCACCACACTGCCAATATTATTGCCAACAAGATGATTGTATTTGGTGGTTTGGTTAATGCTCACTCCCATTCTAATGATTTGATGGTTTTAGATTTGGAACACTTTAGATGGGATATTGAAAAACCCTATGTAGATAAGAACTCCCCTGCCCCACCATCTCTTGTTGGTCATTCAGCTCAAATGGCTGGAACCAAGCTTTGGATAATTGGTGGAAAATTTGCAGAAAATGATTCCAGTACCCAAATATCCAATAATGTCTACACTTTAGAAACAGGAATAAGAGGGATTGAGCCAATTGATTGTGGAAGATCCACACTAACTAGTGATTTAAGTTCTCTAATTGACTCGGAAGATTATTCAGATACTATTCTAGAATATAATGGCCAATTCTACCATGCACACAGACCAATAATATATGCCCGTGCTCCTCTTTTATATAGAGAATGTATGAGGCTATCATCTAACGATATTGTTAACGTAGGTGATGCTGCAGACGCTCTAATGAAAAAGAAAAAGCACAAGGCAACAGAGAAATATGAAGAATTAAAACAAAAATCAGAAAAGGTAAAGAGCTACGGATTCAGAGGATTACTTGAATATTTATATACAGACCGAGTCGGTTTGTTGGATGGAGAGGATATTCCAGTTGATGTAGATATAAGATGTTGCATTTATGAGCTAATTTTCTTAGCAGTTGCATTTTCACTGGATAGACTATTTGCTCTATGCTCAAAACATTTAGATTCAGATTTTACCACATCTATCCCTGCTCCAACCCTCTATACGGACATGAAGAAACTTTATGAATCTACAGAAAAGAGCCTCTTATTGGAGAAGAATGAAGATCAAGATCGCCTCGATTCTCCTCCGAGTAGCTCAAAGGCCCATTTTGACTTTAGTCAATATGTCTCTGCATCTCAAAGTGAGAATGATGACTCATCAGATGAGGATGATAATTATTCAATCACTTCTCCAATGTCAGTCTCAACTCAAGATGGTGGTAATATTTTCAGTACTGTTCTTAGTACTACTACTTTTATTAATTCTGATCAATCTAATTGCGACGTTTTGTTTAGTGTTGGTGCTGAAAAAGAAAGGATTGCCTGTCATAGATGTATTCTCAATTCTAGATCCAAATTCTTCCGTAGGATGCTTTCCAACAAACCACAACAACAACATTCAATTGGTATGACCAAAATTGATGAATTTGAACTTACTGGCATTAGACCTCAGGTTTTCAAGTTAGTACTTCAATATTTGTATAGTGGAAATGTGTCCATCAACTTTGATATTTCAGTAGAACTTCTTGTTGCTGCAGAAGTCTATCAACTTGAAAGATTATCTCTAATGTGTCAAAGTGTTATTGAAAAGAAGATTCACCCAGGAAATGCCTCCACCATATTTAGCATTGCTGATTCATATGATGTGAAGCATTTGAGGGAAACATGCACTTATTTTATAGTTCACAACATGTCAAAGGTAAGAAAAACCAACAATTACAAAAAGGATCTCTCCTCAGATCTTAAACAAGAGCTGAAGGATCTCAGAAAACTTTTCAGACAACAAGAAGGATCAGGATTTTATGAACAATCAGAATATGCTCTTCCATTTTCCACTTATTACCATTCTCACTTTGCCAGTTCTTCCTATAATAATAAGCAAAAGAAGAAACACAAGAATAAGCAAAAGCAATCCGCTAAAAAGCTTGCTCCTCCACCAACACCAAACTCAGCTCCTCCAGTTCCTACCTCATTGGGCAGAAAGAAGATTAGAAAGCCTAATTCACTTTCCTCTATGAACGATATTGACGGAAAGGAAGAAGTTTCCTACTTGACTTCTCCAGGAAATATTCTTTTGGGTGTCAGTCCACCTTCCCCTTGGTCTTTCCCATCTGATAACAGTCCTACATTGGCAGATGACTCCTATAGTTCTGGTTCAGTTGGAAAGATCCAAAAGAAGAGGAAGAAGAATGTTAAGAAAAACATTTATCATTAGCATTCCCTATTCTTGTAAATATTCCTTGTTTGTACTCTTATTTTCAAATAATAATAAATAAAATATATTTTAAATAAAGATGACATTTTATTCTTTGAATGCTTGTTGTTTGAGGAAGGATGAATAATTTTTACCAGTTTCCTTAACCAACTTGTAAAAGTTACTGTCTTCTTGTTTCAATAATTCCTTTGGAGATCCAACCTCCAATATTTCACCAAATTCCATGACAATGATTTTATCAGAATCAATAATTGTGTCAAGTCTGTGGGCTACAGTGATGATTGTGGCATGTTTAAATTCTTCTCTTACAATTTTTTGAACTAGAGCATCAGCTTGATGATCCACAAAGGCAGTACTCTCATCGAAAATAATAATTTTGGCCTTTCTTAATATGCATCTGGCTAGCGAGACTAGTTGTCTTTCACCGATGGAAAAGTTACCTCCATTTTCTGTTACAGGTTCATCCAATTTCTTTTCCATAGATCTAATCTTATTCTTCAAATGAACACGTTCTAGAGCTGACCATATTTCCTTATCTGTAAATTCATTAAAAATGTCCAAATTATATCTGATAGTACCAGTGAACAGTACTGGTTGTTGAGGAATAATCAAGAGTGATTGTCTCAATCTTTTCAATCCAATATCTGAAATGTTATAACCATCAATTTTGATATTTCCACTATCTGCTTCAAGGAATCTAAAAAGTGATATCAGCAAACTACTCTTTCCAGAGCCACTTCTTCCAACAATTCCTACCTTTGTTCCTGGATCAATAGTAAAGTTAATCGATTTCAATACAGGATCCAAATCAGATCTGTATCTTACTGAGAAATTGGTAGCTTCAATACGACCCTCTGAAGGCCATTCTTCTGGACTAGGATCATCCTCCTGTTCAGTTGGTGCTTCCGAATCAATATTATTACAATAGTGAACAATACGTTCAACACTGGTCATTGAGCTTTCTAAATCTACAAAGTATCTGATAAGGAAGGTAAAATTATCAGTCAACTGAAGTGAGTAAGTAATAGAAAGAGCTAAAAGAGATGGTGCAATATAAGTAGTAGTATGTCTTGCAATAATGGCAAACAAGGCTGTAAAGAAAACCACAATTTGGGCTAAAACTTGAATTCTAATACCCAACCATCTGTTAATTGCAAAACGGAAATGTGAATGTTTGGTAGCAAAATCAATCTTTCTATTACAATCATGGAATATTTGTTCATGAACTAGTAGTGCCTTAATTGTGTTAATACCTTGGAGACACGATGAGAAGTGTGATAAACTTGGACTTCTTGCAATTGACTCTAATCTTCTAATTTCTCTCGAGCTAACTCTATAATAAATCTGAATGAGATAAAAGACCAATCCAATAGGTACAATTACAACAAGGAATAATGGAGTGATTGTAGAAATCAGAATGATGGTCAGGAGAATGTTTAGAATAATATTAATAGCCACTGGTATGGTGAATAACATTTCATTGTCAGTGGCATTGATATCTTGTGTAAATCTGTTCAGAATACGTCCAACAGGATTTTGATCGAAGAATAAAATTGGAGCCCTTAAAACACCTTCCAACATTTTGTTGTGGAGTTTGAGTGAGCTTTTAAGAGAACCATACGAGTAGAAACCACTTCTGATAAATAGAATGAGGGAATCAAGACATCCAATCACTAGATAAATCCAAACATAATTGGCAATGGACATTTGGAATGTGTTCATATTCATAAAGGAAATCCACATCTGACTCAGTAATTTAGTACCAAGTGATGCAAAAGAAAGGAAAATGCACAACAAGATTAATGAAATGCCATATTCTTTCAAATAATCATAGAATATACCCCATGAAATATTACCAGTGGTTCTCTCTTCATTCAGGACAAGCTTTCCTTTAGATTCAGATCCTTTCTCAGTTGTCTTTGATTTGGGTTTTTCTTCAGAAATTTCTGGAGACGATTCTTCACTTTTTTCATTGTTATCGTCTTCAGTAATCAACTTGGAAAAATCATATGAATCCATAATATCTTTGAGAGGACCCTTGGCTACAATCTCACCTTGCTGCAAGACAATAACTTCATCAGCCATTTTCAACAATTGCAGTGAGTGTGTAATGAGTATTCTAGTTCTATCCTTAAGGTAATCCATAATGCAATCTCTGAATATTTTCTTACAGAGACGAGCATCGATTGAATTTAGTGAGGAATCCATCAAGATAATATCCGAGTTGGAGTAACAAGCTCTGGCCAAACCTATTCTATGTTTTTGACCTAGGGAGAGGTTAATGCCAGAGTAACCAATTTCAGATTGGTCATAATTTTGGAAACCTGCCAAGTCAGAACGAAGCTGACATACATCCAAAACCTTTTCATATTTTTCAGAATCAAAGTCAAGAGATTTGTCGAATATTATGTTTTCTCTTACAGTTCCATTGATCATCCAAGGATTTTCATCACTGAGTGTAAGTTTGGAGTATGGATTTACAGAGACGGAGCCATTGACAATAACTGTATCACCATAAATTGAGGAAAATAAACTACTTTTACCTGAACCAGTATTACCAATCAAACAATAGAGTTTTCCTTTTTCGAGAGTCAAGTTAATATTCTTGAGAATTGGGCTTGAATGCTCACCCCATGATATGGTTGCATTCTTAAACTTGATTGCAAAATCAACTAGCGGACTTGAGATACTATCATTTAGGTCTTTGTTTTCTTCTGCTTTGAAGAGATTTGACTTATTTTCTGGATCGTGAGGCAGTGAGGTAATTTCATCAGCAAAGAGGAAATTACCAATTCTCTTAGCACTTACGTATGCAGTTACTGCCATTGAAAGATAATTAGGATAGTTGAAAAGAGGAGTTCTGAAAGTTTCGAAAAGTACTAGTCCAGTGAACATATTCGACATGGTTAATTCACCACCCATATAGTAATGAGAAATGAAGGTAACACCACTTCCAACAACTGAGGTGGTGGCTGAAGTTAGTAATTGGAAACATCTTATGAGAGCTCCTTTTCTTAAACCTTGATATTCCTTAGCTCTGGCATCATAGACACGTTCCTTCATTTTGTCTTCAAAAACAAAGAATTTAACAATTCTGATACCGTTCAAAATTTCACTCATAACCTTAATTCTTTCGTCTTTGTGTTTGGACAATTCAGTTTCAATTTTTGTCAATAGTTTAGCAAGCACTCCTAGAACTGGAGCAAAAGCAATCATGGCTAAAATACCAGCCACTGCACTAAATCCAAAGAAGAGAATAATTAGAGTCATTCCAACAATAATCATAATTGGTGTTAACCACAGATCGTGTAGTTCAATAATCACACCAGCTAATCTGTTAGTATCCGTAGAAAATAAATTGGTCAACTCTCCACTTTCAAACTTGCTTCTTGCTGAGGGAGTTATTCTTGTTAATTTTTGAAATATTGATGCCTGTAGAGAATTTTTAACTCCCAACCATACTTTACAACTTCCAAAAAAGTAGTGTTGTTGAAATATAAATGAGAAAGAGCTAGAAATAAAGAGGAAGCATAGCAATGAGAATTGGAAATAAATATTAGACAGAGGCAGATATGACTCAATTAATGTGGCATTTACAATTGAAGAGGAATTTTCCATATAAGTAATTCCCATAAAGTATAAAGGTAGTGTTGAATTCTGAATTGGTTCCGTTTGATTCTTATTAACATTAATATTAGAATCCTCACTTGAATGAGTTCTAATAGCTTCCAACAAAATGTACAAAATTAATGGTGCAATATATGTCGCAATAATTGAAATAATCCTCCAAAGAGCAATAGAATAAAATCCTCTCCACCTAAATACCTTCTCTATAACTCTAATTAACAGAGTTCCATTACTACTCCATAAATTTCCAGCCTCCGAATAGTATCTCCTCTTTTTAAGATAGACATGTTTAAAACTCTTTTCAAATATTGGATAAATATTATCGGTCTGAATATGTTTTGGTAATTTGGGAATATCAGAGTGTTGCAATCCTTCAAAATTATCCTCAATCTCTTGATTTTCCTTCCTTATTTTCAAATAAATTAATAATTTTCTAATTAATTGAACAATACCAGCGAAGGGTTTATCATTCCTGCCTCCCTTCTTATAACCAACCTTAATCAGTGGATCAAGGAAGGAAAAGAAAAGCTTTGAAATGATCCCACTCGAATGTTCATAATCTTCAGGTGATGATATATCAATTCCATCTTTAAAATTGTCTATCATGTCTCGATGAGAATTTTCCCTCTCCACACTATCATCATCGGAAGGGAAATGTTCATAATTAGGTATTAGAAGAGTATTGTTTTCTTCTTCCATGGACGTCATCGGAACCATCACTTCTTCCCCTTCTATAATAACTTCTTCTTCACTTATTCTTGCACCACTCGATTGTTGTTGCGACATGGAGGAAACATCTTGTTCCTCCTCCATTTTCATTATCAATTAAACAATCGGAGTTAATAGATGTGGTGATTGTTGTGGTGTTGTTTTTTTGCGGCAAATTATTATTTATTTATGAATCTCCGCAAGCACGATTCTTCTTGCTATTTATTCGTTTTTGTGCTGTGAGTTTTTGAAAATCGAGCAAAATCCTGCAAATTGAAGTTGGATACTGTCATTGTAATTCAATTTATTGGTTCAATTTGGTTTTTGAAGAAGAGCCTTTGAGGTGTTTAGTTTGTGAGATTCATGAATTACAAAAGTTGCTCGAGAATGATTTTCAATTCTGAAATATGAAATCATTATTCCTTGGTATTGGTTAAGCGTAGCTTGCTAGATGATTTGTAAATTCTCCTAGATTTTGCAGTATTCAAAAAGCTGATAATGGTGATTGAGTTAGAGAAAGATTTCAGAATTAGGTGTGTTTTCTAGTTACGAGGAAAACGAATGGTAAACTGAATTCCATCAGTTCTTCTTCACTGTGAATATTCAAAGCTTCAGAGAGTTGAGCAGTTAGACGTGACATGAATTGATCCTTCTTTTCAATTCCATACATGTCTCCATACTTTTGAACTACACTCAAAGTTTTCAAAAACCCAATGTAATCTCCCAAAGGTATTTGTGAAGAGTAGGTAAAGGTAACAAATTCCATATTATCCTCATATGGAACGTATGGAATATTTCTATATTTGTGATCCAAGAATGTTTTCCTAGGTGTCCAACAAGATTTCAATTCATCACTATTATAAAAATCAGTAATAATCTGCTCTGCCTTCTCATTCGAAAATGTATTGAGAAAATAGGTCCATGCAATCAGATAACCTCCCTTCTTGAGGACTTTATCTGCCTGAGCAAAGAACTTTTCAAAATCAAACCAATGCAATGAACATGCAACTGTGATCAAATCAAAAAATTCATAATTCTCCTCTTCCTGTTGTTGATTATTACTATTATTCTCATCATCACATGTTGAATGAGAAACTTCATGCTGATATTTCTTCAAAGTCGATCGATGCTTTTCCACTAGATCTGTAAGATTCTCAGCACATGCACAATCAAATATGAGATTTGGAAATTCATCTCGATGTTCTCCTAAAATCCTCTCTGCTTTATCAATCTGTGCTTGTGAAATATCAGCTCCAATAACAAAATCACATCTCTTGGCCAAATCAAAGGTTGCATTACCTGGTCCACATGCAACATCCACAACAACTTTAGAAGCGAATCCTTCCAGCTTGGGCATGATCATCTTATCGAAAAGAGCAGGTGGATATCTGGGTCTATATCTCTCATACATGGCCGAATGATCCTTCCCATCAAATAATGAATACTTGTATTCCTTTCCAATCAACTTGAAATCACATTCTTCATCATCCTGTGCTGAGAATTTAATCCCTTCAATGAATGGAACACTGAATTTTCTAAACGTATGGAAACCATCTTCCATGCTTTGGTTTTGTTGCTTTTGTTTGTCTTCTTGGCATGTTCCGTTGCTGATATCAACATGATTCTTATCTTCGTATTTGGCATCTTCATTATACATCAGGATGGTACTGGAGCATGTATCAAGTCCCTTATTAAACATTGTTGTGGCCAACAATTCAATAGTTGATGATGATGCTGGTGTTGATGCATGTATTGAAGTTGGTGAACTCATAGATGTGTCATCAATGTTGTTGTAACTGCTAATATTACTCTCAGAGTTTGAGAGATAGTTTGGTTGCGACATTTTTTTTAATGGGGATTGGTTCTATCTCCCAGATAGGAAGGTAAAAACAACCAAATTGGGCATTCTTTGGGTTAGCTGAAAGGAGTGGGATTGAACTTGAAGAATTTACTGTTAGAGCACAATTATTACGAGCTAGAGATTGGAAAGTGTGATACCTTAATAAAGGTGTCCATCTACAGCACTATTCAATTTTCTTAATTGAGAGGAATATGAGGGAATAAGGGAATTATTAAAATTTCAAAGTTTGGTTTCTAATAGCCAGGTAAAGCAATATCATTGCACTTTTATAATTGAAGACGAAGCCAATAACTGCTTTAACTGCGAAACATCACACACCACAACCTCATTCTCAACATGATCCATGCGCATTAACACACAACATGTGTTGTTTGTTGATGGTGGCTTTGAAATTTGTAAACTACAGAAAAAAAGATGTAACATTCATAACATGCCTTAACATCTACAATTCATGTATTAAGAGATTTATACATGCGACACGGTTGTAGGGATGTATTTCATACTTGTCTTTCAAGTTCAATTCCACTCCTATCAAAATGGCCTGATTTGAATTATCAAACGCAGTGATAATGTTTTTTCACTAAAAAGGGTGATAAGAGGTGAACCTTTGGAGACAATGTCAGATACGTACAGAGCTTGATAACTTTGCCAGAGTGTGTGGCCATAAAATGATCTTCATGTGGATGATGTAATTGAGGATACATGAGGTATTTAACCATCATGAGCAGAAATAACATGCATGCTTTTCAATTCTAATTTGAAAGGAATTCGGAATTCGTTTTCATGTTTTGAAAAAGGAATGCATCATAATAATTGGAGAAAACATCATGGTGGATGGAAATGGACATGTTATCAAACATGATACTTCTGTCCAACCAGGTATCACATACAAACAATTCTTTGAAAAGAGAGTACTTGGTGGACTCACTAAAGCTCTGGAAAACAAAACGAAACCTAACGCATTCAATAGCTTCTTCAAACCAAGATACTTTCTATTAATTACAATAATTAAGACTCCATATAATAAAATCATGAGGATATGGGTGAAACTTAAACTTGTACCACAACCTTTAAAGAATGGTAAGGAGTCTAATTCAAAATCAAAATTACAAAATAGTAACAGTTTAATAAATATTAAATTGTAAATAAATTTAAAAAAATGTTTAAAGCCTATCAAGACAAATCCAATACTCGGAAAAGATGGTACTTGATCGTGGGAATAATATTGACTATTGTGATGATTATTTGGTGGATTAAACCTTCATCAATTTACCAACAAGAAACAAGCCTTTCAAAGGATGAAAATAATTTAATACAATCATCGGCGCCAATATTAACAGATTCATCATTATCATCCTTTATATCCACACAAACTCTGAAAAAGATACAAAAGCAAAATGATATAATTCTAGGGTTACTTTCTGTGGAGAATTTAAAACAAATTTTGGATTCGTCATCTTCGGAGGATATGAAAAATAAGCTTCCTACTTATTGGATTATGGCTAAACAGTGGATTTGTGGATTGAAAAAGAATAGGATTGATAATTTTGTCTTGTTTGTCTTTGTTGATTTGGATGAGCTTGATGGTTCCATCATGAAGAATTTGAAAAAGAGGATTTATTCAAGTTTGACTGATATTCCTGTAGAGATGATTAAAGAAGAGGAAGAGATGAGAATTATTCCATTCACGCCAAAGGAAATTCCACAATTGGTTATTGATTTTATGGAGGAGACTCGATTGGATCAATTGGATAAGGATGTCGAAAAGTTTTACAAGAATTTTATGGAACAATTCAAGGAAAAGGGAGAGAATGTTATTCAGAGGGAATTATTTACCAAACATTGGGAATTTGTTACATTGCTGAAACCTATTATGGTATGGAAATGTGTAAAGAAAGGATTTAATGTACTATTCAGCGATTTGGATGTAGTTCTCTTCCAGAATCCAACAGATTTCATGAGGACCTATCCAGATACATCTAAATTCGACATTATTTTCCAAATTGAAACTTGTGGAACCTACGAATCACTCCATAGGGATGATATTAAGATTAATACTGGTGTCTATTATGTTAAATCAGAACCAAAGTCCATTCAATTTTTAGAAACTTGGATGAAACCAATACTGATTGATATTTTGACCATGTTCATTCCAGTTGACGTTTCTTTATTGGATGGTCCTAATCCAAATGGAAGAACCGAACCAACCAATGATCAAGCTATTCTTAACGCTCTCGTTACTAAATTAAAGAAGAATGGTAACATGGATTTTGTAAACTCAATTGGATATCTTCCAGTACAAAAGTTCCCTAATAAGTGTCAATACACAGCTATTGTGGGACCAGAAATTGATGAAACAGGAAAGAATGAAATGGTTCTCTTCCATATTAATGGTGTATGGATGTCCAGACAAAAATTGAACTATTTAAAACAGAGAGAACACTTTTATTTGGATCCAAACAACAAGTGCAACATTTAAAGTGTTTCACAAATATCTAAATTCCTTTAAATGTTTCAATAAGTATGGAATACTCAAATTATGGAGAATTAATTCAATTAAGTAAAAGAATTAGGAACGCTTTGAGGTAATTTCTGGAATTGCAATTATACACTTAGTAATCGCTGTCAGTCCAGGTATGTTTGATTTCAAGGTTTTCCCTTTTTTTATCAATTTCATTCAATTTTTCAAGCCAACCTTGTTCTCCTTCATTATTCAACTTCATGCACCACTCCAAATACTTTCTACATTTGTACAAAACTGTTGACTTTCTTTCGGCTGATTCGTAGATATTTTCCACAAAATGTGTCTCAAATTTTACGCACTCTTCTAACAGAGCTATTGCAAATGCCTCTTCTTTTAATTTGATAAAATGCTCGACTAAATTCTCAATAGCACCTCCATACATTGTAATATCTGCTTCACTCATAACAAATTGATATATGTTAGGTTCCCATCGTTCATGAATGGCAGAAACATAGTAAAATGAAAGGCAAGTTCTGCTTTCGTCACATTTACCATCTTCAGCCCCCCATTCATCTTCAATATTTATTTTTGATATGGAAGATTTCAATCCAGGAAGAGCATAGAACAAACGTAAGCAGTTTGCAAAGGAAGGTTTAGAAGCCATAATCATCATGAATTTTTCCTCATCTAAAACACCGTTTAGAATCAGCTCTTCTAGTTCCAGAGTTGGATTATTTTTTTGCTTTACCAATTTTGTAACGAGTTGCAATCCTTTCATCAGTTCAGTAACACGTTCTCGTTTCTTTTCTGGCAAATATATTTGATTTTCATTTTGGACACACTCTAGTATCCTTTGTTGATGTTGGACTAAATGATTTTCAAGCAAGAGACCATACGTTACCTGCATTCTTAAATCTTTCATTATTTCTTCATAAGATTGTTCTTGCTTTGATTTAAACATTTGAAACTGAAGTTGGTGCCAGCAACGCTTCTTGCCGAACAGTGAGGCAATGAAACAAAACCTGATAGCTTGATCAAGAAAGAGGCTCTTTTTGATGTAAATAAGAAGAAGAGCTTCAGAGCACAACAATAAATCCCGTTTAAACTCTCCTGGTTTTGATTGTGGACATAGAATTTCATTAACTATTTCATCCTTACTCCAACCTTCATAAGCGTTAACGATTAACCTACAAGCTGATGGTATTATGTACTGACCATTCTCTGTCTTTTTTGAAAGGAGAAACGCTTGGTGTGCATTAGCAGCTGGTTCTTTGCCAATATCAGATAGAATCCACAGTGTATAAATCCAATCCCTTAAGTCATCTGGTTGCTCGGGAGGATTTTTGGCCAAGTAGTTGTTTTGTTCTATCAATTGGCTCATACTCCCCTCTTCCAAAACGATTTTGTGTCTAAGTGTGAAGAATGGGTCTTGTTTAAGTTCATGTTTTACCTCCTCAGTAGGCTTTCTAATTGGTTGTGCATTCTCTTCATTAGTACTATTATCGGTTTGGTATTGCAGCATTTTTTTGTCTTAGACGTTCTAAGTTTTCAAAGATTAATTCATGTTTAAATTGTGAGAAGAAGAGGATTAGTATCCAATTCTAAATGATTTATTATCATCAGTAGAGTTTGTCTTGTGTTGGAAAATGGTATAATCTTGAAAATGAAATCAGAGTTTCTTTAACAACAATCCCTTCTCAAAATAGCAAGCCAATTTTGAAAAATCCACCTTGAGAAATGAAAGTTATCAAATGCTGAAACGAAAATATCTAAAACAATATTCCTTTCTCGAGATCAACAACTGTCCTTCCTTTGATTAGTAGAAATTTTGTACGAGAAAACTTCGATCTTTAAAAAAAATGAGCCGACCAACTTTTGAAGAAATTCTATCATCAACTGAAAACTACAATGGTACCGATCATCATCATCATCAGGAAGGAAAACCAAAATTAACATCTAGAAAGGAGGTTTGGTTACAAAAACAAAAAGTTAGAAATAATTTATTGAATAAATCAAGAGCAAGATTTTGCAATTCTAGAGAACTCACCAGGAAAGATTTGCCTCTCCCGGAGCGAAATCTAGGAATTATGTGTTATTATCTTGATTTGGATGGTAATAATTTTAGCACTATTTTGGACTATGCTACTACAGTGAGGAAAATTTTGACAAATATTTCTAATCAACTGATTACACAAGTGATTGATTCTGGGATACCCACAATGCTAGCTAAACTCATTGACGAACAGGAGGTTGCCAAATATTTTAATATTTCGGAAGGCAGCACCAGGACGAATGTGAAGAAACTTCAATCCATTACTAGATTCAACTTGAATCTATTACAATTCGAAGCTGTATGGGCATTGACCAATGTTTCAAGTGGATCATCCGCACATACTCAACATGTAGTTTCATTGGGATGTATTGAAAAAATCCTTAAACTCATAGAATGTAATGGAAGTTGTGCAGATTTAGTGGAACAATGTTTTTGGGCATTAGGAAATATTTGTGGTGACAGTGTAGGTTACAGAGATTTGGTATTGAGTCATGGGGCTCTATCAATAATGTTACCATTTTTTAAAACCAACCCAACGACCTACCGATTAAGTTTCTTAAGAAATGGTAGGTTAATATGATTACAATTCGTTTAATCATTTATTAAGCAACATGGGCATTGGCAAATATGATGAGAGGTAAACCAAGTGTATCAATAGAATATGTCAAAGATGCATTTCCAATAATGATTGACCTAATCCAGAACCAGACTGACGAAGAAGTTCTTATTGATACCTGTTGGGCTCTCTCCCATGCACTTGATAGACCTCTGGATGACACAGCCACAGAACTGTTCATAAATGCTGGTGTTACCAAAAGAGTGGTTTCATTCCTCAATCACGGTAGCAGTTATGCTGTGCAAAGGTAAGCATACAAGAGAATTCATTTATTTAAAATTAATTTAGTCCTGCTCTTCGTATTCTTGGAAATGTAATTGGATCTGGAAATGACACAAGTACAGATCATGTGCTAGAATCAGGTCTATTAGAGGTATTACCTCTAATACTCGACCATTCCAAACAAGGAATGAAAAAGGAAGCTGTTTGGATATTATCGAATATTACTGCTGGTACTGTTCCACAAGTGCAAAAGGCAATTGATGCAGGATTAGTTCAGCAAGCTTTGGACATTCTCAATAACAACGAATCACCTGTCTCAGTAAAAAAAGAGGCCTTTTGGGCTGTGAGAAACATTTGTGATTTGCCAAATGAGAAAGTTGTAAAATATTTACTCGATAGAAGTGTTGTTGGAGTATTCCATCAAGGAATGATTACAGACAATATATATTTTCCTATGTGTTTGCAAGGGCTTGAGGCACTTTTGAATTCACATTTCAAGGAAACAGTAATCCAATCCGTCAAAGATTATGGAGTCATTGAAACTATTGAAGGAATGATGTCATCAACTTCTTCAAATGAGACTGAATTAGCAAGGAAAATATTGAGTATTGTGAATAATAGAGAATTAGAAATGGAATGAAATATGATGGCTCAATAATTTACTGAAAGATATTCTCGAGTTTTGAATCAGTCAAGTAAAAAAAGTACCTTATGTGATATTATTGAGGAATTGAACGTGTTGAATTTGATATCATGGAAACGTTAAAGTTCTCTAATTTGATTAAAACTGTATCGTTTCTTGGAGGCGCCTCTTGTTGTTGGTCTAATACCTTTCCAGTACAGCAATCTGAAACAGTTTCGTATACATTTTTCAAAAGAAATATTAAGTTTTCAACTGAAACGTTAGATGATTTATTGTTTATTAATTTAATAATTCTCTGATAGAAATTGCAGTTCTATTGTGTTTCTTCATCTTATTTGACTTTTCAATTTTCTGTATCGTATTATTGAAACAAGTTTCGTTTGATAATTTTGGACTATTCTGAACTGAACAAGCATCAAACTCAGTAACAGGAGATTGAACTGTATTCGAAAGTGATGAACTGCTTGAAAGGGTTGATAAATTGGTTGGGGAATAATCTACTAATGGAATGACTTTAGTTGAAACCAACATGTTAAATTGTTGGAAACTGTTAGGAGGAGCATTAGAGCAGGTGAGTTGAACATTATTGAAAGATGTGGAATGGTGGTTTGATTTTGGAATTTGTAAAGGTAATTGATTGGCGTTGATCATGGCTTGTTTCGTATTCTTTTTGGAATGTTTAGTTTCGAATACAAAAGTTGAGCTTACGTTGCTGGAAGGGAAAAATGAAGAACTTGTTGTGTTGATCAATACATTCTTTGCTTGTTTCTTCACATTTTTCTTCTTATTGGAAACTAAACCAGTAGCAGGTGGTGAAGAAGGTGATGAATCATTGGATGGAGTTGCTTTCCAATCTGATTGAAAACCTCCCTTAACAACTTTCGTCTATTGTGTGAATTGAGCATTATTAGATGTATTTATGGAAATTTCCATTGTAAACCCAGGAAGATCATGGTTTAAGAAGGAATTTATGAGATTTTGGCGCGCAAATGTCAGTTGATCGAAAAGGGAAGTCGGTAACATGTTTGTACGAGAATTGTTCGAAAGGTTTTAACACAAGTCAATCAACAAACGTGTTGAAAGTAAAAACACAACAATAACAATTCAACAATTATCATATGTGTGCACCCATAGAAATCGGTAAGCCAAGTGAATAAATATTATTCGAATGTTGTGGAATGTTGAGAAGAAAAGTTAGAATGGAGTTGAATTTGAAAACAAACCTTGAAGTTTTTAAAAGATGGTTGTTGTTTAACATTATATTCCTGAGAAAATGACCACATTAGAGAATCCATGATGATGAGCTATTCAAATTAATTAGAGGAAACAAAGAATCGAAACACAATTAGAGGAGAGAATCTGCAATCTGTATTTGATCAAATAAAGGATGATTCTTCTTTTTTTTTCAAAACAGCCGAAAATTACTTCTGCCAACAGTCAATTAAATCTTCGAGCAATCTGACAAGTGGCAGCAATGCGTGAAACAACACAATTAAAATTCTACTTTATTTTAACAGAAAAACCGACTTTAGATCCTAATCAGCCCTTGAACTATGGGCATGAATTTCACTCCATACTAAGCCTCAAACACTCTTATTGAAGAAAAAAAGCTAATTCCATATAAGGTCTCTACAATTATTGAATTTAAATGTAAATTCTGGGATTAATTGGTCAATGATGCTAAAACTGTGAAAAAATTGTTGAGTTTGGTGGCTTACTATTAAAGAATTGAGAGATAGTGTGTGTGTAAACGTGTTGCATGTTTTTGATACCTTTAAAATTATAATGAACAAAGTTCATTAAAGAATACCTATTGTGAGAGCTTACAATTAATTGTAAAGTATTATAATAGAATCGCAGATCTATGGAGAAATGAGGTTGTATGAAATTCGGGAGAAACTTTTCTAGTTGCTACTATCCATATTTCAGCAATGAGAAATATTGCAAATATTTTGTAATGAGCTATTTTCAACAAGAAAATCTGAATGGCAATTCATCCACAAATTAGTATTTGTGTTTAGGCAGATTTCATATCTCCAAATTGCATGCATGATAATCTGTAAGGAAGGTTGTACTTTTAATTAGTTAGACCTGAAATAGATTTTTTCCGGTTTTGATGTTGTTGACACCTTTTCCAAACTTCCATGTTTCTGGTTGACGGTTTCAAATTGATCTTCAGTCATGAAAAGTCTTTTCAGAAGACGAATGTGAACAGAAGGAAGGTACCGACCAGAAGCATTGAAATTAATCATTGTATTGAAATGATACAACCTAATGATCGTAACCACTGAGTATGTTTGAACATCATGTCAAGTGAAATTTTAACCAGAAATGAAAATAACTTGACAACAATGGGAGTGGTTTCTAGAAATAGATTAAAAATAAAAGTATTGTAGATTATTGTAAAGTTGCCACTACAGACACATTGAATGAGCATCAACTACAGATAAGGATTGTCTTTGTTAAGGTGGGCATAGGTATCGAAAATAGTGCAATCAAACAAATCTGAAGAAGGTAAACGAGGAGGTACCATGTAACTCCAACTATAATGCTCATGCTCTCCAGAATCACAATAGAAACTCATTGGTTTCGTGGCACTCAAATTGTGAGTGGGTCTTGTTTCCTCTCTTCTGTTGCATATTTGAAAGCAGATCGCCTTGTTGAGACAGCTAAGCAAACCATTCATCGTTTCGAATTTCCTCTGCAATGTTCCATCATATCTCAAAGCAAATTCGTAAAATTCTCTGTCTCTAAGATAATACTCATCATTATTGTTCTTATTAAATGGACATAACTGTTAAATCATTGGTTTGGGAATGTAATCTTGAAAGCATCAATGTCAAATTGCAGATTCAGAGCTATTGAAGGATAAGGATATTTGCTATATTGGCAGGTTACATTGATGGAATTAATGAAATCATTCAATTTCACACAACCAGGAAAATCCTCCTCATGATTCGAATATGTTGGAGTAATATATTGCACCAAACAACCAACAATAGAAGACTTGAAAGCAAGAAGTATTTCTCTATCATTCTTGAACTTTTCAGGTAAAAAATCAAACTCACTTCTACAATTCCTGACACATTCCAACAATACTAGTTTATCCTCATAATCTAAAGGTAACTATTTGATCATGACCAATCGGAAGGGCAAACAAAATTCAATAATAGTACCTAGCCCATCTAGCCTATTTTCTTCAATTAATTTGTCCAAGAACAAAGCCTTCTCCAATTGAAAGTGCCTATCAGAATTACATTCCAGGTTCACCAAGGTACATTTTTTTTTATTTTTTTCAATTTAGCGGGAAAATTCTTGTAAAGTATATTTAAAAAAATGAATCAAATTAAATGTGGATGTAAACATGGTTCCTTCTTTGAACCTCCTTTCGAGAAGGATGGCTGTCCTGATTGCTCTTCCGAAGCCAGAACAAGATTCCAAGCAGCCAAACAACAACGTTATAGATTTGTAAAGACTAGTCATGTAAGGAATCATTGATGTATTATTATCGTAATTTCTTCTATTGTTTTGTTATTGTTATATTTTGTATTTCTTGTGATGATGATTTAATTATTATTATATTTAACATATTTAATTATTGAATATTAATTATTATGTTCGGAATGGCATTATTAAATTTATTTGGAATTGATGAATATGATGTATGAATTGTATGATATAGGAAAGTGAGACTTCTAATTATTACTTTGATGTATTGGCGAATGAAGATGAAGAAATGGTGGAAACAAAGAATGGAAAGGCTAGAATTAAAACTGGTGATAGAGTGGATATAGAATATTGGGATGAGGAGGATAATCATTATTTTGATAGGAAATGTAAATTATATGACGAGGGAAATATTTCACATATTTTGGCTAATTGTTTTGCCGAGTATACGAATGATAAAGATGAAATTGATTTGGAAAAGGATGAAAATCACAAACCTAATGAATTAGAAGAGCAGATTATTGAGGATATTATAATGAAAAGAGTGGCACCATATGCAAATGAATTGTGGTCAATTATTTATCATTTTAGAAATTCAATGAGTGAGTTGGTTAGTTTTGTAAAGAAGGATGTCTTGAAAAAGAAGAGTGATAACACAACCTCTCAAGCAACCCAAGCCAAATTGTTGGAAGACCAGTATAATAGCATGTATGGAATGGATACCTTTGATAACTCAAATTATGGGCTATTAGGTTTTGGAGTTGCATCAGATTATCAAATGCCAGAAGATATTGGTCAACTCACTAAAGAGGATATGATGATGTGTTACATGATGTATGGAGGAGAAGGATTGGATGTGATGAAAGAATTGAATGAAATTCAACAACCACAATCCAAAACATTCAAAGATGAAGATGATTATGATTACTGAGATTATTGTGAAGAGTTTATTTGGATTTCTTTTCATATTCGACTGTTCCTCGAAAATTCTGGATAAGAGCTTTATCCAACATATCTGACTCTTTTACCCACGAGTTATCTTCTTCGCCATATCCTTGCCATTTGACTAGATATTCAGGCTCAGAGGATTCTCTTATTTTCTTACGCAATACTTTTTCAACAGTATAAATATCATTACCTAGGTGATTCTTCTTAGTTTTCTTTTCCTTTTTCTTTCTTTTAGTGGTTATTGTTTTCCTTTTCCTCTTTTTGTTTTCTTCTGCCACAACTTCTGGAGATTCTTCATCTGAGGAGGAAAGCTCTAATTGCCTGATTGGGGTTGTAATAATTTTGGATCTAGATGGTCTTGTAACATTTGTAGTAGTGATATTATTGGTTTTCTTAGTGGTTGGAAGAGGTTTTTTAGGTGTTTCATCATCGACTGTTATTACCTCAATTGGTTTTTGAATTTTAGGAGAGTTTTCTTTGGCTTTCTCTGGTTGTTTCTCAGATATTGTTGATGAAGAGCTTGTTGTATCACTACTACTAGTATTATTGGAAGAATTTGTAATTGGGAGATGAGGATTAACTATTGGTGTGACAAGTAATTCTTTAAATTTTGCATTTCCTTCAGGGAAAGAGTCACATAAATACGAACACGCCTCCAATCCAATAAGTGTTAAATTAGTCTCCAATAAATTTGGTTGTGGCTTAACAACTCTATATGTTAATTGTTGTGCTCGATCGATTGTTACAAGGTTGGAATTTGAGTTTTCGTCATTGTTTGGTGGAGGTGTGGTTGAATTTACAAGATTGGTTTCAGTGGTGGTAGTTGAGGATTTTTCAGATTGACCAGCATTACTTTCTATTGGTGGATTATTTGATGCAGTACTTGCTGGTGTTTGGGATGTTGTTGATGATGATGAAGAGGTCTTTTCTTGTGGTTGAGGAGGTGGAATATTACTAGTAGAAACATTGGAATTTACAGGAGATTCACTAATTGGTTTAGCAGAAACAACTCCAGGATGTTTAGAACTCGATACGTGTTGAATAAAGGTCAAATTATTGGTTGATCCAATAGTGTGAAGTGGAGCTCCCATAGTTGTTGTAATTTGTCGTTCTCTTGGTAAAATTTCATTTGGAATAATTCTTCTTTTTCTTAGAGTACAAATTTCTTGAAAATATGTTAAACCACACATAACACTATTAGGAATGGTTTGTCCTTTTCTTATATATTCATAGGCTAAAATTTGTGCAAATAATTGAAACATTTGATCGGGAAGAAAGCCAATCCCTTCCAATGTATTACAATTAAACATATAGTGTGATGGAAAGGAATTTTTATCGAGAGGTAAAAACCCTTTAAAGAGAAAGATATCACTAGGATTTGATGGAATGGAAATTGGTCTTGATGGTGATGGTGATGCAGATGAAACATTGTGATTAGTTGTTGTACTATTAGTGATTGATCCTAATCTACTAGTAGATGAACGATGGATTGGAACGGTGTTACTTTTAAATGTGGAATCAACATGTCTTATTGACAAACCATGATTATTGCTACCACCATTACTATTAGAAGATGATCCATCAGCAGCAGATTCGTTCGTATTGGTTGTCGACATTTTTTTTGTTCTAGTTTAAAAATTTGGCGCCACATTTTTGAACATTTTTGATAATCTTGATAACAACTTTATTTAATCTTGTTGGTATCTTTCAAAAAGAATTAATAATAATCAGTGGTAACACTTTTTTGATCTTCTCCAAATAACAATTCATAATCTTCTTCAGAAAGGAATGCCAGAGGATCAAAGCCATAATTTTTAGGGAACTCTTCCGAAATAATTGGAATAAAGGAATTTGGAGGTTGCATATTGTGAGGATTTGAGTTCAGATCGGTGGATGTTGTGGTATTAGGTGTATTTCCAAAGTTATCATTGGTACTTTCATCTTCTCTAGATTTTCTCTTCGTTTTGGCAGATTCCTTGATTTGTCCTTCAATAACTTTGAGCTCATCCTCAATAATAGTAACTCCTCCACTATTCGATGAATAAATATCAGCATCCAAAAATCTTGACAAACTTCTTCCCTTCTTTTCCAAAAGTGATTCTGCTAGATCGAGAGATGGATTAAAGTTGGCACACAGCTCTGGATATCGAGAGGTTAAAAATCTTAGAGACTCGATATCATTTCTTAGTAATTTGGCAATTTTGAATTCTTCAACATTACTTCTCTCGCCCTGGTCAATTTCTTTTAACATTTCACAGTGAACATCAAGTGCCAAACCAACAGGTTGGATCAAAAATGTTGGTGCAAATGTAAAAGTTGGAGTTCTACATAGAAGAGTAATCTTTTCAGCTGCTTCTTCCAATTCTGGACCCTTGAAACCACACAATTTGAGGAGAAGAATCTTCATACCATATGAAAGTCCATAGTACAAATATTTGGTCATCTTTTTTTGAGATTCTGAAAAGTGTAAACCTTTAGATTCATAAATTAACATCATTTTCATGACACAGTCCAATAAACTTAAATATTCAGGTAATGTGTCCATATTAAGAGGTTGCCTAGCTATTTGCATCATTTCAGTGGGAACAGGACGTTCACCACCAGTTGAATATTGGTAAATGGAGAGAATAAACTTAGAAACATCATTCAGTCCTCTATCATCTCCATAATAACCAGATCCACCAGAAATATCCGAAATCTTTTTCATTTGAGTTAGTGCCTTCAATTGTTCAGGATTTTGAGAGTCTCTAAATGAGTCGTCTCTTAAAATATTGTAATCTAGAATTCTTGAAAATTTGTTTGCATTTTCAGGATCTCCTGATGAATTACAGTATAGAGCTAAATTAACATATGTACAAGCCGTATTAAATAAATTAGGATCGCTAGGGTTAAACAGGACAAGATTCTTTGCCTTTTCAAAAGAGTCATGTGCTTGCTTTGTCAGACCAAAACGTTGATAACATAAGGTCTGCAGGGAAAACATGAAAGCAAGATTTGTTCTTTGGTCATCATTTACAGAAAGATTTTCCAAATCTTCTCTCGGTAAGAATGGATGTCCAGCACTCGTTATATCATAATACATATCTACAGTCATTTTCTTTAGGAGAGTTGAATTCAAGCTGCTAATTGTGTTGGATGGCACATTTGCAACAGTAGTACTCCTGGATGTTTGGTCAGTCTTTCTTTTCATACGACGTTTAGATGATGGAGGGAGAACAGAAAATTGTTTTGGAAGATAAGGTTCATCATCTGATTCTTTTGCCTGGGACTCTCGGGTTGAACTTCTCATTGTTTGGAATTGTTGTTGTTGACTGGTAAATGTACTTGATGGCTGCTGTGGTGCATCTATATGGCCAGATGTTTGTAAATTGTTTGGTTGATAGTTCGGAAATCCATTCATCACTGAAGCTCCATTAATGAATGAGGATTGTTGAAGATTGTTTTGAGGGAGGGATTGATGAAGGTGTTGTTGGGGGAGAAGATAATTTTGTTGGTGTTGAATTTGAGAAGATGTTGGTGATGTTTGTTGATAACTCGTACTATTGGAAGTTGGCAATGAAGGATTGTTATTCATTACAGCAGCATGGTGAGGAGGATTTCTATTGATTTGACTGTTTCCAGAGGTGGTAATATTGTTATATGACTGTTCTTCTTGTTGGCTATTCCTATTTAAATGAAGGCCACTCAGATTATTCTGTTGTTGTTCTTGTTGTATGTTTGTTGTACTACCAACAGATGAAGATGATATTAATTGAGAGGAATTTATGGAAGGCACGTTGGAACTATTGAGCGTATTACTATTATAAATCTTTGAATCACCAGTTATCAATGCACTACTTGCTAATGATGATGATGGTGTAAGTATTGGAGGAGAGTTTGATATTCTCGTTGACACGGCTCCAATTATAGTGTTGCTCGAAGTAAAAAAGGAGGGAGGTTGTGTCTCTTTTTTGTTGTTTGGAACGTTGTTTGGTCCAGAATTAGATTTGCTGAGATTCGCCTCTGCATCTTTTGTTGGCCTGGCCACCTTGGTAAATGAGGAAAAAGATGAGACATAAGGTTGACAAGATGGGATGATTAATTCACCAGTCGACTTGTTGTTGAAGGAAAAAGATTCGTTCCCAACACAATCCATAGTGCGACTTGTTGTAGCATTAAATTCATGTCCGCTTGGTGGTGTAGTTGATGGAGAAGAGGATAATTGGTGTTGGATTAAATCCGTTACCATATTTTCATATTGAGGCAAATGAGTTTGGCTGAATATTGGTGGTTGTTGTTGATTCATTAATTTCTCCCTTGGCAAGTTGGAAGCAAGAAGCAAACTGCTACCATTGGCATCCCTTGTACCACCAACAATGCAACCATGTTGTACACCACCATGAACATTGTTTGTGAAAGATTCATTTAAACATGTTGTTGTTCCATTATTGCTCATGGAATCTTTCAAATGTTGTGAGAGTAATGAACTAGAACCTCTTTGGTAAGTGGTTGAAGTGATGTTTTGCGAAGGAGCAATATCAAATCCTAAATGAGCCTCATTAGCCAACAAGCCTTTTTCTGGATTTGCTTTTTCATTACAGTTTGTTGTAGTTGGATTTGGCAGCAATTGAGACTTGTTAAGGGTGTTGACAATATTGTGTTGCTCTCCAACGGCACCACCTAGTATAATTTGATTGTTCGTCCAAGGTGCTTGTTGTTGATTCAATTCTTGTTGTTTTTGTTGATGATAGACTTGCATTAGTTTTTGCAAATGAACCGATGAGGCGTTTGATGGCGGAAATGATTTTCCGATCATCATGTATTCTTCTTGTTGTTGTTTGATATTATTATGTTCGTAATGATGACGATTATTAAATTGTTGTTGTTGAGGTTCATTGTCATCAATATTGGAAAATATCAAACCACCACCAATTTGATAATTATTAGGCAATGAACAAGATACTTTTCCGCTACTACCATCAAACATCCAATTATTATTATAATTATTATTATAATTAATAGGAGGTGATGATGAACAATTATTCATGGATCGAAACCACAATTCTTCAAGAGGAGTTATTGATTGAAATTCAGCACCACGATTACCATTACTATTATTACTGTTATTGCTCATCAATAGTACATTAGAATGATGATGATGATTAGATTCCGAATTCATCATCATTAAATTATTAGAATCTAGAGATGAAGAAAGTGGTGGTGATGATGATGCCAAATTATTCACATCTGTTGATGTGGTGGGGAGTGGTAATTCTTCCATCAACATACTGACTATTTGATTCTGATCTTGAAATTGATGTTGAAGAATCGAATAGATGAGAGATTGTTTCTTCTCAGGTGAAAGAGACCCTATCATGTTTTCAAAGTGAGAAATTTCATTTTCACCCATTTCTTTTAAAGAATGTTGGTGATGTGGAACAGTTTCGTGCACATTCTCACAAGTTTTGTCGAATCCTGTTGATGACTGTTCATGTGTGTCCACCGGCAGTGATGATGACGAGGATGGCGGAGTGAAGGGAAGCTGCTGTCGATTCATTCCTTCATGAATTGGCTGCTGGATATTCTTATTCGAAATATTATTAGAAAGTGGCAAAAGATAATGTTTCTCTTGTACCATCAGGTTGGTGTGTGTTTCTTTTTATCTCTTTGTTGTTTGAAATATTGTGTGCTTGAAAATTGGCCAAGTGCGCGGAATACAAGTTTCGAATAATTGTTTTTTGTAATATTATTAGAAGAGATGATTCCAGAATAAAGTGTCCTGTTTTTTGAATGTGTTTGGTAAACGAGAAACCAAAAACCTGATGTGTAACTGTCACAAGTCAAAAGAGACCTTCAGTTGAGCGGGGAACAATTAAAAACAAAGGCAAGTCTCTGAATAATTTTGAATTATGTGACCCAATCCTGACGTGAGCAACTAAGATCGATCTGATTTTTTTATTTTTTATGGAAACAGCTTTCTTTTGGAAGAATCAGATAGTTTCGAACAATGTGAGGAAAGAGCTGTCGTAAAGAGTATTTGTTTTTTGTATTAAGAATTGTGAAAGAATGGATTTCAACCATACATTGACTGTGAATCAGGGAAAGGATTAGACATAAACTGTATTCGAAACAAGATTCGAAACCCGTTGGTTAAATTGAGAGGTGGCTCTTAAAAAATCCGCGAAAAGAAAATAAATGACACGACATAATCATCAAATTTGGTTTCAGATAATAACAAATGATACAATATTGGCAAATTACTCATTTATCTTTGTTTATTCGAAACAATGTCAATAAAACGAATTGCTTAAATTGTTTGAGGTTTGACCGGAAGCATGGACTTGGTTTGCGGCATTGGGAAAGAATCTTCAATTTAATTGTGAATCTATTTATTGTAAACTATTTATAAATACTGTAAATATTACAACTACGATTATTAAAGCTTTAAAAGATTCGAATAATTTTTACAAACTATTATTAAATTGATTGAAAATTTCCATATTTTATTAATTGTTACAAAAAAATTAAATATTTAATTCACAAATCAATTAATCCAAAGTTCATTTAAAGTTTCTTCTTGAAAAATCTATTCGATTATTCCCTAACTTTCTATTTCCAATAAAAAATCTCATTCGAACAATAATTTTCAAAAATTCCAAATTGTAAACTTTAAAAAAAAATGCTCGACTCGTTGCCCAACGAAATTATTGAACAAATTTTCGAGTTCGGAATTGAAATTCCGCAAGAAATTCTTTCTCATTCTCGCGTTTGCAAACAATTTTATGAAATTTTGGAAAATACAAAAATGTGGGAAAATGTAAAATTGGAAAATGTGTCGAGATTGAGGGTTGGATTTAGGTGGTCTCAGTTGATTTCTAATCCGATTGATAGGGTGTTGGATACGATGAATGGATTTTTTGATAGATTGAAAGGAGGATATGCAGATTCGAAAGGTGTTTCACTTTTATCTGAAATTAGGGAGAATGTCAATATGAAAGAGTATTGTAAATGGATGAAATATTATAGGAGGGATAAATATTTAAAGAAATTTTTATCATTAGGCCATTTATTGTAAGTTTTTTTTGAAAGGAATGAAAGAAATTGATATTCGAATTTAAATAGGTATCAGTTTCTTGTAAATTGGCCGATTCTTTTTTTAGGAGTTTTATCATTGATTTTAATAGATGCAACAATAAGTATTGGATTAATGTCTCAATTGGAGGAAAATGATCGAACTCTGAGTCGAGGATTGTGGTGGCTTCCATATAGTTTCCTTCCATTTTATATATTATTCTACATTGGATTAGTTTCAATTTCGATTTCTGCCATTTTATTATTGTTCTATTATTGGAGAAAATTCATGATTAATAAGAGAGTTTCAGAAAAGTATGATCAACATTTTGGACATGCGACTGATAATTTTATCCTGTATTTCTTTTTGAGTTTAGGATTGGGAATTTATTTTGGAGTGCTACGTGGAGTTTCGTCTATTTTCTTGAATTGGGCAGGCCAGGAATTAAGCACCGTTCATTCAGCTCTGAATTCTATAATGTATGCCATTTCAACAGTTACTATCAGTGTATTTTCAATCTATTGGTGCACTATTCCGCCAGTGAAATTCGAATCATGTTTCCAATGGGCATCAATATCTCTATTTTTACTAAGTAGAAGTGTTTATTGTATGCTACCATTTTCAATCTATTTAACAATACAGGCAGTGAGGGCTCTGAATTATGGAATTGTACGTGCGAATGGATTTTTACAATTGGTTCCACTTGGAGGTTGTCTGAGTGCCTTAATGTTGTGTGTGAAATTCTATTCATTTTACACAATGTTACCACTTACCATTCCATTTGTATTGGCTACTATTGGAAAATTCATCAATGAAATATTAGAAGTAATATTGTGAAATAGTTTCTATTTCACAACCAAAGCAAAGGATAATCATTATCAACAAAAGAAAAAATAAGAATGGGAATCTTTCTCCTTAATATGTCTAAGGTAGAAAAGTCTTTAGGATATCTTCACAGGAAGGCATTACCAATATTTGGATCAAGTGAGATAGTCCTTTAGAGGAACCCAAAGCTCTTGCGATACATCTTTTTCTCTAGCCAATTAATACTGGGTGTTGGAATTAAAGGAGAGCCAAATAGTATGTTTAGACCTTCATCAAGGAATGTAAAAAATGGGGAATTGGCTTGCTCTTTCATTTGGTTCACCCCATCGTTGGTCCCTTCCTGTTAGGGGAGCCACAGAAGAGGTTTGACATAGTGAGGAATATGAATTTTGCCAAGTTCTTTCCACTACCACATTAATCAATACTTACTCCTGTTGCTTCCATCCAAATATACCTTGGCAATTAATTGCATCAACAATGTACTAAATTGTTTGATTGTACAATAAATATATGTTTTTTCGATTACAATCCTTACATTTGTACAATGGAATGGTGTTTTGGAAGAGTTGTGTTATTTCATAATTTACTAAGATAAGGATAATTTAATAATATTAGAATAAATTTCTGATTTTGTCAAGGAGTGAAACAGTTTTAGTTTTTGTTTCTGGAGTTGAACATTCCGTCACAACTTGGTATTTTTCCAAATACGGTCCAATATTTTGAAGAAGATGAAGTACACATCTAAACATTTCAATATGTTCACAATGAGCACTAATTGAAGCAATATGTGAAACTGTTCCCATTGCTGTGTTATTTAACATTTCAAAATATTTCAGTTTTTCATCATTAAATTTTTTCACAAAATCAAATTCATTTGACATTTCGTTTAAAGCATTTGTAATTAATTTCGCATTACAAGCCTCTTGCATAATAAATGAAACAATAGTCTTGTGAAATGTTGTTTGAAATAGTTCAGTATAATTATTTGAAAAATTTTCAATTAAATTTGGAATTGTCAACACATAAATTAATAAAAAAAATGGAGATTCAAATAAATATTTCCAGTAATTTTCTACATAATCATTTTTCAAAATTTCTCTGCAAATAGAAAGGAATCCATTAACATTATTTTTAGAATTATACAAATCAAAATAAACCTTATCCAATGAATCATTTCCAATAAATTTAAAGACAGCACTCCATAAAAGTAAAATATCATTAATATCACCTTCCTTAAGTAAATAAATAAAAAATGTTTCAATCACTAAAATTTCCCAAAAATCTGGAAGATAAATATTATCAAAACATTGTTTTGAAAATATATATAAAGGAAATAGAAAATGTTTTTGCTTATTTTGTACTAGAAATAATTCATGTGGTTTGGGGGAGGATTTCTTTGTAGTTTTCTTTGGATTTGAATAAATAAATTCAATAATAATAAAGTCATCATCGTTAATGGTTAATTTTGAAGTGGAATCCATACCGAGCTCTGAAATGGTTTTGTTTGATGCAAAGCATAGTTTAGGTACAGGGTCAAGAGAGGTACTATGTTTAGGAATGAACATTCTAATCTTCCACCTATCTTTTTTTCCGTGTGAATTATTAACAAAGTAAAGAGTTCCTTTTCTGTGAAAAGTTTGTAGAGTCATGGTTTCTTTTTCGGTTGCATATTTTCCAAACATGACTCCAACACAATGTAAGTCTAGTTGTTGTTCTATGTAGTGATTACTAATAAGCGGTTGCTTTTCTTCGTTAGTAGTATGTATGCACATTTTTTTAGGCGTTGAAAGCCACAGGCAAGAAAAAGCTTTCCATACTACTAGTGTTATTAAGAGTCTTCTGGCTTAACATAAAAAGAGTTTTTCTACTAAGGTCAATAATTCGAATGAAACCAAGAGTAAAATCGAAGAGTATGAGAATGGTAAAAAGGTTCTCTTCATTAAATATTGTGGAAGTGCTAGTTTTGAAAGTCCAGATGTGTGAACAAAATTATCACTTGAAATAGAATAAATCTCGTTGTTCTTTAGTGGCCTTCTCCAAAAACCACCAAGTTATTGCATAAATCAGTGTTGAAGGTTTTGGGCCATCCTTAAGGAAACTGGAAACCTTACTGAGTGGTAATCTGAAAGGTAAAAGAATTTCACCCTCACTCTCTAAACCTCCGCCCTCACTCACTTTCCATTTCAATTCACTCTCATCATCCATTTCAATATAATACAAATGTTGCATTGAAGCACTTGAAGCAGTAGATGTATAATAGGTATTCACATGTTGAATATTCGAAATTGGTACTCTATATCCACATTCTTCCTCCACTTCTGCCTGAATTGTTTCATTGGGTGGAAGATTCTTATCCTTCAATCCAGCACACAACTCGAAAGTATATTCAATTTTATCTGATGAAATATTCACATTTTGTACAATTGGATTTTCCTTAAATAATTGTCTAGCAAGTATTGATGGTCTAAATTGTCTAATAATGATAAATTCCTGTCTTGTCTTTTGATAAATCAAGCAAGAAACTGAATCATTGACCATGGCAATATCCCATGTTTTAGAAACACCATTCTGAATATACTTCATTCTCCTCAATTTAATCCATTTACTAGTAATTGGTTCATCATCAATATTAATTTGGGAAATATTAATCAAATCTTCAATTTTCTTTTCTTCCGAAGATGATAATTTAATTCTTGATGATGAGAAATTTCGAAGATAATTTGAAGCCTTCTCCGAGAGTAATAATAATTGATTGTTATTATGGTGATGATGATCCAAATTCTTCATCATTCTCTTCATCATTGGATTAATGTGTTGATCAATTCTGATCGTGATGAATTTATGGCTGTTTTTCAAGTGCTGCATTTTTATTTAAAAATTATTAAAATTTCAATCAATTGCAGTTTAAATATTAATATTTAAATATTAAATAATATTAATATTTAATACTTTGAAACTTCATTCCAATCAAACAATGAAGATTTGATCCAAATAAAATTATGAAACCACATGGTTAAAATCGGATCTATTCGGACTAAAGTGGTGAATGGAATTTTAGAATGTGGATCTTCAGATTCGATTGGATAAGATTACCAAAAAGGTAATAGAAGAATAGATCAAAAGATACAGGTGGATAGCGAGAATCCTTTTAATATTGGTGTTAAGGTAAATAAAGTGGAATATTTGGAATATTAACTAATTGAGAAGTGTATTGAAAAATAAGAATTGTTTATTGAACAATTCAATTATTATCTAGAGATTCAATCAAAATGAAAAGTCCCTATTGATTGAAATCTGTCATGATTGAAGTTAAAATCTACTAATGTCTCTTCCAAACCAAAAGGTTGAGGTCCAATTGAGTAAGACATTGAATTTGTTTCTGATTGAGACTAATCTTGTCATGTAGGCAGATCTCCAAAAGAGCCAACTCAAGAAACCTCCACTCTTGACTGCACCAACTTGACTAATAGCTCTATAATTACCAATATAGGCCAATTGACCCATGTGATGGTAAACAAATGGCTTACTCTCCTCAATTTCACCATTCAAATGACGAGCCACATAGAGTCCTTGCTGTTGGGCTACTTGTGCAGTGGCTGCAAGTGGAACAGTTTCAATGAGCGAAATATCACCCAAGGCCCAAATATTATCAAATCCCTTCACGTGTAAATGATCATCCACAATAATCTTTTTAGTTTTTGGATCGATTGGAAGTTGTCTTCCTTGGGAAATTTCTATTTATCTTGGTTTAATACCAGCACTCCAAACAATCATTCCACACTCAATAATGGATCCATCTTGAAGTTTGAGTGAGTTTGGAGATAGTACCTCCTTAACTTGTTGATTGGTTCTAATCTTGATGTGATTTCTACGGAAGAATTTTTGAGTATACTTTTGAAGGGAAGAATCAAATGCAGACAAGACAGTACTTCCTGCCTCAATTACTGTCATACTGACCTCCTCCATGATTTCTGGAGGGAAGTTTCTTGACAAATCTCTAATCAAATCGTGACATTCAGCAGCAAACTCTACACCAGTTGCACCAGCACCAACAATGACAAAACTACATTTTCAATTAAATAATTTTGTAAAATCGAAAGTTATTTAAAAACTTACTGCAATAGAGTTTCACGTAAGTGAACTGGAGTGGATGGATTGGAAGCTCTTTCAAAACATTGAGTAATTTGTTGTCTGATAGTTCTGGCGTGTGAAATTTCTTTCAATGGGAAGGTATAGTCCTTTACTCCCTTAATTCCAAAATCATTCACGTCACATCCAACTGCAACCACCAACTTGTCGTATGGAAGTGTGAAATTTGGATCATTTTCATAATTTGGCTTGCAAATAACTCTTTGATTTTCAGTATCAACAGCAACTGCCTTTCCCTCATAGTAATGATAATCTTCGTGATGAACTGCTCTTCTCACAGGTTCAATAATTGATCTCAATTCAACTGTACCACAAGCAGACCCAGGCAATAATGGAGTGAAAAGGAAATGATTTCTCGGAGTCACTACATTAACATTATACTTTTCCAAATCAATCTTTTTAATCAAACGAAAGCCAGCCCATCCAGAACCCAAAATGACAAGATTTTGTTTCTTCTTATTTGCAGATTGAGAAGCAATCACCTTTTGATTTTCCATAATTTTCTCTCTAATTTCCTTACTCAATGTATTTTCAACTGATGAGGATGTTGAATTGCTCACTGATTGATTACTTGTTGTGGTCAATGACAATAAATTAGCAGAAAATTGCTTCTTATTGTATTTCAAACTTGTTCGAGAGAATGAATTGACCATCATCAAGATCAAACTCTTCTTTTGCATCAAACTACTACTACTCTTTCCGATGATCATTTTCTTTATAATTCTCTATAGATAAACGATCGGGAATGATTTTGCTAATTACACTTTGCTTTTAAATTTTTTTTTATATTTGAAAATTAAAGTTCATTCTTTTGCGTTTTTCTACCGCGCCGGATTATTTCCAAAATTGCCTAAGATGAGATTATTAATAAAAGTGAGAGGGAATTGAGGTTTTGTTTTTGATTGGTCGGGGAGTATTGGATTCTTTATATTGTTGAGGATCTTATTGTTGATTGAATTTTGAAAAAATCAGAAAATTAGTAAGAAATTTCAACACTTTGTAAAGTTGTTTTGAAACCTTGAGGGTTTTCGTTGTGTTATAACAATTACGACGAAAACCCTCTGGTCGAGTACAACTTCCTCAACGAGAAGGAGAAGGAATGTGGAAGAAAGTGGAAGAAAATGAAACTCAACTGTGCAGAAACATCTAGGTCATCACCTCTATGTCGTTATTTTATATCTAGAGATGCAAAATCATGTAAATATTCAAAATATTCAAAATGACAAGTCTGTAATTTACAAATAAATGAAGATCCTCAATAGATAGAGTAAATGGGTTACAAAAATCGTAAATTGCCAAACAGTTTTGTAAAGATTCGAGTGCCGGTTCTCTTTCTGAATTTGTTGTATCTTGCAATATTCCCAACATGACAACTGTCAAACCAAAGTTGTACTTTTGGAACATCAGTAAGTGTCAATCAATAGTATTTATTCGATTACAATCAATTAAACACTTGTCAATGGACATTAAATCTTTAATAGTTGTAGTGGAAAATGCACGAAAGAAGAGAATCCCAATATTTTAAATTGGATCCAGCTGTAGTCATTCTATACTCTTCCTCAATAACAATATTGTCAATACTAATCACTATTAAACATCAGTGTCATCACCACAATGGAAGGATTCGTACATTAAGAAGTGCTGAAGGTTCTCCTCATTTCCATTCCTCTTAAACTTTACAACAATTCGATACAACGTGTAAGTTTTGAGTGTAAAACCTCCAATTCGCCTTAATCATTCCTTCAACTATACGACTTGCATGGTCAAGTTCGGTTCGAACCCTTAAATGACAAATTACACCAATTAGATTACCTCCTCCTCAAAAAAACCTTTTGAAAAGGGTTTTGTACACCAGAAGCCTTTCCATTGCAATGCATTAAGGAGATATGTTTGGAGAAGCTAATGTGCTATAAATTGCTCATCAACTCACTCAATAATATCGGCATGATCACCTCAAGGTAAGTTTCATAATACCATCTTTAAAATTAACCAACTTTTATGGGACGGCAAGATTCTCATCTTAATTCCTTAATTGAAGCTTTAAAACGACATTTTTTCTGTGTATCATTTAAGGCACAATCTTACGAATAGCTAAATAAACCCAACGCCAATAATCTGAACATTGAGATTTAATTTCCGAACAGCTACTAATGATCCTTGAAAAAGTTTGGAAATAAGCTCGATTTGCCAACTGTAATCTTGACCTAAATAACAGGTTTCCTTGTCAACACCTGTTATTGTTGGTATAAGAATGGAATTGCGTGATGGATTTACAAAGATTCTCAGTGTATTCTGTTGAATAGAATCAATAGTTTCAACCATTGATAGAAGAAGAATTATAGAACCAGTTCATGATCATGTTAACTTTCATTTAAGAACCCTCTCTGATATTGGTTTCAAGTCATTTGTTTTCATAATGTTGTTTCCCAGCATAATCACTTTTTTTACATTTAGCGCATTTGTCCCCATTTATAGTTTTAACGCACTTGTCCGAACCAAAGGTGGACTGTACATTCTCGGTTTGTGCACGACCATTCACCACAGATTAACTCGAGATTCATCAAAGGATGTAGCAAACAGATAATAGCGAATTTCTTCTTCTAAAAAAACAACAATAACCCTGCAAGACTCATCTCTGCAACAGCAACAGCAACTCCTACTTGTTGGCCATCACGAATTTTTATTATCCAACAATTCACTCGAGTGTATTCATTTTGCAATCCATCTAAATATTACACTCACTGTTTTTTTATCTATTCAGGTTTGTTTTTCATATTCTCGTCATGCTCATCAACTGTTATTGTAATTATCACAATAATAATTTAAATTATTATTGAAATGTCATACGACAATGAATTTGTCAAATATTCTTTGAAAAAAATGTCATAATTCCTTGCCAACCGACGATATCGTCGTTCCATCTTTATACTATGACCATTAAGGTCTCTGATCTTGTTACTGTCCTCATTTAGTATTCAAGTGAATATTCAATTGAATATTCGAGAATATTCTGATACAATAGAATTTTCTTTATTGTGTCATTGAATAAGACCATTACAACAATAACATCTCAAAGTGCTTTTGAGAAAACTCCTCCTATCACAGGACTTTAAGAGCCTTATTATTATCTCAACCAATTCTTTTGGGTTTTTTTTAAATTCAAAGTAAGACTCTTTTTCGCTCTTCTTCATACTTGAGATTCAACTAGAGAGTGAGTAAGTGAAATATTCTTCTTGGTATCTTTGAAAAAAAAGATTCAAACTTCATACTCTGAGTAAGCACCATCACTCAATCACTCAACAACTTACCTATCTGTAAAGAGAATACTATCATCATACTATGCTTGGTTCAGATAGAATGACCTCCTCCTCACCAGAAGAAGAATTTGATGCATCATCAATTGTTGTATCCTCACTCATGAATTCAACCTCCTCCTCTTCCTCGACAATCAATCAGAACACGAATGATGAAATGCTTTCCAAACTAATCTTTCAACAGGCGGCACTTTTCCAACAAGCTTCCAATATTTCTCAATCAAATCAACCAAAGTTTGAACACCTCATATCCGATAACGTTAGTAGTGGAAGTGGCAATCATCACATGCTTCATGATTGTTTCTTTACTCCAACAACAACAGCAAATACAACAATAACTTCCTCATCAGCAAATAATGCAACAACAACAACAACAGGTAATCAAATATTCGGCCAGAGCAATGACATGTCTTCTAATTTTGATTCATTCCTCTTGTCTTTTTCCTCCCAAACTTCAACACCACCTCCAAACAATGTTAATAATAATACAAATAATAATAATAATAATCATCACCAACAACAACAATTACTTTCGGAACAACAACAACACCATCAACAACCATCAAACTCGGCGATTCTTCCACAAGGTTTGCTGCCCAATACCAACACCAACAACAATCAACATGTAACGGCTATGAATCTTTCCGATGCCATGATAATTTCAGAATCCTTTCAAACCTCCTCGAGTCATCCACAGGTGCCAACGGGTTTGTCTTCCACAACCACAAACACCAACACTACTAAAAAAGACTCCAATTTGCATTCACTCCCACCAAATAATAATACTAATAATTTAATTGGAAGTGTTGGAGCTTCTCAAACAGCTACTGCTGCTGGTGATTCAAGTTTGCAAGCATACTTGATGACTGCTGCTGCTAATGGTAGTAGCCAACCATCATCATCATCACAGCAACAACAAAATTCTAGTAATACTGATAGCAATAATAATAATACTACAACTACATGTAACAATAATACTTCTCAAATGGAGAATGATAATTCTGCAAGTCAACAAACCTCCGATGAAAATCCAGGTTCAAACTTGCACCCAATTGCATGCACTCGTTGCAGAGAAAGACACAAACGATGGTAAGTTTCATATTTTGCAACCAAACGATTAATCTTGATTGGAAATTATTACTCCTTATTTGTCCATTGATGTTATCTTTAGCGACAGAAAGTTACCTCAATGCAGCTATTGTGAAAAGCAAGGTTTACAATGTGTTTACACAACTCCAAAGAAGCAGAGAAGAGTTTATCAGAGAGCTGTTCCTGTACCTGCAGGAAATGATGTTTCCAGTATTACTATGGTCACTGGAGGTGGTTCAACAGGTAGTTTTTTCACATCCTCGAGGACACCAATTACGAATCCAGGAACTCTCAATTTACTAGCTAGGAGAGGTTCAGTCGATTCAACCTTTTCCAACATTTCAACAGCCACTAGTGGAGGTATTTCAACAACAAGCTCAACAGCTGGTACAACTAGTGGATCCAGTGGAAATGAAATGGAAACAGCTAACGCTTTTGAAATTTTCACCTTCAGATGGCAAGCAGGTGGATCCAATTCTCAAAACACCAAAACAGAAAAGAAGAGAAAGAGTTCATGTGAAACATCCAATGTACAAAAAAGAAATTCCGTTTCAAAATTAACATCTCCTTCCAAGTCTCACATGGGACAAGCCGACTCTTCAATGCAACAAAATCAAGATAGCTCATTTGAAAATTATTCATTCCCAAGGAAGGCAAAGAAATCGAACAAGAAATCTACTCCTACAAAATCTGTCATCCAGCAACATCATCAACAGCATCAACAACATCAAATGATGGACAATCAAACTAACAATACTTTCCATCCAGATAATCAAACTATTTTCTTCAACAATAATCAAAACAATATGGATGCTATCAACTCTTCCATCAGTTCCATCATTTCACAAGGTCTATTGATGAATCAACAGAAGGAAATTACTCAAGATCACATTAATATTCTTGGAACTTCCAATCCAAATGTACCAACAATGTTGATGAATTTGGATAATAATATGTTATTTGGAAATCAAAACATGTCATTCGCTTCAACTCAAAATATTGTTATGAATGCTTCAATCTTTAGAAAAGCATATTTTGATTTCTATTTTAGATACATTTCACTTGGTTATTCTTGGGTTCCACAAGAAGTTTTTGATTCTGTATTATTTGGCACTGAAGCCATGAGTTCAGTCTTTGGCAATGATATCATGTCACTTCTCTATGCTATTCATGCCATTACTGCACTCGTGATGGGCAATAGTGTTGAAGCTGATATGGCTTATCACAAATCTGAACTGTTATTGCCACCTTTACCAGATAATTCCTTGACATCCCTTTTGAATAATGGATCTCTTACCATCAACTCTACCAACTCTGTTGCTAGAAATCTTGTTCTTGCTCATTATTTATTGTCGGTTGGAAACTTGGCAGGTTCAAAGAGGTATTTGAGATTGGCTGATGGTGTTCTCACAAAATATTCACCAAATTACATGAGTCAAACCTATATTAATTGTATGGCTTCTTCAGATGAGGAAGATGCTGGTGGTCTCACTCATGAAAATTCAGTCTTTGCAAAGGTTCCAAATCAAATCATGTTATTGATGAAGTATAGAGTTTATGTTGGATTCAAATATGATGAAATTCAATTTATTATGGATAGAGGATTGGATTACGTTAATGGTTTGGTCAATTTTACTCAACCTGTTCAAGCTAGAAATCAACCTTTGAACTCTGTTTGTCTTCCTGATGATTGTACAATTTCATTCAGATCTTTTGTTGGTATGACCATGCTCACAAGTTACTTGCATGCCACTGGTACTATACCGAATGAAATTATTACCATCACCACACAACCATTGTCTTCAGAAAATATCAAGATTTATCTCACACTTTCACTCCTTCTCAGAAAGAAGATTAAGGGACAAACAAAGGCAAGAATGCAAATGTACACTGGAAATCAAGAAGCTGTTTTGGCATCACCATTATCTTTACTCATTGATTTATTCTCTCTTTCCTGCAGTATTTTAATGTTGCACGAGACTATGTGTAATCAAGGACTTTATCAAAGCTCAACAACAGATCAATTACAGTACACTTCAGTCATGTTCCAATATGCTGATCAAATGAAGGATATCATCTCCCAAATTCCAACAGAATCCATCGATGTATCATATATGTATTTGGGAATTTTATACTTGTTGGTAATGTACTTTAAACAATTGGAAGAAATTGAAAATCAAGCCATTTCTAAAGGTTTCTCACTCCACAATAATGATATTTTCCACAAACAATTGGCCTCACTTTCCATTGTTCACAAATTTGTTGCTGTCATTACAAACAAGTATCCAGTTGTTATGGACAAATACAAGAGTACTGTTGAAAGAATTGGTTTATTCCTCAACAAGTATCAAATTATGAATTATCAATAAATGTTAAATAGGTGAATGTTGTAGGGAAAGATCTTATTTTGAACCAATTTGCATCATGGCAACACTCTTTCTCCATCTCACATAAAAATACGAAGGAATACTGTAGAGAGCTACACTTGTAACAAATCCAATAAGGAGTGCCAAGAAAATATTGAGATGATAAATGACACACGAACAAAAGATCATTGCAAATAGAGAAATAGATGAAGTTCCCATCATCATTGAGGAGGCAGAGCTTGTGGTCAATTCTTCACTTGAGAGCCAAAGGGAAATTAGAGTGGAAAGGAAAATGATTGGAAATACACTCAATAATCCAGAAACTACAATGAATTTAAAGCCACTCAAAACAATGGAAATGAAAACAATTGAAAATGTGAAAATTCCTCGTAAGGCAAGTAAGACAAGTGAAATTCCCTTTTTGGTAGATGTTCCTGACTGAACCTTAACTTTCCAATTGAAAATAATACTTGATAACACTACCATTACAACAGATGCACAACTCACTCCAATCAAGACAGGATCAGGAACGTTGACTAGCTTTGTAACAAGTACAACAATTGAAGCCAAACTAAACCAGACTAATACTGAACATACTGAAATAATGAAAAGCTTTAAATAATGCTTTTTTCTTTCCAGTTTTGAATTTTCTTCATTATTGACATGGTTATTTTCCACAGCAATGGTTTCTTGAATAGTTTCGTTTAAATGAACATTCATTTCCAAATTTTCCTCTCCTTGCTCATCCACCGAATTCAAACTATTCATACTCGATGATTGAATTTCATTATCCACATTCTCTTGCCTTTCCAATTCTTCCAATTCTTCATTTCCCTTAATTTCAATTTCCTCAATCTTTTTAAAATATCCGAAACGATTCAACAAATCAGGCACAAACTTCCACACCACCAAAAACGAAAAACTACAAAAAATCGCCAATGGAATTACAAATAATTGTTGCAGTAATATATGTGTCCTTTCGTCATTTGATAAAATTTCACTTTCCTTTCGGTTATCTAATTGGAATGCAAATCCAACACTTGCAAAGCAAACAGTCGTTGGTAAACTGCCAATAATTCCACCTATTTGAGCACCAAATTTTTCAATGACCAAGGTTATTAGAATGGCAATAATGGATGCGAAAGTGGACGAAACAAATGCTGTGAAATAGGTTGAAGTAATTATCTGAGAAAGGACTGAATCTGCAGTTCCATTCACACCTGTCGTATTATTTGCTTCAATAATAATAGTAGAATTATCGAGCATAATTGTTAAACTATTCTCATGTTGCAATTTGGCAATATTTAACAATTTGGCGGGAAACAACTTTTCACAAGAGACAGATGCAGAAAAACAAATAATGATGATGAATAGTAGTAGTGCCAACAAAACAATGGTCGGGACAATTCTGGATGGATTCTTGCTTTTGAAAAGGTGCATTTTTCATACAGTTTGTGTTTTTCTATTTTTTTTTGAATTTTTTTTTATTGTAAGCGGAGAAATTTTTAATTGGTCAACAATTTTGAATTGAATTTAGGATTTGTAAAGTGCAATATTGAAAAAGATCAAAAATAGCTATTGTGAAGGTTTTTGAAAATTGTGAAAACGTGTTTTTTGAAATTCCGAAGATTCTCCGATGTGAAATTTCAATTTTCTTTAATTTTCTTGTTTAATAATATTTTAATTAAAAGATTGTAAACGGAAATTGATTTTTAATTAAAAATAAAACAAAAAAAATGAGTAAACGAAAATTAGATGCAATAACCGAAGGATTCGTCCAACTTTCGGATACAAGAAGGAAGAAACTTTCCAATTCCGTCTTTTCTAATGATGTGCTCTATGAAATTCTTTCCTTCCTCGATGATTTTAAATTTATTGTCACGACTTGCACTTTAGTTTCTTCACAATTTGCAAACATTTCGAAAAAATTAAAACTTTCCTTGTATTGTGAAAATGACATGAAATTAAAAGGTCAATTTTTACAAAATATTCAAAGTTTGACAGTGAATAGAAGGAATAGGATAATTGCATTCGATTGCCAGTTATTTAATTTAATGAAAGATATAAGTACACTGAATGTCAGTGAAAACACTTTTGAAAATGGTCATTGCAAATATATTGGTCAACTGAAACATTTAACTAATTTGGATATTAGTATTAATTTGATTGGAGATGAAGGTGTTGGATATTTGAGGAAATTGAAGCAATTGACTAATTTAAATATAAGTAACAACATGATTGGGGAGAAAGGAGCTCAGTATATTGGAAAAATGAAACAGTTGACTTGTCTTAATATTAATAGTAATCATATTGGAAGTGAAGGAGTCAAATTTTTAAAGGAATTGAAAGAATTACGTACTCTCGACATGGTTTACTGTTATATTGGTGAAGTGGGGGCGAAATATTTGAGTGAAATGAAGCAATTAACTCACCTCGATGTTGAATGCAATAATATTAATGGAGGAGCTAAATATTTGGGTGAATTGAAAGAATTGACCTATCTTAATGCCAAGTATAATATATTAGGAGATGACGTAAGATATTTAAGTAGACTTGAATTGTTAACTGATCTGAATGTTGCTAATAATGGTATTAGTGCAAAAGGCGCAAAATTTATCAGTGAAATGAATCGATTGGTCAATCTTAATATTGGACACAATAATATTGGTAAAGAAGGAGCTAAATTTATCAGTCAAATGAAAAAATTAACTTGTCTGGATATTAGTTGTAACAGTATTCAAGACGAAGGAGCTAAATGCATTAGCGAAATGAAGCAGTTGACTAGTCTTAATATTAATTCTAATAATATTAATAAGAAAGGAGCCAATTATATTGCTGAAATGAACCAATTGACTTACCTCAAAATTCGTTTCAATATTGGAGACAATGGTGCCAGAAATATTTTGAAACAATTACCTAATCTAATTGATGATTCTTTGTAAAAATCTCAATCTGTTCCATATTTTAATAAATTCATATCATATCTCCATCATGTACTACTGAAATAGAGTCAAGAAATCAATAATTTAACAACAGTAAGAAAATGCTTCAATCTTGTCGTTCAGTTTTAAAAATTCTTCCAAACTATTTTGGAGTGAAATCTTGCTATTTCCAATTAGATTTAATTTTCTCAAATTCACAAAGCGCATCATAACTTCCTTGATTTCATCTGTTGTGAAATTATTGTGTCCCAAATCCAATTCAGTCAAACTCTGATAATTTTCCCATAATAGCAGTTTTGTATGAACAAATTCATTGATAGAAGAATTCTTTCCAAGCTTTAAACTAGTTAGAGATTCGAATTGTGGCACTATATCAATGAGAAACCATATCACATTTGGTAATTCCCTCAAATTCAAACTTGTCAATCGAGAAATTGTGAAAATTGGTTTGATATCTTTTTCAATAAATTTGTTTGCACTCAAATCCAAAGATTTCAATGCAGGTAAATATTGATTCAATATGGAAAAATCAAAACCAAAAGGAATTTGATTTCTGGAAACACTCAAATGTGTTAATTTTTGTAATTTAGGACTTTTTACAATGGCATTTAGTCCATTTAGTCCAAATTGATTGCATCCTAGATCTAAATGTGTTAAATTTGTCAAATTGGAACAATTGGCAATGTCCTTGACTTGAGAATCTTTCAATTCATTATTCCTCAAATCTAGATATGTTAAATTTCTTGACTTTTTGTTTTTTAATAAAAGTTTCACCATTTTCTTTGCATCCGAAACTAAACTAATCTTGAGTTTAGTAATAATAAATACTGAATTGGTTGTTTTCAAGTATTGGATGGCATTTTCATGTTTGATAAATTCTACAGTGTTGATTTTTTGTGAAATTGCTTGAAAGAATTGTTTCGAAACTAAAGCAAACGAAATGATCTTGTTAGGATTGCAGAACGATAGTATCGTATCAATAACATCATCACAAAATATTATCTCATAAAAAGCAGTTTGCTGTTTTGACATTTTTTTTTGATTTTTAATTATTTCAAGTTCATTGTTCTTTAGTTTCGTACAATCATTAACTGGAGGAAATTTTAATCTTTTTAAACATTTAATTCAATATCCTTCTTTAATTTCTTTGTTTCTAACCAATCCTCATATTCAGATGTCGTTTCCAATCTCGAAATGGTATCTGTCAAATTAATCAACAATTCTCTCATTATTATTTCATCCAAATCCGAGTAGGGAACATTCGCCTCACGTTCCAACAATTCCATAAATTTAAATCTTCCATCCGATGATAAATTAATCTCAAATGGGGCAAACATTTGAATGTAATTATGATGAATTTCCAATAAATTCTTGTGAGTGACAACTCCACTCTTTCTGATTTGTTCCAATACTTCGTAGAGAGCTAGATTCTCAATGGAATGTTCGTTTCGAGAGTAGACTCGAAGCATTTCTCTAAATTCAGTCTCTTTGAGAAGTTTTTGAATGGAATTTTCTTCTGATGCCAGAGATTGATAGTGTTCTCTTCTGCAGAGTTTAAGTAAGAATCGAATAGATTCTATAATCATGGTAGTTCCTCCAACAACGAGATAACACAATATGAACAAGACCAGGAGCAATACCTTACCAGCTATGTTGGTAGTTCCAGAAAGAGACATGAAAATCAAAGCAGAAATCACCAAGCTCAATATCATAATGATTAGATCAATTCTTAAAAAGAATGGATCATCAAAAAAGAAAAAGTACAATACTCCTCTCTGTTTCAGCTTTTTCCTATTGAGAATCAAATCAACAACCAAGCAAATAAAGCAAACAATTGAGGAAATGAGACAGAGTGTTGCAAACGGAACCAGGAATAACAATTCAACTTGCATATTATAAGCAGAAACTTCGTAAGCTTTTGGAGTATCATACCAAGTGGTATAGTAAGAGAGCCATATCAAAAAGACGCAAATGGTCAAAAGGATGGTAAAGATTGTGGCCATGATTTTTGAAGTGAGAATTCTTTGAAATTTCAATGATCTTTGACTGATAGTTTTCTTCTTGGAGGCAACCAAATTCATAAACCAATACAAATTCTTCAAGTGGTAGAATCTCAACACTGTAACAATGTAAGTGGAGAAGAAAAGTGAAATGAATAAATTTGGATAAATGGCAGTTACTGAAAATCTCAAATCTGTTTGTGTAAAAACTGAAATGTATTGTCTATTCCACACCGGCTCTAAAAAGTAAATTGGAATGATAAAGAGACAGAAAGGTCCAACAAATGGAAGGAGGAATCTTCTTCTGATTGGAATATTCTTACTCTTTCTATTTAAAATCATGGTAATTCCCAAACAAATGTAAAAAACAATTGCCAATGAAGAGATGGTTCTGCCTACGATATGAAAATGCAAAAGGGAAATAGTGGATTTATGAAATTGCTAACAGGAAAACCAAACAGAGCTGATTCAAACTCAATTCTCAATATTTACAATGTTATGCAAGTATTGAAGTTATTCAGAGCTCCAATACCAATGATTAGAGATTTACTTCAATCATTTTCCTTCCAGAAAACTGAAATGGAACTCAAGGCAGAGATAAAATTCCATCCTTAAACATGAAGAATTCGTAGGAAGAGTATGAATAATAGTGAAACATCCCCAAGTAATCATTAAATCCACTATAGCATTGAGCTTGATAAAAGTTTGAGGTAATGTATTGATTCAAATTCTGTTTGAATCCAGAAAATGCATTTAACATGTAAGATTGAAAAGTCTGATTCTCATCATTCATGTATCCCTCATTTTCCAGAACAGTTCTCAAATCAGTCGATTCGTTATATAAAATTTGCATTGCTGTCCAGAATAAATCATTCGTATAGGAAAGTATTGGTAATTGTTGTAATTCCAAATTCTTTGTAACATATGCATTCATGTATAGATAATAAGAAAGTGCTTGACTTTGTTCTTCTGTAAAATAACCAAATCCCATTGATTTCCTGAATAAGGCATTGTGATAATCTCTCATTTGACTAATGGCAGTTGAATTTGTCACGTTACATGATTTTTCAAATCTCAGCAACTTATCCAAGATTTCCACCTGAATATTCTTCTTAATTGCTTGAACAATTTCATCTTTCTGCTCCATAGTCAACAAATTCATCAATTCCTCACTGGACGAAACTTGTGGAGAAGTTTTCACAACAGTCATTGTCAAAACTCCCTCTGTTCCAACCAAATGAAATAAATCTTCCAATTCATAATCATTCACCTCCTTCCTAATTCCATTTTCTTTAAAACTTCCCATATAAATATTATTCTTAATATTCAAAAATAAATGATCTAAATATTCGATTGGGATAGCAATTATTGGAATGTCACTCCATAGCTGATCTAATAACCAATGTTCATCCTCGAGTTTTGAATAGAAAGAAACTGATTTCTTTTGATTGGTAGAAATGGAAACAGTTGAGGCAAGTTTTGAATCAATTCTCCTCTTTCGTCTTGCAGTTTCGTCTAGTAAAAAATTGGATTCATTCCAAGCAGTCATCATTACTAAATCATCATCTGAACAACATGCATACATGTAATCCAATTCTTCGTCGGACGAAAGTGAAGCTACTTCTTGTAATAGAGTGTTTTTCTTGATGAAATTACTGAGTACTTTAGTTTCGTATATTTGTGAGAGCTCATTCAATAAAGTTTCGTCCTCAGCAAGTACTCCAGTAGTATTCAGAGTGGTGAATGGAACAGCAGCTATCTGATGAGATTGGATGTGAACTATATGATATTTCGTATAGGCATTTTGGGAGAAAGTATTTACATTAGTATTGGGATTATAATCAAGATTTTGGAATCCAAGCTTAAAATATTCTGAAATGGAGAGAGTTTCAACAGAGACGGTTAAAGTCTCCGCAGCATGTACTATTTGTTTCGAATAGAAATAGTTATCCGAAAGTCCAAGTACTAATATGAACAGCAATAATAATGATGAAGAACCGACATTTGCTTTCATCGTGTGTTGTTATCTGGTCTTTTCAAAATTGTTGTTTTTTTTCTCTGCTAGATATTTGCTTTGGAATAGCAAACAATTGATGAAGAAGGGTAGCTCGTATTTGATTGGTGAGAAAGACCAGAATACTAGCAGAATGAAAGTAAGGAGTTTTTTTTGTGTCTCTTTTGTTAATAATATGTCACCAAAATCTATACGAAAGGTTCCTTTAATGCAACTCTGTTTTCCATAAGTGCATCATGACCTTTAAAATTCCGACATATTTTAATAATAGCGTGTTTCATTAATATTAGAATGTGTTAATTTGTTTGTGAAAGTCAACTCGACTGTAACTCAGATTTCCAATAAGGAAGAAGAATAACCTCATTCGATTCTCACTAAAAAACTGAATGATTCTCCCAAATATTTGCAGATAAAATCTAATGGTCACTAAAATTGATTCTTCAATTCAATTCTAAACCATTCACTATTTCACTATCAAATTTAATCAAATTTCTGTAATCTCTTTAATCACTTTGAGATGCAGCAAAATGGTCCTTGAATGAAAATAAAGCATCAGAAAATGGAGAAGCATTCACTAGTGAAATTGATCTGAGATTGTTGATATAGTAAATCTCACTCTTTCCAACGTGTTTGATGAACTTGTTTCTAAATATTAAGGCATGCCAAGGACCAAGTGAAAATTGTTGATCCTCATATTCAACCTTATGATAATATCCTGCCTTATCGAACCCATATATTAAAGATCCGTAAAATATAAAATGAGTTTTTGTTCTGAGAGCAGTACAAATACTTCCACATTCAATATCAAGAACTCCTGTTACTTTGACTTCCCAAAAGGTACCTTCTATATCTGTATCATCTCCATTTGCACATTGATTGTGATAGTTGAATCCTCTCGTAAACACCTGTCCGTTTTCCAATAGAACTACACAATGTCTATAACCTGATGAAACCTTTTTGATTCCACTGTTAAAGAGTGGAGTAGCAACCTCAACAGGAACGTCAAATCCATAAGATGCAAATCCATAATGGGATTCCTTTGAGGAACCATCCTTAATAATGTAGAATTTGTTATTCTCCAAAACAATAATTTGCAAATCTCTGCAAAAACATGAAAATAGCTTAACTGGTGATGGATCATCAATTACAACTTCTTTAGGCTCTCTATTAAAATGTTTCTTAATAATTTTCCCCTCAGTGGTTTGAACCATTATTATATTCGACATTAGTCCACTTCCAATCACTCTAATTTGTGACGATCTCTCAATAAAGAAACAAGACAACAATCCAGTATGGATATCGAACAGAAATAATCTTCCATCCATCATTTCAAACAATGGTCCATTATCATGCAGCAAGACTACTCTATTCATCAATCGTGACCAATGAGATTCTGCTCTCGGTCTCATCTGATTGAACAATACTTCAAAAACATATTTCTTTTCCTTGAAAAACCACCTCGATTCACTTCCTTCAAAAAAGTACAATGAATAGGATTTTGATTCACCACCCGAACAAACCATAGAAAGAGGTAATAATTCATCATCTCCGATCTGATCATCATCCAAAGCCTGAGAAAAAAAGGAATTCTTTCGCAATGCAACGGAGGGAAATCGTTGCGAGGTGAAGGCCTCTTGTAAATTGGCTCCATTACGAGTACCTTCGCAGTAGAGTTTGTATTTTTCATTCATTTTTTTAAATAAATTCCAGATCAAAATCAAATTAACTAGCCGTTACAAATATGAAATATTTATGAAAAATATTAAAAAAATAAAAATCTTCAGAGAAGAAATATTAATATTGTGTGCTTGAATTCAATCAAAATGTCTCATCAAACAAATGTCCTCCTTTCCATCTATCTTCATAATCAAAAAAATGTTCAAAGCCACCACCCGTACATTATTAATTAGAAAGAGTACTTTATCAAAATCCTTTTCTCTCCATCATCAAAAAGCCTCCTTCAGAGTGCTTGTGCTCGGAGGCTATGGCTCATTCGGCAAGAGAATTACCTCCCAATTATTCAAAGACAATGATGTTAATACTCCACAGGAAATTGTTATTGCTGGAAGGAATTTAGCAAGTGCCAATCAATTTCGAGATGAATTAATACAGAATACTTCATCATCGTCATCTTTTAGAGTACAAACCTCTCTGGTTGATGTGAATGATGAGAGAAGTTTGAAGGATTGTCTACAACAAACAAAGCCTAACCTGGTCATTCATACTTGTGGACCATTTCAAGGACAGAATTTTCATGTGGCAGAGCAATGTATTGATAGAGGAATTAATTATATAGATTTATCGGATTCTAGAGAGTTTGTTGCAAACTTTTCTGACAAGTTACACGACAAGGCAGTGAAGAATGATGTGCTTGCTGTTTGTGGAGGTAAGTTTGTGTTATTGATAATTTGTCTTCTCTTATCATTAAATAGCCAGTACTGTTCCTGGATTGTCCTCTGCTGTTTTAAACGAGGTGTTAAAACATGATCTTTCAGAAATTACAAGCATTGATAGTTGTCTTTCTCCTGGTAATAGAGCTCATATTGGAGAATCAACAATGAGATCCATATTGAGTTATTGTGGAAAGCCAATACCAATGTTCTTGAATGGTAAATTGGAAAATGTCATTGGATGGCAAGGAGTGAAAAGGGCACAATTTCCAGATGGAATAGGAACTAGATATGTTGCTTTTTGTGAAACTCCTGAGGTTGAGATTTTTCCAAAGATTTATCCTACTCTCAAAAACTTGGAGTTTAGAGCTGGTGTAGAGTTGAACATGTTCCAATTTTCTGTTGTGGGAATGTCATATCTTGCACAAGCTGGGATTGTAAAAGATTGGTCCGTTTACTCTCCATTATTCAAGACCATGAGTGGGTGGTTCTATAATTTTGGATCTGATAGAGGTGGTATGCAAATGATAATCAATGGATTGGACAAGAATGGTAAAGAAAAGACTATTACTTGGAATTTAATTGCAAAAGGAGGAGATGGGCCAATGATACCAGCCATTCCGTCCATATGCATTGCTAAAAAACTTGCAAGGGGATATGTTGAACAAAAAGGAGCCATTCCTTGCGCAGGATTATTCTCTTTGGATGAATTTATGAAAGAGGTTTCTGGTTACAATATTCGACACGAATTCGTGAAATGAACGGACTGTAATATATGTGCCCTTAACACTATTACAAATTCGTTGTTTTCACAGATAATCCCTTAATGATTCAGATAACATGAAAGGGAGATAGTTCAGTGGTAGAACATGGGATTGTGGTTCCTAAGATCAGGGTTCGATTCCCTGTCTTCCTACTTCTTTTTATAACTATATGTATTAAGCAAAAGTTTAATCTACACTATATAGTTTGAATTTAAGATCACATTTTATTAGGGTTATTGCTCTGTAAATTGGCTAGTAATTAATTGGAATAATTTGCATTGCTTTTGATCATGCATTCCAACCAAATCTTGAGTGTTGTGATAATACATTCCATTGATTTGAATTTGCATAAATGCACAACTTTGGAATTGTGATGGTAATTTGATATCAATGGTCTTATCTCCATAAGTCAACAAGATGAAAACAATTTTACATCCCTTTTCCAAGAGGGCACTTGCGTCTGGACTTTCAAATCTGGTACTTCCACAATATCTAATGAAGAGAACCTTTTCACCATTCTCATACTCTTCAATTTTGGTCTTGGTTTTAAAATTGATATAGGTCTGGTTAGAATTACATTGTTCACCTATCAAATTGATTAATTGATCAGTTGCTTTTTCATAACCAGAATTTGGGAATACAGAGAATGAAACAGTAGAGTAGAAAGGTTGAGAAGCTACCAACTTGGTTTCTTTTTGAACTGGCTCTTTTCCCCTCCCTAAAAAAGTAGAAAGCATTGAGGGTTTGGATGGATTTCCTTTGAATTTCAATTCACTGTAAAGCACGTGGAGATTATTCATCTTTTCATCCAATTTCCTAACTTCATCAACAACATCATCCAATGACTTTTGCATCTTGTCAAGTTTGGTATCTAACGCTTTTGTTTCAGTTTCATTTGAGTGTTGCAACTTTCTTACTTCCTCAGATTGATCTTTTTTAATTTCAATTATTTTTTCTAATATGTCCTTTGATGTACCAGCAATAAGATTAGACAAGTGAAGCTTATCTTGACTCAACATTTCCAATATTACTTGTTGATCCTCCAATTTTTCAATTCTCTGCTTATGGTGCTCTGCATGTTGATTCATTATCTTGATATTATCTGATTGATCACTTAAAATTAACATCATCTCTCTCATGAGTGATTTGACTGTTTTCTCAACCATTTCTTCCACCAGATTAGGCGTTACGATGGATTGATCTCTATTCTCTTTGTATTGATTATAAGGATAGTAATCATGATCTATGTTATTATCCCCATAGTTAGATGTTGAAATAATTGGTACTGGCTTTGATTGCACTGTTGTGTAGTGTGGTGATTCATATGCATTGTTCCTAACAGGTTTTGTCTTGTTCTTTGGAAGGGTACCATTGTTGTTTGTTGTCACTTCAAAGGATTTGAATCTGTTTTTCATTCTTGAACAGCAAAATATATGTGAAATTATTGAAGAAACACTTTCCATACAATTTTTTATAATTGAAAATTTTAATCACGTTTCGAAATATAATTTTAATCTGAATAATTCAATCACGTTATTAAGATTGGCACGTTTCAATTTGAAATTATCTGATTACAAAATCACGTTTAAGGGTAACCAATCAAGTTGCTTTAGCACGTTTCGAAAATAATTATTAGCTCCACAAGATCCTTTCAGAAACTGATTCAAAGCAAAAAAATGTATACTAAAGACCGTGTGGAATATTCAGAAAATGATTCAACCAAGAGGGACAGACCAATGAAAAAGAAAACAGATAAGACTCATGAAGCAGTTCATGTTGGTATATTAGGGGATACTTCTCCTTCTATGAAGGATGATAGTTGCTGTCAAATGTTTTCCACTACCAGAGGTGTTGTAAAACAATTACATGAACAAAACAAAGACAATCAATTCACCATTATTGAATTCAGTTCCAAGTGTGCAGTTCATGCAAGAGTTTGTTCTGACTTGGATACAATCCTTGAGAAAGTGCCAAAGGTTAGAACTGCTAATCTTGGAGGAGGAACCAATTTAGGTGGTGCCTTCAATGAAGCTCTGATCATTATCAAGAATGAAATGACAGATAAGAGAAGAAAGTTCCTCTTCGTCTTTACTGACGGTTTTCCAGATGACAAGATTGAAGCTATTAATCGCGCCAATGATTTAAAGCTGGCCAACGTTGACATTTGCTGTATCGGTGTTGGCTCTGGTATAGACAAATCATTTATCCAAACCATCTCACCACAAAAGGGTTACCACATCCAAGAATGGTCCAAATTGAATGAAACTTTAGCTGAAATTGTTTCTAAAGAGTATGAGGATTTTGTTAGAATCAAGTTTACACTCAAAAACAGACCCTATCATATTGGTGAGAATGTAAAAATCATGGTTACAATCATAAATGATTCAGATAAGGAAATCCCAGCAGGGACCGTAATCAAATTTAATAGAAACTCGTATTTCGATAGTAAGACTTTCAAAACCAAGTCTGGTGTTGACCCTGAATCGAGTGCAACTTTTGAAATTGAGCTATATCCAAAAGATGGTGCAACTGTTAGGGATATTTGCAAGGAATTAGAATATTCCATCACAACTCCCTCTTCTAGTATTATCGAAAAGGGTCATGTTGAGTTTTGGGCAAGTGATTTTGGCTATAAAGTGCTAGAATATAGACCACCTAAATCAAGTAAGGTTTCAAAATTGTACATCTTCTCATTTGGTATTATTGGATCTGGAAAATCATCCTTTTTCAACCGTATTGTCACATTAGTACATGGATTAACCTTTATACAAAACAAGCACACATCATTCGCAATTACAGCTCCTGGAGGTGATCATGTTACCAAACGTCTTGAAAAGGTATGCTTCTCCAAGATCTTTCCTGAAGATGAAACATTGTGCAATTTGTTTTTCCTATTGGGTGATTCTTTTGGAATTTCAGAAAAGACCTTCACTGAGCCAACCCTGTTCCTAAGTTGGTTACGTGGACTTCTCGGAGAATCATTTGAGATGAGTGAATCCATCATGACAAAGCAAATTGAAAAGTGTGATGAAAATCAAGTACACTGTATCTTGTTTTTCCTTGCTCAGGGTGATCGTGGTGATAAAGAGCTCATTGAAAAGCTCAAGAAGATGTATCAAGAATCTCTTGGATATGGATATCAACCATTGGTGATTGTTACCAAGATGGATGAAGTGAGAGAACAAGAAACCAAAAAACAAGTTATTGAGCAAGTTTCAACATTGCTCAATGTCAATATTGATTCCATCTTTGCCACTGAAAATTATCATGGTGCCAATATGATGAATGATGAGGCAGAGAGAAATTTCGAAATTGATAAGGAAACTCTGGTCATTCTTTTAAAGTTATTCGATAAGGGTGATTTCTTTATCAAGTCAAATAACATGCTTATGCAAAAGAAATAAACAATCAGTAGAACTTGTACAGAATTTCAACATCCTCATATCCCATAATGACTCGATTAGGCAGTAGAAAATTACAGGTTATACAGTTCAAGAACCATCAATAATTTAACAAAGCTGTAAAAGATCTGTAGTGTGGTCTGTATCGATCATCTACAAAGAAAATGTCGAAGCAACAACTGTTAGAACATTCACTCGAAGAATCATCATCACTATTAATAAGCACAACAACAGTTGTTGAAAATGATGAAGTGTCGGTGCTGCAAGTAAGAAAACCACCTTCACAACAACAGTATGAATTAGGCAAGGAGAATGGACATGAAGCTTTAAATAATTCATCATCGGAGGAGAATCATGATACAATTGATTATGTTCATCATTATCATCATAAGCAAGATGAACAAGATAATATTATAACATCCACTAATTCTTCTTCTTACGGAGATCAAGAGAGGGAGAAGCAATCTCTCACTTCTAGAGTTTCAAATCTAATAGATTCAATGCCCATACTCAAATCAATGTTGGGTTGGTTAGCATGTATTTCAGTACATACACTTTATGGTACACATCCAATCTTTTCGAGGTATCTGCAATCTCAATCTCCAAATAAGTTTCCTCCCATGCTATTGGTTACTAGCTGTCATATGGCTGCCCTTCTATTATACTCTCCCAGAATTCTCTTCTTGTTAATTGTTTATTTGAGGAATAAGTGGAAGAATAGGAAGAATAACAAGGAAGGAATGAATGTTAATACTCAACATCATGTTGTAATGAAATTGTCTATATTCGAGAGGATTAAGAAGTGGATTAAATTCTCATTACCTCTCATTAGCTTCTTTTGTGCATTGTTGGGGAGATCATTTACCAATGTTGTTGCCTCCAAATTTACAATTCCACTATTTGTTCAATTGTTTGCATTGTCAAGTCCATTTACTCTGGCTTTTGTAACAGTATTTGTTTATAACAGATGGTTTATTAGAGATTCACATACTAAGGAAACATTTGGATTGAAAGCAATCTTGTCAATGATTGCTACATTTATAGGAGGGGCTATTATAATTATTGGAAGTATTGTTCCAAAAACTGATGGTGTGTATGTACTGAAATCACAATTGAGATTGATTTTAATACCATTTCTGAAAATATTACACCATGGGATGTATTAGGTATCTCATCAAGTATAGTTTCAAGTTGTTGTCTTGTTTGGTACATGCTCTCTTTGAGATATATGAAACAGGAAGAATCTCAGGGAAATACCATTAGTGTTACTGGAGAGAAACTATTCATTTATCAATTATTAATTCTTGTCTTTATATTTGCTGTGCCAAGTGCAATATTTGATGATTGGACTTTGTGGGCTCGATTGAATTCTAAGGATTGGGGCATGTTCTTTGGATTTACTATTTTAGTATACATGATGGCCAATGGTTTAAATATTCTTGCAATTGGTTTGCTTGGATCTACAAAAGTTGGCTCTATAATTGCCTTGAGATTAATCTCAACAATTGTTTTCAGTAGTCTCATTTTGCAAGAATCGCTAAAGTCAATTTGGCAATTATTGGGTTGCATTATTGTCTTGTTGAGTGTGACCTATTTCATGTACACTGAATCTGAACAAGAAATGAAGACTGTAACAGTTCAACAAGTGAGTTCTACCCATTTCCCAATCCAGGAGGAAGATGAAGATGATGACGAGACTGAAATGGAGGACACTACTGAACTCATTAAAAAAGACCCAAATGAAAATTCAATTGAACAAGTTAAGAAACGTAGGGAGGGAGATATCATGGTTTAATTGAAGAATGCTGTCATGTTTGATTAATTGTTGAAAATTAGCATGATTACAACACGATCATGATGAAACAGAATTGATACTATATTCGATTTGATTGATGAGCTTAATAAAGTAATATTTAAGTGATCAATCAAATAATATCATACAAATGAACCAATATGCAGAGCACCATAAACAGAGAATTGAAAATCACCAAGTAATATTGGAAATGTTGAGTGTGGAAGTATCAAGATTTGGTTGAACCTTAATATAAATTCAAAATTAACATTATACAGTGCAGATTAAATTCAAGCTTTGTACAAATAGTTATAAAAAGAAGTAGGAAGACAGGGAATCGAACCCTGATCTTAGGAACCACAATCCCATGTTCTACCACTGAACTATCTCCCTTTCATGTTCATATCATTTTGTTAAGCGAAACGTGAACAAACATTACATAATTTCTTTCATTGTTTGTTGGCCAAAGAAATTTATCGAGATTCAAAAATTAAAAAAATGTAGAAAGAGAAGAAGGTTAGTTGTGCCAATTGTAAGGGAAAGGACTTTTTTGAGGTAGACTCTTGTCCAAGGGATGGTAGTTGCTTAACCTATAAGGGTGAAACGAAGGACGGTTACTTGCCTAAACTTTCTGGTATTTCACATTTTGAAGATATTAGCATGAAGGTTTGCGTTGGTTGTGGTTGTATATATGGATTTGATAAAGAGCAAATAAAGAAAGACTTGGCAAATGCCTTTGAAGAATAAAGGTAAAATAAAGTTTTTAGAAATTAAGCACAATAGTCTTTGTGTTGTTTGTTCTTGTTAATCTCAAAGTTTATTGATATTGAGCATTAGTGTTACTAATAAACCATGAGAATTAATTTTTCTTTACCAAAATCTTCAATCTTTTCCACTGCCATTTCTTTTTCTAACAATAAATTCTCAAGTTCCTTATTTTGCATCTTATCTACTAACCAATCACTTGCAATAAAAACTAATCCACTAACACTTCTCAATAGAGGGAATTCTTTCAATATTAAGGTTTTCGGATATATTTTCTTGGTCCTTGTCTCATCGTAGAATAAACGCCACCCAAGGGTAATTTTTCTAAATGCAAATATTGCCATTTGCTTTTCAAATTTCACTGCCATTAGCTTAATTTCATTCAATCCATAAAAATCTAACTCAATAATTACGTTTCTTAATGTAGATTGAGGAAGTAACTTGCCTTAGTATTTATCTGTTGGTAATTTGACTCCATTGAAGACCAATTCTATTCTCTTTCGATAAATATCTTCATCAAACTTTTGAACAAGCCCATAAACAAGTGCCAATCTCATTATTAAATCCTTATCATTTCCAAATATATCAAACACATCCAAAGTTGCTGAATTATTTGAAGCAGCAATTTGAAACATGAATTCCTTATCAAAACGAAACTCATCACTAAGATAGCTATTGTAAGGAATCATTTCGTATCCATATTGTTTGGTACACTCCATCATTACTTCTCTGTCCGTTGGAAATAGCTCATAACACAACTCATAATCAATGTAAGGATTGATAGATTGAGCAGCTGTCAAAATTAGCTCTCTATCATTTTTGAAAGACTTTGACAAATATTTCAAACAATTTCCATCAATTTTCAAAACTTCAATAATAAATTCTCTGTCCTTTTGAAGACCCTTACTAGCATGTGAAATGTTCGAGTAGCTGCCTTTAATGGCTGTGAGTACTAACTCCTTATCGTTCTTTAAATCATCAGAGGCGTGATAGAGATGTGTTCCTTTCTGAACTGCTTTCATCATGAAATCTCTATCAGCTCTCAATTCCTTTGGAGCTTTCAATTCATAAAGATAATCCAATGCTCGTAAGATAAATTGAGGATCTGATTTCAAACGAGGAGATGCATCTCTCATGTTACGGGTATGTTGTGCAATTGTCACCATGAAATCAAAATCATCTTTCAATGAATCACTAGCAAATGAAAGATATTTCTCATCTAGATAAACTGCTTGTAGCACGAAATCTCTGTCACTGCTGAAATGGTGTAAGTATTCATGAATTTGATCATCTAATCTGGTGATATTCCATTCTTTCAAAATATTAAAATTCTGGTGCACAATTTTGCTTGCAATTTCCTTGTCGATCTTACCAACTGGAGAGCTGTCAAGAATCTTCTTTCTGTAATTTAAAATTTCATTGAATAGCTCGGAATTATAGGAATCTTCAAGAAATGTACAATTTAAACCAAATGCTTTTGTATAGACTTGCTTTTCATTCTTGATATTTTCGTCTGCCTTTTCGAATATTTCCCAATTTTCTTTCAACATGTCCAAGATGAATTCTCTTTCTCTCTTGTTATTTTCATTCAATCTAGATCCATTATTCTCCAATGCTCCCAATATAACTTCTTTTACATTACAACATCTTTCCAATTTAATTGCCAAATATCCACCATTATGCTCTTTAACATATTTCAAAATCAAATCGTCAGAAACTTCTACTGTTGAATCCAAACTGAGTGCCTTTCTAATAACACCTAGCATTAATGATTCATCTCTTTGAAATTCCTCTGGCGCATATTTAATAGCATACCCGTATTGAGATACAGCATTCTCCACAATTTCTCTGTCCTTCAAAAATTCTCCATCTAGAAATTGCAACACTTTTCCATTCAATAAAGCAGCTTCCACTATAAACGATCTATCATTCTTGATTTCACCAGGAGCATATCTGATAGATCCTGGAATTTCCTTGACAGCTTCCAGAGCTAGTGATCTATCCTTCTTCAACTCATCAGACATGTAATAGAAAGTATGCTGGTTGACCTTCATTGATTCTCTCACTACCTCTCTGTCATTTCTCAATTCCACTCCAGCATAGAATAATCCATTTCCATTCTGTCTAATTGCTGCAATAACAATTTCTCTATCCGAATTAAATTTTTGATATTTCATCAAATCATTTCCATTTTTCTTGACAGCTTGCAAAACTAGCTCTCTAGTTTCTGGATTCGTATTGTAAATCATTGTTTTTTTAATATTCGAATGGTGATCAGCATATTTTTTAATACCACTCAATTTGTATTTCTGTAATTCGTCTGAACTTTCCAATAATAATTTCGGATAAATTGAGCTAACAAGATATGTGCTATAAAATTGATTGTTTCTATAATCGAGAGAAGCACAAATTTTTGCACATTTCTGAATGTATTCCTTGTCTTTAGAATATTCTATCGGAAGAAATTGTTTTTCTTTCAAACTAATTTCCTTGTTTAATTCCCACAATACGAAACCTTTCGTTTGTGATGAGAATTTGTTTTTTAATTGATGATACAATTCATTCTCTAGGAAATCTGTGAGTGTAATACAAACAACAGATTCAACTTTTGACATTTTTTTTAATTATTGCGAGTTCACTATTCGTTAACCTTAGCTTGAGTTTCGAATAACAAAAAGTTGTTTAAGACTGACACCTTCATTAATGCCAATGTCTTGCATTGGAATGAACTTTTATTTACAAAACATGAACCTGAAGAAGATTCTCAAAAATCAAGTTTCAAAAAAATACCTCCATGTCGTCTTGCCCACACAACCACCAATTTAACAATGATGAACTTTCAATAATTACCTCCTTCATGCACCCGTGTGTTCTTCTCATCAATATCCAACTTGTGTCCAAGAATTTTCAACTCGTCATTGAAACACATGAAAATTATTGGAAAATGTGTTGCGAAAAATATTTCAATTCGGGATTTTTCAAATGGGAAGAAGATTTGCCATTTCAAGTGGAAAAATGTGATGAATTTTCAAGTTTTCATTATAAATTATTTGTTGCATGGTCAAAATCCATTCCAAGAATTCTGAAAGTTGGAAGATTGCCTATTTTGTCGAATAACAATTGTGGATCTGAGCATGAAAGAAGTATATTCGAAAGATATGACCCAACAAGATATGCCACTAAACATTTGACTCAATTGGTTATTTTATTGAATGTATTTTCATTAACCAAATTTAGAAATAATTTTTACGGACATTTGGAAAATGTGAATTCATTTTATAGAGATTTTCAAAGTTATGATGATAAATCAGACGAAGAATCACTACTAGTAGATGTGAATTCTGAAATAATCTTTCATAATTTACCTTTTGGCGCCTTTTGCTTAATGATTCTCTCACCAAATCAGAGTGAAAAGATTAAATTAGTCGAAACGTTACTAATGAAACAGTTACCAGACGAAACTAAAGATGGTGCTGATTTAGTTCTCAGTGTTTCCAGTCCAAATCCAACAAATGTATCTGAAGAAGGAGTAGTTTCGTATTTCAATTCCATGACAAATTCCACAGACACGAGATGGACAGATGACAGAGATTATGGATGGGAGAGATCTTGGCTACCTTGTTCTGGAGCTGGATTTGTGACTATTTATTCATTTGAGGAGAAAAAAGAGTTGAAACAAGTTAGTATGGATCGAAATTATTTTTATCCTTAATTGAGTTTAGTTTAATTTCGAATAGGAGAAGAATTCATGAAAGAATGAATACTTTTCTGATGACACCAAGTTGTATAAAACAATTTTACAAAAAATCACTTTTTTTCTTTACAGATCTTTCGAACAATCTTTCGTTTACAATACTCATTGAAAAGGCAAGTCAAATGCTTTCTTTTTCTGTAAAGTTGACCATTCGCTTGTCTATCAATTTCTTCCACGTCACTCTCATCAACTCACCAATCATCAATTTCAATCCCACAACCATCGACCGTCAAAAGTCTCTTGTCAAGTTGAAATTATTTTTTTAAACACAACACAAAAAATTTACACAATAACAAAATGTCAAACCAAGTCGATCCAAAACTTGCCCTCAGATTCCAAGATCTCGTTGCTAAATCCATCGATGAACAATGTGAATTCTTCTTGAAGAGTTTCATCTTTGCTTTGGGTGATGATTGGCCAGAAGTTGTTAAACTTTCCACAACTTTTAAAAAGTATTTGGCTGATTCTAATAGAGAAGGTTCTCAAAATGAATTGGATGAAGGTAAGTGTTTAGTTTCTAATAATATTTTTAACACTTTCGAATATATTAAACTATTTGTAATGTGATGCTAAATAGCCCAAGCTGCCGATTTCTTACAAAAGAATGGTAAAACACGTACAGCCACCCAAAGACGTGATGAAATTCGTGATATTGACTTGGATTTTAACAAACTCATTGCTTTCATTGAATATTTATTACTCCACTACAAACATTTAATTCTCTCCGAATATTACAAGAGACACACTGAATTATCTGTACCAGCTGGTTACCTCGACAATCAATCCATTGGTATCACAGGAGTTGGTTATGCTCTCTTGGAAGAATTATTCGAAATGCCAGCAGGTTTATCCGAAGAATTAGAAAATGCCATTTCTGAATTTTATGCACAAAAACGTGCTCGTGAAAATCGTTTAAAAGATTTGGAAGAAAAATCAGATTTGGTTGGTGTTAAGGGTTTACAAGCAAAGAATGAATTGGCACAAATGCAATCTCAAGATCAAACTGAAATGAACAAATTAGAAATGACACTTAATGCTGCAAAGAGAAAGGCATTGAAAAATCCAAGTGGAGAACAATTGTTGGCACAAAAGAAGAAACAACAAGAAGATGAGGAAAAGAAGAAATTGGAAGAAGGTAGACTAAAGATGAAAGATAGAGCTTCATTGTGGGAAAAGAAATAAGCTTTCAGAAAGTTTAAAGAATTGTATATTAGAAAGATATATAATAAAATTGTTTGAATAGAATACAAACAAATTGTTAATGATGATTTTAAATGTTAAATTGTTAAATTGTGATTCGAATATTATTTAATAATAATAATAATGGGTGCTTACTGAAAATGGATGGCCGCGCTAATGGTAATGTCTCCTTCAATATATTTTAATGATGGGAAAAGATTCTATTCGAAAGGCAGTTTTCTGTTAAATAAAGCAACAGAAAACATAAAAAAACATAAGAAAGGCCATCAATGCAATCATCAAGGAGCACCAACATTTTTATGTTTTTCATCATCTTTATGATGGTATCAATTATTCGTGCAGATTATGTTATTCGAAACTTGGCATCCAACATGGAAATATCAAATTCTTGTCAAGTTAAAATTACTGAAGAATTAACTTATGTATTTTCGGGTACATCTGGAAACTATACTCAGTTATCAAGAAACATTCCCTTCACAATTGCTAATCAAATTTCTACACAACAAGTTTCGGTAGAAATATTAGAAATTAAAAATCAGACGAATTCGTTAAATTTGGACCTGATTAGCATTTCTTCCACAACATTGCAAATTGGATCTAGTGCTTATATCATTGTTTCTGCATTAACACCGAAAATTCAACTTTCTTCCGAACAATCGTATTTGGAAATTAGGTTAAAAAGACAATTTTTAGTGAGTGGACCAGTTAGAAAATATGATCAGGTATGTGTTGTTGTCTATTTCTATTTAAAATTAGTTATTTATCCTATTTACCAATTTTGAAATAATTTGTTGAAATTATTCGAATCATTAGGCTGTTGATACGAGTATTGTAAAACAATCATTTGAAGAATATGCTAAAATTGAACACTTGACTTGTAATTTTACCTTTACAAATGGATTAAATGGAAGTTCATTAAGTCCAGGTTTGACTTCTGGCGTTGTGAATGGAAATGTTGTGACATTTAGTGTGAGTGAAGTGAGTTCAACCTCAACTTTTGATCCATCTGTTAGATTTCCATCTATTTACGATTTTACAACATGTGTTCCAACAAATGATACATTTATTATTATTCTCGTTGTTGTGAGTGTGGTCATTATTTTGATAGGTGTTGGATGTGGATTATTTGCCAGTTTTTACAAAAAGATTCCAGTAATTAAGCGTTTAGCTAATGTCTTTGAGAGGAATAAGGACGAAGAGTCTGCTAGGATAGTTCAATAATAATCGTGTAATAATTTATAACTCATTGCCAATAGTTACCCAATAATCTCTTAAATTGTTTCTTCTTCCAAATATTTCCAAATACTTTCCATCAGGTACCATTTGCTCAATAAAATGATACAAATCTTCAGGTTTTTGAGATTGACCTCTTCTATCACTGAGAATGACATCACAGAGACTGGTCACTTTCTGTCGAGCAGCTTCCATCATTTCCTTTTCCCTCTCTGGAGTGGTATTCTTAATGGCAATGATACAATTTTCCTTAGCATGTTGCAAGTAATAGCCATGGCCTTTGGCTAGACGTCTGTGTTTCGTTTGTTTGACCCAGGTAATCTCATCTACAAATTTATATCCCCACTTTTCAATCATTTCCAAAGTTTTTACATACTTGGCATTGATCACCCACACAAACAGAAATCCACCATTCTTTTCCTGCAGTGATGAAATGTCCATACTCTGAATGTGCTTATCAGAGAGTGGTTTATAACTAATTGCAACACCTCTCAATGGATTTGAAGTTGCCAATTGCCAAGGTGGATCCATTAAGATGACATCAAATTGAGCCACTCTTGCCAATGCTTTCCAATTCATATTTCTCACATCGGTCCTTATTGGAACACAATGTTTTGGAATTGTTGATTCTGTTAACATGATTGGTTCCGATGGAAGTGCAGTAGAATCCAATTCTGAATCACCATCATTCAATGTGGATGACGATGAAAATTCTGCTGACCTTTTATCAACACTATTTGATGATTTACTCGATGATGATTTCTTACGTTTTTCCTTCTTTTTCTTTTCCTCTTCCTCAGCACAATGTTGTTCTTCCGATTCCTGATGTTGCAAAAGCATCAACAATACTGAAGATGGATATTTCAAATAGGGTGAAACTTCATCCTGATTATTCACAGATCCTTCCAGAGACATGGCCTTCCGAGAAGCTTCCCTCTCCAATTGTGCCTTTTTCAATTCTAAATCATAGATTTGTCTTCGTTTGACAAGAATTTGTTTTAAAACCTCCCAATCAACAGCTTGATGTTTTTTTACATGATGATTTGAAATTCTACGTATTATTCTTGATGATGATGATGAAGTAGAAGAGGAAGAATTAGATTGCTTTGTTTGTTGTTGTTGTTTTCTTGTTGATGATGATGATGCTGATGTAGTTAGTGATAGGGAAGGTTTTGATCGGGATGATGAAACTCTTGATTTTCTCTTGTTTTTTGAATTGTTTGATTCATCATCATCGGAGGATGAATATTCGGAAGCTGATGATGATTCTGAATAGTGTTTTTGTTGTGGTTCGTTTTCTTCATAGTCCTCGTCGTCAGATGATGAATGGCTGTGAATTATTTTTCTTCCCCTTCTCATCTTTTCATTTTTTTTGTAATGAGATTATGTTATTTCTGGAGATTGAAAATTTGAATGTGTATGAAAATAGAGAGTTCATCATTAAAAAGAAATTAAAAAGTGTTATTTGGAAAATAGAAAGAAAAATCGTGAAAGTTTAAAATTAATCCTCCCGTGCCGGGAATTGAACCCGGATCTCCTGGGTGAGAGCCAGGTATCTTAGCCATTGGACCACACGGGATTTCTGTAAGTTATCTAGAAATAAGGATATTATATAAATATGACATTAGCTCAATACCTTTAATTGCTGCATTTCAGCGTTGTAAACAAATCAATTAAAAAAAATGTCTAAACGTTCACATAATGAAACTCTCTCCGATTTTTCATTGGAAAATATGGAAAAGGCTAAAAAAACAAAAATTTCAAATGATCATTCCGAGATAATTCTCGATCGATTGGCGAGTGATGAATTAAATTACATGTTTAAATTTCTGACGTTTGGTGGATTGATAAATTATTCAATCACGTGCCAGAGAAATTATTCAATCATTCGTGATTGGATTTCGATCATGTATCCGATGGCTGTTGAATATGCAAAAAATCAACATGAACATTGGTTAATTGCAACAATATTGAGAATTTGCAAATCTGTGGTTATTGAACATGATGGATTTAATTTTGGATTATTCACTAAAATAGCCGAACAATATAGAGGAAATTTAAATCTTCTTTCTGAAAAATTGGAATTTAATTTCTTTAGTTCTGCTGAGGAAAAGATGTATTTCGAAATAGAGGTTAGAAATGTTGATTCCATTTATGAAAAAAGAAAAATTCCATTAGTTGTGTTGCAACCAGCTGTTGGATTTGATACATTTAGCAATGCAAATGAATTTGAGTCAACAATTGGGGAGAAACGAATAGTTAAGGAAACTGAAATTATAACAATTCCACTTGGTTTCTTTATGAAGAATTTAAAATTGAATTTCGAGCGCTTTTTCAGTGACATGTATTATGTGTTGAGATTTTGTTATTTGGTGGAGAATTTGGAGGTTTTATTTGGTCTATCTGCTTCAGATGACAACTATGAAGATGTCTATGAGTGTCCACTACTGACCTCGTTGAAAAAATTGAGAATTGTATCTAACTGCTTGTTGGATTATGAAACATCTCAAAAACATGTTATTGATATTCTCAAGGTGACACCTAATTTGGTGGATCTGGAAATAGTTTTTCATAACTATTGTGATACAAATATATTGATGCACATAACTAGAATGTGTCCTAATCTTGAAAAAATTTCTATTAGAATTGATCAACAATATGGATTTATTGGAGTTTCTATTAATGATGAAGGATTGTATGGATTCTTGAAGGCTCTTCCTAAATTAAAACATTTGGACCTTGGTGTTTGTCATCATATATCTGGAGATTTCTACTCGAGAATAGGTGAATTTACTCAGATTGAGTATTTTAGAGCGGAACGAAGGATTAGTAGATACAGACAAGTCGATGATTTCAAGTTTGGTGGTGGAATGTTATCAAACCTTTATCATTTGGAAATTGGAAACTTCTTTTTTTCTACAGAGAAGATACAATCACTATTGGAAAGCTTGAAGCTAATGGCTCCTAAACTAGCTAGATCCAATTTACAAGACCACCACTCATTGGTTATTGATTCGGCAACTGTAAAAGATTATTGATAGGGAGAAGTACAGCTGAGTGTTGAAATTATTGGTTTATTCTTCCTCTTTCAGAAGAGTATCAAATTGATCCATATTTTGCTCGAACCATTTTCTCTCCTCAGCAAGGAAGTCCCGTAACTGTTGTTCCTTTTGTGATTTAACAGATGCTGCTCTCTTTCTGGCGAGTACCTTTCTGAAAAATTGTTGAACCTTAATAACAGCTTGGACAACATGTGGATCAATTTCAAGTTTCTCTTCCATGAGTTTCTTTTCCTCGTCCTTTTTTTCTGTCAATGTGGTGACAACCTCCGCAACAATTTCCTCTGCCTTTTTGGTTTTCTTTGCTGAAGGTACCTTCTTTGGTTTTGGAGCAGATTTTGGTTTAACCTTCTGTTGAGGAGGTGTATCTGTATTTACATTATTACTAGTATTGTTGAGTGACATATTTCCCACTGTATTTGATGTTTGAATTTGTCTCTTCTTTACTGGTGGCAAAACAACTCTGGAGGCAGTACCACTCTTTGTGGGAGTCTTCTTCTTAACTGAAGATGATATTCCTGTTTCATTTCTTGCAGCAATAATTGTGTTTTTCAGTGAAGATTTGAGTAAAAACTTGTCAGTGTCTGAAACTGTGCTCTCAGCAGCTGATCTGGTTGATTGACTGCTTTGAGTGGTCTTTCTCAAGAACTCATCTTCATCTTCTTCAGTTAGAATATTGAGATCTTTAAATCCTTCCATTTTACTAAGGAATGGTAAAAGTTCCACTAGCTTTTTCTTCACCTCCACAACTGTTGTGAGCTGTTGCAAAATTTGTTCTGGTTCCAAAGAAGGCCTCAGGAGAATATTACCTGCATATGCAGATGCTGTCTCTCCCATTCTCTTTGCGTATTTAAGGGTTTTTGCCAGAGATGGAATTACATTATTTTCCAAAACACTGAATATTGGTTTTGCAATATCAAGGGCCTTGGTACAAAGTTTCACTGCCTTTGTATAGGATTGGAAATGTGCTTTACAGAGAGAAAAGTTGTGATAGGCTACTATTTTCATGATAAATGTCCAATTATCAATGTAGACGTCTTGCACTTTTGGTTGAACCAATTCTTCCTCGACACTCTTTGATAAATCTTGAGGTGTTTGAGAACCTGTCCAAATAAGAGACAGCTTAAAGTGTCCCGAACCAGTCATGAATTCCTTGCCTTTGTGATATTTGAGATACCGAATGATGATGAGGCAATCAACAAGGACTACTTGAGCATCTGCATAATTCTTCATCAGACACAATACAGTAGCTACATTCAAGTAGAAGAAGGAGGAATATTCGGAATTTCCATAATGTGAAAACTTCTTCAATGCAATTTTTGCAAAATTAAGAGATGAATTATACTTTTTTCTCCTCATCATGAGACTCGAAATGTTGAAAGCCAAAACTGCCTTCATAAAATTTAGCTGTTCCTTTTCTTCTTTTAGCTTTTTAGACCTAGATCCAGTTGCAGATGTTGCTCTGGAAGTACTATTAGAGGAGGAGGCTCTAGAGGCGCTCTGTATTTTTGATCTCTTTACAATTTTCTTCAAGTTTTCATTTACAATATCGAATGTGTTCAGGAGAACATCCACAGCTGTTGAAATATTTCCCTTATTTGTATATTCAAAGGCAAGGTTGCAACCAATAATTACATAAATTTTGAGAGTAAGACCATTGAATGTGAGGCCATTGATTGCCTCCGAGCTTGATGATGTTTGGTCTCGAGTAGATTCTTCTTGAGATGTTTGTTTCAACGAGGCCTTCTTGATGAGATACTTTTCAAAGAACGAGAGAGCATCACCAAAATTATTCTAAGAGTATAAATGTTAAGAATTATTATCTACTCTCCGAACTTACCAATATCATACTCTGATGAGATCTATCTCTCAGCTCATTAAGAGTGTATTGCTTCTTCTTTCCTCTCTTTACATTGAACAGCGAATCATCACTGTGAGGTGTGGTCGAATCAAGGGCACGAGATGATTCATCAATCGATTCGTCTTCAGTCTTTAAGATTCCCCACAAATCATCCTTTGCTTCAATTTTGAAGAGAGCAGGAACCCACAATGGTTCTAAAAAGTCAGGTAATTGAGGATTTTGAAGGTTAGGCATTCCGAATAATTTGAATAATATTGTTCTATAATATTTCCTCAATGATGATCATTAAACCTTTCAGCAGTAAAAAAACCACTACTACTCGCAATATTTAATAAGGAATGATGGCACTAAGCAAAAACAACAAGTGAGCACTTGTTAGGTCGTAAACTTTTTTTTTACTCTTAAGAAATCCTATGAAAGAGAGCAGCTGAACAATAAACAACTTGTTTTTCTCTTTTTTTTGATGTTGCTTGATGGTCTGTTACGCACAACTAGGTGAAGAACATGTTGTCAAGCAACAATAATAATAAACTTTTCAACTACGGTTAGAGCGCAAAAAAACTGAACAACACCTCTCCGTAAAATTCAATGAGCACTTGCTCTCCTGTGCTTAATAAGCAAACGATGTGTTGTGGAGAGGGGTCAAAGGCTCAAAGGGAAATTTTATTTTTGGAAAATCTTAGGAGTAGTATTGCCTTTTTGGGAAGGTTAAATATCTTATTAAATTAATTGCAGTGAGGACTTTTGGGATTTTCCCTTAATAATTTGATTATATAGATATGATGTAATTAGAAGGAAACTCCAGAAGAAACGTTAGAAAGAAAGAAAATAGCTACGGAGAATGCAATATGAAATAAATCAATATTAGTAAAAGGAGTGAAATTCACTGAATCTAACAAGTGTTTGGTTAGAATCATATCTGCAATAGACATGGCAACAATGCAATAGATTAAATTCTTACTCTTGTAAATGGCAGTAGATCTGTTGGATACGAACCATCCATAAAGGGCTAGGAGAATACTAATGGACATGCCAACCATTACAATAATTTCATCTTTAATTCCAAAGTTGACCAATAGGAATCCTCTATTCAAACTCAACAAGGCAATCAGACCCAACATTATTCCCATAATGTAATTTCCAACTTGTCTTGAAATGCTAATTGGAAAACAGTCCAATGATTGAAAAACTCCAAGAGGCAACATCATGGACATGATATAATGCCCAACAATTTCACTCATTCCTTGATGATAAGAAGCCAAATGATCATTTAGATGAGCAAACTTGACAATACCCAACACGGAAGCACTTGCCAATGATCCGAATAGAATGATAAATGCATGAAAATTCTTTGGTTTGTATTGCAATGTTTTTTGAATGGCGAAGAGACAACTCGATATGAAAAGAACTTCACAGAGCACTGTAATGAGAATGGAGAGATTTAGAGGCGCCATTTTTTTGTATTTTGTATTAATAGTGTTTAGTATTTTCGTTCCTGTTTTGGGCCACCATTACAAAATGTATTACTCAACCAGATATAGATCCATTACAAAAGATATTTACTTTTTGAGAGTATGAGACCTTGTTTGACTCTTCTTCTCAGCGTGTTGCATGGCCTCCAACATTGCTGTTACTCCAGTAGGATATTTCATAGAGAGGTATCTGTAAGCTAATTGAATATTGTAAGTATCTTTGAACTCTCCATGTAAACAATAATCAACAAAAAATTCAGTAAACTTCCAATGAAATAATTGAGATTCCATCTCTGTTTCACCAAGTGTCTGTCCATGGGTTGTGAGTATTTCAAACATTTCGCCCACAAGTGATGGATCAGTTGTTGGATTCAATTTCAACTCGAACAATTGATCCACCATTCTCTTGTGGTTTTTTCCATATAAATCCTTGGCCATTTGTAACTCTGGGACAAGTTTAATTTTCCTCCAACTATTAAAAAAACAATCCTCTAACTCTTTTGTTTCAAAATTCAAACGAGATGAGCTCTGTTCAATTGATTTTAGTAACTTGTAGGGTATTGGTTCAAGTAGTTGAACTGTTGGATCATTGAAAATGAATAATATACGTTCCAGAGCTCTTTGGCGTATACTCAAATCAAGTGGCTCACAAGTAGTAATGTAATCGGTCAATATTTCAATGTAGTATTCTTTACAACCAAGTGAGTAGAATTTTTCGTGTGTCAACTTGTCAAAAATAACTGGATCAAACCACTTCAAACCTTTGCAAACCAATTCATAGATTGGTAAGTGGTCGAATAGGTTATCATTTTTCAATAGATTCACAACCAATTTAATGGAATACTCTCTCCTAATAGTGCAAGACATGAAACACCTTACAATCAGAATGTAATCATTTGATCTTTTCAGTTTGGATTTTGGATTTTTCAATAATTCAACCAACAAGTCATAACAACTATTCCAATTATAATTCTCCCTACATTTTCTTTCCATAATTTTGATAGCTCTGTCATAAAAAGATTCAACAGTAATGATTTTAGGACATGAGACCCTAAAGGCTGCATGTTTGATAAAGAAAATTTCCACTTCATTCTTGAATTCCTCCTCCAAATATTTAAATCTTGTCTCAAAGGCCAATCCAACAAGATTACACACAATGGTTTTCTCGTAATCAAGCCCAACCTCAAATGTGGCTCCATCCTCCTTCCAACAAAGAATTTGAAACAGTTTCGTTAAAGTCTTTTGGAATGAAAGTTTCATCTCTTCACCTCTGTTAAGTCTCAAAAATCCAAAAGCAACTAAATATTTCTGAATAAAAAATCGTTTCTTTCCTTCACTCATCATAATATACAAATATTGATTGAAATCTCCGTTAATTCTCTTTTTGAAATTGAGAAATAATTGTGGATTATTAGAAACTGCCTTCGTACTGAACGAAGAACTTTCAACAAATGCAGAATTAGATAAAGTTTCAAATTCCAAACAAGAAGCCCACAAATTACAATAAATCCGTGAACATTCCTCTCCAGTTGTAGTTTCATCAGTCATTCCAATAAATCCATCTCGTTTTGAAATTTGCCTCCAAAATAATTCTTCATCATCAAGCAAACTCCAATAACAAAATTTGCAACTCTTGACAAGTTTAAATATTTCCCAAATTTCCAAATAATTTAAGCATAAATTGAATAGAATATCGTGAGAGGGCAATTTTTGTAAATTAACTTGGGAGAAATCTGGTCGAATCTTGCTGAAAGAAACTGGCATTGTTAATCTCCAAATTCTTTCTTTAAAATTATTAGGTGAAATATCATCCGAATATTCCAAAGCAACTTCTCTCAAGCTTTTCAGAGATTTATCCTTCACCATTTTTTTAATAGTTGTTTTTTTAATAAAAATATTCGAAACAGCACATCTCTATATGCATAGTTCACCTCAAACAATCTCCATGTTTCAAAGATCCATAGACAACTCACTTATCTTAACATATGTTGTAAAAAGGCTCACATTCTATTGGAGTTCAAAGTACACTTTACAATATTTTGTATTTCCTTAATTTCCACCGACCAACACCGAAATGAATTCTTTTTGTATTCCTCACCAGCAACAATAAAAAAAAATGATTTTCTACCTCTTACCAACAAGTTTGCTCTCCCAAAAATTGAAATGGGATGATTTTAAGGAGGGTCAAATTGATTTTATTCAGAGTTTTCCATTCCAATATCAGAATGAAGAGGTGAGAGTTTGTTGTTCGGAGCCTTTTGGAAAGAAGATTGTCGATGTAAACGTGAAAAAGATGATAAGGGAGTATAATATTCCAGCACTGAGGGAAATTGGATGTATTGTATCGTCATTGTCCACATTGTGGGTGATGGATCGTTGGAGTAGAAAAATTTATACCATAACTGATGATGAACAACCAAAAGAGATGGAAATTGGGAAGAAATTTAATGAGGCATTGAGAGCTGTTGAAATTGCAACCTATACTGATCATGCTATCATCTTGATGGAAGATGTAAAAACTGGAGAAACATATTTATTCGGACATGGATCTAAGGAACTTCAAAGGTTTAAGGATGATGCTGATTTAAGTCAACCTATTTTCATTCCTCACAAAGAATTGAAACCTTCGAGTAGAATTACTCACATTTCATGCTGTTTCTCTTACAGTGTTTGTGTGATTGATAATAGAGATATTCACATTTGTGGTCAGAATTGGAATTCATCAAGTTCAAATGCCACTCCTCACAATTGGTCTAATTTAGTGTACAGATGCCCTGAGGATGTTATTTCTCTCAAATCAGGAAATTTCTTCTTCATAGCTGTATTGAAAGATGGTAGAATTGTTTCAGGTGGATCGAACGGTTATAATGAGACGACTCAACCAAGAACAGTGAAAGATGTTTGTGTAAATGATAATTTGGGATTTCCAGTGGTATCAGTAGGTCTTGGTTCCTGTCTTTCCGTACTGAAATCAAAATCTGGAAATTATCATATATTTGGAAGAACTAAATCAAAATACGGTACTGAAAGACAGTTGAAAGAAAGTCTATGTGTGGAAGAGGATCGATCCAGAACTATTCCATACGATGAAGTATTCGTAGAAAGAGATGTTGAAGTAATGCACTACAAGGACAATTCAATGCTAATGATCATGAATGACTCTCCATGTTTAATTAGATACTCCCAAATACCAACACCAAATTGCCAATTCCAAGTTCTTCCTCAGGGAATTGTATTTTATTCTAAGGGAGCCCAAGTCTTGCAACAATTATTGCATTCTGCTCTCAATCGTCCAAAAAGTAGATTTATTTCTGACATTTCCATTACTGTGACATGTTGAGATATCTTTGCATTACGCCTTCAATTCTGCATACTTGAATAAGATTGTAACAAACTTTAATTAGCATGCAGAAAAAATTGTTTAGAAGATGATAAGAGGGAAAACTCTTTCACTTCCTGTTCGGACTTTCAAATCATCAACATGCATCCCTCTCAGATATTATCATCACTCCTCTCACCAATTAAATACTACCAATAATAATATCAATAACAATCAATTTATTGAAAATAATAACAATAGTAATGGATTCTTCTCATGTTACTCATCAGCAAAATTCACTCTTCCCACTCATCACACACTTAAAGCAAAATGGATTCAAGTACCAAAGGCACTCTCCGAATCTAATGCTGTTTTAAAGACTGAAATTAAAGTACCAGATCCCATTCCGATAGATTTAGTTAAACAAGTTCATGATCATGATTTTGTGGATAAATTTCTTGATGGTACCATCTCTCCGAAAGATATGAAGAGAATTGGATTTGGAGAATGGAATGAAGCAGTCAGAAATAGAGTTATTCACACAATTGGAGCTACTTGTAAGTTTTTCTGTATTTATGGATTGTTGTGAATGAGTAATTTCACATTTATATTATCAATGGTTATATTAATTTTACAGTATGTGCCACTAAGGATGCACTCAATTTAAACGAATCTAGGAGAAGTTCCAATTTAGCAGGTGGAGGACATCACAGTTTTTATGATAGAGGATCTGGCTATTGTATTTGGAATGATATTGTTATAGCAGGTCAATATTTAATTAATTCTGGAGCTATTGGAGAGGGAAGGAAATATTTGGTAATTGATTTGGATGTTCACCAAGGAGATGGTACTTCTAATTTATGTAGATTATTGCATTCAGGAAAATCTTTCACATTCTCCATGCATTGTAAACATAATTTTCCAATTCATAAGGAAAAAAGTGATTGGGATGTAGAATTAGAAGATAATATGAAAGACGAGACCTATTTGAGAATTCTTTCTGATTGTTTGGATACTCTCGAACAGGAACATAGGGGAAAGATTGATTTCATCTTTTTCCAATCTGGTGTGGATGTTTTACAAGGTGATAGATTGGGAAGATTGTCGCTTTCCCTCGAGGGAGTTCTCAAAAGAGATCAAATGGTTGCAGAATTTGCCGAGAGAATGGCTCTCCATGATCCACTATTTCACACTGATACGAATAGGGCAATTACCATTCCATTGGTTAGTATGATGGGAGGTGGGTATATCACTGAGAAGGAAAATACAATTGATAGAGTTTGTAGTGCCCATTCGAATACTGTAAGAACATTGAGAAACTATTGGACATTGAAGGAAAATTCAACACGACTCGAGTTGAATGATTCAAATCCCAAAGAGCTCCCAGGGCGGCTGAAAGGTTGGACAAGAGAAATGGATGAACAAACTCAAATTTATTGAGCTATTTACAACCATTAGTACAGTTATTTAAAAAGGGATAGCCAACCAATCAGCACAAAAACGAAAGGTTTAGGATTTTATTATTGGAATCAAAATCTCTAGATGTTTTTCACATCAGGATGTAAAAACAGTATTGTAAAACAATCAAATACTCTATTTTAGTTCAACAATTGTTAGCCTGTCTATTTATCTTCCAATTCATTTCCACTCCAAAATCAATTTTCAGTTTTTTCGATAAACTTCAACTTACAACTTCTTCCAATAAAAAACCTTCAAATAATACAGTAGATAGACAAGAAATGGTCATTGACAATCATCCTCATGATGATTCCCTCGCAAAGAATAAACTATTGAGTGAGCCATCATTGCCAAGCAATAATCCAACACCGAATAGTTATTATGCCAACTCATCGGATCCATACTATTTACATCAACAACATAATAGCAGTTTGGAAAATGTATGTTTTTTAATATTTGTATGATGGACGATATTAACTAATATTATTTTGTTGTTAGGTTTCTCTGCACCATCATCACGATGATTCAGAGGACAAGATTTGTCGTTGTTGTCATGGAGTTTTAACTGCCAATGATGATTATATTGCTCCGTGCAAATGTACAGGATCGATGAAATTTGTTCATCGTTATTGTTTGGTAAGTGTTTATTCATCTAATAATTAATAATTCAAATATATTTAATTTTGTATGATGATAATATATATTTAAATAATCAATAACAAATCAACAATGTAAAATTAATGATGATAATACTAATTAATTAATAATAATAATAATAACAGGATCAATGGAGATCTGTGAGTCCAAAGGCTTCCTCTTTCTATGCTTGTGATATTTGCTCACATACATATGATATTAAAGATGTGGATGAGAATGGCAGAGTTCTCGATGGAACAGAAGTAGTAGGGAAGGACGGATGTTGTGGATACAAACCAAAGACTGTGGCAAAGTTTGGAGCTTTGGTAACTGTCGATTTTGCTATCATTCTTGCTGTTTGGCAAGTTTTAGTTTTGGCTTGTGCTGGATTCTTTGCATTGTGTGATTATGATTATGGATTGAGAGCTAAATTATTCGGAACTGAAATGAATATCTATCTGGTTTCATATATGTGAGTTTTAATTTATATTCATTTCACTAATATATTAATGATGATGATAATTGTATTATTAATGATGTGAAATATCAAATAGTTGTGGATTGGTCATGTTCTTCTTCTTTTTAGGATTGTTTGGATTATGTTGTAGTGGTATCATTCTTTTGAATAAGATGATTAATGGAACATTCTTTGGAAATTGTTGTACTACAGAAGAGTTCTATACCTATGATACTTATCCTTACTATTCAAGACCTTACTCAACCTATGCTTGCTCCGATATGTTCTTCTGGTATTGCTTCTGGTCATCACTTTATGGTCGTCCTAATTATGGAGGTGGTGGTAGTTGCTGCTATTTAGGATGCATGAATTGTCAAGGTGGATATGGTGGTGGAGGAGATTGTGGAAATTGTGATATGGGAGGATGTGGTGGTGGAGATTGCAAAGGAGAAGGTGTTTTGATTATTCTCGTTGTCATTGTTCTTGCAGTTGCCATTGTTGGATTGTTGTTTGGTGTCATTCTTATGGGATTGTTGGGTTATAGAATCTTCTCGAGAAGATTTTCAGTTTTGAAGAGAAAGGATCAAACCAAATATCAACAAATTCAAAATTACTGGCCTGCTGATCAATTGTAAATAATGTTCATTTGTAAATTTTACAAAGATTAAAATAATAATATACCTTAATATCAATACAATTGTAATTGTTCAATGAAAATTGATGAAACAATCATCTGCAACTATTTTGTAAGCCAACAAGCAAAGATCATTTGAGGATTGATTACATCACCATCATTTCCATTAAAGGCCACAGAGGACTCAACCAATAATCCTCCGCATCTATTCCAATACTTGCATCAATTTTCAAACACTTGAAACACTTTATTAATTATTTATTAATTTATTAATATTGAAAAAAATGTTCAGATTGCTCTTTTCCTGTTGTCGGACCATTTTTCTAACCATCTTTTTGATCATTGCAGCATTGATTGGTTATATTGCTTTTTATCCATTCCCAACTCTTGATCAATTGAGTAAAGATTGGCCTATTCAAACTCTTGAAGAATACCATCAAAAGATGGGTCCAATCATGAAAGCCAATGGTGTTACCATGAATTTCCCACCTAAATTGGCTAGCTTTGTCAAGATTTCACTTTCGAATGGAATTGTTTTTAATGCTTTGGAAGGAGGAAGAAAGGAAGGAGATGCCAATCAGAAATTGTTGATTTTTATGCATGGCTATCCAGAGAGTGCCTTGCTTTGTTATGGAAGGTATTTGGACCATTTCATTCAACAAGGATATTGGGTAATTGCACCTGATATGAGGTTTGTTTTATTGTTTATTGAATAATTTTTGTAATTGATCAAATATTTATTACAATTTATTACAATTTAAATAGAGGATACAATACAAGTTCAAAGCCAGTTCCTGAAGGAGTCGATTTGAAACAAATCAATAATGGTCTACCATCTGAATTGACCTTTGAATCTTTAAAGAAATATCTCCAAGATCTTAATGGAATTGCCAATGAATATATTGATGTTAAATTGGCAAAGGATTATCAACTCCTTGTTACTGAATATGCAAAGAGAACAAAGGCAATTTTCATTTCGCACGATTGGGGAGCAGCCACATTAACTTATACAATGAGGTAAGTTGTATCAGAAACTTTTTCATCTTGAATTTCCAATTTAAAAAGAGAATATCCTGAAATTATTGAAAAGGCAGTTCTTGGAGTAGCCATCAGAGCTAATCAAGGAAAGTACATTAAGGAAAACTTTGGACCATTCCTAACTCAAGTGTACAAGAGTTGGTATGTCTTTTTCCTTCAAGCTCTTGGATTGAGTGACTACCTTTTTAGGAAGAATGATTTTGCATTCTTATTGAACTTTGGAGTTTTTGACGAAGAAGGTCGTAAAGGAAGATTAAGTGCTGAAGAGGCAAAATTCTGGTTGCAAAATATCAGATCCAGCTTTACCACAGCAACCTCATTCTACAGAGGAGCTTTCCGTTCTCAATCTAAACGTAGTTTCGATAAGGAAAAGGTGAATGTCCCTGTATTGTTCTTACATGCTGAGAATGATAGATATTTGACTGAGGAAACTTCACAATTTGCATTGAGAGAAGCATTGACTGAGGAAGCTCAAAAGAAATCAAAGGTTTTCATTGTGAAAGAAAGCTCACATTGGGTCCAATTTTATGGAGAAAAGTTCATTAAGGAGATTGATGAGTTTATTAGAAAATAAATAAAAATAAAGATCCATGACCATTATTGTGTTAGATAGAATATTGTAAGTATGTTTGGAATATTTGAAATACGAATCTGTGGATTCGAATAAGTTGAAGAGAGATTCGGTGAATTATTGGATCGAAGGCAGGTATTCTTTCCTTTCTGAGATTTTGCACATACTCTTTGGTTAAGTGATGAATTTAATTGTCATTGTATTAGAGATAGATCTTTCGTCTACTTTCAAAAGAAAACAAAATGACACAAACCTCGCCCAAAGGTGCTTCTTCACCTTCTCTGCTATTCATCACCAAACCATCATCACCTACAAAACAACGATCCTTTGATACCCGAAACTTTTCGAAACCCAACAATATTCTAAACGAATACAAATTTCAACTCCCGCTAGGAGAACTACAAACCATCATTCTATCAAACTTTCTAAAGGATGTTTCCCACTCATTCACCCTTCCATTTGATGATTTTCTCGATCGAGGTTTTCAAGATTCGTTCGTCCAACTTTTTCATGAATTTCTCGAACTTGAGCAAAATGTTATGACTTTGAAGTTTATCTTTAAATTGGATGAATTCAAATTGCTGAAATCTGCAAAGAATAGATTTAAATTAGGACACGAATTGGTTGATATTTATGTAAAGGATTGTTCTGCAAATCAACTAAACTTGCCGAATCATGTGAAGGAAAATTTTATGAAAGAATTTGCCAAGTGTTCGATTAAGGAAACACCAGTTACGATATTTGATCCGATTTTTTCACATATTCACTATAGTTTGGGAACTGATAATTATATGAGATTTGTTGGAAGTGATCTGTATGCAAAATTTGTGTTAGATCAATCGGCAATGGAATTTAGAAAGGTTTCGAAAATTTCAATCAATCAAGTTTGTGACTTTTTAGAACGATTTTATATTCAGATGGGCTGTAGAAAGATGTCTGATAATTTATCATTGTCAGACAAGTTGGTGCAAGCTATTCAAGATCGAGAATCGAATCAGGTTTCGAATGAAAGTTTCGAAATTGAGGGAGCTAAAGTTTGTTCATCACCAAAATCGAGCAGAGCTTTTTCACCAAATTCAGAAGATACAGAATCTTACCCATATGATGGAGACTCAGATTTTAAATCTTCACTTCATGTAATGCCTTCTTCATCCAAAGTGTTTGAGGTATTAGAAAGTGTAATGTTAGACGGAAGTGGAATAGTCCAAGATAAGCACTATACACTTTTTAAAATGCTTCACCAAGATGAAGGTATTTGGCATCAATCTGGAGTGAATGGAGAAACCACTTCGTACTATACCGAACTTAATTTGAAACATTACAATTCAGATTCGAAACGAAAGTTAAAAAAGGAAAAATTCAAGATTTTCAAAGAAACTGGTATTGTGAAAGCATCCACAGATGAAGTTATCCGAATCATGTTTGATTCCTACTTTTCAAAAGAAGCAGTTGAGGAAACTTCGCACATTGATTATGTTCAGGGAGATATCTATTCCTGTATTATTAGTCAATTGTGTGTAAAGAAGAATTTCCCACTCACTTCCAGATATTTCCATGTTGGTCTCTCAGCAAGAGATGAAACTCTTCACGAATGGCACATTGGAAAGGAAAATAAGAATCAAGAAACCTTTAGTTCTATTTGCAATTCGAAACAATCAAGTTATTGGATAGCCAGACTTCCAATTCACAACTCCAAATTTCAACCACCAAAAGGACACACCAAGGGGTCTCTATTTGGAGGGTCTTACATTGAGAGGATTTCAAATACCGAGTGCAGATACTCCATGATGATTTATTTTGATATGAACAGCTTTCTTCCACTCACCATGTGGAAATCCAATAAGAATTCAAAATCTGATTTGATTTCCAACTTTAATGAACTCGTTAGGGAACGTAGAGAACAAAGCACCGATTCAATCGACTCCCAAACAATTAATACCATTATTGATTATCGGAAAAACATTGGAAATTTATATGGATTTACTTTGAATTAATTATTTAACAATATTGTTAAATAAATTGTTGTGGATTATAGTTTTATGAAACAGTCCTTAATAGAATAAAAAAAATGCAAAAGCAACCTCCTGCAGCCACTCCTTCACAACCCGAACAATCAACCACCCAAGAAAGTACCTTAGAGGACAGTACTAATAGCCATAAGAGAAAATTGATCGCTGCTTTTTCTTCTTCATCAAAGAAAACCAAGCCAAATTATTTGTTGTTGTTGGAAAACTTAAAGTACATTAAACATGAGGAGGTATTGCAAATTCTGATGGAAGAATTGGCCCTTGATGATAATGATATTCAATCAGTGAAAAAAGATAAAATTAATGATATCTATCCACTAGGTGATGCTCTTCGTGGATTGCATTTAGAAGCGGCCATTGATGAATATACAACAGCCATCAAATCATCATATACTCCATTAGAGGCTAAACAAGTAATGGTAGATTATCTGATGAAATCTAATAAGGTAACTTGTGAAGTAATGGCAATTATGATTGCTGGTTGGTTGATAAAAACCTTTGTAGATACTAAGGTAATAGAATTACTTCAACTACCTTCATCAGTTAACGTTGTAGATTATTATGACAAGTGCTATTTAGAATATTTAACAAGAAATAACATTATACCACCAACTATTAGTATTGATGATTTGAATCATTGTATTAGAAATTGTACAATTGAAATTGGAACTATTATGAAAAAGAAATACGATGGGCATATAGAATTACCTTCATTTAAAAGGAATCTCAGTAACGAATTAGCGTTTCATTTATTTCCACATTTACCAAGTCTTCAAGTCAGTGAAGAGAATGATAAAATTATTGAAAACAATATTGAAAATTCAAAGTTACCAGTTATAATAATATCACCTAGTGGAATGGGAAAAACAGGTCTAATTATCAGATCACTTTCAAGATATCCAGGTATTTATATATGTGGAGCACATGAAGCCGAATTTGTTAATGCAAATGCTCAAGATAAAGGCTCAACAACATTTCTGACATATATTAAAAAGACTCAAGATAGATTTGTTACAATTCGACAATTATGTCAATTATTGTTAATTACAAAAATGTTACATATTTTATTAATTTTAAAAAGTGTCACACAACAACAAATTGATTGTTTTGAGGGTTGTTTACTCTCCTTAATTTCATTCAATCAATGTAATGGTAATACCAAAATAGAGGGAAATATATTTGATATCTTGGTTTCTAAAAATTATCATTATTGTGATATTGCAGTATTACGTAAAGTTTGTAAAGATCTAATGTCAACCATATTGGTTAATTTAAAAGAAGTCAAGATCAACTCAGAAAAGTTTATTATTTGTGTTGATGAAGCAAATTTATTTGAAGCGTAAGTTGCAGCAAATTATACATTGAAAATGTTTCAGATCTTCTCAAAGATTTTTTTCTATTAACCCACGTCATTGTGGTATATTGAGTGTCTTGCAACTGAAATTAATATTGTTGCATCATCAGCTTCCCTGTTTGCAGGTACATCATTTGATATAGATATCACTTCCATGATTCGTTCAGGTATGGCAAAAACAGAATTATCTCAAGAATGTTGTAAATTATACAGTTTTCAATATTTAAATATGGAACAATTTATTCATTTCATGCTTGTGCATAATGTTAAATTTGGTATCGATGAATTGAATGAGTGTAAAGCATGGTTTCCAATGAGAAGAAGACAGGCTCTTTATATTTTACATCTGATATGATGGATCAAAAAAAGGATGTAACAGGAGCATTTATGAATTCAGAAACAAAAATGAAAGAATACATTAAAAGCAAATGTAAATCATTCGAAGAACGTATGGAAAAGTCTAGACAGATTTACATGGAATCATTTAAATTAGTATTAATGAAATATATCATGCACCACAAGTTTCCAGAAATATTGGGATCAACATTTATTGTAAAAGATGGACAAGTTGCTAAAAATTTAGTAATGTCAGGAATAACCGGTCCTTCCAGTGATAACGAGCTACAATTCTATGCTGTTGATGCACTTGGATATGGTTTTTGTGTTCAATATTTAAGTAATATGAACTTTCCATATTCAGATACTCCTCAAACCATTAGTTCCCAATTATTAACACTTTCTGATAGAGAAGAAATTATGGAACCAGTAATTGGTATTGCCTTGACATCGCTTGATATTACCTTAAAAAGTATGATAGTTTCTACGAAATACGTATTGCAACCTGATGTCATACCAATATTGGATTGCAAGGTTAGATGTAAAAGATTATTCAATTCATCAAGTTTTTATGATTATTGTAAAGATAATAATTGGATTGATAGTGAATCAGATAAATATTCAGGTGAACAATTATTCTTTCGGTTTATTAAAAAAGAAGATTATCAAAAGATAGATCAAATAGCATTGTTTCCATCAGATCATAATCATACAGATATTTATTTATTCTATTTAGCCAATTATACTCCAGTTCATTTTCGAATAAGTATAAAAGCACTTACTGGAAATGATTTAGATATTGGATATAAATCATTGGCTCCTGAACTAATGTATTTAAACGAATATAACACTATAGATTTAGAAACAATAACTTTATTAAGAAAGAATGACACACCTACAAGTGTCCTTAATAATTTTATTAATAATTTTAGCAAAGGTATTGAAGTTACAAAAGCTAAACAAGAATTGAAAATACAAATTGGCAATGGATCAAGTGATGAAAACCAATCAACCACTGTGAATGAAATTGAGTCTAATATCAACGAAAATGATAATAGTGTAGAATCCACTTTCAATGAATTGGAATCGATTAAAGAGCTTGATACAGACAGTGAATTTGACTTGTTTGTGAAAAATATTAAAGAAGCCAATAATAGCAAGCTTAATGAATGGTGGGAAAGCTCAAGATGTCAAGTATGGGAGTCAATTAAAAAAGGTGTTTCCCTTAATGTAATAATTCGCTTACATCCAAATAAGGAGGTGGAAAGATTATCAAGAAATAAGTACTCAAACATCATTTGTATTGGAAAACAGTCTTTTTCAACTTTATTTCCTTATCTTTCAAATAGTGTTGAAACTTTTTTACAAAACCAACGAATCAACACTTCAAAACCACTCCTTTAACAAAGAAAAGATTGCCTACCAATATAGTTCTATCAAAACTGCAAGCTCTGCAAAGATTCCACAAGATTCCACACAGAAAAAATTGCGAATATTTTATCCCGCATGTTGTCTGCATTACTATTTTATTAGTACTGCTGATGAAGACAGGAATTTATCATCTTTGGATACTTTTCTTCATCCTATTAGAATTGTTGAAGAACTTCCAGAACGTGAGGAAGTTGAAAAGTACTATAACTAAATGATTCCTAATTACATTTCTCCTGTTTTCTATGAAATTTGTTTAATTGTGATGAATCCTTTGAATACTTGGGTATATTTTCTTGTGTTCCATTATTTTGATCAATTCATCATGAATTATTGAGTAATATTGACCAAGTGATTGTCGGAAACAAACAGAAAAGAAAGGACAGTGTTACACTCTTCCATGAACAGGTTCAATCATTAACAGATCATAGTATTTTGGAACCTATTGTGATTAGAACATCGAGTGCTACTAATAATTCATCATCATATGAATCATGATGAGTTGTTGGTTCTGCTAGTCATATCAACTCTCTAGGAGTTCACACCATCCACTGATTTTCATGTCAATTTCTATTAGCTTATCCAATATGATTTTCCATCATATAGAAAGTGGTGTATTGAATTCGATCAGGAAAATAATGCAGAACCTATTGGGCCATCACTCAATTAATTGCTAAATTGTTCCATCATAACGACCAAACATGGAAAAATTGTAATGGAAGGTTCAAAACAAAAAGTTTTGCTGAACGTGAATTTTGTGGTGAGGTTTACAGCAAACAACTCAACTTGTTCCAAAATTAACCCAAAAAAAACACCAAAACTCAATAACATCACACACCTTCCTTCCCTGATCCACATAATACACCATGTACAACAGAAACCAAAAATCAAGACTCGAAAAACTTGCTAATGACAACTTTTTTATCATCTTAAAGTTGTTGGGAGAAGATTTTTTGGGACTTGTTGTGGCATTATCAAAGTCACTCCCCGAAAAGAGACTTCTCCAATTGATCAAAATGAACAAGGGAGGATTCATAAGAAACGAAGAACAGTTGCAATTACTTGAGAGTTTAGTTTCTAATAATTCAAATTTTGAATTACAAGACTGTTCACTTTCTATGGTGAATTCCTATACCATTAATGAAGTAGATTTCTTGACAAGATTCGGATCAGTGTTATTTTTAGGGAATGTCATTCTTGGTAGTCCGTATGAAATGTTGAAACTTTTAGATTCGAATAGTTTAATTCAGAATATTGAATTTAATGGATGTGGCTTCATACACAACCTAGATTTGAGTGGTGAACTGTTTTCATTCTCTCCATATCTTGAATCGATCAATATTCTCACATCAGACACTGAATTCTTCAAGTCTGCTTTTAAAGATATCAATATTCTTGACCACACCGATTTGAAGAAGGTAATTGTACTGAAATTAGAATTTCCACTAGTCGAAAGTGATGAATTTATAAGAAAGATTCGTCCTCATTTACAGGATATTCAAATTTTAAAGAGTGATCCACCAGCAGTTTGGTACAATCAAATGACTAAACTTTATGTTCGAAACTTTGCAGAACTGCAGTCTAGAAAATGCAAAGCTGAAGAAGTTGAACAAATAACCTTCCAAGAGTTTAGTTTGGAAGCAACCAAATCAGAAACTTATCACTTTGATTGTGTGAACCAAGTTATTGTAAAGGATATTACAATCCAACCAAATTTGACATTGAAAAGTTTATTGGAGAATTTATTTAAATTATTTCCAAAATGCAAACACTTGGTTATTACTGAAAAGATAGCCATGTTAGATATTGTCAACTCTCATATTTCTGCCAGAACGTTGGAAAAGATTACAATAATGTATTCTAAAGAAACTCCAGCTGCCTATAGGGCAAATTTACAATATTACTTGAAACACAATTTATGTGAGGTAGAGTTGATTCCTATGATAGAACTTGATTCTTTCCAATTTGGAAGATACGAAATCCAAGAAGAAACTCTTCCACTGATGAGAAAGCTCACTAATCTTTATTATCAAATAGAGAATAATGCTGTTGGTGCTGAAAAGGCTAGTTTGATGATTGAATTATTAAAAGGTATTAAGGAGAGAACTGACAAAGGTGTAAGGAAACGTTATAATTCCATTATTGGAAAGACGAATGAGGACAAACTAGACGAAATTAAAGGAAATATTGAAGAGATCAAATTATTAATTGGTGCTGAACAATGTGAACAGGCATTTGAATTGGTAGAAATTGTAGAATATTCACTTTTACTCAATGACAATAGTGAAGAAGCACTTGCTGCAATTTCTAATAGTTTTGAACTATTGGAAAATCAATGGAATCAAATGAAACGCTATGTGGAACAAATATTCGATATTAATTTCAAAGATACACAATTCGGAGAAGATAGCTCTCAACTCGAATCCGAATACATGGACAGTTCAGAAGAAGAAGAAGTTATTATTGAAGAAGATGATTTTCAAGACTCTGACGAATTCGAAACTATCCAAGATACCATGATTGAAACTGAATAAACCAAATATTAGCAACTTTTCCAAACAAATCAACTCTCTGGTTTTTGTCACAGAGCGTACTATGCACTTTCTTTGTGTATAAGATTAAATTCGATGTTGGAGAACTTAATAATATTTGACATTGTACATGTACGGTTTATCATGAATATTCCGAAGATATGCGCCTACTAGCAAAAAGAAGCAAATCCTTAATAAAAAAAACCTTAATAATATTTTTAAGGAATATAAATCCCGTGTAGTCCAATGGCTAGGATACCTGGCTTTCACCCAGGAGGTCCGGGTTCAATTCCCGGCATGGGAGGATAATTTTAATTTCATCACTTTCTAGCATATTGTCAATCTTAATTTTTGATTATCAACAACCACAACAGATTGAGATCTGAAATTAGCTCTCTGGAGATGGATCAAATAGTTGAAATGGTGTTTTGTTTTTGAGAGAGAAGAGTTTACAAACAGTTCACAATTAGTTTAGAACTTTTAATTTCTAAAGGATTTATAAAAAGCAGAAATTGTGACTGTTGCTGGTTTGCTCTTGTCATAGGGAGTGTAATCATCGACACATTTCAATATTATTGTCTTTTCCTTAAATGGACATGCCAAAATATTAGAAATTGAAATTTGACAGTTCGCAACAAAGTCATCCCTCGTGAATGTATCCTTATCCCATATTTCCACAGTAATCTCATCATTAGTATTCATATAAATCTCTGATGGACATTCAAAATTCCAAACTGGATTCTCATCATCATTGATGAAAGGTGTCACATATTCCTTTACACATGTTTCACATGGAATTTTAATAACTGCATAGGCATCGATGGTGCCAACAACGTCGGCTTTTGGAAGATTGGTGGCAGAATGAAGGATGAATTGAAAGTGGGACATTTTTTTTAAGTGGACGAAACCTTTCGAATAGATCAGTAACAACATGGAAGAACCATTGGAATGAAAGTGGAACTTTGCAGAGCGCTCTTTTTCACAACACTAGAAAATATTTCCGCTTTTAGACTTATGAAAATAACAGAATTTTATTCAATATTATTTAAAACTTTACAAAAATTTCACTATTTCATAAAAGTTAAACACTTTTCAATCATTAATTTTTCATCAATTTCACCCTTCACAGAGCAATGAATCGTTGCACTCAATCCATTCAATTTTTCCTTAACAGTTTTGACTGTGGCTGCAACCTGAAACTTTTCCTTAACTTTAGTTTCGTTTGGACACCAAGTGAGAAACATCATTTTGGTTCTGGTTCCTTCTCTGATACCACTGTTTTCGTTTTGAGTTGGCATTTCGAAACTCAAATGATAACAAATGAAACGAGTGTTTTTTGGAGGGAGATTGGCGGTCAATTCGTCCAATGAGGAGAGTTTAGTTAATTCTTGATCGATTTGAATGGAATTTTCATGCATTTTCAAGACTAGGAACTTTTTATCCTTGTTGGCACCCTTTCCCATTCTCATTTCTTCATAAGATTTGATAATTTCGTCGCTTACTTGACAATTGAGCATCATTTTCGTTTAGTTTAGTTTCTAATGAGTTGTTTGGTTATATTTTTTGTTGTTTTTAATTAGAAGCATCAGCAGCAGGTATTTATAATATTCTAAACCACTTGAACTGAACAGTGTTGTAAATTTGAGTATGAAAGGCGACGAATTTGAAAGATTGGTGGTGCATCAACCAATAGAAAAGTTTCTACTTGATAAGCGGAAATATTTTGAAAGATAGGTGTGGAAGTTGGAAATTGAAAACAATTTGCTGTTGTATTGTAAAGTGTCAAGTTCAACTTCAAATTTCTGTCAACTGTTCAAAATTATCTTCCAAATTTCACTGCAAAAAAAAATGACGAAAAAGAAAGAACGTGTGGAACCAACCATTTCTGATGAGGAACGACTTGATGCTGTCAAATTACTCGCTCAGCAAATTAACAACATTTCAGATGCCTCCATAATTGTATTGACAGGTGCCGGATTGTCAACTTCATGTGGCATTCCAGATTTTAGAACTCCAGGTAAAGGACTCTTTGTAAATGGCTCACTCGATAAGTACGAAGTCAAAGATCCAACATCAATATTCGAAATTGGTTATTTCAAAGAAAATCCAATTCCATTTTTTGAAAGAATGAAGAATTTCATTGCCACCGAATACAAACCATCGAAAACTCATTTCTTTATCAAGCTATTGCAAGATAAGAACAAGTTAATGAGATTGTACACACAAAATATTGATGGATTGGAGAGAAAAAGTGGAGTTTCAGATGAATTGTTGGTGCATTGTCATGGAAAATTGCACACCTCTCATTGCATGCATTGTAAAAAACAATTTACTTTACAATATTTGAGAGATCAAATGACAAGTGAAAGTGAGGAAGAAGTTCAAATTCCCAAATGCAATGTTTGTGGAAATATTGTAAAAACTGATGTAGTTCTGTACGGAGAAGATTTACCAGACAAATTTGGAGAATGTGTTTTTCAAGATTTGAAAAAACACAAAAATTGTAAACTATTCATTGTCATTGGAACTAGTTTACAAGTTTATCCAGTGGCCCTCCTTCCAGAATATGCACCTCATGGAACGATGAGAGTTTTAATCAATAGAGATCGATGTGGAGGATTTTACAATATTCAATCAGCTATTAGAGAATGTGATGTGAAGAATAATCATTTGGATTTATATTTGGGAGGAGCTGATCAGACCATTGATGGATGTGTGGAATTGTTAGTGAGAGAATTGGGATGGGAAGATGAATTGAAAGAATTGATGGAAAATTCCACTTTGGTTGACTTGAATAATTTGTAAAACCAAAAAATCATTTAAGCAATAAAGCAAACTTTGATAAGATATCTTTGAAGTACACATCCAATAATACTCACTAATTGTTGTTTATATATATACATAATTAATTTTGGAGAGTACGGGCGCCACAAACCATTGTTAGGATCTCCTTCTCTGGTCTGACTTGTTCAGCAACCATATCCCTCTTCTTTGCAGCATATCGTAATTGATTAACTGGTTTACTGACCTCACGACGCTCAAACTCTGTTTGAAAGTAAGTTTTCCACTTTAACTTTTGCAAATAAGCTACTTTTGCAGGTGCATTCTTACTATGAAGGTCAATAATCTCATATAATCTATTGGCAATATCAGCAAAATCTGGTGATTTTCCTCCAACAGTTACAATGGCATGCAATAGGAGGTTACGAGAGTATTCACTCACTGCCTGCAACAAATTGACTGAATTGTATTCAGTGAATTCTTCAGTAGCTGCCTTAAAAGCACTTGCAAGGGCATCATAATAAGCGCCAGTAAACACCTCTGATATGGCGTGGACCTCTTCCTCAACCTGAGAAAGTTTGTAATCATCATCAGCATTACGGAGATAACCAGGCATTCCCAATGAAATACCAAATTCCTCAGCCAAGTGAGCAGCAAAGTTGTTTGCTGAAGCATGAAGGTTACCAAATGTTAGATTAATTAAAGCTCTAGCCATGGCATCATCAGCAAATACGAAACTTAAGGCAGAAATATCACCAAATGCTTCGTGAAGGCCACCAGTTTGTACATTTTTAGAATCATTGAATTCTGGACGCAAATGATCCAATACATAATGTCCAGTTTCATGAGCAACAATGTCAGGTGATTGACATGTGTAAATTGTATCTCCTTTGTCATCGGTGAAATAACCAAACTTTAGTACAATACTACCAGTACCACCACGTGAATAGTAGGCATTCTTTTCGTCCTCCAAACCATATGGACTAATTTGGAGAGTACCATTCGGCATCTTATCCCAGTATTCAGCTGCCTTACTCAACTTTTTATCATCAGGGAATGTTTTTCTCAATGCCTTGACAGTGTCTCGCCACATATTGGCAGTCAACTTGGCAGCTGTGAAGGTATGTAACTTATCAAATCCTGGAGTACGTGGAATCAACTTGTCAATCTGAGACATTTTAATCTTTCCACCAACTATACTCATCTCAGCATCTTGAGGACCATCTTTAAAGACTTGGGGGACGTAACATTTCTCTATCATTTCGAGGAGAGGTTGGTTTCGTGTAACGGTAATATCCTGAGGATAAAATCTCAAAACAGTGCCCTCCTCATCAGAGGTAGCAGTTGCTGCTGCATTGATTGCTTTGATTGGACGTTGTTCTTGTAGATTCTTTTGGATTTGAGATGACATTTTCAACTTTTTTTGTATGAAAAACTTTGAATGTTTGGAGTGCTGAGTATTTATTGAGTTGTTGAATTATATGAAATAATGGACGAATTTGGAATGATTCCATTTTAGTAATACCAAGTTAGGTTAGTGCCGAATCTTTACTTTTTCCTTTGCAGAATTAAAAATTGGAAAATAGTAGCAGATATTTCGAAATACAAATTATCCATAGCTCTAATGAGATGGATAATTATTGTTACAAATTGTCCATAGCTCTCTTTTCAAAATTTTTAATTGGAATATTGCAGTTTTTTGACAAACAACTCAACGCTGACATGAAATATCGAACAGTCTTTATCAGCACTTCATCATATATTTCTAATGAAAGCAGTATTTGAACTGTTGGTGGTTGTAATCTTGAAATATTTGCACAATCAAATGATGAATCGGAAGATAACTTTCTTGGTAGTGAGAAATAGACATTATGAGGAAATTACTTCAATGATCAACATGTGAACATGTGGAATATTTACAAATTATTTACAACACGAGGTTGCTAAGCAAGCTGATCATGCCATTGTAAAACTCAACATTACTCAAATCTCTCCTCATGGAGTGTAACCTCTCATTTTCGTGTCTTGTAAAAACGTGTTCCTCTTATCAAACTTGCATATTATTGTAAACTTTAAATACTTTGAAAATATAAAAAAATTAAAAAATCAAAAAAAAATGCTCGAATTGTTCCCAATCATTGCCCTTCCACTTTTCATCATCTTTCTACGTTCCGATACAAGGAAAATCAATCAGCTAACCAATGAGTTTGGCTTTAATTTTCACAAAATATTTCGTGATGGAGAATATTATCGATTCTTGACGAGTTTGTTTGTCTATCGGTCGTGGACACATTTCGGAGTTTGTTTGTATAGTCTCTATACAATGTGCTCGTATTTTGAAAGATTGTCATTTGATGCTAATAGATTATTTGTCTTGTTGTTGGAATTGATGGGAATGTTATTTGTAGTTTCGTGGATTGTTTGGAGAATTGTGATTCAAGTGAATGAAACACTCAAGAATGGAATTGGAAAGAGGAATGTCATTGGATTATGTCAATTGATTGTTACTTGGCAAATTTATTTCGTATTTCGATATGGAGCTTTAACAGATGCCATGAAATTTCAAATGTTTATCATGCTCTTTGTCTATGATTGGTCCTTCTTATTGATTGGTTTTGTGACTGGATATCTTTTCTATTTTTCAATGGCTAATTATCAATCAGTGATGGATTCAAATTGGTTCTATGTGATTTCATTCATTTTGGCAATTTATTTCTTGAAATCACTCAAAATGTTTGTTGCTAATTGTTTGGAAAGTGTTGGAAACTTGTTGAGATTCTTTGCTCGTGTCATTGGAGGTCAAGAATATCCTGTAGCTGGACATTCTCATCAAGAATAGTTCAATAATTATTGATTGAGTGTAAAATAATTTAATAATTCAAAATAGAAATAATTTGTACAAGTGAAGCTAGAAATTAGAAATGGTGATGCAGTTGAGGTAGAGAGGAAATTATTTTTGTTGCTTGGACTTTCTGTAAGTGTCAATACACGATTCAATGTCATCTCTTGCCTTTTGAGGAGCAATCTTCATTAAATTATTAATAAGTTTCATTGGAATCCAACCATTCAAATTCATCTTGCTAATAACCTCAAATTTTGAGCTAGTCTCACTAATTGCCTCAAATTCAACAATACTAAATTTGATAGTTCCTTCAATAGCACCTGGTTCATTAAATCCAGGAATCTTCTTCATAGACTTTAAAGTCTGTGGAGCCAAATCATTAATATTAATCGATCGTTCAAAAATCAACTTTTTGCCCTCAATCTCAGTAAAGTAACGAGCAGAGAAAAACTCTCTCTTGGCAATAATATATGTATTCGGAGAAGGAGTTCTCTGATAGACAATATCATACAATTCTCCATCCTCGTCAGGTGTTGAATAATGATCCTCCACTACTCTTCCTTCCTCAATGGCATTCTTCTGAACAACTTTATAATGTACATTTCGTGTAGCCTCAAAAGCCTCCTCAACAGAAGCCTTCAGCAAACCACTAATACGAAAAGCCAATTCCAAACCTCCTTCTTGATTATCCACTGGTCTCGAATAGACAGAGACTCCATCCTTCTCTGCTTCCAAAGTCCAAACTGAGGAATCCTTTCTATCTGCTGATGCTACTTGTTCCCTACAAAATTTAAGGAAATTATCTGGTAATACTGTACTTCTCTTTGTACTCATTCTCTATCCAAGTTGATTATTATTACTATATAGTTTACTATTATTGAATTTTAATAAATCAATGATGATGATGTTATTATTATCTTATTGTTGTTGCTATTTTATTTAATGATGAAATTTAATGTTGTTGGATGATGAACATTTTTTAAAAGGTGAAAAAGGCGGCATTTATGGATTGCGTTGTTTTTTTTGGGCAATTTTTCGCCACAAGCGTTGTCCATTGCTTTGAAAATCTAATTTCAATTGTTGTAAAGTGTTGTAACTATGATGAAAATGAATTTTTAAATTGCTAATATTTGAGTGGATAGACATCTCTTGTTATTGGAATTTCTTCAATTTTATCCAAGCTATCCAACACAATTCCTCCAAAAACATTCCTTCGTATTGTTAAGGTCACCCTTCTTGTTTTCCCTTGAGATCTCAATTTCAATCTCTCATTTGAGCAACATTTATGATAATCCTCCTGTGAAACATAAACAATGGTATCATCTCTTCTCAATATCAATGGAACTTTGGAGAAAAGTAGATATTCCACATACATTCTTGGATATTGAGTTGGTTTGAGTGTTAAAATGACTAAACACATGAAATCAACATCTCATGTAAGAGTTTCTGGTTGAGTGATTGGAAATTGGCAATTGAAGAAATAGATAGGAATGAGAGAAGGGAGAAGATCTTTGTTCGTCTTTTCATTTTTTTATCTAAAACGTGATTATTCATATTTCAATATTTAAATGTCAATCAAAATCCGTTACAATACTTGTTTCAATAATTATTCATAAACATTAACCTGCATTTTCGAACTTTCATAATGGCACACATACAGCAATCCACTTTTATCGTCCACCATAACACCAAAATGCAAGGAAGGAATTGGAAATGATTTCACCAATGTCAAATCATTCTGTCTTACCACATGAATATTCAATCCATGTAATTTAGAATCATCACAAACATAGATTAATCCGGATGATTCTTCACAGAAAATTGAATAAGCAGCTTCCATTGGAAATTGAGTTTGTTTGATGGAATTCCAATTACCAAAATTGTCCCTTTCGAATATTTCCACTTTCTTTGAGTTGCTTACTACTGCTTGTTTCTCTGACAAGAAATGAATACCGTATCCTTCTGCTACATTTGGAGCATTTTCTGAAATAGTTGCACCACTTTTGCAATCCAAAATTTTAACTGACTTCATATTGTCAACTGCATAAACTTTTCCATTCAAAACATCCAATCCCCACAAATTAGAAAATGATTCAGATTGCCAAATAATTGAAAATACTTTTCGTATCATAATATCCGAAACACTAAATTTAACAACAGTGCTTGAGTAATCTGTTGCATAGATAAATTCCTCTCCTTCCTCTTCAACCAATTTCATACAACGAAGCCCAGAATTGGGTTTCTCTACTTTGAATAATTGCTCGAGATGGAAAGTTTCCCGACTGCTTGGTCTATTATAAATTGATATACCAACCCTCTGTGGAATGAGTATCGTGTCATATTTTTTGGAAATGGCAATATCAAAGACAGGATCTTTTGGAGAAAGTTGATCAAATTGACCAATCATGTTAAAATTCAACGAAAATTGATGTTTTTTTTTTGTAAATGATCTCTTCAATATATTAATTAAATAAATAATATGATCTGATGATGATGAATTTTCCACGACATTTAAATCAACAAGTTCCACTACGACACGAGACATTTTTTTGACATTTTTTTAAAAAGTTTATTTACAATATTGATAAAGAACACACATTGAAAAGACCATTCAAATCTTCTTTCTGAGGTTTTCTATTATATACATTCTCTATTGTGTAGGCATTGACTGTATTTCTCTTTCCTTTCAATTCAATCGAACCACACGATATTACATAATCTTCATTAATCAAATCATTCTTTACATTCTCATCGAAAATGAGATAGTATTGAGTAGTGGAGGCAAAGGATTGTAATCTTGCTGATGTGTTTACTGAATCACCAATGACTGTATAGTCAAGCTTTCTTCCAACTGTGCCAACATTTCCCAAAATGACCTCACCCTTCGAGATTCCTATTGTACAGTAGATGAGCTTTTCGAATGGATCTGTTGTTTCATATCTGAGATGGTCTAATCGTTCCAATATTTTCAACGAACAATCAATGGCCTTTTGTGAATCTTTCCCATCAAAATGACACATTACACAGTCACCAATCAACTTGGTAATGTCTCCACCGTGCTCTTCGACAATTTCCATAACGCAGGCAAAGAACAAGTTGAGAATTCTTACAATTTCTGCAACGCTTCTCGATTGAGAAATGATTTCTGTCAAGGTGGTATAATTTACAAGGTCAATAAAAACTACAATCTTTTCCGTAACAACAGATTGAATACAGAGAGGATTCAATCCATCCCTAACAAATTTGGTTACACTTGGTTGGGCATAATTCTTGAACACTTGTTGAGCTCTGAACATACTTCCCATCATTGTTGTAAAAGCAGAGAATGCAGTCTCAATAACTCTCTTATGAGTTGGATCGAGTGGATTACAATTTTCCCCACAAATCAATACATCCTTCTTGGTAGGAAACAAACAATCAACCTCAATTGATTTCATATCCCACGAAGGAAACATTCTATCATCCTCACTTTCAAAATACGACTTGTCGACACATGCAACATTATTATGTCTCGAATCATTGACAATATTTGCAAATAATTGTTCAATATCAGCAGTCTTTCCTTCAATAATCTGAAAGAACATATCCCTCACACAAATCAAAACTCCAGTAATATTGTGCTTGGAATTTTCCTTAGTAGCCACTGTTAATATCTTAGTCTTCATCTTTTCCGTGATGACCCCAAGAGTTGAAAGCGAAACATATTGAATTCTAGTGTAAGGTGGTGCTTCCCGTTGTGTGATGGAGGACATTTTTCTTGAGAATTGTTTGTTATCGTTCTAGCGGCTAAGGTTTAAGGTGGCGGTTTGTTGTGATGGCTCGTGATGTGTTTTTTTTAAAAACGTTAAGGCTTTTTATGTTGATGAGATTTTTTTTAATTGTTTTTCGGAACGTGGCAACCTTAAAATGGACTTTAAAAGTGTTCGTAGAGATTGAATCTGAACCTTAGAATTGGATCTTAAATTGCCTTGGTAAGGAAGAAAGAATCTTTGTTATTTGAGATGTTCATGCAAGTCTTATTAAGGTGAACAGTAATGATATAGATGAACTTTAATCCACGTTTAGCACATTTCTTAAACAAATTTGATCAATCTTTGTAATCTCATCAACTTTGTTAATTGGTTTGGAGTGTATATCTCTAGACTTTGTTTCAAGTTTCAACCTGTGAGATATTAACCATTAATTGAACCATAAAAAAATTAATTTCAAAAATATTTTAATTGAAAAATTAGTTTACAATTTTAGAAATAGTGAACAATTCTGTCACTTTTTCAATTACTCGCATTGCTATAGTTCTATAATTCCATCTTGTTATCAATTCTAATAATCTTATTGGAAAGTAAATTACTCATTTGGAGGAGTTACAATAATTTGAGAGTTTGCAATAGTATCCAAAGATTTGTTTACAATATTTTGAGGATGAGAATGAGCAGAGAATTTAGGAGAGGAAAGTGGGGAGAGAGAACCAATTGATTCGAAAATGGATTCCAATATTTCTGTAGAATTATTCGAATCTAGTGATTTGTTTGCTTGATTGAATTTCTTCAAAATTAACTTGCTGAATTGTTCACTGGCAACAAATCTTGTGAAACTGTCATTCTTGAGCGACAGTTTAACTTCATTACAGGCCTTTTCGAAAATATTAGACGAAACTTGACTATTGTTGTGCTTGCATTCCTTATATTCCTTCAAAATGACTTCTCTCACATTATTTGCAATATTAATTTCACTATTACTTCTTTCCTTGATATAATTCTTTATCAAATAACGTGCCAATTCCTTCTTTTCCGGTTTAGTCGTGAATTCGGTTACTTTCTGATAAAATTCTAAAGGGGCCAAATTACATTCAGACTTGAGAAACTCTGAAAAGCTCTCATTTTCATCATGATTATTGGTAGACAGGAACTTTTCAATATTGATCACATAATTTCTTGCCATTTCACGAATCGACCTTTCCAGAGGTTGTGGACTTTCTAATGGTGAGTTTCGTCTAACACTCTGAGACCCACTCGACGAAACTGAAGATGAAGAATAGGTACTGTTACCACTATTCGAATGTGAACGAGTCCTTTCTACTGGTAATTTCGTCATACTTGTTGTTGGAGAAAGTTGAAGAATGTCGGACGAATCTTGGCTCGTTGGCGAATGTTCCCCAGCATTATTTCTTGGAGAAGAGCTTGTGGAAGATCTGGGAGAAACCTTGGTAGGTCTACGTGGTCGTAAATCTTCGAAATTGTTATCTAACGAAGCTAATGAAGCAAAGTAAGCGACCATTGGTTTCGAATAGTTTCGTTTCGTGTGAAATTAATCTTTTTTTTTTGAATGTTAAATTGTTTGATAATGACGCAACGGCTTGCAGACCTCGCACTTCACCTCAAATATGTAAAAATGGCTTTCGTAACTGGCACCTTTCTATTTTAATTATTGACACTTGGCATGTTGGTTGACTTTATGGTTGTGTCTTTTCAATGGCGACTAGCAACTTGTCCACATCCTCCAACTCTTTACAAAGGAAGAGTATTTAACAGTATTGATCTGCTCAATGTCAAATTAACTCACCAATGGTTCTTTCCTGCTGTGACAATTTCACATATTAAATTTGATGGTAATTTACTTTGGATGTCTTTTGGGGAAAGTGTTGAGTTTCATTTATTGCAATTTCCTTTAATAGACTCTGAAGATTTGAGTTTAGTTTTGGTTAGTGTCGATTATTGGAAAGTTGAGACTAAACTTTTTGGAAGTATTTGTCATTAGCTTGTCAATTAGAATGATTGGTTTCTTGATGGATTTGTAATAATGACAACATCAGTGAGGTATTGATTGTTAAGATTATTGTACAATTGTATTGGAATGTATTCTAAAGGTCTGTAAAGGCATGGAGAAAGATAATGTTTCGAAACTCCTCGTTGATTGAGTGGTTTTACAATGAGTTCAAATGCACGATTCACTTCCTCCTCATTCAATGCATTAATAATGTGATAATCAAATTCAATACTTTCCATTCCAGATTTCCGTAAAATTTCATAAAATTCATTCACTACATAATTAATGACATTTCGTTCCATGAAGAAATTTCTCAAATTTGAAATTTCATTTCTCTGGATTGTTTTACATTCTTCCTTTTCATGTCGTGGAAAGGTTTCGAATTTTTCCAATCGTTTCATTAGTAAATCTGCTTTTGTAAAGAGGATACAGACACGAGTGTTTTGTTGGAAATCTTTCAATGCTCTGCTTTTGGCAATATCTTCAAAGAAGGAAAGTGCAGAATCGAATTTGGAGTTTGGATATGAAGTGAATGTTGTCAAGTTCAGTAAATTGCTTTCATCCTTTACAGAAATCATGCAATCTACCAGGGAAACAGTTAACACTAATACCTTTTTGGCATTCAGATTTGTATCAGGTCTTGTTCCTCTATTTTCAATTATAGTAATGGAATTGTTATCCAATTTCTTGACAGCTGCTGTAAATCCAAGAGTTTCCTTTGAAATTATTCGAAGTGGATCAAAAAGTATTCCATCCTCTCGATGCATTCTCATCTTGTCAACAAACAATTCCAAATTTTCATTAAAATAAAATCTATCCATATTCTCATAATAAAACTCTGCAAATATTCGAAACTTCCACAAATCCAACAATAATTCCACAAAAGAAATAGGTCTCTCAGCAGGTAATGAATTACTTCTCACGTACAATTCAACAAAAGTTTGCAAATTCTTGGAAATTTTCTCTCCATCCTCATCAAACATTTTCACAATTTTCATCAATTCTAATAATTTTTCCTCAACATTATGAATCATCATTGCTTTCAGAATATGTTGCAATACTTTCCCACTCACAGATTCTAATAAATCTTTATATAAAACTGTATCAGGACACAAGGTTTGAAGAAAGAGTGTCTTTCCACTTCTTCTCAATCCGACGAGTAAAATTCTTTCGGCCCATTCATCTTGTTGTTGATAATTAATTGTTGTATGTTGTGATGTTCATTTTCTGGTGGTGGTGGTGGTGAAGAATTGGATGGTGGAATGGCAGTGTGTTGTGTTTGTCCCATTTTTTTGTAATGAACTTGGGAATTAGTTTTAGAATAGTTTAGGTTGGATGTTTGGACTCTAGAGAGATAATTGAAACGAAGATGGGTATTGGTTGAATGTTAGAAACTGTAAATCTTTACAAAAGGATTGTAATTGTGTGAAATCATGTAACCTCTTATTCGAATCATTTAGTTCGAAATGAGAACTGTCTTATTGGAATGGAAAATTATTGATTGGACTGTTGGGTAGCTTGACAATGGGAGTTCACTCAAAAGAAAAACTCTGTTCAACCCCCAAACTGGTCAGTTCTAAAAAGTTGTTCCTCTTCCAGTACGTAAAATCCAGTTAACATCTGTCACTAGTCAACAAATAAATAGAGCAAGTAATGGAACTTGAAGAGCTTATCATTGTAAAAAAAATGAAATTACTAGCTTTATTAGCATCGCTTCTTGTTATTAGCGCGTGTTGGTTTGGTTTTGCCAATGGTCAAGCATGTCCTTACGGTCAATCAGGTTTAGTCGACTTTAGTTCACTTTCTAATTACACAGTCGCTGAATCTGCCATTGTAATCACTTCAGGTCAGAAAGTATTAATCAAAACCTCCCCACCAGTCAAGTATGGCTCAATCACAGTCCAAAGTGGTGGATCTTTAATCTTTGACAACAAATTCATGAATATTAACGTCAATCACATTAGAGTTGAAGGAAATGCTTCGTTTATTATGGGAAGTACTTCATGTCCTATCTATAAGAAGATTACCATTACATTTTATGGTCCTAGATCTACTGAAAATACACTTGGTACTGATCCATATGATAATGCTAATTTAGGAAATAAGGGAATTGCATTTTTGACAGGTGCCACTGTTCAAGTTGTTGGACAATTGATTAATGATAAGGCATGGACACGTCTTAATGCTACTGCACTCAAGAATACCAGCTCTATCACATTGAAAGAATCTGTCACTGGCATGTGGAGTGTTGGCGATGACATTTTGCTAACTTCAACTGATTATGGTGAAGTTGTTGATTTCAAGATAATGAATGACACTTCCAGAAATTGGCAAAGAGGTGTTGCTTTTCCAGATCAAAATGAAAAAGCTACTATTAAGGCAATTTCAGCTGATGGTTTGACATTGACATTGGAAAGTCCGCTAAATTTCACACACGTTGGTAAAGATTACACATTTTCAGAAGTTGCATTGTTGACCAGAAGAATTGTGTTTAAGGGAGATGATTCAAGTGATGCATCCAGTTTTGGATCTCATTTGATTGTTAGATTGGTTAAGCAATTTCAGTTTGTTGGAGTTGAGTTGAGAAATGTTGGTCAAAAAGGTAAGTTTCGAATAATTTCCAGTTAATTTCAACTCTAAATCTAAATGTTTATTCATATTTAGGTTTAATGGGAAGATACGGATTACATCTTCACTTGTTAAAAGACACAAGCAAACAAATTTCCACTCAATTCATGATTGCAAACAATGCCATTTGGAATAGTTATCAAAGATGCATCGTCATTCATGATTCTAGAAACATTCTCGTGAAAAACAATATCTGTTTCAATATTACAGGTCATGCTTTTTATTTGGAAGATGGTTCCGAATTTGGAAATGAATTTAGAAATAATTTAGGCGTAAAAGTGAATCCGGTTGGAGATGCTGATCAATTACAAATTATTCCATCGGATTGTGATGCTAGTGTCTATTGGATTACAAATGTAAGTTTGAAAGTTCTTTACAATTTTTTAGTCAACCATAAAAAAGCCAAACAATACCTTTATTGGAAACGTTGCTGTGGGTGGTAAGTTCGGATTCTGGCTCTCTTTCCCAGTTTTCCCTGTTGGAATGAGTGCTACCATCTATGCAGGTCAAGATTTCAATCCAAGAAGAACAGCAATGGCTCCATTCGAAGATAACGTTGCTCACAGCTCAATTACTGGATTGTGGATTGATGAAATGTTGCTTTCTGATGGTACATTAGAAACTGAGGGATACTACCCATTGAATGGGTCAGCTTCATTCTTCCGTTTTACTGCTTACAAGAATAGAGATTATGGAGCTTGGGTTAAGGGAGGAGTTCTTTATTTGGAAAACTTTTTGGCATTTGACAATAACGTACAAATTACTGCACCAAAGGGACCAACTATTACAAGAAACTCTATCATGATTGGTGAGACCTCTAATGTAGGCGATTCAAGTTTCAGATCAAAGGTTGACGTTGGTGGTAGAACTCGTCCTCAACTCTATGCAAGTGATGAGTTGATCATTCGTGGTTACGAAGTTTATGAAGACGACGGTCCTCAATTACTTTACAATTGCACATTTATTAACTTTATTCCAGATGCATATAAGGCCTCTGGTGCAGTTTCTCATCGTTCTCGTAAACAATTGGAATCAGCAGTTAACAAACTCTTTGGGTTGACCTTTATTAATTCTAACAAGTTCTATGCCTTGAATAATACTCCATATGATAACCAGAGAATGGGAATTTGGGCAGATTTGGATGGAAGTATTAGTGGTTTTCCAAGTGGAGGTTGGATTGTTGGTCAAGATCCATTGAACGCCTTTTCTGGTTGTGTTTCGAATAGTGATTGGAGTGCTTATGGTTGTCCCGCAACTGGTGAAATGTTCGTTCAACTCAGGGTCGGAAATAACGAGTTTACAACATACAATACTACCTCATCCAAAGGAGTTGCACAACCTGAATTGAAAAACGCAAATATCATCACACCAAGAATGTACGTGGTTGACCAATTGAGAAATATTCAAGGACCATCCAATGGAAGCCCAGGAGGTAATGATAACACATGGGTAATACAATATAACTTGCTTAATAGAGGATTTTATGGACTGAGATGGCCAAATGATCATCCAACTCCGAGAGATTTGTCCGTCAGCTTGAAAAATGCAGTCAACTATGATTGGATTGTGTTGGCAATTCAGTATCCAAATAAGACAGATTTCAAGATAACTTGGTCAGAAAGTGGAAGTTCGAATACGTATCCTGTGACTTGGGCAAGTTCATTGGCTGAGGTCATGGTTTCACCAAATGAATTGGCATATTACAATCAGACAACTGAGCATTTATATGTCAAGTTACAAAATAGAGTGCCAAGAGATGATTTTGAGAATGTTTACCCATTTTCTGATTATCATAGTGTTGGTTTGATTAGAATTGTTGCAACTTGTCCAAACAATAACTGTGCTCCATCTAAATTTGGTAATCCAACTTCTTCCAAATTAGTTTACAATACCTTAATGAAGGAAGATCGATTTGTTGGAAATTTAGAAGTCTGCCAACAAAAAGCAGTCAACTCATCCCTCATTGGCTCAAATGGCTCAGGAAAAGTCTTTGCATTTTGGGATTTCAAAGCAAAACTTTTAGATTTCACAGTTTTCCACAATTTGAATTTAATCGCCACTGAAATTTCAGTTGGAATTGGAGCTGTCGGTACTCAAGAGAGAATTATCCATCCAGGATTGGATAATCCAATATCCCCTTATGGTGTCAGTCGTTTCCTCCTTGATTTATCTTATCAAGAACAAGTAGCTCTATTGAAAGGTCAAATGTTTGTCAAATTGTCAACCACTCAAAATCCAACTGGACATTTGAGAGCTCAATTATATTGCAGTAATTCGACTACTTCGACATGTGCCTTACCTCCTCCAATAGCCAATGCCACAGATTCATGTGTCAATTACGGAACTTTTGGAAATGCCTTCTTCACAGACAATTTGAATTCATTCTCGACTGTTACTGGAAATGGAGATGCTTCCTATGAAGTTAATGGAGAAGGAGGATTATGTGGTAATGCAATCAAGATGATTATGGGAAGTGGTGATGTCTATCTTGAAAGAACTAATGGTTTGAGCGGTGCTGCCTATTCTCATTTCGAATTCTTTGTTAGAGTTTCAGATAATTATGGACCACTCAATATTTCAGTAACTGCTTTCGGTAAACAAGTAATTGTAAAGAAGGAGCACGTTTTAAATTACAAGATTGACAATACAACAGCACGAGTAAGAATTCCAATTTCTGAGTTTACAACAAGTTCATTTTCACTCAAAAAGTTGAGATTTAGTTTGACAGAACCATCAACAATATTGAGAACTTTCCATGTTGATACGATTCAAGTTGTAAAAAGTGATGATTTGATGATTCCTGGAATGGCTAGTTCTGAATTTTCCTATTTTGGAAAAGTGGCTACTTGTGGAAGCTCATTGAATCCAGATTATGATCCATTGACCATTAAAAAGTAGTAAATTTGATTAAATAAATGGTAAATTGTTTCTATCGAATGAAAAACAGTATTGGAAACAAAGGCAAAGTGAATGTGAAGGAAAATTTCACAGAATGGCGCCAACTAAATGACCTTTTTTAGAATCAACACCCAAAACATATGTAGCCGTTTAACTTGTCATCACATACTTGCAATTTTTCATCATCAATTCAAACAGAAATATTTATTCGAAACGTTATTCTAAACAATTTAATCAGCACAGAAATGACCTGATTTAATCCAATAGTACAAGAAGTGAATAACTCCAGGAAGCCACAAACAAATAGTCAAGAGAATATTCAATCCCCAATATTTATATCTAGTATTGACATCATGAACATGTTCACCAATGACAAGTGGGAAACCAAATGGTGGAAAGACGACACCAATAAAGAGTAAAAGACAATTCATAAAGAATCTGTAAATGCTGACCATTTTTTTTTGTTTTTGATTTGGATGACAGGTGGCAGGTGGTCTATTTAACATAATGGATAGTATGGAAGTTGGCTTGAACATGGTGAATGGGCACTCATAGTAATTGGCAAGAACTTGAACAAGTCAGAGGGTTGCTCAAGTTTCTAATAACATTTATATTCGAATCATTGGAGAAGAACAAATATTGGAATTGCTGATAGAAAACCCTTCAAAATAAAAGGTGTTTATTAATGTCTCTAGCATCTTAGGAAGACCAAAATTCAGGAACCCTCTGCCAGGAGTTGAACCTGAATCTTGCGAGTGGATCAGTCGCACGTTCTAACCATTGAACTACAAAGGGAAGTATTAATTTGAAAAAAAAACTTTTGTCACGCAGTTGAGTAGTAAACCAAGTTATTTTTATACCCACAAATTGGAACCACAACTCCAACTCCTGAAGATTCCATTATAACTATTCTAGTTGGAATCGGGGAATTTCTATTATTGCAAGATTATGCTAAAAGTCATCAACTAGCTCTCAATCAGAGGAGTTTGATGTGTGTCAGGATTGTCAACAAGGAGAAACTTTTCAAAAAAATGCAACTAAACACATTGATGATACTGCTCTGTTTACTGTTTCTTCTCTTTCAAAGCAGTTCAGACAAATTCTTTCAAACTAAAGCAGCCGAAACTTACCAACTACAAACACTAACAGGATACAAAGGCAATGGTCAAGATGTTGACAGAACATTCACTGCCAAACATGCCTTTCTAAAAGCTCCATGTGGCATCTGCTCTGGAAATAATGATGAAATTTTCGTGTCTGATTGTGTGAGAGGATTAATTTTCAAGATTTTTCCAAACGAAAGTATGATTGTTTTTGGAGGGTTAGGACTTGGTTTTAATCAGGATGGATATGATGTGAAACAAACCTTGTTTAATTCACCTTCTTCGTTGAGTGTGGCGATTAATGGTGATTTGTGGATTGCTGACACGAATAATGATAAGATTCGTCTAGTTTCTGCTGAGACGAATTTGGTTTCTTCTCTACCTTTTGCATTCAACAAACCATTGGGAGTGTATGTTTCCAATAATAACATACTCTACATTGCAGGTAAGTTAAATATTTCTAAATTTCTTTGAAACATGTCAAAAGATTCTGGAAATAACGTGATAAAGAAATATGACATTGGCAGCAAGATTTTGACAACAATCGCTGGTGGAAATGGATATCTAGATGGATCGTACGATAATGTTGAGGCCAATTCAATAATTCTTCGATCTCCAAAGAATATTCATGTAGTTTCGAATGGGAAAGATGACACTGTTTATTTCACAGATGACGAAAGAGTCAAATCCATTGATAAGAATGGTAAATATCGAAGGATAGCAATTTCAGAACTTGAAACCAAGTTGTAAGTGTTTTTTCAGAAACTCAAACTAATTGACTATGCGTAGTACTTTTTCAGCAAATTTTTCAAAAAAAACAGCAAAGGATGGTCTGTTTCAGCAAGCCATGTGCTTATCATTTTTACTGAATCCGCGCATACTTAATCAGCAAATAAACAGTAAATTGGCAAAATTTTACTGAATAAGCCACGAAATTGTTCCCATTTAGCAATTGAAGAAAGTAAAAAAAATACCTCTACATCATCACTGGTATTTATTTCAATCAACTCATCATCATTTTGGAATACTTCAATTATAGTGGCTGGGCTACATCTCACCAATAGTAATAATAGTAATATTTTATGGTGGTGCTTCTTCTCGGAATGAATTATAGTGGTTTTCTATCATCGGAAATTTCACACTTCCAAACATCATCATTAAGCCGGAGTTCATCATCACAGTATATTTATTATTGTATTAATAGTAATTTAAGCAAGTGGAGTCTCTGTTAGTACTTGTTATTGGGTGAAATTTCAAATTTCACATAATATCATCCTCATCAGCAGATTTACTTGTTCATTAGGAATTTCTTCAATTAGGGATTGTTGGCAATACTCTATAGTATCACCAGTATCAATAGCAGGAATTCATCTTCTCATTTCATCAAGTTTGCTTCATGTATATTTTGAAATTATACATATGCAATAACTCAACATGTACTTCATCATCTTCCAAACTTTCTTCGAATAGTACTATTCAAATACATCATCAACAACACTCCGAATAATAGTTTTTGGATATTTTGAGTTTTTACCTTGTTGGTGGTGTATTCATCATTCACCATATATTTTCATCATGATGATAGAATTTCAACAACATAGTATCATTAGTAGGGATGTCTAATATCACCATCAAGAGAGTTGGAATTTTTCCACTTAGTATTCATAGAGTTGTGGAATTTTCTCTTCATCATATCTTTTATCATCAATATCATCAACAAGTTCATTTCCGATCATTATGGTAAATATCTTAATGGTCATCATCATCGAACCATCAATAAAATTCACTAATGGTGAATTTTCCAACAAGGTAAATTTCAAGGTCGGAAATCTTGCTGATTTTCCACCTTGAATTATTTCAATAATTAAATAAAATTATATTTTTATTATCATCATTGTGTTTTCTTGTATCAAAATCTGTTTTATGCATTCTCCACTTGATTTCATCAAATAACATAGTAAATTAGTACATGATGTCTTTTCATTAATATTTTCCGTTGATTTGCTGTTGCAGAACAAAAAATTACAAATTAAGGTGGATTCTTCATATACAGTCACTTTTATAGTCGGATCACATGGCAAATAAAACAACTCAAATAAAGATGTTGATACTAATTTAGATTATGTTTTGTTATGAAGAATACACTTTTGAATATTTTTCACGTCCTTAGATTGTTGTTACAGTTTGCCAACTTGAAGCCACAATGCTTAAGTTAATAGTAACAGCAACTATAATATGTATACATCAAAATATATAAAAGTTGTTAATCCGTAATAATCAGGTTTAGAATAAATCAGCACTTTATATTCTTCTTTATTGAATTTGCTGCAATGGAACAAATCTTTGGATAATTAAGAAAGCTTTGCTAAATCAGTAATTTATGAAATTAAGAAGGAGTTATTTGCTGAAAAAGCATTATTCGGTGTTTTATTGGTTGGTGACTTGCTGGATGAGAGGGGCCTTTGCTGGATAAGAAGGTCCTTTGCTGATTCAGAAAATGAACTTTCTGTTTAAGTCTACCACATTGACTATCCCATAATTATTAGAAATGGAATATTTGTTTCGTCCAATAATGAAATTTGGACCTCGTCGTCCAATTCACATTTTCTACAAATGAATTCTTTAATTGATAGTTCAACCAAAACAATAATTGGTGAAAAAGATTCGTTTGGATATGAAGGAGATGATTTAGTTAATTCTTATTCGAATGTTCGATTTTATGAACCTGGTTCTTTGATTGTGAAAAATACAATGGTCTATCTTGTGGACAAATCCAATAATTGTATTCGAAAGATTGATGTTTCCAATAAGATTGTGTCAACATTCAGTGGTGGATTCATTAATCATCCCTATGGAGAGGACTTGCCAAGATTTGAGATTTCACAAGTCAATGTATTGTACAAACCATTCATATATAATGATGAACTTTATTTTGTGGAACAACATTTGATTATTAGAAAGGTTTCGAAAATAGATGGACTAATCAAGACTGTCTTTGGAGTGAGTTCAAAATTGAAAACAGAAACTTCACCAACGAGAACTTTCAAATCAATTTTAAGTTTATTTTGCTTTCCAAATGGAGATTTGGTTATTTCTGGATACCACGATTTACACGTTCTTAATTTGGATACATTAAGGATGAGATATTTCCAAATTAATTACAGTAATCCAATTAGCTCTATTACTGGTTTTGGAAATTCCTTTGATAATGGCACAATGTACATTGGATTTGTGAGTTCAGATGGCATTTACAAATATCAAAACGAAACTTTACAAGATTCAAGTAAGATTGAGTACAGTGTAAATGAGTTTTCCATCCTAAACAATACTTTATATTATATTTCATCTGGAATACTTATAAAAGTGGAATGGAAAAATCAATCTTCGGACTGGATTGAATTTCCAGTTTCAATTTCACGTGTTGCCTATGATTCCATATATGGAAAGATTTATGTTGCGAATGGTTACAGAATTTATGAAGCAAATTTGGATGATCTTAGTTTAAGAAAGGTTGGTGGAATTGATGGAGGTACATATTCTGGAACTTATGTTGATTTTGATGGATATAGTGGTGAGAATGTTAATGCCACTCAATCAGCAATGTAAGTTTCTTTGAAAATTTTTTATTCGAAACCTTAAAAGGTCGATTAATTCAATTTATGCACATAATGGAGTCATTTACATTGCGACAGTATCATCCTACATTTACACAATAGTTGATGGAATTGCCAAAACTATAGTTGGCAGCAATCCTAGCTCAAACTTACTTGGTATGGACATGAATTCCTTTTGCAGAGATCCAAATCAAAATCTAATCTATATAATAGATAAGAATGTATTGAAGAAGTATGATGAGAAAACTGGTGAAATTACCTCTCTATTGCCAGCTGTCAAACCTTTCCTTTCCTTTTCTTTAGTACTTTTAGATTCCTTTATGTTTGCACTTTTTCCAAGAGTTGATGTTAAAATGGTATTCTCTCTCTATGATAATATGATTTATGTTGCAGATTATTGCAGAATTATTCAAATTGATCCAAAAACATTGAAATATCAGAAAGTGGCAGGAAAGGAATGTGGAACAGTGATTCCTGACATTCCAGCTTTGAATTCTCCATTGGGAAAGCAAAGTACTAAAGGTCTTTCTGTAAATCCCAAGAATGGCGATATTTACATTTGTTATCCAGATTTTTTTGGAAAGATTGAAAAGAGTTCAGGTATGATTCGTGTATTCTTTTGGAATCCACTCAATTCACCTTTCGAATCTGAAGATGGAATCATTGTAGAAAATGACAAACGAATTGGTGTCATTGGTTCCTCTCATTCCATTAGTGATGACCTGCATTACTTTTGCACAGCAAACACCATTCGAGTTTTGGAACGACTTCAGAATGGTTCGTTCTATTTGAAGAGTATTGTTGGAACTGGGACTGATGGATATAGTGGTGATAATCTACCTGCTGTTTCGTCTAAATTGTCTCAAATTAAGTCATTTTATGTGAAAGAGAATGGTGATATAATTATATTGGATTCTGGTAATAATATTATTAGAAAGTATGTGAAAAAAACTGGATTGTTAGTGACCATTGCAGGAAAACCAAGAGAGCAGAGTACCTATTTCAATGGAGACCTGAAGGGAGTGGAAACAAGTTTTATTGGTTTTGGTTATACTATTGATGTAAATGAGAAATCGGACGAAACTCTTTTTCTTGAAACAGTGTCAACCAATGGTGTAACTTCACTAATTAGAAAGCTATATCCTGTTTGTGAAGGAGGAGCACAATTCAATTCTTTCAATAATACATGCGATTGCTTGAGTGGTTTCTATGGTGACAAATGTCAACCAATCACTTGTAATGGAACTAGTTCTTCAGATTCAAAAAGTTGTAATGGAAAGGGAAGTTGTGTTGGATTGGATATTTGTAACTGTATTACTGGTTTCGATGGTCAATTTTGTGAAAGATCTTCACTCGATAATTTAGCCAACGATCAATCAACAACTGTTTTGGTGGTTGCAATTGTGATTCCAATTGTTGGAATTGGCTTAATAATAGTGATAATTGTTGTGGTGGTTATCATTCTACTATCTATGAAGAAGAAGAAGGCAGTGAAGAGAAATGAAATAGCAAATGCCACAATTGTTGAAATGTCAGACTTCCCATCCAGTTCTGTAATTATTTCATCGTCTATGGGATCCAATGTGTCAGATAATGAAGATGTCCTTTCAAGATATATTAATATGGTCAGAATTGGACAAGGTGCATTTGGAAGTGTATTCAAAGTGACAGATACCAAATGTGGAAACAAAATCAAAGCTGTCAAGTTTGTGAAATTTGAATCATTTACAGATTTGAATACGATTATGAAAGAGGCATCACAATTTAGTAATATTAGACATCCAAATATTTTGATAATCAATGATTATTTCATTACAAAAGATAATTTACTTTGTATGGATATGGATTATTTTGAAAATGGCGATTTGACAAGATTTACAAAGAAAGAAACATGTTCTGAAGATATTATTCGAAAGATAATGAAACAAGTACTGAGTGCTCTTGACTATGTCCATTCAGAATTATCAATCATTCACAGAGACATCAAACCTTCAAATATTTTTATTCGAAATCTTTCTGGAAATGATATTGAAGTTGTTTTGGCTGATTTTGGCTTAGCTAAAAAGCATCAAGAAATGAAAGGTCATTCCTATGCTGGAACTCCACTTTTTATGAGGTAAGCAAATGTTAAATTTCACAACTTAATTGACCATGATATTGAAATAGTCCTGAAATTGCATTGGGAAGTTGTTATTCTTTCAATACCGATATTTTCTCATTGGGAGTTTCAATTTATCAGATCATGACAAAGGATGAAACAATTTCTATTGGAAACTTGTTGATGGGAAATCAATCAGCAAATGCTGTGTCAATTCTCACAAAGCAAATGGAAGCTGAACAACAATATTCGAATGAATTAATGGAAATTGTGATTAAAATGTTGGACAGGAATCAGGAAACTCGTCCAAGTGCAAGGCAGATTCTCCAAATGCCTTACTTCAAATAATCAGAAAATAGTTTATTTATTATTTTTAGTTTGTTTTCAGTAAATCCTTTACTTTTTTCCTATTTTTTTTTCAAAAGGCAACTTGTACAAATATTCACCAATAAAGAACTGACAAAATAAGGAAGCAAAAAAACAGTTAAAGACCTACTGCAAAATAAGGAGTTAATTATGGACTTGGTATCATTGATAAAATTTTCATTGTTTGCCAATTCTTTAACAGTAGACATAACTTGGCATCGATTTTTGATCTTTTGAAAAGCTTCCTCTAATTTCGATGTTTTGTGTTTCAAAATAAATGCATCAGTAAATAGTTTTGTTGTACAATTCCAGATTGTGATTTTGAGAATTTTTGGTTGTTTCATTAATTCCCTCTGTGGTTCAATGGTTAGAATATGCGACTGGCTCATTCGCAAGATCCAGGTTCAACTCCTGGTGGAGGGTATCTGAATTTTTGCTCTTTTCTCAACTAAAATCATGTTTTCAAAGGCCAAAATATTCCATTATGAATTGGTTTATTCTAAAAGTTTTTCACTATCTACCGTGTCTGTACGTGAATGTTGTACAGGAGTTGAAACTTCACTTGTACACGTTTCACAGTAATCATCCTGTTGTTGAGATTCTAAAGCCTCAGAAGCTTCATCATCCTTGTTCAATCTTTCATCATCAGTAGTAAATGCCCTCATAGCTGCCTTTTCTCTTTGCGTATTGACTGTCAAATCCTCAGTACTGGAACTCTTCGGTGATAGTGCTTTACCATATCCTGGATTCTTGAATCCAATCACAGATTGAACCTTTCTCATACCACTATTACTTCTTTGTCTATTATTAACCATACTGAGATAGGCAAATGGTGTCACATTGAGTGCTGTAGCAACACTATTATTCTCACCAAGCATGAGTGAGAGCATGTTTGGCACATTGTATCCTCCGGCTGATCCACTACTGAGCATGTCAGTATTTCCTAATCCATAATGGAATGCGTAATATCCTCTGAGCTTCTTCTCCATTCTCGAATCTTTCCACATTAAGGCAAATGGTTCACCCTTTGCCACACTAATAAATGCATATTCATTGAGTGATTGTAGAGAGACAATTGCTTGGCTGTGCATTTGTAATGTGGCAATATTTCTCAAAAATGCTGTTTGTACATTCTTACTTGTTCCAATAAAAATACTTTCAATAGGATGTAAAATACTGCTGGCTGTTGTTGAGGCAGTTTCTGGATTTGGAGTTGGTACGTATGGATTATTAGATATCAACAGTTTGCCAGTGTCCCATAATCGAATCGTGCCATCCTCTGCACCAGTGGCAATAATATGACCATAATGAAGAGTACACATGGTAGTGATGGTGGATGAGTGAGCCTCTGCCTGTTCCAATAAGAATTTACATTCCTGATTACCTTCTGTGTGCATGAGAATGTCAGCAATATCGAAAATGAACAAGTGGTTTGCGAGAGAAACCAACAAGAAGTGATTATTCACCACCAACTGAATACATGCTTGATAGGTGAGTTCGTTTGATGAGTATTTGGATTCCAAAATTTCACGAATCTTCTTGCAAGAGCACAACTTGTTCCATTTAGCTTCAGAATCGATCTGAGCTGTTTTCCAAAAGGTTAATTCTCCAAAATTATTTACAGTGCTAATAATGTAATCAAACTCTGACTGTTTAGCAGGAAGGGTTGGATTAGATTGGTTTGGCGATTGGTTCATCGATTGATTCATTGATTGAGTCATGGATGAATGAGAGGAATTATCTGATTTTTGTGAAATGTTATCAGCATTTGATGAAGTGGAAGGCATTGAGAAAATATTGAGAATCTTTAGACTGGAAATGATATTTTTTGGTTTGTTGGATGTAATAGGTGGTTGTGTTACTACGGATGCACTACTACTTGGCTCTGTTGTTGCTGAAGGTACCAATTCTTCATCAATTAACTTGTAGAAAAAGTCATTGCTAGACGAATCATCGGTTATAGTTGGTGATTCCTCAATAACATCTTCAATCTTTTCAAAATCATAGATGAATAAATCTGGCTTGTTGGAGCATGTTGAAACGATGGTATTGTTCGTCCTTTCAATGAATGACATATCATTGTAAAACATGGAATTCATGATAAACATATTGGAAATGCATCCATCCTCTCTTCTATTGATCACTTGGAGGAGCTCTCCAGTGAACCAATTCCACAAACAAATTTTACCATCATTGGAGGCAGAGCAAAATCTTGGGGATCCATCATTGAGTAGTTCAATACATCTAACACTCGATTCGTGAATGTTCATGGTTCTCACTGGATTCAGATTGAATGTAGGTGCCTGACCTGATGTGCTCCAAATTGCTGAAATATCCCACAATTTAATGGACTTATCTCCAGATCCAGTCAATAAGAATTGAGCAAATGGTGTATATTGGAAATAGAGATTGGAATCTTCTGATGATTGAGAAATGAGAGTTCCCTGAGCAAAAATTGGTACTGCACAAGTAATTGTCAATCTGTGACCGTTCAGGTTGGCCACTCGTTTAGAATTGGTAGCATCCCACACTGAAATTCTACCATCCTCATAGCATGTCAGCATTGGAGAGCTAACCATATTATTAGGAGCAACTTTCAAAGGTCTGCATCTATAAAACATAAATTCCTCATTCAGGGAAAAGTATTGATGTGGAGGTATTCTCGGAATTCCAACCTCCTCTCCATTTCTATTACAAAAATTAGCATAATTCCAATAATTGAAAAAGTATGGAGTCAAACAAGCATAACTTGTATCTAAATTTACATTTCTATCGTACAATAATATAACCTTATTAATATTATTCACTTCTCCAATACCAAGAGATGAATTTGGATCAATCATATTAATGACTGACACTTCAGAAAATGGACTAGTATGATTTCTTGCAATATTACAATTTGTACACTCCTCACACAAATTATGGGTGTGATGATTGGCATTTCTATTCGAACAATGATGTGAAATGGCAGTATTCATAAATCCCAATGATTGATTCTTCAAAGAATAGACAATAAATGGAGCATTTTGTTGTGGATTCTGGAAGGACATTGTTGATGAAATGTTTGAACTGTTACTGTTGGCTCTCCTTCTCGAAGTGGAAACATTTGAAGCTGTCGAACGTACAGATGGTGAATGCATTTGACTATTGAATGAATCACCCAGCCTAGTGGTCGTTGCAGTTGGTGATGGTGGTTCAGAAGGTAACAACCGAGAGGCCGAAAGCTTTTGTGGTGATGGATAATACTCATCATGAACTGCCTTGGAAATATCCCCTGAGAAGAGAGAGACAGAAACTTCTTCATCACTCTTTGGTGAAATTCCACCACCATTATTATGATCATCATCAATTGGTGAATGTGGAGAATTGAGAAGTTTGTTGGGTCCTGAAGTGATTGGACTTAATCCAATCTCTGGTATATTCATCATCAGGTTGGAAGGAATTGGAGAGACTGATACTGCTAATTCTTCACTGCCATGTTGTTGTTGATTTGGTGTTGTTGATAATTGTGAATATTGATGATGAGAAATGTGTTGTTGTTGTTGATTATTATTGAATTTTCGTAAATCATAGGGAAAGACACGAATGGCATGATGGTGGGGATGAATCAGTGGTGAGTCTCTATTCGGTTGCATCATTCTCGATGCAGAGTGTTGATGATGATTGTTTGATGAAGAAGGTGTAGTATTGACATGAAGAGGAACCATTCGTGGTGATTGAAAATTCTCATCCGATGATGAAACATCATCTAAATGGTGATGTTGGGCCATGGAAGGGAGACCCTCTTCTGATTGGACAGTGTAGGTATAGTAAGTGGACGTGTTCATAATTGTTGATTTTTCATTATTAATTGTGCTATTATTATTCGGAGGATTGAAAAGGAGAGGAGATTGATCACCAACAACTCCTGAAACTCCTTTGTTTTGATTATTGGAAGTTGGTGATTGGGAGGATGTGGTAAATTGTGATGAGGAGGAGGATGGAGGCGAATTGGGTGATGTTTGCTGATCTAAAAATCCCAAATTATCCAGCCCTGATGAGTAACTGTTATTCGGATTTGTTGTCTGATTATTGTTGGTATTCACCATATTACTAATAGATCCCGATGACGATGATGTACTCATCGAGTTGCTCCTCTTATTATTGAGCCATTGTTTTAAAAACATTTTTTTTGATTTTTTTAAGTTTTTTTTAAAATCAAAAATTTATTTCAAAAATTGCAGAGCTAGTAAACTAGTAAACTGGTTCTCCTGCATAGACTTGATTCTCAATTCCACATTCTCCTTGGGCAATCTTGAAATAACCAGACATACCCCAATTGGATCCCCATGAATTGACAGCTAACCAATAATTAGTTCCACTTTCAACTCCCCAACCAATTAATGCAACAGCGTGTCCACCCAAAGTTGTGGTACTGACATGTTTGTAAACTCCAGATCGATATGACATGAAATCGCGATAAATAGTGAAGCCACTTTGCACAGATCCATAACTCATTATGGCTGCCTTAATATTATTGACACCTGAAATGTAACGAGAGTTCTTAGCCTTGTACATGGTCATGGATTGAGTAGAGACTTTACATTTAGCTGGACAAGTACCAGATGAGAAAGTTGCTCTTCCACTAGCATATGGAATGCAAGAATCAACAGTAGTTCCAGTCCTTTCCAAAAATGACCAAGCATATTTCAAATATCCTCCTTGACAGGCCTTATTCATAGTATCACATTGAACTTGATATTCTGGTGATAGGACAACATTAGTTTTACCATTGGTGGCAATACACAATCTATGAGCCAATACATAGGTGGCAGCTATTTGTCAATATTACCAAAAAGGAAATTTGTATTAAATGAAAATTGTAAAAAAGTTAAAATTAATAAATCAAATTGTAAAACTTAGAAACTTACAGAAAGCCCAACAGGCGCCACATGTTTGTTGATCTCTAACAGCTGGAATGCATCCTCTCCATTGAGTTCTAGCATCAAAATTCATTGGCAAGTCAACACGTGGTTCAATGTCCAATCTTGGAGTGTCAGGATCAGTACTGAGCAAGGACAAACCAAAGAGTGAGTCTCTTGCTTCTGAAATGGACAAGTTTGCAAAACGTGGATATTCAGTAGCCTTCCAACCGAGAGTTTCATTGGCATTGATCTTGTCAATCAATTCCTTATCATTTACTGGAGTACTAGCAGAGGTTTCATTGACTGGACGAGGAGCTGGAGTTGGTGGATGAGTAGAATTGTGTTGACCATGATGAGGTGGTCTTGCTGGTTTCTTCTTGGCAGCTTCAACATGAGCTGCGGTGAAAAGCAAGTATCCCAAACAGAGAGCAAGCACGAGTACACCAAGTGAAAAATTGACAGAGGAAACAGTTCTATATTGTTGAGCCATTATTATTCTTAAAGAGAGACAGTCCAAATATATTGCTTTGAATTGTTTTTTTTCTTATTGATGAGAGAATAGTATGCTTGATTGTGTCACTATTTATCTAGAATGAATAATGGATGAGATTACAATACATTACATTTTGGATTAAAGTATCTATGATAGAAAGTAAGCATGTATCCAATGTCATCGTCACTCAGATAAGATGGATAGTGATAGTGATGCATGTGGCAAGGTTTTCTATCGAGTGGATATCACTAAGTATCTGATGTTTACTGCTTCGTTTCAATTTGGAAGTTGGATAACTTACCATTTTGGTGAGGTATTGCCAAATGACGAAAATTCAATTTATCCAGATAATATTCAAACTTTTCAATCTACTTGTTGAGTTGTTGTAAAGAGATCCACAAATTACTGTAGTTTAGTTAATGTTTGAAAGTTTAGTCTTGGATTTGAGAATTGGATCAAACAAATTCTTCAAAGGTGCCTCTTTACGAGTTCTCTCTTTTTGCCAGCTATCAAACACATTGAGAAGGAAGAAATTTTGAATGACAATGACTACCAAAGCATCAAATACACCTGATTTATCTTCTGAACTTTCTCGTACCTTTTTGTGGAATGAATCAAATGCTTCAGGGCTCACATCATAGAGTCTCTCATTTGGTTTACAGATTATACAATCGGTGATTATTTCCTCCATATACGAATTTCGTTCCTGTATATTTTTCATGACCTTATAAGCTTTCACATTTTGAATAAAGATGATATTTCTATCATCTTGTCTTCTCTTTTTTTTTAGAAAATCTATAAAACTCATCATGTTGCTCTTATTTTCAATTATCGTCTTCATAAACTTGCTCGTATTCTCAGTAATCTCCTCGTCAATTGGAATATTGTTCAATAAGGATTCAGATGGCTTGAGTAGGATTGTGCAGAAAACTGGCTCTGTTATTGAGGTATTGCTAAAAGTCAGGCTTAGAGATAGTTTAATCCGAGCTCCGAATTTTTTACATCCCTCAACATAGGGGAAATGAAGAATGTATTCTCTATCTTGTGCAGGTGTTTTCTCATGTGTTTTGTAAACATCAGTGATATCAAACAGTGGCAAGATTTGTTGTAGGTCCACATTTTCCAATTCACTTTCATCATTGTACCCAAATAAAGTCAAGAAGGGCCTGTTAACAGTGTTAATTAAAGCAGATTCATCAATAAATAGAGTGACAAGAGGGTCTAAGGAATTGATACATTCTATCAAATTATTTTCTTCTTTTACGTAATTTTCAACCTTCTTTAAGGTATTTTCCACAAATTCTACAATTTCTTTTTTCAGTGTTTCGTCTGTAGAAGCAAATATCTCCAGAGTCTCCTTGTCTGCCCTAACTCGTAATGTATAACGTGAGAAGGATATGGAAGATATGAGTATGGCCAATAGACCAAATACAACAATAATGATTGGTATTAAAATTTCCAATGTCAACACACTAGAATCGTGATAATCAATTGGAATTAATAGCATTTCCCATGTTGTATCAATAATTGTAATATTAATGGCTTCGTAAATAAATTGTGCATTTTCCAAGTTATTCAGATCATAATTCTTATGTTCTGAAAGAAGCCTTTGATAAAATACCATTCCTTGCTTGTTATCATAAAATCGAATAGAGTAATTCTCCAAAAGAGAGGTCAAGTTAACTTGTTGAAAAATTTCTCCAAACTCCAAAACAACCAAGGAAAATCCCCAGAAATTTAAATTGAAATCAAGGATTGGCTGTTGAGCCATCAAGCTGTATTGATTATTGATAGTAAGGAATGGTCCATAAATAGTAGTACTATTTGTTTCTATTGCAATCTGTAATTGTTCCCTATGATTGGGTTCAATTCCAATCTCTTGTCCTACAAGACTCTTCAAAACATTCATTGGATACACCTCTGTTAGTGTATAATTCCTTGTCATTCCAAATGTGTGAATGATGTTAAAGTATTGGTATTGACTTGTTTTCATAGCAAACTCGTCAAACTTGTCAGGATCTACATTGTAATCCCAAGAGATGACTGTCTCTCGAATATTATCTAGAGCAGTGATAGTCACCTCGATTCTTTTCTTGATTGCACTATCTGCCATAAAGCAATTGTACTTGGCCGTTTCTCTAATGCTCTTGGTTCTCATTTCTTCCAAGGCAAATGTAGCAAGGCCAACAAGAACTGCCACAAATAAGGATAAAAAGAGGAAAATCAATAATCCTATTGATAATCCCTTCACTAGATAATAAAAACTTGCACGTCGTACCCAATTTTCAACTGTTTCAATTTGGTGTCTTGTTTTTCTAATAACTTCCTCGGAGGGATTTATATTATCATAACTATTATTCAGTAAATTGTGTGAATTTTCTGAATATGAGCTTTCAGTAGCAATATGAAGAGTTGAATCAGCTACTCCTGTTTGGTATGGAATTGGAAGTGAATTGATGGGATTACTTGTTGTTGATGTACTAATACTAAATGAAACCCTCTCAGAATCAAGTAATCCTGAGGTATCTATTTCCATTTCTCTATTATTACTATTACTTTGTAGAGAAAATAATGGAGAGGTATTATTGTTATGAATATTGTTGCTATTAGCATGAGAAGGGCTAGAGAAGATGTTATTTACATTTTGTCTTCCAATTCGTTCCGATGATGATCTAGCCTCCTTATTGTTAATATTATTATTATTAATGTGATTAAAATTGTTATTAGTATTATTATTATTATTATTCAATGCTTTGAAAATTGTTAGACTCCTCTCCGTTGATTCATTATTGTTAATATTCATGTTATTATTAATTCCAGTACAGTTATTATTATTATTATTACTAGCAGATGTAAGCCGTAGGCTTATCGGTGATAATGGTGATGTAATTACATGTTGTTGATGTTGCTCTTCTTTCGTTGCGGCTCGTAGTTGCGTGTTGTTATTGTTTTTAATTTCAAAAGTTGAGGAGGAAAAGAAATTTGTTTTGTTTGAATTATTATCATTGTGATGAAAGAAGGAAGAAGAAGAATTATTGTTGCTGGAAGTGTTAAAGAATGATGATGATGGTATTGGTGGGTTTGATTGCAGAGGCTGGAATGAAAATAGAGAATTATTGTTGTTAATAAGTAATGATGAAGTGTTATTGATTGTTGATGATAGAGAAGGAGGGAAAGTTGGAAAGAGAGTAGTTGATGAACTGTTATTCACCACAACTTCATCATCACCATGATTATTGTCATCAGTAGTGGAAGGCTGGCTCGCTGCTGGGAAAGTATTAGAGGGATCATTCATTGTGTTTCGTTTAAAATTTGGAATCGAATAATAAGTCGAATTGAATTATTAACATGAAGAGATATATGTGAATAATCTTGTTTTTTTATGAATGTCTTTCTCTTACTATGGGAAGGTTAAGAGATTTATTTTTAATCAAGGACGGATGACAGCAGCAATTTATTGATTAAAACAGCATTCACCTTTATTGTAAGGATAACAATATCATGATCTTTAACATGTAAATTCTGATTATTATTTAATTGTTTGCATTACTTTCATCATGTTACATTACGTATTGATGATAATTGTTGTTTCTTCGAAATCTTTTGTTGTTTTCTCTTGCTTGCCTTCTTTGGCAACATCAAGCCATTAGTACCAAGAATTGGCGCCAATAGTGAATTACAGCTGGCAACAAACTCACACAATTTAAATGTAACGTCTATTGTATCCGAATGTTTTATTGCTGTGTTTCTGGTTGCGTCTTTCCATAGAAAAGTGGAAATTCAAATCGTTGGATTTGTTGATTTCCCGCCATTCAAAAACCGTTACACGATCAAATTCAAAATAAAAGCCCTCACCTCTTGTTCACCTTCTCTTCACACAAAACAACAAAAAAAATCCAACAAATCTAGCTAACACAAAAATGCCAAAGGCCACTAAAGTAATCAGCGTCGGTAAAAAGAGATACAATCCAATCGACGAAACTGAAATTGATGAAGAACTTGCTCCAGTCAAAGAACTTGCCAAAGAATTCCAAGTCTGCACTCGTGATTTTAAGGAAAAGATTACAGGAGCCAAACTCGTGGAAGATGAGAATGGTAAGAGAGTCTTGCTCTTGACTGGTTTCAAAACCAAGGAAAAGGATCGTTCCAAGAGAATGGTCAAAGTTGGTGGTGAATTCGATTCTTCCAACATTGTTGCTGGTACCAGAAGAAGAAAGAACGTCAATTATAAGAGCTTGGAAGAAAAGGCATCCAAGCCTGCAAGTAAGAATTCCTTCGATAAGAGAAGTAAACTCACTGAAAAGATGAACAAGAAGAAGGCTGCTGCTAAGAAGGAAACTGAAGATAAGGAAAATGTTGAAAATCAAATGGCTGATGAAGATGTTGCCGCTGAAAAGAAGACTACCAATAAGCAAAAGGAAGAATGGACCTATCCATTATCTAAGAAGAATTTCGAATTGATGAAAAAGTTGGGTGCCACTATTAAGCTCAATCTCCCAAAGCGTGCCTACAGAGATGAAGAACCAATTCCAGAGGAAATTAATGCTTTCGTCTCTGCTAAATTCCCAGAGGATATCAAGTTCACCATTACTAAGAAGCATGTTGGCGGTCATTCCTTTGGTCTCATCAAGCATGAAATCTTTATCTTGAACGATGATGATTGTCCAGAGTGGATGAAGAAGAATGAAGATTATGTAATTATTGGTGAAGGTGAAAGTGGTATTATTGCTTGTAAGAAGAGTGAAGCTAAGAATGATTTTAAGGTTTACATTATCTTTGATGCTACTGAAGATGAAGAAGAAATGGTTTTCACAATGAGTTTATCCAAATACTTGTCCAATTTGAAGAGACACAGACTTGTTAAAGAAACTGAAGAAGAAGAAACTGCTCAAAAGGAAAGTTCTGCTCCATCTCAAGAAGAAGAAGAAGAAACAACCACAGTTGCTCCTTCAGAAAGTCAAGAACTTGTTGAGCAATCCCTTGCCTCTGATGCTGCCTTGAATGAAAAGGTTGATATCATGGAAGATTAATTTGTACTAGAATTCTATCCTATAGAAAGAGGAGCCTGAAGAATACTCCTTTCTAATTATTTGCAAAATGACAATGATCATCTCATGATGGGAAACATTAAGTTTGTGTTCCTGCTCTCGGATGTTGTTGTGATGTTTGCTCTAGATGTAATTTTTTGATTTTATTTTTAACACAATAAATTCGTATTTCATAGAAATTAGTGGAAATTTTCTTGTTGTAAAAATTCGGAAAGCAAATCAATATTAAAAAAAATGTTGAAACGCACCCATAGTGGAACTCTTTCCGATTTTTCATTGAAAAATATGGAAATGGCTAAAAAAACAAAAATTGCAAATGATCATTCCGAGATCATTCTCGATCGATTGGCGAGTGATGAATTAAATTACATGTTTAAATTTCTGACGTTTGGTGGATTGATAAATTATTCAATGACTTGTCAGAGAAATTATTCAATCATTCGTGATTGGATTTCGATCATGTATCCAATGGCTGTTGAATATGTACAAAATCAACATGAATATTGGTCAATTGCAACAATATTGAGAATTTGCAAAAATGTGGTTATTGATGCTAGTACATTTAATTTTGCATTGTTCACGAAAATAGCCGAACAATATAGAGGAAATTTAAAGCTTCTTTCAGAAGAATTGGAATTTAATTTCTTTAATTTTGTTAATGCTAAGGTTTATTTCGAAATGGAGGTTAAAAATTTTGATTCCATTTATGAAAAAAGAAAAATTCCATTTGTTGTGTTGCAACCAACTGTTGGCTTTAATTTTAGCAATGAGGGAGAGTCAACAATTGAGGAGAAACGAATAGTTAAGGAAAAGGAAATTATAACAATCCCACTTGGTTTCTTTATGAAGAATTTAAAATTGTATTTCGAGCATTTATTGAGTGATATGTATTATGTGTTGAGATTTTGTCATTTGGTGGAGAATTTGGAGATCAGCTTTGGAGATTCTGTTTCAGATGAAAAATATGAAGATTTCTACGAGTGTCCCCTACTGACCTCATTGAAAAACTTGAGAATTGTGTCTGGATGTATTTTGGATGATGTACAATCTCAAAAATTTGTTATTGACATTCTCAAGTTGACACCTAATTTGTTGGATCTTGAAATATTTTTTCATAACTATTGTGATGTAAATATACTAATGTACATAACTAGAATGTGCCCTAATCTTGAAAAAATTTCTATTGACGTTGATCATGGCTATGGATATATAGGAGTTTCTATTAATGATGAAGGATTGTATGGATTCTTGAAGGCTCTTCCTAAGTTGAAACATTTGAACCTTGGTGTTTGTCATCAAATATCTGGAGATTTCTATTCGAGAATAGGTGAATTTACTCAGATTGAGTATTTTAGAGTGGAGAGAAGGAATGGTGGATACGGACAAGTTTTGGTGGACGAAGTTGATAATGTCAAGTTTGGTGGTGGAATGTTACCAAACCTTTATTATTTGGAAATTGGAAATTTCTCCTTTTCGACAGAGAAGAGACAATCATTATTGGAAAGCTTGAGGCTAATGGCTCCTAAACTAGCTAGATCCAATTTCCAGAACCAATACTCATTTACTTTACAAGATTATTGTTAGGGCTTGTTGGCAAGAAATACACTCAATTATTGAAATTAATTTTACATTCTCATCACATAAGACAGCATGTCAAATATAATATACAATACTCATAATATAAGATATAGAAAGGAAGCATTAGTAGTGTAACGGTATCATACCAGCCTTCCAAGCTGGTGACCCGGGTTCGACTCCCGGCTAATGCATATCGCTTTTAGTTTGTTAAGGTTAGATTTTAATGAAGTTTCAAAACTGCATTTTTGCCTATTGATTGATTATTGCAAACCAAAAATATGAACAATATCCGATTGTTATTAGAAATAGGTCATTCCAATTTTTTCTAAATATCAACCCAGTGTCGTCTAATGAAAGACAAGTGTCTCCTTGGAGTAAAATCCAGTATTCACGTGATCCAGGTTCAATTCCTGGCATTGGGTATTCACCTTTTTGCATTATCGTGCCCGGTTTTGATAAAAATTTAAGCAAAAAGGAATAGCTTGAAGACACACCAAGAAGGCAAACAACAGGCAAACCATTTTCCCCCATAGCTAAACCAATTTCATAGGAACGAATCAATTTGCGCCATAGGTGGAACTTTTTTTCTAAACAAGGCAATAAATTTTTCTACGTTTCTTGGCTGGAAATGTGTTCTTGTTGTGTTACACCAATCCACAAATTTCTCACTGGACAGTGAACGAATATTTCTGGCGGATTTCAACAAACACTGAAAAAAAATGGTAACAAGTGGGTTGAGCAATGGATGTCAGAATATGTTATGCACAACAAGGAGGATTCAATGTTTATACCTTGCGCTTGTATTCATGGCGTTGTTGTCTACAGGGGTGGTGGTGGTTGTGGAATCGCTATCTTCAACACCTGTCAATTATTATACACAGACACTTGAAGGTTTCAACAATAATTTTGATATTGTGGAGGCTAAATATGCCTACATGTTGTCTCCTACTGGTTTGAGTGCTGGTTTGAATGGAGATGTCTTTGTTGCAGATGCTGATAGACATGTAGTTTTTAGGATTTTTGACATGTATAAATATGCAGAAGTTTATGCAGGATATGTGACTTCTGGATTCAATGGAGATGGATTGAAGGCTGTGGGTACATTATTGAATACACCGACAGCTATATCTGTGAATCCATTGAATGGTGATTTGTTTATTGCTGATTCACTCAATAATAAGATTAGAATAGTTTCGAATAGAACAAGAACAACATCATCTATAGCACATGCGTTTAATAATCCAAGAGGTGTTTATGTTTCTTCCAATGGATTTGCCTACATTTCAGATACAGATAATAATCTAATCAAGAAATACGAAATTTCCACAAAACAAACTTCCATTATTGGAGGAGGTGGTTATTTAAATGGTGATTATGATGGTGTAGATGCCAAGCTTTTGAAATTACAATCTCCAAAGAATATATTCGTTGTTTCTAATGGAAATAAGGATATTGTCTATTTTACAGATGCAGAAAGAGTCAAGTCAATTGATGGAAATGGAATGTATAGAATTGTGGATGGAGGAGTGGCTCAATCTAATTTGTAAGTGAATAATTGAATGATTTGTTTAATAATTATACGAAAGATATGGTATCTATGTTTCGAATGGAGGTGAAATTTACACTTCATCTCAAAGTAATAATTTCATACAAATGAAATTGTTGAATTCAGATGAAACTAAAATCCTTATTGGAGGTTCAGAAGGATACGATGGTGATAATCAATTATTCGATTCTTTAAATACCAAGTTTTATGAACCATCTTCTTTAATTATCACTCAGAATGCGATAATAGTGGCAGATAAATCGAATAGTTGTATTCGAAAGATTGATTTACAAACCAAGATGGTTTCCACATTATCTGGTGGAATAATTAATCATCCAAATGGTGAAAACATTTCACCTCTCCAAATGTATTCAACAGGAAGTGTTTTATTCCCATTCTACTATAAGAATGACTTGTACTTTATTGACAGAGCATATTATTTACGAAAGGTTTCAAATGGAAAAATGACCACTTTATTGGGTTGTGAAAGATTAATCAAATACACGGCCAACATTCCACAGCGTTTTTACATGCTAGTCGCCAATTCAATCCATATTGGAAATGGTGATGTTTTGATTTTCACTAATTTAGATACATCACTTTACAATTTCAATGTGGAAACTCAAAACTTGACTTTAATAATCAAATCTCCAATTTATTCAAGTGCGATTGATGTACTTGGTGATTCTTTCGACAATTCTACAATTTATTTAAGAACTTCTGAGTATCTAATCAGTATTTTACAAAAATCTACAGTTTTATACCAATTAATAATTCCAATTCCAAATGGATATCTTGATCAAATTGTTGCTATTCCAAATATCAGATATCCTGATTCTAATTCCTTATTTTTATATTCAGGTTCATTGAATACTCTGTATGAGTATGTTGACTTTAAGAATGGATCAATGTTAGTTTTCAGCACGCCAATGCCAACATCTTTGACATTTAATGGATTTCAAAAAAATGATAGAAATTTGTTTTTTTTTAATATGGGTCAACTTTATGATTTTCAATTAGAAAGTTTTACATTGAAGAAAATTGGAGGATTGGATCATCTTAATGTTTCAAACACAATCGTCTATGTTTATGGATTCAATGGTGAGAATATTCCAGTCGAAAGCTCAGCTCTGTAAGTATAATTCTTTTAATATTCGGGAAAATTCGAATAATTCCTGCCTTAATGATGGAACTGTAGATATTTACCAAGAGCTGTCAAACAAGATTCCAGAATTCTTGTGACAAACCAATATCATTTGAGTGAAATTTCGAATGGAAGAGTTTCCACAATTGCAGGACTAAGTCCAGCTTCAAGAACTTTAACTCCGTTAATGTTAATGAGAGATGCATCAAAGAAAGTGAGCTACTATATGGATATGAGAACTTTGAAGAAATTTGATGAAACTACTGGCAAGTCTACCACCTTAAGTAGCTCACTGTTAACAACTCCACTTGCTTCAGTTAAATCACCCTATTTTACTTTCAATGCACAACTCGGCACCGCAAAGGCTCAAGGAGTGTTCTCAAAATTTGATAGAAAAATCTATATTAAGGATACATGTAGATTTATTCGAATCGATCCAGACACTATGAATTATGAAACTGTTATTGGATCAACAGTGTGTGGATCATTCGTGACTGGAATTAATGCAGTTGATTCTCCATGTCCACAATTTAATTTAATTAATGGATTGACAGTTGAGGATACGACTGGTGATTTGCTAATCGCCTTGGATTCAGCAATTTACAGATACAGCCAAACAACTAAAACAATGTCAATAGATATTACATTTTCAAACAATGGTCTCATTTCTGATGATGGAATCATGAGTAATGTGACATTTCCAGGTGTAATATCAAATATTTTCTATGATAGTGGTTACATATATTTAAGTACACAAGCTACCATTAGAAGAATTGAAAAACTATCTGAAGGCACCTATTATTTAAGAACTTTGGTTGGAAATTCAATTCAGGGCTATTCAGGTGATAAACTACCAGCCCTCCAATCATCGATCGATAATCCCTCTGCTTTCTATGTGAAAAAGAATGGAGATATAATTATTTTGGATGGTAGTGGAACTTCTCTTGTTCGAATGTATCAGAAACGGAGCGGTTTATTGCTGGATATTGCTGGATCAAGAGTTGCATCCCCAAAATTCAATGGAGATGGATTTGGAACTTATTCAATCTTTTCAACGTTTGCAAGACAAGTGGATTACGATGAAAGTACGGGTGAAATCTTTTTCATTGATGCTAGAGCTTATATTCGAAAGATTATTCCATATTGTGGAAGAAACTACACTTACAATTCTTGGAATAGTACATGTGATTCCAAATTGAGTTGTAATGGAACATTGGCATCAAGTGAAAATGTTTGTAATGGAAATGGACAATGTTCTGATATTGATGTTTGTCAATGTAAGATTGGATTTGAAGGTCAATTTTGTGAACTCAAAAGTCAGTCAATAATTGATTCTACAGTTTTGATAGTAGCTATTGTGATACCGATTGTTGGGGTTTTATTGATTTTACTAATAGTTGTGATATTAATTATTGTAATAGTCGTGTGTTTCTCAAAAAAGAAAAAGAAGGACTTTGAAATTGCTAAATTGGACACAGGAAATGTTGAATTATCCGAAACAACTTTCCTTTCGTCTAGTTCAATGATTATTTCCTCATCTGCTGGATCTTCTGTTGGCTCAGATATGATAAATCCATTCTCCAGATATTCAAACATTACAAGAATTGGACAAGGAGCATTTGGAAGTGTTTACAAAGTGACAGATTTAAAGAAAAACAAATTGAAAGCAATCAAACTTGTTAAATTTGAAACATTGACAGATTTGAATACAATTATGAAAGAAGCATCTCAATTGAATCATATCAACCATTCCAATATTATCAAAATTAATGATTATTTCATTACAAATGACAATTTATTGATTATTGACATGGATTATTTTGAATTGGGAGATTTAACAAAATTGAAACAAGAAAATTGCAGTGAAAAGATTGTCAAGCAAATATTGAAACAAATGTTGAATGCATTGAAATATGTACATGAAGAAATGCACATTATTCACAGAGATATTAAGCAAACAAATATTTTTATTAAGAAAATGACAAGCGACAATATTGACATTGTATTGGCAGATTTTGGATTAGCCAAAAAGTATCAAGAAATGACAGGTCAATCCTATGCTGGAACTCCACTTTGTAAGTATTATAATTTTTCATTACCCAAACTAAACTAAACTATTCAGATATGAGTCCTGAAGTTGCACTTGGAAGTTCATATTCATATAATACGGATATTTTCTCATTGGGTATTTCAATTTATCAAATCATGACCAATGACTTGGCAACTTCGATTAGTAACTTGCTAATGGGAAATCAAGCGGAGAATGCAATCAAAATATTGAAGAATCAAATGAAAGAATCTGCTCATTGCGAATATTCGGACGAATTGATTGAAATAGTTTTGAAAATGTTAGAAAAAGATGCAAATCAAAGACCTTCAGCATCTCAATTACTTTCTCTTAAATATTTCAAATAGAAAAGACCTAAAATCTTACAATTAAAAATAAAATTAAATATTTTTTAAAATTTCAAAAATTTACAAATAAGGAGAATTTGAAAATATTAAACAATATATTGTAATAAAATTAAATTCTTTTAAACCATTGATTTTTCGTAATATTCACTACTATCAACACCTCCCATTCTAATCTTATTACCAAACAACCAATTAACCATAATATGTAAACCAGTAACTTCAAATTTGTATTGTAAAGTATCGTTTCCTTTCGAATTGGTGTTTGATATATTGGAATTGACCTAATCCTCCAAATTTCATATTTGGAAAGATGAGGGAATATTCATATGAAAGAATCCATGGTTCTCCAAATCCTAAACAAAATCCAGAAACCAATCTTGCCAAGTAAATGAAAATTTCATAAAATAAACCTGCATAAGCTGTGAAAATCTTGAATTCTCCCTTTCCATCATCGTTTGGAAACCAAACTAATCTGGATTGTTCTGGATTTTCAACATCTCCCCAATCTGCTCTCGACCATAGTGTGAACGAATCAATTAATCCAAATGTTCAACAACATGTAGAGAGCTCGCCACCAAATATTGAGATAGTGAGACTCCAAAGTAGCGAACCTGAATGTTTTTAACTTGTTCATCGAAGGTCAATGTTGTTGATAGCTCGTGTTTGTTGTTCTTCTTCTTCTTGTCCAATAGTGTTGATGAATCCACAGATGATAATGATGGCATGACTGCTCTTGTTCACTTCTATTAAGGTTTGTTGTTGTTGTTTTTTTCACAAAATGAAAAATTGTAAATGTGGGCCACTTGTATGCAGAGCTTTGTGTTGGTGCTTGAAAAGGGTGGAGCTTTAAAGTTGTTGGCATTTACAGCATTACTATGTTTGGTCGATCAGTTTACTGTGGAAGATAGGAGAATACAACCACTACAATGTGAATTGGAAGGTTTATTGTAAATTGGTTGAGGAATTTAAAAGAATCAATGTATTAGTTAATTAATGTATTTACAACAGGAATATTGTTGCTAAACATGAGAGAATAAAGAGCAATGCATTTTGCATTTCCAACAATGAAATAGTTCCAGAAATTCTAACATCATATTGATTCGACACAAAGCTTCCATAAGTAAAGACATCTCCAAAGAGTCCAACTTTGCATGTTGAGCAATTTCCCTTATTTGTAGAAAGCCAAGAAAGCAAATCCACAGCATCTGTAATGACTGCATGGACCTGTTTATCGAGAATCATTGGCCATGCTTCGTAATAACCACCTGAAAATCTAATAATGGTTGCAAGTGGTAAATTCGCAGTTGCCCAAGCATCGTATGTTGTTGTCTTGTAAACTGCAACTTTAATTCCAGGTTGATTAAGACCAGTTTCATTTTCAACACGAATATTAGGATCAAGCTCGGATCTGATATAGGCATTATATGAAGAACCGTAGGCACATTGGAAGTGAGCTTGAGTTGTTCTGGTACTGTCAATATTTGTTGAAGCAATGGCAACGTCACAGCTTCCATCATCAACTGCCTTCTTTAATGAAGTGAAATAGCCAGTTTGCGTATTAATTAACACAAAATTGGCTGTCAATTCAATACCATAATGTTTTTTCAATGTATCAACAAGCATATTACCTGCCTTGATGTGTATTAAATTCCAAGGATACAATGCATTGCTTTCATAACATAAATTCAAAACAGTTGATGAAAAATTGAAAACTGAAGGAAATGAAGGAGGTTCACAATCTGGCACTGGGAATGAATTAGTGAAAGTATTCAAATAAGTTCTCCATTCTTGTGTCCTGATATAAACACCTGTGGCTGCATCAATGGCTTGAGGGAATTGCCAACCTTTTGTTGCAATTGTAGAATTGCTGACACTTTGCAATCCGTAGCGAAGAGATAATTGATAGCTTGGATAAATGGTTAAAAGTAACAATGCTATGGAGATGAGCAGTGTCAGTGACAAATATTTCTTCATCATTGATGTTGTTAGTAGTAGTGGGTCAAGTTTCTGCAATGGAAGGAGTTGAGGTTTTTTGTTCGTGTGTGAAAATGCGTTTTTCATCTCTTGTGTAAAGAGAAAATCTTGACTCCTTCACAATTTAAGAAGTGGTAAATAATATCCTTATTAAATACGATTGGGTTGCATGAATTTCTTTGTCACTTTTTAAAAGGTACGTTGGCCCATCTAGGCACATGACAAGTTATGTTTCGTTAACAATGTTGGAGGAGTGGTGCTTCATTTTGACATTCCAAGACAACTACCGAATATCAACGCTATGCGGGCCGAAAGGTTATGATGATTCTCTGAAAGCAAGATACTATTAGGGAGCATTATTGTCCATGATGCGTCCATGAAGTGACTGTTGGATTAGTAATTTGGCTGCACCTAGGCATTGTGACCATCTTAATAATACAGATGAATTTTCATTATCATGACACATTGTTGACATTATTTGGTTTTACTTTCTAATTGAATCGATAAATCAAATGTTGTTATGTTATTGGAACTTGTTAACATAAATGCTTGTTTATGATAACAACATTAAACATTGGTTGGAATTCGGTAATTGTATGTGCTTGGCTCGCTTGGAGATTGAGCAACAGAGAGTGACTCTTCAGAAATTATGAATGGACTCAATGTGGTGGTAACTGTTTCGTCAACATGAAGGTATCTGTTCATGAAGGCATCAATCCAATTTCCAAAGCAGCACAAAAACATTCCACACGAGGCCAATACAATAATGTGACCTTGCAACCAACGGAAGAAAATTTGATGACCTCTTGCATTAAACACTACCTTGAGTTTGTCTCTTCCATAGGTTGTTGGGTTTTTGTTGGCATAGTAAAATTGTCCAACACCTCCAAATTCCATCTTTGGCATCAATCTTGAATAGTAATATGATTTAATCCAAGGTTCAGCAAATCCCAATAAGAATGTAACAGAAAACAATCTTGCTCCCCAAGTAACAATTTCAGTGGTTACTCCTGGGAAGGCAGACAAGATTTTGAACTTTTCTCTTCCATCATCAATTGGATGCCACACTATATTATTTTCAGCATCAGGATCTACGACTTCTCCCCAAGAAATACGTCTATCAAGCTCAGAATAGTAAAAGATGTGCATCATTCCAGACAAGTACCACAATCCAAATGTTGATGAATTGATAAAGTTATTAATAATGCAAAGTATTGGAACCTTTAGCCATGGATCATGAGTATCAAATTTGAGTCTTCTTCCTCCAACAATCATTTCACTAATTTGACTATTGGCCATTGGAATAGCAAAGAAGGCCTCCACAATACCAAATGTCATCTTTGACAAGATCCAAACTAATACTTCCCAACAACAACAAGGACCAATTCCAAAATATTGAAATTGTGGGCCTTCTCCTTTGTTTAGAACTGGTTCGATATTTCCATCAGATAATAACCCATTATGACTAGGAACATTTCTAAAGATGCCAGAGTTTGTGTAATAGGCTTGTTGTGGTGGAAGGAATGTATTGTTATTTACAGAATATCCCTGTGGAATTACTTGTTGTGGAGATGTTATTGGTGAGGAGGATGATTGGATCAGAGGAGAAGAACCACTACTACCAACAACATTTGGATTATAACTTTCACTATCAAGACTCTGTTTAGTAGACAATGATCCGGATGATAAAACTGTTGGTGCATCAGCTGATGATAATGTGTTGGTATTATTAACGTTAGCAAATTGTCTAATATATGGATGAAGAGCAAATCCTTGATCTCCTTCTTGTTCTTGGGGCACTTGTTGATTATTTTGTTGTTGTGCCCCTGATGAGGTTGGTGTATTCAGAGAAGGATTGAAAGGAGGTGGATAATTTGAAGACATTTTTTTGATGATTTTTGCTTTCTAAATTGATTCTATTAGTTGTATTAGTTCATTAGTGTTCAAGCTATTATTGTGTATTATTATTATTCATTCATTATTAATTATTCAATAAAGATGATTGATTTTTTTAATATTAATAATTATCATTATTTAAATAAAAATTGGTTATTCATTCCTTCCGATATAATTCAAACTCTCTTTCCAATCTTCTCCATATCACCTTTTCATTCAACTAATACAGTTACAAGTATAATTATAGTTACGAATACAATAATAATATTTCTAAAATCATCATTAAAATAAATTTTCAAAAGCCTATTTTCCGTAATTTTTTTTATTAAGAAAAATCAAAGCCTTCATCTTCACAGCGTCAAACACAAAAAGCCTCAAAAAAAATTCCTTAATACAAAATAAGCATGTGAGGAAGCACAACAATGAAGAGGAACAAAGAAGAAAGAGGATGGAAGAACAATTAATTGTAGTCTTTCAAAAAGAAATTTAGTAATCCAAGTTGCCTATTGCAGAGTTCTAAATCCATCCACTGCCTTTTATCAACGGTGCTGCTTCTTACGGAAGAATAAGAACATGATGACGATTGTAATTTCATCAATTAACAAAATTATTAATGTGGCGAATAGCAATTATTAATTCACCATCATGCAATGATCTAGTCATCTATTTATCACCAAAGCTAGACTATTCATTCCGATCTTTACTCAGCAATTTTACCACTGACAATGAATGAGTCAAGCGAATATAGCTTTGCCAATTCCCACCTTTATTGTTTTAAATTGATACACAACATGTCCTTTTGGAAGGAATCTGTGTTATTCAATGACATGTTGATGAGAATGACAATATTAGCAATTAAATAATTGTCCAAATTGCTGCTACTACTTCCTTAAACTTCCTGTTGTAGTTTCATAGTCTCATTTGTTTGACTTCATACAATTCTTCGTTCTATTTCGTGGTCGATGTATTCGAAACTAAATGTAAGAGTTAAATTAATATTTAAAAAAAACGTACTCAACCGACCTATCTCTCCAGACTGACACTGCCTAATCTATTTTAGCCTTCAAAGACTTGAATAGTATCCAATAAGACAAGCAGTGAAAGAAACCTAATCACCCAAGAGTTTCCAATCTCCATCATCAGTAGTTTCGTCTGACTCATTCACAAATAGCAAAATGGTCACCAATATTCATCATTCAAATAATAATAACACAACAACAAACAACACTAATAACATTGGAGTAGTTTCGTCTAATCCTTTCAAAAGATTATTTCGACTCTCGAAAGATCATCATCATCACCATCATCATCATTCTACTGAAGAGAAATACGAAACCTGTAACTGTCATCAACTTTATGAAATGATAGAACAAAAGAAGGAAGAAGAAACCATTGAAGATAATTTACCATCCTCATCGAGTGTAATTTCCTCCTTTACCATGTTAAATTCCAATAATAAGAGAAGATTTTCCATGACTAATCATCCAATTATAATTCCTTCCCAAATTGTTTCCTCCACTAACGATAAGAATGCTAACGAAAAGAAGAAGGAAAAGAAGAGAAAGTTGAAAAAGCAAAACAAACTTGATATCTTTCACTTCTTTAAAGGAAGTAATAACAACACTTCAACAATTGATCACAACCATTCACAATTTGTTGGTTTAAATATTACTACTACGAGTAATCAATTGATTGAACAAAATATTTCCAAACTCGATAGAAACAATTCGATAGAATTGGATTTTGATTTCAATATTGTGGATAAACCAATTACTTCCAATACCTGCTATATGACTAACTGTTTGACTACCTCATCTGTAGACTATTCCAATAATTCAACAACTTTTTCAACCAATGTACATAATAATGCCACTACTACCTACGAGACTCCCCTTGATAGAATTTTACTATTGAACGAGTCCACTAAACTCACTAGTCCAGCACTCTCCAAGAATATTTCACCCAAGAATAATCAGGAAAAGAATCAGCTCCACAGAGGAAAGCCACTCAAACTGACCTCCAATGAGGGCCTCTTTTTCGTACAACCTCTCAAATCCAAACATTCATCAATAAGTAATGGAGACAAGAGAAGAAGAGTTGGTGATGAGAACAATGAATCAATGATATTGAGCGATGGTATTTCCCCAACCAATTCATTTACAGTACTGAGTGATGAGCCTATGATTACATCTCCAAAAGTGTCTCCCAAACTTGATCAATCTTTTGTTGAGGAATTTTTATGAGATCTTCAATAAACAATTTCGAACAAATCAGCAAGTTCACGTGTTACATTTTGTGAAAATATTTGAACTTGAAGTTTATTTGAACTTACTTTTGGGTGTCAAGTCTCCAAACTAACTTTACAATAATTGACTTGATCTATTTAAAATACAAAATTTTTAAATGTTTTTGGAATTTTATTATGTTTTTATTTCTTGAAACCTCTCTTGACAGTAATACCAATGAAATCCATAACTTGATGGAGCGACGAGGCTCTTGGAGCTTTGGCATTTTGATTTTCGTCAGTATCAGAAAAGTTAAGTGTTTTTCTTCCACCCTTCTTTGATTTTCGCTTTTTTCCAGAAGCCCAACTGGTGGCTGCTTCCAAAAGAGACTCGGAAATGGATTCTGCAATAATTAAAGGTTCTTGTGCATCACTGGTGGCATCATAGAATTGATTACAACTTTCTTTTGGAGTGTCACCATATTTATCCTTGGCAAGGAATAAGTGAGCCATCTTGCTGAGTTTCAATACTGGACTGACAGTTTCAATAAAATCATGAGTCCATTCGAGAGCATTCATCCAATCAAGAGAAGCTTCATCTGTATCAGGATCAAAGGCCATACCTGTCAAAAATACTGATTGAACACACAAGTGCATCAAATTCTTTTGTTGAGAATCAACTTCGTTGAAAAGAATTGGAATTAATCTTTGTTTTGTTGAATTCTTTTCATGATAGAGATATTGTAAGATAGCATAGAAGGAAGACATGTCATTCTTTGCAATAGATTCCATCAAGATATTTCTACCATGACCATTCTTTTGAAGAATTGCTCTTTCGAATGCATCATTTCCAAACAAATCACCTCCAGTTGGGAGAAGCTTGGTGAGGAAAGATTCTTCAATCCTCTTAATTCTGGTTCCTCTGAAATCAGTCAAACATACAAAGAGAGCATTTTCTTCTTGTGAATTTTTCTTTAAAAGGATACCAGGTTTTGTCTTTGCCAAATATTCAATGCTTTCCATAGATTTTTCTCTGACAGCAATATGAAGTACAGATTCTCCAAGACCAACACCGATACCAACAGTGGTATCGAGTTTTGCACCAAATAATTGTAATGTATCACTAATTTCGAATTGTTTTCTCTTCAAAGCCCAGTGAACAGGTAAGAAACCATATCGATCAGCATGCAAATTTAACTGATCCTGTACAATTTTAAAACTACATAAAAATGCACAAATTCCATTTGATCCTGATTGTACAGCATAGAAAATTGGAGTGGCATTTTGCTTATCCACACTTGATAGGAGAGCATTTGTTTTTCTTTGACATTCATTTGAGTGATTGGCGTTTGGACCACCATTTGTATTCGAACACTTTTCATCACAACAAGCAGATGAAATAACGTGTTGGAGAATATCTGCTTGTGCATGTTTTGCCGACAGATGAACAACATTCATATCAAATTCTTCAGGGAATGTTGTTTTCAGTATTATTTGATCCATAGTTATTAATTTTTGTGATCCACTTGTTGAGAGGTGAGTTGAAAGATGATTATTTGGGCTACCAATCATTAAAGATGAAGATGAAGAGGATACTGAATTATTTGGGGAGGAAACTGGATGATTATTGGTAATTGATTCTTCTACAGAGTTGACTAAATCTGATGTTGGTGTTGTAACCAATCCGTTGGTACTAACGTGAGTAGGGGAAGTAGGTGAGGTTGAATACAATACATTTCCAATAACTGGAGATGACAGTTGACCAGTTGAATTGGCAGTATTTTGAGTAATATGAGCGAGTGACAACAACTCTTCCAAACATTCTTGTACCCTGCTGATCATACCTTTTATGACTGCTTGATACAAATCTGCTTTAATTTCTTGTTGGGTACGTAGAGTTGGTGTTTGAGTATTGACAACACCTTGTTGAGGTGGTGTTTGATTCGATATCATTGTTGATGTGGTTAAACTTGTAAAATTGCTCTTATTGTTAGCAGAGGTAGTAGTAGATTGAATATTAGAATAATTCTCAATAACACTCATAATGTTGTTCTTCTATTAATGGATAGACTCGAGATTTTCTTTTCCAGTCTTCCTTTTTGTTTTGCTCGTTGTTGTGCAATTACTTTTGTTTAGTGGGTCGCTGGGTGTATATCGTATAAGCGTCGAGCTAATAGATGCGATTATCGATAAACAAACGTGAAATTGTATGGAAAATGATTTTTTGTTTTAATTCACGCCTGAAGAACGGGCAGGTCGCTGTGCTAACTGTTTCTCATCGAAGAAAAGATCTGATGTGATGAACGCTTTCATTTTACGTGAAATACGAAAAAAGACTCGACGCGATGATAGCAATCTATTTTGAGCGGGAACGAAGCCATTTTCAAACAGTCAAATGAAGATCCGCTTTTTTGTTGATGGCAAGTGACGTTGGTTTTGTGTACACTGGTATTGAGGTTGGTGAGGGAAATGTGAGAGATGTGATGGCAAGGTTTGGGTTGTGAAATATTTGAGTTTTGACTTGAATGGAGAAGGAATCTCTGATGATATTTGGTGTTTTTGAGAGGTAAATTGAGAATTATTGAATAGAAGAAAGTAGACGAAAGTAAAATTGACATGAAGGTGATTTTCTAATGAGTTTATTCGTGAAGATCAGGCTATTTTAATTGTTACCAATACTATTATTCAATTCTCGAATTCGTAAAGTGGTTTCTCTTTCTTCAACATATTTCGGATAATGTTGTGTTTTTGGTCAGAAGAGGCTGAAAATGTTATTCGAAACTTCATGGTACCATTGAAAACGTATGACCATCAATGTATTTGAATAACTGACCAACAGACCACCAAGATATTTTACCAACCACTTTTACAATATACTTTGCAACCATAGTTCATATTTGGTTGTATTAACGAAACTAGGTGACTCGGAATTAATAAATCCGACGAATTATAAATGTTAAATTCAACCTCAAATAATGCTTTCTATCAAACATCTTTAAAACCAACACATCAATTAGGCATTAAGATATTGGAAAAGTGACCAGTTGAAACGTGTTGGATTTGTTTTCGTCTTTTGGCCAAAGGTGTCAAGTAGCCTTGTTGAGTTTTCACAGTGTTGATTGACACTTTACTTGACTACAGTTGATAGTGGTCATCTTATTTGGCTAGAATAATACTTGACTTTCTAAATAAAAAGTTCTCGATATGTAAATAATGTCAAATAAATTGTAAACTCAATAGATGCTTGACTAAGCATTCAGATTTGTTTTCAAATCATATTAATGAAGATGATTCGTATAATCATCTTCTCTATTTGTAAAATTCATTAGTGAATTAAAATGAAGGAGTGTGAGAGCTGCTACTGTTTGGTTGAGTTTTGTGTTCTCTCGAGTAGAAGAGAGTATCCAACAAGTAGAATGAATTTTCAGAGTTGACTTGTTGTTCTGTAAGTGGCATGTTTCTTCTCTTTGAAATTCCCTTCTTGACATTTTCAACACCTTTTGATTGTCTTAGTGAAAGAATCTTGTTAAAGAGAGAAAGTGGGAATTTGCCACCCATGTCAACAAATCCTGAAGCTGTGAATCTTGTGTGTTTTTCACTCAATTTCTCAATAACAACGCCTCCTAGAAAGATACCCTTGATGCATCCCTTACTGAGTGGAACCTCTTTGCAATCGTGACTTCTTCTCAAGATGGTATATCCATTGTAGGAATCAAATGTTTCGTCTCTAATGGAAGTTCCAATCAGGAATTGTCTATCACTCATTGGCCAAGCCATTTTCATTTTACTGCTCAAATAGCTGACTGCATAGGTAGGTCCTTTGACAAATCTTTCAAATTTCACATTGGACATGGTATCGTCAATGATATTCAAGATTCTCATATCTGTCAATGCAAAGAGTACTTCCTCAGGAGATGATTCAATAATTCCCACTTCCTTATAAATTTTCAATCCTCTACTGTTGTGATAGAATTTGTTTTCTGAAACAAAGCATGAGGATTCAGAATCTTCGTGAACTTTCAACCACAAACTTTCGTTATTGACCAATTCGATAAGTAAATCAAATTGTTGCTCAGTAACAATATCATCTACCAATTCAGCAATAGATTTGGTGAATTTTTCTCTAATATCCATAACATTATCCAATATTTTTGTTTCTATTCCATTTGGAGAAAGGGTATGAAGGGAAAGCATTGTTTGAACATGATTGACATGAGTAATTGATTCAACCGAGTCAATGGAACCATCATCACTTGAAAGATCAGCCAATGGTGAAACCAATCCCAATGGAGATCCAGAACCTGAACCAGAACCAGAAGCAGGTGAAGCAGGAGAAAGAGCTCTATTCGACTTATTTGTAATAAATTGAGAAACTTGATTTTTCTTTGTCTCTCCAATCTTGGAAAAGTAGATATTCAAAAACTTGTAAATGGCATCCAAATTCTTTGAGGTAACTTCCTTCTCTACCTTACTCACAATCAAATTGAAAAAAGAATGACTCTTCAAAAATCTGACGAAACTGTCGCATTTCAATTGTAAACTAACTTCTGTTCTGGCTTCATCAAATAAATGTGGATTAATATCATTTTCACCACCTCCTCTAGAACATTCCTTTTCATAATTTCTCAATACAGCATCTCTTATTTGACTGGACAAGTTGACTTGATGTGCTGAATGATCGTTGAGAAATTTGTCGATAATTTCCTTAGCTTTGGCCTTTCTACTTATCTTGTTATTGTTGAAGGGTTGTGAAAAAATTGAATTATGTTCTGTTAAATCCTTCAGAGAATCCTTTCTTTGAACCTTTCTTCCTGGTGAGGTGAAACTAGTGGACGAAACTGATGGAGACAACGGAGAACCAATACTAATTGTTGATATTGTTGTTGTAGATGTCTGAATTGAAGGAAGCAATCCTGCTGGTGAATTTACATTATTGACACTACTGCCATTCGAATAGAAAGTAGACGAATTATGACTATTCGAATATTCATCAATTTTAACAAGAAATTCCAAAGAACTGGCATTTAGTTCATTCTTGAGAAAATCCAAAAAACCATTCATGATGAAACCATCGCCAAGACACATTTCTAAATGTACATTATACTTTTTAAAAGTTTCTTGGATGGCATGTGAAAGATTTTCTTGATAATTATTGTTGTGTGAAGAAGGAAGTCGCATTTCCGTTTCTTCAGTCTAGTTTCGTATAATGTTTCGTAAATTGTTTTTCACAACTGTTGTTGACCTTCTTGTTGTTGTTGTTATTTAATACCTATGTGAAACTTAATGACTGTCGATATAGTGCTGTGTCTTGTTACTGCACTTGTTGTTGAAGTGTTTGGTTGTGTTTTTTTTTGGGGTTTCTAACAGTATGAGAAACAACTTGTGAAAGGCTCAGAATTTTTGAGAGGTTGATGAAATATGGCAAAAGGTTTCCCTATTATTATCTTCCCTTTGTGTAAAGTTGTTCAATGATGAAGAAGCAAAGGAATCGTTTTGTTTCTAACAGAAAGTGTTAGAAAGAAGAAGAAACGAAAACTTTGTTCACAAGAGAAGAGTTGTGTTGCGTTTTTTTACTTGTCGAAAAAGACTCACAGATGCAAAAATAACCAAACAGTAAAAGAACAGTTACGATTTTTGTTATTGTTTTTCCAATTAATCCACATTGTCAAAAACTAAACGAGGTTGACAACTACCATTTCAATATGTGGTGTTGATGATTCATCACGCTCGAAGTACCGATTTGTTGCTGTCACTAGTATTGGATGGATTCTGTTGTGAGAGTTAGCATACGATTGGTTCTTTGAGAAATGGTGTTTTCTAACAACAATATTATATTGAAAATCATTGAATGATTAGTGAAATGTAAGTTCCATTACATCATCAAGCAATTTCATCATCAGTTTGTTGGAGGTAACGGAACAATTCTTAACTTGTTTACAATTTCTTCTTTAAATTGGATAACTCTTTCATTCAAGATCAAAAAAAAATGGTAAAAAACCAATCGCAAAGAGTCTCGAAAACAACCAAAAAAACAACATCCGAGGTTGTGGAAGTAGATAGCAAAACAGTGGAGAAGAGAACCAAGACAGTAGCCAAAGAAAAGCTTCCTGCTATTGTTGTTGGAGAGGAAAGAAAACCAAATGCCGAGAAGGTTGAAAAGAAATCGAACAAGATTGGTTTGGGTGAGACGATTTTTAAACCAACAACAAAATCAGTAGAGGGAACTTCATATCATGGAGCTTGTTAAGCATGCTATTTTAACAATCAAATCACCTATTGTGTAACACCGTTTAAGGATGTTCAATAATTTTCACTACATGTTCCAACAACAATTATTAATAGCTTGATCAATGATTGTAAAAACAATCAAAAAAAAATATTATTTATTCAAACACAACACACAATGCCAAAGCACACCAAATTTACTAATAATCCACTCACCGGCCAATTAGAAAAGACAACCACCGAAGCAACAACTTCCATTTCTATTGGTATTGGTCAATCTACTCCTCCTTCTGAACGATCCACAACAACCAGCCATCGTGGTGGAAATCACAATAGAAGAGGAGGATCTCCAAGAGGTGGAAGAGTGGCCACTCATCAATACACTGATCGTCTCTCATTCAATGATGGCAAAAATCGTAAAATTGATGATAATGCCATGATTGATGAGAATGATGATCAAAAACAAACAAGACCGTCATGGGGAAAGAGAAGAGTGTCAACTTCTCAAACAAACATGTCATTGGCAGAGAATGAATTTTCATCTGCCTTGTTTAGCATAAAAGTTGGGTTGAAGGAGAATGTTGTCATGTCTCCCTTCTCAATTTTTATTTGCTTTTTGAATTGTATGGTGGGTACAAATAATGAATCTCTTACTGAGATTATTGATGGATTATTCTTGAGCAAGAGTTATGATAGCGTTGGAAATTTCAATACTTTGAAGGAAAAGTTTGAAAATTGGAAGAAAACTGAACTTGAAAAGTATACCAACATGATAAAGATCTTGATTCAAACCAATGATACACTCTCCATTGCCAATAGAATTTATCTTCAAGAGACTGTTCAAATTAAAGAGCCATTCTTACAAGAATTGGAAAGCAAGTTCGATTCCCAAGCAGAGAGAGTTGACTTTATGAATAAGCCCTCTGCTCAAGTCAGATTAATCAACAAGTGGGTTGAAGACAAAACTAGAAAGTACATTAGAGATTTACTTTCAGATACAGATATAAATAGGCAAACCATTATGGTTCTTGTGAATGCCATTTATTTCAATGGCAAGTGGAAATATCAATTCAAAAATAGGTCCACCTTCAAGAAGAGTTTCAGAACTATTTCCAATCCAAGTGGTGGAGACAAGTGTGATATGATGCACATGTCTTCTGATAAGAAATTTTGTTATGCCAATTTGGATGAATATCAATTGTTGCAATTGCCTTACTCTGATGAAGATTACTGCATGACATTTATTAAACCAAATGAAAATGTCACACTCAACGAAGAAACTGAGAATGATTTCAATCAATGGATCATTGAAAAACTCCAAGATGTTACTCAACTCCAACCAAATACCTTTGTAAAGGTTGACAGAATTGAAATTCCAAAATTCAAATTTCAAGCCACACTCCCAAATTTAGTGCAATCATTTAGAGAAGATCCATTCAATATCAAGAATATTTTCTCTTCACAAGCTGATTTTTCAAGCATGTTGGCCAATTCTAACGATCAAGTACACATTAGCAATGTTATTCATAAGGCCTTCATTCAAGTTGATGAATCTGGAACAGTTGCAGCTGCAGCTACTGCAATGGGCGGTAGAGGTGGTGGAAGAGCCATGAAAAAATTTACTCCTTCCTATCAATTCATTGCTGATCGACCATTTGTATTTATTTTGCAACACTTGCCAACCAATACTATTTTATTCACTGGTAAAATTAATGAAATGACCAATTGAAAATGATTCAATCTGGAAATGAGAATCTCTTATTGAGCTAATAAGGAATATCATTAGTCAACCAACATCATTTTTTCTGTCTCTCTCAAATACGACAATAAACTTATTCTACTTACAGACCCAGTAAAACCATTCTTGTAACCTCAACGAACAGTCCTTTCCAAGAGGCAATACGATCACATCTGTTTCGAATCTCTTTCAAAGTTGTTGTATTTCTTGATTACAAGTAAATTATTGGCTACTCAATTAACCATGACTTGCATTTCAATTTGTTCTTTACTAGCCGAAAAGAGAAAGTTTCCCACTATTTCGGTTTTTGCTTTCCAATCTTATTTTGAACATTGATGAAAACTGAAAAGGTTTAATACGATCCTTTTTTCAACAAGCAGCAACAAATCTTTGCATGCACTTTGCAAAAAAACCTCATCATTTCAACAACACCTTCTTCTTTCTTTCAGATCTATTATTCGAAATTGCCCGTGTTGCTAGTTGTTCCAAATATTTCATCAGCACCACATACAATAAGAAGCAATATTTTTTCAACAACACACCACACGTATTAGTTGATTTATTAATTGACATCAACATACAACAATTTTCCCGTAAATATTTACAAAGCTCTTTTTGTCAAGGCTTGTTTTTTCTTTCTCGGCATCACACAATCACTTCCAAACAACAACGTGAGGTGATTAGCTACAATTGAAAGGCGCCAAAGGAATTGTTTACTGTAAAAAAAACCTTTCAATAGATATCGAGAGAGTGTCCCTGAACAGACCCACGAATCAGAACATTTCATAGAACACTTGCTATTAATCAATATAGACTACAACTTTGAAAATGTTACTTGTAAATCAGAAATCGTCATCTTCGTCTAACAGCAATAATAACATGAATAATAGAGCAACTTCTCCAACTTCGTCAACCTCATCTTCTCTCAAGAGGTCAACTCATAATCCTTCAGGAAATAGTATGGTTTCTCCCTGCTCACCAACTTCTAGTTTGCTTTCAACATCACCAATGTCTCCGTGGAGTGCTTTAGGAATTGTGCCAGATCATTCTTCTAACAATAGTAATAACTTATTGTCTGTTGGAAATAGTAATATACCATCCTCACGATCAATGCCAAACTCTCCTGGATCCTTCTTTCCTAATGGAAGTGGTCCAAATAGTCCTATTAATTTAGGAGCCAGACTTATTGGAACAAAACAAGCCTCAATCGATGAGACTGCTCTTAAATCTCTCGTTTTGGAAAATATGAAACATTTTACAATAGTTTTTGATGCATTTATGAATGTTGGAGGAGACTTTTTGGAAGCATTTAGGGAATTTCTTCAGTATGAGAGGAATAGCGCACCACTGGAATTTCTTCAACTCATTCCAACCTATAGAGAAATTTCCAATTCAAATGAAAGATATCAACAAGCCAAATATATTGTAGAAACCTTTGTCGATGACTCACTCACTAGTGATAAACAACTCAATTTACCTAACGCTCTCAAAGACCAAATTGTGAATCAATTTGAGGATGAATGCACTCCTTCCAATACCCCAACTAACTTGTTTGATCAGGCTATGACTGAGGTGACCATTTCACTCAAGACTGATAGCTTTTCAAGATTTATTACCAGTAATCAATTTATTTCCTATTCAGTGAATCATGTCAAGAAGGAGTTGCCAAATATTGTCGGCTCCACCAATGTAGAATCGGTGAAAAAGTGCCTCGTCTCACTATTTTCCTCCGTCGGTACTAGAAATAATAGACGTTCTAGAATTCAATCACTAAGCATGACCTCTTCCTTCTCACTCTCTGCTCCTCAATTCACTCATAGCCATTCGTGTCCTACCAACCATGCTGAGGTCATTTCTGATATCATCTCTCACTCTACCGATAATGAACCAGTTCTAATCAAGGACAGATTCGAAGAATTACTCAGAGAGAGGGATAATAAGAATATTGATGAGAGATTTTTCGATGTATTCCATGAATTGTTATGGTTAAAAAGTGATGCTTGGAAAGTGCTCTCTCAAAATGAAGAGTATTCATCATTTGAAAGTGAGCAGAGATTTAGTACAGGCTCTCAAATAGAGCAACCAGATGAATCATTTGAGAATTTGAGAATGGCAGAGAGTCATCCTAACTTTTTCAACTCTGAATTGGGATCCAAGAAGGTATCAAATTTGAGCTCATCTCAGTACAAGTTCAATGCTACTCAAATCAACGCTCAAAAAGTTCAAACGTCATCATCTAAAAAGAAAAAGAACAAACCAAATGGTAAGAAGCTCATTAAGGAGGTTGGTATTGTGAATGGAACAACTGATGAATTGTTGGATGCACTTTTAGACACCAGATACTCACAAATCATTGATCCAAATTTGAAAGATTGTAAATTTATTGAATATATCAAGAATGACGAATACTCAGTGAGCTATCAGAAAGAGGTACACAAACTAATGTGGCCTCTCTCAAAGAGAGAATACTGTATAGGAACAACTGTGAGAAGAGAAATTAATGAGGATGGCACAGAGAGTAGAGATTATGTCATTATCAAGAAGAGCATTGACAATAAGGATGCTCCACTTGAGAAGGGCAATGTAAAGGGGCAAATTTTAGGAGGAATTTTGTTAGAAGAAATTGATGCCAACTTTGTTAAATACACCTCCATATTTTACAATGATTTTGGAGGAAAGGTGCCACGAGCTTTACGTAACAAGGTTCTGTCCTCTCGTGGTCAGGCATTCTACAATGGTCTAACAAAGACAATTACATCAAGAAGAAGACTCACCAATATACAATTAACTTCCGAACAAACCAATCGTCAAATTGATACATTGAACGATTTCACAGAGAGAGCAAGAAGAGTTTCTTCAATAGGAGAAGCTTTTGAATAAAATGATTTTCTCTTTAAAATATCCAATCTGAGAAATGATCTTCAAAATGGACTAGGTTGCTCGTTATATTAAGGCATTCTTCTTTCAATGATTTATAATCTTTCTTTGTAATTATTCGCACCAATTCTTGTATTTATTTCAGTCTCATCATCCTTCAACAATTTTCGATTCAAAATACACTGGCGCCAAAATATTCCCTCCTTTTTAAAATTTAACAGTAGTTGTAATCGAGTTGTATATTCGTTTTGCCGCCAAAATACAAAACTACAAAATTAAATAAATAAAATCACCAAAACCCGAATAACCTCAAAACAAAAACAAAAAAAAATACAATAATAACAACAAGATGAGAGAAATTGTGCACATTCAAGCTGGTCAATGTGGTAACCAAATCGGTGCCAAATTCTGGGAAGTAATTTCTGATGAACACGGTGTCGACCCAACTGGTGCTTATCACGGAGACTCTGACTTGCAATTAGAAAGAATTAATGTTTACTATAATGAAGCTACTGGTGGTAGATATGTCCCAAGAGCTATTCTCATGGATTTGGAACCAGGTACTATGGACTCTGTTAGAGCTGGTCCATACGGTCAAATTTTCAGACCAGACAACTTTGTCTTTGGTCAAACTGGTGCTGGTAACAACTGGGCTAAGGGTCACTATACTGAAGGTGCTGAATTGATTGACTCTGTTTTGGATGTAGTAAGAAAGGAAGCTGAATCTTGTGATTGTTTGCAAGGTTTCCAAATTGCTCACTCTTTGGGTGGTGGTACTGGTTCTGGTATGGGTACTTTGTTGATCTCCAAGATTAGAGAAGAATACCCAGACAGAATGATGATGACTTTCTCTGTCTTCCCATCTCCAAAGGTCTCTGATACCGTCGTTGAACCATATAATGCTACTCTCTCAGTCCATCAACTTGTCGAAAATGCCGATGAAGTCATGTGTATTGATAACGAAGCCTTGTACGATATTTGTTTCAGAACCCTCAAGCTTACTACACCAACCTTTGGTGACTTGAACCACTTGGTCTCTATTGTCATGTCTGGTGTTACTTGTTGCTTGAGATTCCCAGGTCAATTGAACTCTGATTTGAGAAAGTTGGCTGTTAACTTGATTCCATTCCCACGTCTTCACTTCTTCTTGATTGGTTTCGCCCCATTGACCTCAAGAGGTTCCCAACAATATAGAGCTTTGACTGTTCCAGAATTGACTCAACAAATGTTCGATGCTAAGAATATGATGGCTGCTTCTGATCCAAGACACGGTAGATATTTGACTGCTTCTGCAATGTTCAGAGGCAGAATGAGTACTAAGGAAGTTGACGAACAAATGCTCAACGTTCAAAATAAGAATAGTTCATACTTTGTCGAATGGATTCCAAACAATATCAAGTCATCAGTCTGTGACATTCCACCAAGAGGTTTGAAGATGGCTGCTACTTTCATTGGTAACTCTACTGCTATCCAAGAAATGTTCAAGAGAGTTTCAGAACAATTCACTGCCATGTTCAGAAGAAAGGCTTTCTTGCATTGGTATACAGGTGAAGGTATGGATGAAATGGAATTCACTGAAGCTGAATCCAACATGAATGACTTGGTTTCTGAATACCAACAATACCAAGATGCCACTGCTGAAGAAGAAGGTGAATTTGATGAAAATGAAGGTGCTGAAGGTGAAGAACAACCAGCTGACTATTAAATTTAGATCGAGAGACAGTGAAGTGATTAAGTCCACTTTACTTGAAATTTTGTAAATAAAATTAATTTAAAAAAACAATTAAAACAATGTTATTTCTCAATTTCTTATCAATAAGGAGGTGAAAATAATTTATTAACTAGTAGAACTTGGAATTGTGATTGATAATTTTACATCAAGTAATTCCAAACCATCAAGCAATAATTTAAATAATTCACAAAACTTGGAATGATGAAATTCAACTCTAATAATATGATTACCAACATCATAGAACCAATCAGAGACATAATACTTGATCTTTGATTGTTCTCGATTGGAGAGGAAAGTCAGTCTCTGCTTGAAGCTCCTCTTGATATCTTTCCACAGCTCACTCAAAGTAATGTCTTTGGTTGGTAAATTTTTAATATGACATATAGTCGTTGTGTCAATTAAATGGTCATCATGAAATTCAATCTTGGGAAGTCTTGTGGTGGCAGATTTGTGGCAAGTCCACATCCATTTAATACAATCAAAATCATCTTTAAAGTGGACAATTGTCTCATTCTTTCCCTCACTTGAAACAAGACTTGTAATTTCCATATTCTTAATGGATTGAATGTCTTTGTTAAGTCCAGTAAATTCTTGAATGGAGCAAATTTTTTGGAATACTTTGAGTGATCTTGTTGATTTGATAAAGTAAATCATTGGATGAGCAGTTTCAATCACTGCACATCTCAACTTGCATGCTAAAATGAAGGCACCTCGTACAGTCCAACATGAAATGATACAAATAGATGAATTCCTGTCAATTTCTAAGAAATTTCTAATGTCATTATATTCAATAGGGCAATTCTTGACCATGTACTCTTCTAACTGATCCTTTTTGAATCCCAGCACAAAGAAACAGGTTGATAGGGAGTTAAAATCATTGGGTTTAAATGAGTGTTCAATGGATACTCCACTTTTTCTCGAAGTAATTGGAATTGGAATAGTACCAGTGAGTAGAAACTTTTCAATTAGAGCATCTTTGAATTTAAACCTTAAATGATTATTAAATATTTCCCTAGAATGTCCAGCAATTAATTGATTACAAAGTGGGCACATTACTGAAGAAGTTTCACTATCATCCATTTTATCCAAATCATTTTCAATTGGTGTTGTAGTAACCTTGTTGAGGGCAAAAATTCGAAAGTCATCTCCCTCAATCTTGACCTTAACTTCAAAACAATTTTCACACATGAAATTGATATATTTAGATTCTGAATTAGGCTTTGATTTTGGATTTCTTGCGACATCACAATCAACATGTCTGTAGCAATCATCACAAGATATACATTTCATCATTCCACTTTGTTTATATTCTCTACAGATGTCACATTTAGCCGAATGACTTTCAGGTTCTCGATTCTTTTCAATTCTTGAGGAATTACTTGATGACGATGAGGATGGTATTGAAAATCTAACTTGATTTGATGATGATTGATTTCCTCCTCTGTATTGTTGTTGATGACGATTATTATTATTATTTAATTGCTCGAAATATCTTCCACCCTGCTGAGATGTAGCAGAAGAATGTGAATACGGAATATTATATTGATGATGATGATTTGAATTTTCTCTCATTGTTGGATTATTATTTTGATATTCATCATAATTTCCTCTATGATTGTAGTTATTATTTCGCTGATGATGGTGATGATGATGATGATGGTGATGATTCCGAGAGTGTTGTCGATGATGTTGATGATCAGAGTCGGAGTTTCTCTGTTGTTGATATGGGTGATAGGAATTGTGATGGTTGTTTGTGGGCATTTTTTGTTTTGAGAAACAAATAATTTTAGGCTTCCTTAGATTTTAAAGTGGAAATAAAATAGGTGACATCTTTTCATGTGGTTTTTTCAAAAATGTAGATGGGGAAATAAGGAATTAAGGATGATAAAGATTTTAGATGGTATTTGTAAAATTAATAGATGTAATGCTGGCGTAGTTAAGTAGGTAGAGCGTTGGTCTAATAAGCCATTGGTCGCCGGTTCGATCCCGTCCGTCAGCATCTATTTTTAAAAGACTTTATTTGTTTTATTAAGATTCTTGACAATGTTCTTGATTATTTTTGCCAACATTGAAATTAAAACCAAAGTAATTGTTGGAGCTTGTAAGGCAAAAGCACTCGATGGAAGTACTGACTTGGCTGGTTTTGGATCTGCTTGACAGACAAACTTGAATGTTTGGTCAACACATGAAGTGGTAATTTCTGGCAATTTGGAAAGACAAGTTCGTGCCAGAAATTGTTGTTGTTTTTCCTTCCCTAGTACAATCAGTTCCATAATAGTAGGTGATCTTATCGCATCCGTCTGTCTTCATGGATTGGTATTTGATTATACTACCTGATTCCATTGAGTAAGGAATACATTTATCTGTAGCAAATGTATAAACATCATTCCAACCATAGCAAGAACCAAAATTAAAACTATAAATCGAAATGGTATTGGAACTAGGGGTAATTTCTGGCAATTTGGAAAGACAAGTTCGTGATTCACCTCCAAAAGTACAATTATTTGCTACTGGTTCACATGAATCATAATTCCAATATCTAGTCAAGTAAGGGGTAGTTGTACACTTGGCATCACTGAAATATCTGTATTGATAGATAGATCCATGCACACTCAAGGCCAAGAACAAGACCAGAGCTAAAATAAACATGAGGGACTTCATTCTGAGTTGAATGGATTTGTTTTTTTGTTGTTTGAGTCATCAACACACACAACACGCTTTGAATTGGCTGTGAAAGAAACAGTACATCATACTGTAAACTCTGTAAAGCATTTCCAAAGATGGACATATTTTTGGTAAGCTTAGTCTAGACCGTCATGCACCATTCAATTTCCGTATATTTTACAGTAGCTTTCCAGTAAACGTGTGAAAATTTTGATAAAATCAATCAATTCCAAATACTGTATTTTCGTAGCTCTTTGTCTTGTATTTCTATTGAATAAATCTTTTCAATTTCTTTCAACTTGATTCTATCTTCATTCGTTATTAGACTAAAGCAAGGAGTCCAATATGTATACTTATCATTCTGCCAAGGGAGATTGAAATTGATAACTACTCGAGGATTGAATTTCAATCGGGAAACTTTTAGATTTGCAAGAATCAAGTGGAGTTGGACATTTCCTTCTCTGAATTCATTGGTTTTTTGTTCAATTTCTAATTCTGACATGTCTTTGCTTAGACATGAAACTGCTAAATTATGTGCTTGAAGGTAATTTGAAATACCATTGGCAACATTATCAGAATTACAATAAATTACAGTATTGATGGGAATAGTTTCTAATAATGCTTCAAGAACCTCAAGTTTGTAAATCTCCTTTTCCACGCCAATATTAAAATGTCGAGAACTGCAGTTCAATACCATATTATTCTTCTCTACATCTTTGGATTCAATAACAATGGGAGATTTCAAATAAATTTCATTGGTGAAATCATTTCTCTTTCCATTACTACACCAAAATATTTGACAATTAACATTCCTCAAAATTTCATGCATATTTAAATTGAATTCATTCCATTCATCTAATTGATCAACTACCAATAAGCTTATATCTTTACAATTAACAATTCCACTTTCCAATAGGTCTTTAATTTTCTCAGGAGTTCCAATCAAGACGTCATAATTTCCTTGATATTTTACTTTAGTTTCTTCCAAACAAAAAACCTTGATTTCATCACCTCCAAAGGTTTTTAGCAAGTGTCGAACTGTATGGAACCACATATAGCCCTTTCCAATAACAATTGTGATATTCTTTTTAATTTCCTCATTCCTAAATCGTTCCACAATTGCAATTGAATAAGAAACCATTCGATCAGTTCCTTCCACACGTTCGAATAGGAAATTTACCAATGTATTTTGTGAATTTATCATTGGAAAAATGCATTGTCTATGACCCGTAGATGGTTCATCAAATCCCATCAAATAAATTCTTTCTAATGTAATATCGGAAAGTTTGTACTCTTCAAATGAAGCATAAACTGACCAACATTGAAACTGCTGATGACCCAATTTTAATTTTAACAAATTAAATAATCTATCTTCGTTATTACTTTCTGAAGAGCAAGTAAAATCGTGGAGAATAATTTGAACGAAAGCTCCTTTCGAGTTGACCATTTTTTTTTGTAAAATTACTTTCAAATCATCTCGATAATGTCCATGGGGCATTCATCAATAGAAAGAGAATAGTATCTTTCAAGTTCTTTCAACTTGAGCTTATCCTCATTTCTAACGAAACTAATATGAATACTTCTGGGCTCATATTTTGATCTCAAACAACAACATTTGACATACTTGTCATTTTGCCAAGGTAGATCGTAATTGACGGTAATTTTAGGATTGAAATTCAATTTGGGGAATTTGTAATTGGAAATTATCAAGTTTTGGACAATTGCATTTCTGAAATCATTGATTTTTTGTTCAATTTCTGAGTCTGACATTTCATTGTGTAGACAATGGGCTGTGTGATGCTCACGCTCCAGAGCTCTTGAAATTTCAATCGCACGTTCATAAGTATTACAATAAATTGCACATTGTGCTGAGATGTAGTCCAGTAAATCAGGCAGAGTTTCAGGTTTGTAGCTTTCCTTTTCTACGTCAATGTAAAAATGTTTGGAGTAAATATATCCCAAATTCTGATTGGTAGACTTTTCATCTTGGAGTGGTTCGATAACAATGGGAGATTTCAGATAAATTTCATTGGTGAAATCATTTCTCTTAGAGCTGAACCAAAATATTTGACAATTAACATTCCTCAAAATGGCATGCATTGATAAATCGAATCTAGACAGTTCATCTGGTTGATCAACCACCAATAGATTAATATCTGTACAATTAACATTTCCACTTTCCAATAGTTCATTAATTTTATCAGGAGTTCCAAGAATTATATTTTCCTGGTTGTACGTTTGATCTTCCACCAAATTGCAAACCTTAATTTCATCTCCTCCAAAGGTTTTTAACAAGTATCCAACTGTATAGAACCACATTTTACCATTCCCAATCACAATGGTCTTTTTCTTTCTAGTTTCCTCTTTCTTCATTCTTTCCACAATGGCAATCGAATAAGAAACCAATCGATCAGTTCCAACACAACATTCAAACAGGTAATTTTCTAAATGTTTTGATAACATTTTTGGTAACATGTGTGATGGTTCATCAATTCCTAATAATTTAATTCCATTTAATACATTGGAAGTAATTGGTGATCCTACTTTACAAAAACCTAATTTTAATTTTAATAAATTAAATAATTGACAATTAACCAAATTTTCGGAATGTTTAAAATCACAAAGAAAAAATTGAACGTGATTTCCTTCGTTGGAGTGGAGCATTTTTTTTTGATTTTAAAATTTAATTATTTTGGAATTCTAACAAATTAATTTCAATATTGAATTATGCAATTCAAAATGTACATCACCAAAAGCAGTTTTCTCAGTCCACTTCCTATTCAAATTAAGGTTTGTTGAAAATTGGTTTATTGACGAGTTAACCAATTGAAATGATGGATTGGTTGGCTGGTCTTTGGATTCTTGTTATAGACAGTAACTTTTCTAGTGATGAGATTGAACAAAACTGTGGCTACTGTTGAGGCATCATCTGTTTTGGTTGGTTGTCTGTAGATTGGGAATTCCTTATCGTAGGTATCACCAAGGAGTGCAAGAACTTGCTCTTCAGTTTCAATTTTGGTGAATTGATTGAATCTGGCTGTTCTGTGAACACTACTTGGATCCAAAAATTCAGGAACACTCAAATTTCTATACATGTTCACATGGAAATAAAAACTTTGTCCACTTGAGGAGAGAACATTGAAAGGAAGAATGGAGTGCATGGACATGGCAATACTATTATTGACTCTTGGTGCATTCTCGAAAGATCTCATTTCATAGAGGGCTGAGGATTGAGTGTCATAGAGTGGAGCGACATTGGAGGCAAATCCACTGGCTAACATTCCTGAAAACTTGCTCAATGTTTCAGTAACTTGTGCAATAGTCTTTGATTCGTAAACTTTTCTATTGACAAAGTTTCTACCAAGTCCATAACCTGCCTTTGGTAAAACGAGTGGGAATTGAGCATTGGTGGAGAGGGCCAAATATTTAGTCCAAGCAAATGCATTTCCAGGCAATTGTCCAGCATAGTGATAGGCAACAAAAACAAATGGTTCAGCTTGATCATTAGTCTTAATACAACTCTTAACAAGGTAATCATAATCTTGTGTGTAAGGATCTGCATCTTCATTGTGTCCCAAAATTGCAGTTCTAGTTCTAAAATTCTTCAATGAAACAAACACATCAGAACATTGCTTATCACCCTTTCCACTTGGTCCAGTTGCATAATTTTCCAATTCCACTCCAACATTTAATAAAAAGATCCACTCTGTTGGAAGATTAGCTCCATCAGCAATTCCTCTAATTTCCTCAAAATACTCTGGGAAGTATAGTGAATTTAATTTACGAAGATTTTCCACAATTTCCGGAGCCTTCTTTGAAAATGGAAGAATTACTTGTTGGAAAGGCAAAGATTGATTATAAAGCATTCTTTGAATTCGATCCTTAAAGTGATTTCCAATTTCGTACCCGATTTGATAATGTGTTCTGATTTACACAATTTTATCCAATTTAATTATTTCATCATCATGATCAAATAATCCACAAAATATTTTCATCCAAATTTCGATCATCATCAATTCCGAAAATTATTCAATCAATCAATAACCAACAAACAACAAGAACCTACCCACACGATGTTTCAAAATACGGAATTTGATCAGCTCCAACAAGTGTTTGTTGTTTTTGTTGTTGCGGCTGCTTCATTGGATTCACAATATTAAATCCGTGAACAACACATTCTAATGCGAATAACAAAAATACAACAACAAAAAGAAAACAACTTTTAGAGAACAACAACTTCATCATGAGCGGTGTGTTCTTCTTGGAGGAGGAAGCGGAATTTTTGTGCATTTTTTTTCTTGTTTGTTATTTTGAGGAGCTTTACGATGAGGACCAATAAGGAAATTTTTTGTCAATGGTTGAATTGGGAGTTTAAAGTTTAGTATACTGGAAGAGGTCAATTGAGTTTCGAGTGTGAAAAACTGTAGAAGGTGAAATTAGAGAACTACAGTTTTTGAAACGTGTTCAATTTCAAATAAAAAACTATTTTTAATTCATCCATTTTCCAATATTTCAATTTATGCGAGGATATCAGTTTCTCATTGAATGTTTGTGATATTAATAATAATAAGGAAGGAGTAATTTTGTTTTAACGTGCGCTTTGCGTGCTCTCTAAAGTTTCATCTAATTTTCAGAATGTATTCTAAACGATTTCCAGCTGCTTATCGGAATGTGCGGACGTATTTTCAAAGAAACTAATCTTTGTTTTATTACTTGTATCTCTTGCTCTAGACCTGTCAAGCACATCATCCAACTCAAAAAAAAAGTTGATAACGACCCTGTCACTAATCACTAGGTAATAAAAAAAATGTCAAAAACTCTCTCAAGATCTTCATCTCTTGGTGGTCTCTCAGATAATTCCTTCAATTTGCAAGGTTTTGAAAGTGAACGTTTAGAGTTGGATAAATTAATTGTTAGTAAGTTTCGAATAATAACAAAAATTTACAAAAATACTAAATAGCATACAAGGATAAAATTGATGCCTATGCACAAACAGGAAACTTTAGTGTGGAGAATATTCTTTCTTGTCCACTTGGAGTTTCGTATTTTTACAAATTTCTCTCAGAAGAATTTAACAAGGAAGTAAGTTTCGTCTTGTTTCTAATATTTTTCTAACAACAAATTAGAATATTCTTGCATATTATGAATTAAAATCCTTGATAGATTACCTCTTATATTCCAAAAAGAAGATGGACTGGGTCATTGATACTTCTGATGTCTATCGTGATGATATTTCTGATGTTTCGTCTATTTCCTCAGCTAATAGTTCCTTCATTTCCAATACAAATTCAGAACAATCCATTAAATACGTAAACACAACAAGTGTTGATGAAATTAGAGAATGTTTCAAACGTATTCAACAATTCAAAAAGACCTATTTCGATGCCAGTTCATTATTCGAAATTAACATTTCCTCCACAATGAAAAAGAAAGTATTAGAATCTATTTCTTTCACCAAGGAAGTTCAAGATTTTATTTCTCACACTCAAAAAACCGACGACGATTCAATTAGTACAAATTCTTGTTCACAAATGATTGAAGAAACACTCAACAAGATGCATTCGAATCTTGAAAAGATTCAAACTGTTTTGGAAGAATTGAAAACTGACTTGTTACATAATTTGAGTGATCCATTCCAAAGATTCATGTCCTCTGATGAAATGTACGAATGTATGGCCTTGTTTTTATCCTCCCAAGGAGATGATACTTATCATCGTGAAAGAGTTTTGAATGCCAATAAGGGAGAAGGTGTTGTTTTGAATCAACCTGAAGGATACTTGTCAATTATTGGAAAGACAATGGGAGATTTGCAAGTTGTTCACCCAATTACAAAGATTACACAATTGTTGGAAAGTTTATTGAATGTCATTCAAGCAGATATTAAATATTTCAGAAAGACAAGTTGTGAATCCAATGAATCTGAAGCAGTTGTTGAATTGAATTTTGATGATTTGGGTAAATCTGAAACTTGTTGTAACAAGTATGAAAAATTCCAACATGAAACCTTTGATTTGGCTCATTGTGACTTGTCATTGTTAAAGTCAGACGAAGAAAAGTTGACCTTCTTTATCAATGCTTACAATTTGTTGCTTTTACACGCCTTGCTCGTTTCTGGTTCAATGCCACAAGTTGAAGTTACTAATATTATCTTTTACAGAAAGGTCAGATACAATTTGGGAGGTCAAGAATATTCCCTTCAAGACATTTTCAATGGTATTTTACAATGTAATCAAATGAAGTGTTTAATCTATGGTAAGGCATTCAAGAAGAATGATGCTAGAAAGGCCAATATTCCAAATAAGACCTTCCCTGAAGTTTACTTTGGTTTGATTAACATGACCAAGTATTCACCAAAACTCAGAATTTATGAGCCAACCAGTTTGTTGGATAAGTTGAAGGAGAATACTAAGGATTACTTTGATCGTTATGTTCAAGTATTGCCATCTGATCAACATCCAACTGAACTTTTGGAAATTGCCCTTCCAAGTCAATTGAAAGAACACAAGTGTGAATTGAAGAACTTTTGGAAGAGTGATGTTACAACTGTTATCAAGACTGTCAATAACTTGTCAACTGCTTCATTCAACTCTAGCGCACAATCATTGACCTCATTGGAATCCAGACAATCAATCGATTCTTCATCCTTGTCAGATGTTTCCACCTCACGATCCATCACTTCAGCAGAAGCTGACATTCGTAAGAATGTTTTGGACTATTTGATGGAAACTTATCATCCTGAACTTGCTGGAGGTAAACACGAAATTGTTAACAAGACCAAATACACCTACAAGAAATACGACGTTAATCCACCTAACTGGTTCACTGTTTTCAATGAAGAATTCCAACAATCAATCATTAACGAATTCCAAGTTCAAATTCCAGCTGCTGGTGAACTTTTACTTCCAAAGAAAGCAAAAGAAAACAATTGTCCAATTGCTGCTCTATTCTCCAAATTCTCTAGAACTGCTCATTTGTGTGAGAATGCCAATAAGGTCATTACTAAGGAAGTTTCTCCAAAATCCTCAGAAGATTCCTCTCCAACCAAAAAGAAACTCTTTGGTAGAGGAAGAGCTTCTGCTATTTGGAATAAGAAAACTTTCAAGAAGAAGGAAGTTAGTATTGTTGACTTTTTACTTGGAAGAAAGAAGGAGAAAGTTGTTACACCTAAGGAAAAGAAGAATAAGCATTGTATTATTGCTTAAATTGTATAAAATTCGTTTATTTACAAAGTTTCGAATTGTTTTTTTAGAACGGATGTGTTGTTTTTGTTCTAAAATGAAGATTAGAAACACATCTTTAAGTTCTCGTAAGGTTAGATTGATATTAACTTACTTTTACATATGTTGATGTGTTATTATTCGAAACATCTCGTTATTATTATTCCAAATTTCGAATAACAATCCAAATTTTTCACAACAGCTTTCTATCGAGAAAATTGAAAGATGGCAAATAATTGGACCTGACAAACTCAATCTTAGTCATAATCTCGATTTTCGACATGGCACTCAAACCAAGTTTTCACCTTCCTTTTATTTCGTATATTCTTCCAAGAGATATTATTCGAAACATCAAATAAACTTTCAACTATACAACCTTATAAGGGTTACCAACCACCAGATTCATTATAACGACTTGCATAATTTCTAATAAGGTTTTTTTGAATCCACTACCGAGAGATAACACCAAAATAGTAAGCCGAAATTCCATTAAGGGAAATTTTGAAAAAACCTCAAAAGCTATCAAGCAATATATTCAACCACAATTTCATATTCTAAAAAAATAAGCAAACACATTCTATTAGCACATTGATAGGTGCATTTATTGTCAGTTAAGAGAGAAAAATATTAGAAAGTAAAAGAAAGTAAACTAAAGTGAAAATGGAAAGTACGGGCATTCATCAACAATACCATTCTTGTGCTTCTGATGCTGGTCAATCATCATCCTCATCACCAAATAATAATCCAACTACAGTTAAAAGTCCTTTTGCTGTCGCCACAATGGTTGCAAATGGCTCGCCGACAAGTGACATTAGAAAACGAGCAGTGAGTTTGGCAGATACTTTTGAAAGAAATGCATTTGCTTGTTTAGATAATTTTCAAGGAAGAATAACGAAATATTTATCTGACAATGAAAAGGTGAAATATTTAATGAAAAGTGACGTTGAACATGTCAAGAAGGAAATGAAACAAAAAGATGAAGAAATTGAAAAGATTAAAATGGAGAATCTCGTGCTGAGAACCAGAATTGAAGAAATGCAAATAAGGTTAACCGAAAATGAACGAAACCTTTCGTCTGTAAAATACGAAAATGATTCCACCGTGAAAAAAAATGTAAAACTCGAATGTAAAATAGAAGAACTAGATCATTCCATGACAGAAATGATTAAAATGAAAGATTCAGTCATCCACTCGCTCACCGATCAATTCTCAATTCTTTGTAAAGAATTAACAGAACGTGAAGGGTCAATTATGGAATTATATAAGAAACAATTATTAGAAAATCAACAGTTAGATGTGAAATCACAACAATTGCAAAATAAGGTTAAGCAAAATTTGAAAGAACTTGCAAAATTGACTAATTTGGTAAGTCAACTGCAAATGGAAAGTGTAAAGAGTAAGAAAGAATACGAAAGTTCAATTCAAAAATTAAGGGAAGAATATAAGAATCAACTAGGTAAAGTTTCAGAAATGCAACAGAGTTTCCTTCCACAACATTATGTGGACACCGACGACGACTTGACGAAACAAAAAGTTTTTTACGAAACTCAAATAATTTCACTAAAAAAGGAATTGAAACAATTGCAAGACAGATACGAAACTCAAAGAAAACTATCCAATGAATCGAATGAGACTTTATTAAGGACGCTGTCAGATAGAAATGGTGAAATTTCAAAACTCAAGTCAGTCGTTATTTCCTTAAATGATCAACTTGCTGAACTGAAATCTCAACTGGCAGAATCTAGACAATTGAAAAAGACTGGATCTGCTACTCATCTCCAAATTATCATTCCTCCTTCACCTACCATGCCAGTTGCCTTGTCTCCAACAGGAGCTTTGGCTGCTGCAAATTCACCTCCTGTGAAAAATACTGAATTATTTTATAAACTACACATGTAAATATTTATCAAATGTTGTTTTTTTTGAATGTGTCAATTCAGGATTAGAGAACTTGACATTTTGACATTTTTGTAAAGTAAAAATTGACAAGATAAAAAAAAATGGCTGATCATCACAGGGAAAGAATTAATCCATTCATGTCGGATGTGGTTGCTGATAAAATAGTTTCGTTTCTTCCACATACTTTCGAATCAATTGTAAACAATGCAAAAATCAATTTATGTTTTAAACAAGTTCTCGGAAGGAAGGTTGAGAAAAGAGGAGTTTCTAAAGGTTTAAAGGAGATTCGGGAACAAATTTCCATCCGAAATATTTCCAATATCATTCCATTCGAACCTGAAGAATTATTCGAAACTAAAGTTCAAACGAAACTTGGTGATTTGAGCAATAGAGCTACCAATTTATTATTTGATGATACTAAGGATGGTAAACACTTTAGAAACATTAACAAAATACTTTCATTTCAAGCAAAACTTGAAAATCAAGAAAAACTTTCGGAAATTCAAAATTTAATTTCGGAAAGAATTTGGATTCGTTACTTTCTACCTGAATTTATTGTAATCATTCTATTGTATTTAGTGGAGTCTTCCTTTTCACTTGGAATTTCAATAATTTTGATTGGAATTTTTCTGGATTTTTTATTATTAACAAAAAAGGAAAATTTAAATGAATTTAGAATTCAATTCAAAAATGGAAAGTTTAAAAATGAATTTATTCCATTTCTATTATTAATATTTTCCTATTGGATGTATCATGAATTGGTATTTCCGTTTGTGAAATTATTCCTCAATTTTTTGGCAAATAATTCTGAACAAGATTCGATTTACTTTTATTGGAATTCCAAAACTAATTTACAAGAAACCAAACTACCATTAACCATTTATCTATGTTGCCTAGGTCTTCCACTTGTAATATTTGGTGTTATTTGCTTATTTTCTGCCTATAAGGAAATGACAAATTATATTTTCATGATTTGCTTATTATTAATTGAGCTAATGATAATGTTTGGACCAATGTTTACACATTTTTGGATGTTGATTAGGATATTTAGTAGTGGAGTGTTTCCTTATTTGCTGTATGAGTTTGGAGAGGAATTTCATGAAAATTCATGTTTTTGGTTTGGATTATTAATGACATTGGTTAACTTTCCGATAGATTTAACGACATTTATTGGAATGTCAATTGGAATGGTTTATTGGAGAAGGGCGAAAGGTTTAGGGCTAATAGAATTTGTCTGGTATTTTGTAATTCTCTTAGGATATGTAGTGATTCAACTTTTTGTGGAAAGTAAATTAATGATCTATCTTGTCTTGGCACAATTTAGTTGGAAATTCATGAATCGAACAGGACACGATGACAGATGTAGAAATACTCTTTTCAAAGCTTTTGATTTTGTCAAAATTCGTTAAATATATCACCTTCTTCAAGATTTAAACTAATACTTTATTTCACATCCATGCTTTTCTAATAGTTTCCTATCTTCCTGAATGTGCGAAAATAAAGGTTTTCCATTTGCTAATAAATACCAATTGGTAGCATCCGCCATTTTCCAAAAAGCTTGTGCTTTGGTCAGCTTCAGTTCCATGTTTCGTCCATTGTCGAATAATATTATTTCTTCTTGATTTCTGGCAGTTTCAATAAAGGAAGCAAAAGGAACTTCGCCATGTCTTTCAAGCCAAGTAGTTTTAGATTCATGCTCAAAACTAGAATCATTCTCAAAACTCTTTCCACAAACGTAATAGTGACAATCCATCATTGAATTTGTATTTACAGAACTAACATTGCTTTTGACAACTGGCACTTGCACCACTGATTTCCCTGGTATAATCACACACTCACTCTTTGACCCAACCACTGGATGTTTCAAAATAATAGCAATCGAAGAATCCTCCCAAAAAGCTCCCAACTCGTGAGTTTTTGTAATAATTGCTTGGTTGTCTCCAGGTTCTGAAATCATAAAGAAACGATTGAAATCATCGAATCCTCTGGCCATGATTCCTCCAGGGGTATGTGGACAACCAAAGCAATGCCCCAATTCGTGCATTGCAGCTCCTAGTCCAGTAGAATAATTAGCCCAGTAACTTCCTCTGTAACAGCTGTCATCTGGTAATTTGTTGACATCGACTTTTCTGTTATCTAGCAAACATTTGACAATTTCATCAACATTTTTGGCATAGGAATACAAGGTACAGTCTGTCCATAAGGCAAGCTTACCTCCACCAAGTGCAGTTCCCATTTGTGTCTTGTGAGTTGTTGTGTTATATTTGCTTCCCGCCAAAACACAAAAGTAAATGAAATTTGGGTTGTGCATGTCATGTTCCTCTAATTCTTCATAGATTGCTGACCAACCAGCACATCCTCCATCGTTCCAGTGATCTCCAAGAGCTTCCAAAGCACTTCTGGTCCACTTTTTTGATTTAAATGTCATGACATGTGGCATATTAGTTCTGTCACTTTCCATCTCCAATCCAAACGTCTTGTTATGCTTCAAAGCTTCAGCACAGAAAGTTTGATACATTAATGCAGCAACTCCAAGCTTTTGTCTAGCAATCTCTGCAGTTTGACATCCTTCAATTGACTGAAACGATCCATCATGATCACTACAAACGAAATGCACTGGAATCACTCTCTTAATCATCTTATTTTCCCTATTCCAATTATTAATCAATGATGCATCGTAGGTAAATGTAAAATTCCCTAAAATTTCATTCGGATTTGATTCCAATTTTAATTGCAATGTATTAACTCCTTCGGAGAGTAAAATTAGTGCCTTGAACGAGCTCTCCCTTACTTCCCATCGTGTAGTTTTATTGGCTGGCTGTTGAGTAATTAAAAGCCATTGATTTTGTGCACCGTTTGATGTGTTGGTCTTGGAGTGTCCCTTAATGGCTCCACAGAGACGAAGCAAACTATAACCATACGTACTATTGTCTTGATGATTGCTGAGGGAAATGAAGGTCATGAATTTTTTTTTCTTTGTTTTTCAAGTTCATGAAAAATTTACTGTTTTACATTTGAGAGAGATAATCTCTTTTTAAGTATAGTGATGATAGCTATGATGGATTTAATGGGTCATAATTAAGGATCTGAAGTGTAGGTGGGTATTATTGAAGAGAACATTGATAGCTGTTCTTACGTCTTCTTCTTGGAGTTTCCTCAATTTCTTCATCTTCATTGGCGTATTCATCGAGAACGACAATATTTTCCTGTGGTTTTTTCAATTTGATACTGCCATTGTTTGACCAACTCAATCTCTTGTTTCTGTTCAATTCTTGTTTGAGTTTTTCTCCTCCCTTTCTATTGATACTCTTTCGTTGCTTGGATATTTTGGTTGGTTGATCTTTGGCTGTAGTGCTTGTCTTGCATCTTCTCAAATAGTATTGGGTATAGTCAGGTTGAGTTGCCTTTCCATTATCCACAGGTTTTTTATAGTGAGATCTGTCACTCTTTGAACCATCATTACCCTTGGTAGCAGTTTGAGATGTTTCAGTTTCCAATTCATTAGCAAGAAGATCTTCATTGAATAAAATATCATTCACCAATACTTGGGCTGTTCTTCTACTGTCAATACAATTCAATACGACGAATGACTCTCTTACTTGCTTTCTTCTTTGTTCTGCTGTTGCCAAGTGAATGTATTGTTGAATGATAAATTCACAAGAATCATGCCAAGGTTTTCTCTTTTGATCAAGTTTGGTATGAACATTAAGAGGAGCATTTTCTGTCTTCTTTTGTCCATAAGATGCTGGATTGAGCTGTTGTACAATTTGTTCAATATCTGATTTTTGTTGTTCTGTTAGTGGATTATAGTGTTGACCTTGTTCAAAAACATCAACAAAGGTAAAGCACAAAACTATTGGAAGTTCAGAAAAGTACTTTCCATTCGCGCACTGTTCAAATTTTTCCAAGCTGTAGCTAATCTTTTTCTTTTCCATCAATTTGTCACTGTATTCAACCTTAACCAAAATACTTTTGAGATAGTCACACAAATTCACGGCAAAGACAACCATATTTGAAGCATAGCAACACATTATCCATTCATTCTTTAAGAATGATACCTTTGGTGAGATTCCTCCCTAAATAAAAATGTATATAAATTAAAACCCTATAATTAACTACTTACCATTGTAATGACGCTGAATACTGAAAAGGTATCTTGCCTTTTAATCCTCTTGGTCTTTTTTTCAGGTTTAACTGGTGGTGCTCCTTGTTCACTGTTGGCACTTTCTGTTGATTTGAAAAAGCTTAATAATCTACGTGGACTCATTGAACTCTTCTTTTCTTCCCTCTCTTCCTTTTTTCTCTCTTCCAATACGAGTGGTCTCATTGCTGAAATGACATCCTTATTCATAGCAGTTGAGGCTCTATACTTGGAGAGAGCATACAATCCACTATTGACTGGATAGACCAACTCTGAATCAGATTTGGAATAATTATCATCGTTTGGAACTGTAAAGGATGTACCAAGAATATTCCAATCAGGAGTGCCAACAGGAGATGAAGTATTCGAAGATGAAGTGTTTGGTGATGATGGAATCAAGCTTGTTACACTAACTTTCAACTCTTGAAAGTTATTGGATGTAGGAACCTCGAATTTGAATTTGTAATCCCTTGCAGATGCTGTAGTATTACTGGACTCGACATTGAAATTGGTATTGAGAAGGATGGCCATCTCAGGAGGAATACTTTCACACGAGGTGGCAATATCTTCACCAAGCTCTGAAGCATGAATTTCCATACTAGAGATAGCTTGCTTATCAAAATTGAAGCATTTTGTTGGCATGTTGAGAAGATACTTTTTCACAATCCATTTCATGATTGCTGGAAGGGATGAGAATATATTACCACCATCTGGACATTTAAAGATTGAATACGAGTGGAAACAATGTTGCAAACCAATATGATTCTCCCACAATTCACAACAATCCTTCAAGAATTCACTTCTCAATCTGACACCAAATAACTGATTAATGTCTGTAATCTTTTTAATTCTCTCAACAATAGCTTTGGTGTTTTCAATTTTCCAATCCATGTATTGATACTTGTTTGGTTTAGCATCGAGTTGTTGTTGTTCGGAAGAAGGTTTTACCTTCAATTTTGCATGAGCCATCTTTTGGCAATGCTCACAATATTGAGCTGGCAAGTGTTGTTTGCTGCTCTCATCTGTTGATGACGAAGTGTCAATATCTTCCTCTTCTATGATATTTGTTAATGTTGAACTTGTTGCTTGTTGTTGAAAGAGTGAAGTAAGACTAGTATTGTTGTTATTCTTACTAGTAGAAGGAGGTAACAATTGTGAATAATCTTCCTCCTCATGTGTGTCCTTTCCTCTCTTTTGCTTTAACTTTTTAATTTGACTCACTAACAAGGACTCGCTCAAACTTCTCTGACGAATTGGATGGGTTAGCTTCTCCTTCTTTAAAGGTTCAATGAATTCCTTTTGTTGTTCCTTCAGAATCTTCTCCAAATCATTTCTTACTCCCTTGTATTTGGATTCAAATTTAATATTATGGTGATGATTTTGTTGATTTGCTTGATTGTTAGTAGTAGAAGCAGAAGAAGAGGATGCTAATGATGATGATGATGATGAATCTGGAACAATTTCCTTTCCATTAAACTTGGCTATCATAGCCTTTGTATTAGAATTCTTGTTAGTTGTTGTATTTGTAGTAGATTTGTTATTATTAATACTTGATGATGGAGGTACAATCAGAGTTTCAACATCCGAATAGGATGAAGAGAGTTGTTGTGAAGATGATGATGAAGTAACCACATTCAATAAATTTAAATTATTATTATTATTATTAATATTAATATTATTACTTGATGATGAAGAAGGAGCAACAATCAACAAGGTAGATGAAGAATTCTTCACATAATTACTCTCCAACCTCGCATCCCTCACAATTCTCTCCATCAAAAACTCCTGTAGCCTCTCATCCATACTAAACAACAAGTCCCTCCTCTCCGCATGATGAATCAACAACTTGAAAGATATTAAGAGTTGTGTAAGGAAGGCATTAGGGAGATTTTTCAAAAAATGTTCGTTAAAGGCTTGTTTACGTCTCTTGAGGAATTTAATGTGGGTTGGATGGTTGGATTGGAAGACTTCTTGAGGGGAGGTGGTTGAAGAGGATGATGGATTTGCTAATGTTGTTATTGTTTTTCTAGAGTTTGAAGGTGGAGGAGTAAATTGGAGAGGACTGATGGTTGGTCTTTTGAGTGATGGTTTGAGGGCTTGACTTGGTACTGCTGGTTTGGTAGTATCTGTTGATGGTGATAATGTTATTGCTGATGATGATGATGGAGTTTCATCTTCTTCGGGTGATGAGAATGTATTATTATTATTTTCATCATGTTGTTTAATTGTTGTATCTTCAGTTAGGGATGTTATTTGTTCTTGATGATGATTATTACCATCAATATTATTATTTGATTCATTATTATTGGAATTAGAATTATTATTATTACTTGTATTGTTAGAAGAAGTATTGGAATTTGTTTGAGTGGTGTTTTGAGAGAGTAATGGTACAGAGTTGGGTAATAATTTAAATTGGTTGAATAATGTGGAAAGACCTGACTCGGCCATTCCGTAAAGCAAAATCTTCATGTCTTATGAGTTTCGAATGGATGTTGTTGGTCTAATTTTTGACTGTTGGATTTTTATGCTGTTTGACATTTTCATTAATTTGGCATGCGCAAGTAGGTTGTCAAGATTTGAACATGGGAACTAAGATTCGATATTCTATTATGATTGACAGCACATATTTGAGAAAATATCAAGAACTTTCGAATAGAATTTAATTGAATTTTAATTAGAGACATTTAATAATGAATTATTTAAATGACATCTCCTGGACTCATCATACCAGTATTGGTGTCATCATTGATTCTTGGTGGTGGTCCTCCATTTCCACCTCTCTTTTCGTGTAAATGCCATACGAAAATGGTTTCACATGCATTCCTGACCTTGTATTTGAAATCATTATTATTAGCCACATGGTGAATAATGACATTTTCAGAACCATAGTATCCGAGTGGAACTTTTCTCAATTTGTTGATGGCATCTTGAGGGAATGGTCTTTCTGTTCTAAACATGAAAACATCATGTGATCCCTAATAATTATTAATTATTATTCAGATAATTATTCCGAAAATTGCAATGATGATTAATTTCCAATTATTTATCAAATATCATTATTATAGGAATGAATTATTTAAATGTAAATTAACATTTCTAATAATCATAATATTAAATAATACTTACCACATAACCACCAATACAGTGATCTCTATTTTCACCTTCCAAATAATCTGTAATGAAAGTTTGCTTTCTAGACAAAATTAATGAAGTGTCATATTTCAATTTACTTGCATGAACCAAGGTGTGGTCAAAGTAAATGTCAGTATTTGTCAATATGACAACTCTATTCTTCAAATGCACATTAGAATATTCCATAAAATCAGCAGACATTAAACGACGACCAAGAATTGAAATCTTGATCTTCTCCTTGGCATTTATCAAATTCATCAAATCATCATTATTGAAATCATCTTCCTGTAACAAATGGTATTCTGAAATGAATGGATTCAACAAGTTAATTTGAATACACGTCAACATATCATGATAATGTTCTCCCTGTCTATTCCTGCCAAATAACTGACTCACAATTACCACTCCAGGATTTTGAATATTCTTATCCATCACTTCAAGAGTCAATCTTCTCATTGAGTTTTGATTATCCAAATAATAATCAGAAGCAAATGGATGTGTATGTGGAACAGTTTTTCTAAAACTCAGAAAATTTAAAGGATGTTCGGAAAAGACATATTTTCTAAAGAATGAAGTAATTTTGGAAAAGGTTGGACGAAACATGCCAATGTGAAAATTATTGTCGTAGGTTTTCTTATTGTTGGTTGCCAAAATCATGTAGATGAAGTGAATGGAAAGAACGAGAATGAGAGAAATGATGAACAAGAGTTGTTTCTTGTTGTTGGCAACCCATGAGAATCGTGTTGTTGTGGATGATGATGTGGATAACAATGAGACGGTTTCCTCCTCACGATCCGATTTATGATTGATAGAAGTCATTTTTTTTGAATTTAAATGTTATTCGAATGAGACGTTTATTATGAATTTAATATTTAAAATTTATTTACAATTTAAAATTACAAGTATATTAGATTGTTTCTCTAGGAGCACTTTCACTCAATTCATTTGTACTTTCAATGTGTTGGAAAGCTTTAGTTTTCCTAGAATTATGTGAGCTAGATGGATGATTAGTTTCAGTGTTTGTAGATTCTTCTTCCTTTCGTGCAAGACATCCTATTTCACAATTCAAAATTCTATGCACTGCTTCAGAACAACTTTCACCATACACAGTTTTACTTTCCAATGGTGTGAACAAAATGTAAGTGACACAATTGAGTCCCAAAAGGATACACACATCATAAGCAGGACCTCTTAACAGACCTAGCTCAACTGTGTACATGTCCCAACCAACAAAGAAGGTTGGCATTGAAATTCCAGCAACAATTACCAAGGCAAAATTAACAGCATTGATAGCCATGGTTGATTTGGTCAATTTTACACTAATGACATTGGTTTTACCCTTTCTCAATCTCAATAGAATGGTCACACCAACAATTGTGAATCCAATACAAAAGATTAGTGACAAGGAAGTGTAAAGCAATGCAAAGAAAAAGAAGAAAATCACCAAGTTGTTAGTCACCAATGCAACAATCAATCCAATAACTAGAAATGCAATCATGAACAAGTAGAAACTAATGGTAATTGAGGTATTCAATATGGAAAGACAACCTTTTGATTTTCCTCTCTTGACTAAATCCAAAGTATGGCTCCAGTGGACAATCATTGAACAGAAACAAAGGGCCATACAGACAAACGCAGCAGATCTGATTGTACCTCCAACATCATCAATAGCAAAGTTTAAAATTGGCATTGTAAAGTTTCTTGCAAAATAGGTAATTTCCACCAAACTAATGAAGCAGATCAGTAAAATGTTCCAAAATATTGAGTGGATCTTGATATCACCAAGGGTTAGAAGATAGATAGCACGCATATAGCTCACTACTACATGAGTGGATTCTGGTCCAAAGTAAAAGTTTTCGTCCTTCTTATATTCTGGTTGCTTTGTCAGAATTGACCACATGACTTTCACCTTTGGAATGACAACTCCAATGAAGAAAACAGCACCACTGATGAGTGCAATTGTAAGAAACACAATAGGAGCTGCATAATATCTCAATGGAGTCAAGAACATGTGATTGATGTCATAACATCTGAAGGAATAATCATACGTATTTCCACAATGACAGTACATTGGAATTTCACCCGATTTGAATACAGAACCACCTGAAGCTTTCAAAGGAAAGATAGTAGTCAACAAGTAAGATAGATTGTCAGTAGATGGAATCTTTGGAACTGATTTTGTTAGGATAGCAGCATAAATAGTTCCACTATCAAAGAATTTGCCATCCAGAATGCCAAAATGAACGTTTTTGAAATCGGAGGAATAATCTGATGATGAAGAGGTTAGATTGGTTGCTGTGTTCAATCCGGCACCAGTTATGCAATGGTCGTTCATGAGTGAGACGATTTGTCCGAAAGTGGATGGAAACTCTGGACAGGTTGGCCTTTCGTCTGATGAAATTGCATTCCTGAACTGTTTACCTGATGCAGAATTGCACAAGAAACAATGATTTGCTACAAAGGAAAGCTATTTCATTGATTCAATTACAATTTTACAAACTTATTCGAAACTAAACTTACCTCGGCTCTGTACTTTTCATCTTTGACAAATCTCGCAGTTGCATTGTAATGTAAATACTCGGTTTCATTACTATTAGTACAAAAGTATCTCATACAATCGATTTGCAAAATGTTTACAGTTGGAAATGAAGTTCTGGAAGTTTTTGAAACTAAATATTTGACAGTGGTGTTTAGTTTGGGGTCAGTCGAAAAGTCTCCACAGAAATCAACCAATGGTGGATCAAATGGCGGAATAAACACATAATTCTTGACCTGGGTTGGTTTGAAAATGTTTGCATTAAGCGAAGGAAACGAAACTGAACTAAACGAAACAAACTCTCCACACACGGAAGAGATTATCATGCAAACAAACAGAAAACACAAAACGACACTCCCCTCAACACTTTTCATTCTTTTTTTTGATATGTTCAGGAGTCCAAAGCACACACGAGCATTCGTCATTCTTTCATTCAACCAAAATTTCCTCAAATCCAAATAAGGAAGGCATTATTTTGATGGATGAGAATACAATATAGATTTGTGGCCCAGAAATGTTTGCAAGGTGTTAGATAATAGAAATATTATCAATTTTTTGATGAACTTGTTTGCAATGATTGCCAAAGATGGCGGCGATATTTCAGCAGATTCGTTTTGATAGTTTGTTAGAGAATAACCGCTGCTGATGCATCTGGACCATTCATTCGCATTGTATGTTTGGTTCTGGAATGTATTTCTATCTTTCGAATAGTTGCATTCTAGTTTAGTCTACAACGCAGAGTTATGGAGTTTAGTCAACATTGGAAAGAATTACCTCAAGGAACTGAACACTTAACTCACTTTCGTCTACAGTAAATGAATAGTATTTTGCAGGTTTGAAATTATTTGAAGAAATCAAACTTGTGAAATCATTTCTTTTTCATTAGGGTTTCTGATAGAAGATTTAAAATTGTTATTTTTATTGTAATAACAATTGTAACGTTGATTTGTTTTGTAAAAAATCGATCTATTCACTCACCTGCCTTTGATGGAACTGAAATTGGACAAGTACACTGAGATTACATTCTTTATAATCACGCGGTTATTGTAACTATTCGAAACAGTAAGCAATTACGAAACTTTCAGAAAGTGAACTATTCATCTTTAAAAAAATGACTTATTTTCATGTTTTATAATTGTTGTTGCACTTGTCTTGTTATGCTGTTTGGCCATCTCTGCCCAAGCATCATTCTCCTCCAGTCAAGCTCTCCTCTCCCACTTTAGAAATCGTATAGCTCAAGAATTTGCCGATTCCTCAGCCATGGACACAGACGATGACGAATCTGCCGAAGAATCCCTCGTCCAAATCTTTAAAAGTGAAGGCAAATGTCAAAACTGGGCCTCAGATGCAGGAAACAAATATCAAGGAAAAATTGGTTACACATGTATGGGAGTTATTCCACAAGAATGTTGGGAACAAAGGAATTCCTTATTTGGTGGTGAATTATTGAGTGGATTCAAAGGTCATCCAGCAGATTTCTGTTACTATGCCTATAATAAGGACACTGAAGCATACAAGGCAGCTGCTGCTCAATTGTACAAGACTAAATATTTCGATCAAGGAAAATGTTCTGGAATTCCAATGCCTGCCTATTATATCTGTGCTGATATTGCTGTGAATTCTGGAGTTGGTAGATCTCGTCAATATTTGAATGAATTGGGTGGATATAATGGACAAGATGCTAAGAAGTTTGCTAGACAATTGAATGAAAGACATAGAAAGGATTATTTGTATTGGGGTAGACCAGGAACTGATAATAATAAGTTTTTGAAGGGATGGTTGGCACGTGCTGATATGAGAGCAAAGTTTATTGATAATTATGATAATTAAATAGTTTGATTTCTTCCAAAATGGCAACTTTAATCTTATGATGTCTCCAATAGTAGATTATTCATTTAGACAACATCCAATCAAATATTCTCCCTTAATTTCAGTTAAACTTTGATCTGTGTCAAATCTCTCAAAAATGTTCATTCTATTTGATAATAATTCTTTCACATCTGTTTCACTGTATTTGTTTTCCAATTTGATTCGTTTACAAAATCCAGAATCAACAGAATTTTGTTTTATCCTCTCATTTCCAATAAATGAATCTCCATAACATAATGCAGCTTCAAAAAATTTAACAAATGCATCAATATCTACTATTCTATTCGAATTCTTATCTCCTCCACTTCCTCTGAACATGTAATGTCTCAATTTCAATAAATGAGCATAAACTGGAAAGTATGGCTCATAATGCTGAGGACTTTCTACTTCAATTATTACTGTTCCTTCTCTTGTCAAGAAAGTATTCGTCTCATCAGCTCCATGTGAAACAATAATGACATCTGCCCATTGATGGTAAGCAATTTGTTCATCAAATGAATGTTTGAAATTTTCCCTAATTTGTATTTCACAAACATCTCCATAATTAATTTTCAATGTTTTGTAAATTTCATCCAAATTTGTAATGACTCTGTTTTTCACTCTACGAATCAGTAAAATATTAAGTTTCGGATTCTTTCTCTTTTCATTCGAATATCCATATGATTGTTTGATAAATGAAAAGTATTGATTGGTCATTAAGATGGCTTCCTTTGGAGGTCTTGGAACAACACGTGATTCAAATGTGTAAAATAAATTTCTATAATGTGAAAATGAAATTCCAATAACTCCTTTCGATGAGCATGTATATGAATCCTCTCCATTTCCAATATCCGCAATCACTGGTTGAACAAATGCCTTCTCAGTAGTATTTACAACTCGGTTGACCCAATTTGGAAATTTAGGACTCTTTGTCAAGATGAATAATTCATAATCTTTCTTTGTGAGAATATCAGCCATTGAATCATAGGAAAACGTTGGAGAAACTCTAGTTGATTTGGCTCCAAAACTCGAGACATATTCCATCACATGTGAAACCTGTCTCAATAACACAAAAACTTTGTAAAATCCATCAATAATTGTGTGATAATAATTCGACCAAAAAAGTGGAGCATGAAGAGAAATCCACTTGGAAGTCATTCGAAACTGATGATTTGATTTCTTGGTTTCCAAGTTTTGAAATTCGTTCAATGTAATATCTCTAACTTCTACACGACTTGGTATTGGAAAACGTGGAACTCCATTAATTGGATGGTCCATTAGTAGCTTTCGAATAAAATCTCTATCAGAAGTGAAGAATGGATTGCTTGCATGTAAATTGGGAACATCACTTGTGTCAGGAAGAAAAACATGGACCTTTCCACTACTGTCAATACACATATTAGAAACAATACAAATTTTGTAAGGGTCAGCTATGAGAGATTGTGGAGAGTTTGGTGTAATTATATCCAATTCATCGGGTGCAAAGTATTCTATTCGTCTATGAGTATGTGTGGTAAAACACAATACTTCTGATATTCCTGCCTCCGAGTATGTCATTAATTTCGTATTATTATTCGAAAGTTTAAACTTGGACTGCTTTTTAGAAAGGTATATAGAGTATGTGAGAAGAAAGATGAAATTTAAAAGTAATATTGTGATGAGAATATTTCGTGCTCGTTGTGTTAACATTTTTTTAAATTGTAAAATGTTAAAATTATTGGAAAGTCAATACTTGACTTGTTCAGAGTTTATTCAAATCCGATTTGAATAATTGGTAATGTAATGCAACAAATCTATCTACACAGATTTAAAAATCGTCTGTTTCCTTCTTCTTCTTGAGCTGGTCAATTTTAATCTTGTCAATCTTCATTTCACGTTGGAAAGCAAGAGATTGCTTGAATCTGTGGTGAGTATCCATCATTACAAGACATGTTTCCTTTTCCAAAACATTGAACATATCCTCTGGAAGACTATCAATTTGCTTATCATTATACTTGTCCAATTTATCCTTAACAGCATTAACCAGCAAGTGTGAAATATTTACTGACATAACGCCAGTAACTTCCAAGAATTCAGTAAATATTTCAAAAGCAACTTCATACTTTTTAACTTCCAATTCATTATATTCTCTTTCGAGAGAAGATTCCTTCTTTTTCTTTGCAGGATGAGCTGATTCTGAAATATCACTTGAACTATCGCTGTTTGGATCGTCTCGGAATAGTTTTGCTTGCAGTTCTAAGGAACGTTCACACAATGATCTATAATATTGAATCTTTTCCAGAAGCAAATAATTTTCACTAGACTTTTCCTTTTCACAATGTATCTTGAATACAGCTCTCAGTCCATCATCTTCCATTGTGTCTATTAACATGATAGCATTGGCACGACGGATCTTTTCCAAATATAATGAGTCACGATTAATAGCAAAGGTAAATACAAATACAATGATGGGTAATACTACAAATAGTGATATTACAATAACAATCAATTGAACAGATGTAATTGCCAACACTTGAGTATCCTTTTCCTTTTCCTTATCCTGAATAAAAGAAACTAAACCATCCAATCCACTCTTGAACTTGGAGAGAATGTCATTGTAAGTGTCAGAGTTCAATCTAGCATATACATCTTGTGCTTGTCCTAAATTGAACTGGACTAATATTTGAGAATTCTCCTTTTGTAAAAGTTTAATTGCTTCAACGGATGTGGCATTAATTAAAGATTTCAGAGATGGTTCATTCAACTGTCCTACAATATCCGCCACAATATCCCCCATTTCATTAGTGAAATTATAGTACAAAAGCTGAGCTTCAACAAACTTAGCCCCATTATTTGGAGTACTAGTAAAGACATACTTTACAACAAAAGCATTTGAACTTTCAAAGAGATAGCTTGCACGTCCAATATTAATTAAAATATCTGTTGACTTATTTGTGGCCATAACGAAAGAAGCAATAGAAATAGCTGCTAAAACCAACAAACCAAACACTGTTACCACCATTCCGGCTAAACATGCTAATTTCATTGAAGTCAACTCTACCACACCACAACATGTTCGTAACATTAGTTTACTATGACTAAACGAACTTCCTGATTTTCCACTTTCACTTGGGGCAAAACCATGCTGCTGCTGAGATTGTTTTGTTGTAGTTAGTGCTGGTGATGTTATGGTGACTTTCTTGGTTCCTGTTGATGAAGTAATTGTTTGATTTTCGGGTGATGCTACTGGTTGTGTAATTGGAGAGGTAGAAGTTGTTTGAAAACTAGCTGTTTGATTGGTGTTAGTGTTAGTATGATTATGATCTATTAGATTGTTGCCACTCATTGGCGGTGAAGACACATCCATTATTATTGTTAATTATTATTATTCCTTGCTTATTGTTAAATATTGCTTGTGTAGAATCACCAAGTGATGCAAAAAGATGAATGGTTACACAGTCTATTTGATGTTGTCTTAATTTTTTCAAAAAAGGCTCCTTTGACAATCACAAATTCAATGATGGACTCTTGGTGTGGTTCTAGTGGCGCATCATCTAAGCTCTGTTTCATGGTCCTATTTTTTTTCAGAAAGTCATTTCCGTTTTGGCGCCAAAACATGATTGAAATGGAACATTCAGATCAAATGATGAGAAATGAATTACATTTATAATAATCAAAAAATTGAATGATTGCACGACCGTGGACTATTATGTGGTGGTAGGTCAGCTTTTTTGGAGGATTAATGAATTGATGTTGGTTTTTTATGTCGGAAGAAGAAGTTACTTGGTTGAGAAGGTTGTGATTTTTTCTGGAAATTGTTATTAGAGTTTGAATAGTTAGATTAATTATTATCGGAATGATCGAATAGTTGTTAAATTTGGGTATGAGAAGGTATTAAATAATCTTTCATATTTTGTGATATTTTGTAATTTATTAATTTATTAAAAAAAAATGAGCAACAAGAAGGAGGGATGGAATTCTATTCAAATATTTTCTGATGATATTTGTTACGAAATTTGTTCATTTCTAAATTCTTGGTTTATTTTGAATAATTTATCTTTAATTTAAAACAATTTTGCAAATTATTTCGGAACGTGCAGAATTGTCTATCAAGTTTAAAAAACAATGATGAAAAGATTTGTTTATTGATGAATAGTAGATTTCTGGGACGAATTGTGAGGTTATTAATTCGTACGGAACAAGTTTCGGTTGAAAATTATTGGAAATGTTTGAAAATGATGAGAAATTTGACTGGTTTGGACATTTGCTTTAATAGAAATCATGGAAATGATGAAATGGATCAATTAATAGCACTTGATATAAGTTTCAACTCGATTGATAATAATCGAATTAAAATAATTAGTGGGATGAAAAATTTAACAAAATTGAGATGCTTTGCTAATGATTTCAATCTTGAAGGAATCAAATCTCTAGTATCAATGAAAAATATAACCAATTTGGGTATTGGTCCAAACAAAATTGGCACAGCCGAGACGAAGGCTCTCAGCGAAATGAAACAATTAACGGCTCTTGATTTAAGATGTAATTATATTACCATGGAGGGTGCTCAATATATCAGTGAATTACACAATTTACCTGAATTATTTATTAACCAAATACCATTGGTGGTGAAGGAGCCAATTGGATTAGCAACTCTGAATGATATAACAGCGGAAGGAGCTCAATTAATAAGTAGTATGGATTCGCTGACTTTTCTTTCTATTGGACAAAATAATATTAGTTCATTAGGAGCCAAATTTATTGGAAATGGGTTGAGAAATTTGAGAACTTTAGATATTCATAATAATACCATTGATTTAGAAGGAGTTCAAGCAATTTGTAAATTAATAATTTAAATTCCATTGACGATGAGCAATTAGAAAGCATCATTCAATTAACAGAATTGCAACACCTCAATATCTACCATGGCACTATTACATCTAAAGGAGTGAAACTTATAGGTCATTTGAAAAAGCTGATAACACTTCATGTAAATTAATTCTGAACGGAAATAATATTTATTGGATCAACTTGAGGATGATGCTTCCACTATATGATAACACAAGAGGCATGGTTCTTGTAAAATGTCTTTCATCACATTATTTAATAGAGGAGCAAAGAACTATATGTCTAGCTCTTTGATTATTTTGCAAAAACCTGGAACAAACCTCTATAAACTCGCTCCAAAAAGTTTCTTCAGATGACTTACTAGGTTCAGCACCTCTTTTTGGGTTGTTAAGAACTGGGAGTAATAATTTAGGAAAACTTGTAAAAGCTATATCACAAATGATTTCACATACTGATGCTCTGAATTCCTGATACATATATAAAGAAAGTACTTGAATGATAAGTGGTGGACAATTGCGTGTATTTATAACTGTGAGAAGAAATACTGGGAGCATACCTTCCACCTTAATGTGAGCAAGATTAGCCTTAGAAATAGTAAAAGTATTTAAAGAGAATACTGATTCAATTGAAGTAATAACGGTTTCGTTGCATACTGGCCCATCATCATTCACTGATATGACTTCTCTCTTGCATGTTGTAATATCGGTCATTAGTGTTGGTTTGATAATAAATTTAGAACTGATTGTTGATCTGTAAACAAAATTACAATCAATTAATAGCACCCCTTGAATTCCATGAATGCATTCCAAGAGATAAACAAGCACTGTTGGTATTCCTTGGCAACAAACATCAAACACTTTCTTACAATCATTATTTGTAATATCGTGATAGGATGTTTGGATGTACCCTCTCACATCATACTCCTTAGCTGCTCTTGACATTTGAGTTTGGAAACCTTCACAAAGAACCTCACCCTCTTCTACCCTTAATACAATTGTTAGAACACCACAATCTTTTGGAACGACATGTTCTAGAAAATTAAGGATCATTCGATCCCAAGAAAAATCCTTTCTATCTTCTTCCTCGAGATCCAACATTAGAAAATGATTTTTAATGGAAAGACCATAAGGGTGTCTTGATGTTGGATAAAAAGTGAATATTTCATCAATTATACTATTCCATGATTTGCAAACTTGTTTCTTAGGAAGCGCCTCAACTATGTGCCAATATTTCAAGATGTTAAGAACCATTTCGAAGGGTAAACAACTAATACTATTCCTAACGGCACCACATGATGCCCCTTCTTCAAGTAAAGACATTTGGAGAATTTTTTTTAAAAAAGTGTTAGAGGTGAAAAGAATACTTTTATTAAGGTATAAAACCTGGGATGATTCTCCGAACCTATTGGAGCATTTCCATGTCATGTGTGGTTATTGACGACGAAACTCCACCATGACAATGACATACTATTGAAAGATGGTATATAAAACTTTTTGATTTGGTAAAGTACTGATGAGGTATGGTCGAAAATAATCTTGGAATCGGCACTGAATTCCGATGAAGACAAAAATCCAATCTCCAAGATTCACCACACACATACTATTGACCATTCTGAACAATCTCAAATTGATGGTTTTTGTGATGACCAAGTAGATGTGCCGATTTTGATGGTTTTGATGAAAAATCAACTTTGAGCCAAATTAAAAATAATTTCAAAGAGTAAACTTGAGGAATACTATTTAAATACTATTAGAACATCAAACTAACCTGTTCTAACAACACCCGAGATGTGTTTGTTGATTTGAAATTTACTTGATGATTAATAAAATTACTATTCTACTATTGACGGATTCTTCATTCCACTGGTGGACAACAAAAAATCCTTCAATTGATTAGAATTTATAGATGATTTATTATTTCTCATTAAGGGGAATATTCAATTTGAGCTATTCTTGAGAATAATGCTTGGAGGTGGAGGAGTTTTGACATTGGATAAGTATTTAGAAAATATTTTACTATGGAGATGAAAATGATGAAAAAGAGGAAACATTTGATTTCAGCTGATGTTTCATTCAATCTAAATATGGTCTGTCATCTTCCTTATTTAATAATTTAATGATTGTTCATGGCATTGTATATTTCAATAAGTTGTTAAGTGTCATTTCAACTGCCGATGCTAACTTATTGTAATGAGGCAGACTATTGAGTTGGTTTTCAAATATCTCTTTGTAGATTACAGACTTCACAAGATATCAAGCAAGTCAATTCTCTATGTTTTAGTATGAAATTTATTATCTAAAGACAAAAAAAATATGAACAAAATCCAACCAACAGATAATGACAAGCAGGTAAGTTTAGTTTAGAATAATAGTAAAACTAAGCTGAATTTTGAAAGGTTTTGCTTGAGGGTAAAACAAGAAGAAAGACATGCTGTTCAGGATGTTGCTCATTGAGAATTTTAATCATATTCATCATGATTTGTTTGATAGTTTGTTGTTCTGTTTCAGTTTGGTTAGCTTCTTACATTGGATCCAATCAAGCAATTAATGAATTCTGCCAGTTTAGTTTCCAAAGTCAGTGATAATGTATTTTCATTCATTGCTTCTGAACTTTCTCCTGTACATTACATGGTTCAAACCATGGCTTCTGATCATATTTTAGGCAATATAGATTTTACAAATCCATTACCTTACATTTAAACAAAAATTTGGTAAAAATCGTCAGGCAAAAAATCACATTTTTACGAAATTTTTTATTAAAAAATTAATTATTCATCATTAAGAAGTTTGAATAGTAATTCTTTCAATTTTGAGTTTTTCTCGGAATTACCTGGGGTTCTATAATGTAAATTCCTGGTTGAACCAATTAATTTCAATAAAGTGTTTTTTTCCTCTGTTTGGTTTAATTTATCCATTAATTTGTTAATCATCATTTTTAATTCGAAATCCATTTCATTGTCGATCATATTATTGACATGATGCAACACACTCATCATCGTGTTGTTATGGAGGTTAATAGGACCATTGTTTGTATTGTTGTTACAATTATTATAATTATTATTTGCATAATTATTTAAATTATTATTATTGGATAAT